TGTATACAAGACACTGCAAGGAAATCCGGCCTCCTTTCAAGTTAAGGCTTCTCGTTGTATATTCCACTTGAGGCAGCAAACTGGGGGTCCCTCCCTCATACCGATTGCTGGGAGAAGCCTCCTCTTGAGGTGCTTCTGGAAAGTTGGCATACGTCTTGAGCCTAAGCTAGGGAATCAGCTCTCACCTCGAAACGATTTGGGGTACACCGGTCATTCCTCGAGTTGCTGTGCTGAAGTTGGTGTTCCTCTAGACTTGGGACAGTGTTCTCGGGGCATCTCTGGAGTTGCCTGAAGGAAGTCAAGCCACTGGTCGTGTTTAATGGGGTACGGGGGATGGCTCCGGAGTCAATGCAGGGGAATCTGGCATCATCCCGAGTGGATTTGGGGCACATTGTGCTGCTTTGCATTGATGGGGTGACCTCAGGATCCGTCTAGACATGTGACTGTATTCTTGGGGACTCTCTCGAGATCCATTAAGCAAGTCGAAGATCCTGACTTGTTTGATGGGGATCACGGAATTGCTCTGCATGCACTGCAGGAAAATCGGGCCTCATCTCGCCTATAGGGGAAAGTCTCATGGTTTTTCTCGACTTGCGGCGGGGACATAGGGTATGCACTCCGGTTAAGGCGGGGATGACCCTTCAAAACTCGTGTTTATTCAGTGACGTCAGGACTCCTGTCCAATAACGAGGGACAGCTCAGGAATCTCTTCTAGGCTTGGCAGTGCACAAGGGACGCTTCTCGAGGTGAGGCAGGGCACCCAAGGAACCTTTCCAATAGCCACAGGGATTTTGGGATTCCTGTCAATATTCAAGAGGAGTCAGGCATCGTCACCTTTTGAAGCAGTGAACTCCGCGTGCCTCTCGAGGTGACAACGGGATGTGAGGCATTCCGTCAAAATGAGGCAGGGACCCAGAGCTTTCTCTAAGGTCTCCACAGGGGATTCAGACATCCCTTCATGCTGTGAGATGAAAGACGAGCCTGTATTCAAGCCACTGCAAGGAAAACCGGCCTCCTTTCAAGTTAGGGCTTCTCGCTGTATATTCCACTTGAGGCAGCAAACTCGGGGTCCCTCCCACATACATATTGCTGAGAGAAGCCTCCTCTGGGGGTGCTTCTGGAAAGTTGGCATATGTCTTGAGCCTAAGCCAGGGAATCAGCTCTCACCTCGAAACGATTTGGGGTACACGGAGCATTCCTCGAGTTGCTGTGCTGAAGTTGGTGTTCCTCTAGACTTGGGACAGTGTTCTCGGGGCATCTCTGGAGTTGCCTGAAGGAAGTCAAGCCACTGGTGGTGTTTAATGGGGTATGGGGAATGGCTCTGGAGTCAATGCCGGAGAATCGGGCCTCATCTCGAGTTGATGTGGGGCACATGGAGCTGCTTTGCATTGCTGCAGTGACCTCAGGGTCTGTCTAGACTTGTGACAGTGTTCCTGGTGACTCTCTCAAGATCCATTAAGCAAGTCGAAGCTCCTGACTTGCTTGATGGGATCACGGGCCTGCTCTGCATGGACTGCAGGGAATCAGACCTCATCTCGCATCTAGGGGAAGTCTCTTCGTTTTGCTCGAGTTGCGGCCGGACCTGGGGTATGTTCTCGAGTTATGGCGGGGATGGCCCTTCAAAACACGTGTTTATTCAGTGACGTCAGGACTCCTGTCTAGTAACGAGAGACACCTCAGGAATCTCTTCGAAGCTTGGCAGGGCAAAAGGGATGCTTCCCGAAGTGAGGCAGGGCACCCAAGAACCCTGTCCTGTAGCTACAGTGATTTTGGGATTCCTATCAATGTTCAAGAGGAGTCAGGCATCGTCACATTTTGAAGCAGTGAACTCCGTGTGCCTCTCGAGGTGTCAACGGGATGTGAGACATTCCGTCAAAATGAGGCAGGGACATATGGCTTTCTCTAAGGTCTCCTCAGGGGATTCAGACATTCCTTCTGGTTGTGAGATGAAAGACGAGCCTGTATTCAAGACACTGCAAGGAAATCCGGCCTCCTTTCAAGTTAAGGCTTCTCGTTGTATATTCCACTTGAGGCAGCAAACTGGGGGTCCCTCCCTCATACCGATTGCTGAGAGAAGCCTCCTCTTGAGGTGCTTCTGGAAAGTTGGCATACGTTTGAGCCTAAGCTAGGGAATCAGCTCTCACCTCGAAACGATTTGGGGTACACCGGTCATTCCTCGAGTTGCTGTGCTGAAGTTGGTGTTCCTCTAGACTTGGGACAGTGTTCTCGGGGCATCTCTGGAGTTGCCTGAAGGAAGTCAAGCCACTGGTCGTGTTTAATGGGGAACGGGGGATGGCTCCGGAGTCAATGCAGGGGAATCTGGCATCATCCCGAGTGGATTTGGGGCACATTGTGCTGCTTTGCATTGATGGGGTGACCTCAGGATCCGTCTAGACATGTGACTGTATTCTTGGGGACTCTCTCGAGATCCATTAAGCAAGTCGAAGATCCTGACTTGTTTGATGGGGATCACGGAATTGCTCTGCATGCACTGCAGGAAAATCGGGCCTCATCTCGCCTATAGGGGAAAGTCTCATGGTTTTTCTCGACTTGCGGCGGGGACCTAGGGTATGTACTCCGGTTAAGGCGGGGATGACCCTTCAAAACTCGTGTTTATTCAGTGACGTCAGGACTCCTGTCCAATAACGAGGGACAGCTCAGGAATCTCTTCGAGGCTTGGCAGTGCACAAGGGACGCTTCTCGAGGTGAGGCAGGGCACCCAAGGAACCTTTCCAATAGCCACAGGGATTTTGGGATTCCTGTCAATATTCAAGAGGAGTCAGGCATCGTCACCTTTTGTAGCAGTGAACTCCGCGTGCCTCTCGAGGTGACAACGGGATGTGAGGCATTCCGTCAAAATGAGGCAGGGACCCAGAGCTTTCTCTAAAGTCTCCACAGGGGATTCAGACATCCCTTCATGCTGTGAGATGAAAGACGAGCCTGTATTCAAGCCACTGCAAGGAAAACCGGCCTCCTTTCAAGTTAGGGCTTCTCGCTGTATATTCCACTTGAGGCAGCAAACTGGGGGTCCCTCCAACATACCTATAGCTGAGAGAAGCCTCCTCTTGAGGTGCTTCTGGAAAGTTGGCATACGTCTTGAGCCTAAGCCAGGGTATCAGCTCTCATCTCGAGACGATTTGGGGTACACGGAGCATTCCTCGTGTTGCTGTGCTGAAGTTCGTATTCCTCTAGACTTGGGACAGTGTTCTCAGGGAATCTCTGGAGTTGCCTGAAGGAAGTCAAGCCACTGGTGGTGTTTAATGTGCTACGGGGGATGGCTCTGGAGTCAATGCAGGGGAATCGGGCCTCATCTCGAGTTGATGTGGGGTACTTGGAGCTGCTTTGCATTGCTGGGGTGACCTCACGTTCTGTCTAGACTTTTGACAGTGTTCCTGGGGACTTTCGCGAGTTCGATTAAGCAAGTCGAATCTCCTGACTTGCTTGATGGGGATCACGGGAATGCTCTGCATGGACTGCAGGGAATAAGGCTTCATCTCGTATCTAGGGGAAGTGTCATGGTTTTTCTCGAGTTGCGGCGAGACCTGTGGTATGTTCTCGAGTTATGGTGGGGATGGCCCTTCAAAACACGTGTTTATTCAGTGACGTCAGGACTCCTGTCTAGTAACGAGAGACACCTCAGGAATCTCTTCGAGGCTTGGCAGGGCACAAGGGACGCTTCTCGAGGTGAGGCAGGGCACCCAAGGAACCTTTCCAATAGCCATAGGGATTTTGGGATTCCAATCAATATTCAAGAGGAGTCAGGCATCGTCCCCTTTTGAAATAGTGAACTCCGCGTGCCTCTCGAGGTGACAATGGGATGTGAGGCATTCCGTCCAAATGAGGCAGGGACCTAGGGCTTTCTCTAAGGTCTTCACAGGGGATTCAGTCATCCCTTCCTGTTGTGAGATGAAAGACGAGCCTGTATACAAGACACTGCAAGGAAATCCGGCCTCCTTTCAAGTTAGGGCTTCTCGCTGTATATTCCACTTGAGGCAGCAAACTCGGGGTCCCACGAACAAACCTATTGCTGAGAGAAGCCTCCTCTTGTGGTGCTTCTGGAAAGTTGGCATACGTCTTGAGCCTAAGCCAGGGTATCAGCTCTCATCTCGAGACGATTTGGGGTACACGGAGCATTCCTGGAGTTGCTGTGCTTAAGTTCGTATTCCTCTAGACTTGAGACAGTGTTCTCGGGGCAACTCTGGAGTTGCATGAAGGAAGTCAAGCCACTCGTGGTGTTTAATGGGGTACGGGGGATGGCTCTGGAGTCAATGCATTGGAATCTGGCATCATCTCGAGTTTATTTGGGGCAAATGGAGCTGCTTTGCGTTGCTGGGGTGACGTCATGGTCCGTCTACACTTGTGACAGTGTTCCTGGGGACTCTCTCGAGATCCATTAAGCAAATCGAACCTGCTGACTTGCTTGATGGGGATCACGGGAATGCTCTGCATGGACTGCAGGGAATCAGGCCTCATCTCACATCTAGGGGAAGTCTCATGGTTTTTCTCGAGTTGCGGCGGGACGTGGGGTATGTTCTCGAGTTATGGCGGGCATGGCCCTTCAAAACACGTGTTTATTCAGTGACGTCAGGACTCCTGACTAGTAATGAGGGACACCTCAGGAATCTCTTCGAGGCTTGGCAGGGGAAAAGGTATGCTTCTCGAGGTGAGGCAGGGCACACAAGAACCCTTTCCTGTAGCCACAGTTATTTTGGGATTCCTATCAATGTTCAGGAGGAGTCAGGCAGCTTCACATTTTGAAGCAATGAACTCCACGTGCCTCTCGTGGTGTCAACGGGATGTGAGGCTTTCCGTCAAAATAAGGCAGGGACCTAGGGCTTTCTCTAAGGTCTCTACAGGGGATTCAGACATCCCTTCATGCTGAGAGATGAAAGACGAGCCTGTATTCAAGCCCCTGCAAGGAAATCCGGCCTCCTTTCATTTTAGGGCTTCTCGCTGTATATTCCACTTGAGGCAGCAAACTCGGGGTCCCACGAACATACCTATTGCTGAGAGAAGCCTCCTCTTGAGGTGCTTCTGGAAAGTTGGCATACGTCTTGAGCCTAAGCCAGGGAATCAGCTCTCATCTCGAGACGATTTGGGGTACACGGAGCATTCCTCGAGTTGCTGTGCTGAAGATGGTGTTCCTCTAGACTTGGGACAGTGTTCTCAGGGCATGTCTGCAGTTGTATGAAGGAAGTCAAGCCACTGGTGGTGTTTAATGTGGAACGGGGGATGCCTCTGGAGTCAATGCAGGGGAATCGGGCATTATCTCGAGTTGATTTGGGGCACATGGTGCTGCTTTGCGATGATGGGGTGACCTCAGGATCCGTCTAGACATGTGACAGTGTTCTTGGGTACTGTCTCGAGATCCATTAAGCAAGTCGAAGCTCCTGACTTGTTTGATGGGGATCACGGAATTGCTCTGCATGCACTGCAGGTGAATCGGGCCTCATCTGGCATCCAGATGGAAGTCTCAAGGTTTTTTTCGAATTGTGGCGGGGACCTGGGTTATGTACTCTGGTTACGGGGGGGAAGGCCCTTCAAAACTCGTGTATATTCAGTGACGTCAGGACTCCTGTCCAATAACGAGGGACAGCTCAGGAATCTCTTCGAGGCTTGGCAGTGCAAAAGGGACGCTTCTCGAGGTGAGGCAGGGCACCCAAGGAACCTTTCCAATAGCCACAGGGATTTTGGGATTCCTATCAATATTCAAGAGGAGTCAGGCATCGTCACCTTTTGAAGCACTGAACTCCGCGTGCCTCTCGAGGTGACAACGGGATGTGAGGCATTACGTCAAACTGAGGCAGGGACCTAGAGCTTTCTCTAAGGTCTCCACAGGGGATTCAGACATCCCTTCATGCTGTGAGATGAAAGACGAGCCTGTATTCAAGCCACTGCAAGGAAAACCGGCCGCCTTTCAAGTTAGGGCTTCTCGCTGTATATTCCACTTGAGGCAGCAAACTGGGGGTCCCTCCAACATACCTATAGCTGAGAGAAGCCTCCTCTTGAGGTGCTTCTGGAAAGTTGGCATACGTCTTGAGCCTAAGCCAGGGAATCAGCTCTCATCTCGAGACGATTTGGGGTACACGGAGCATTCCTCGATTTGCTGTGCTGAAGTTCGTGTTCCTCTAGACTTGGGACAGTGTTCTTGGGGCATCTCTGGAGTTGCCTGAAGGAAGTCAAGCCACTGGTCTTGTTTAATGGGGAACGGGGGATGGCTCCGGAGTCAATGCAGGGGAATCTGGTATCATCCCGAGTGGATTTGGGGCACATTGTGCTGCTTTGCATTGATGGGGTGACCTCAGGATCCGTCTAGACATGTGACTGTATTCTTGGGGACTCTCTCGAGATCCATTAAGCAAGTCGAAGGTCCTGACTTGTTTGATGGGGATCACGGAATTGCTCTGCATGCACTGCAGGAAAATCGGGCCTCATCTCGCCTATAGGGGAAAGTCTCATGGTTTTTCTCGACTTGCGGCGGGGACCTAGGGTATGTACTCCAGTTAAGGCGGGGATGACCCTTCAAAACTCGTGTTTATTCAGTGACGTCAGGACTCCTGTCCAATAACGAGGGACAGCTCAGGAATCTCTTCGAGGCTTGGCAGTGCACAAGGGACGCTTCTCGAGGTGAGGCAGGGCACCCAAGGAACCTTTCCAATAGCCACAGGGATTTTGGGATTCCTGTCAATATACAAGAGGAGTCAGGCATCGTCACCTTTTGAAGCAGTGAACTCTGCGTGCCTCTCGAGGTGACAACGGGATGTGAGGCATTCCGTCAAAATGAGGCAGGGACCCAGAGCTTTCTCTAAGGTCTCCACAGGGGATTCAGACATCCCTTCATGCTGTGAGATGAAAGACGAGCCTGTATTCAAGCCACTGCAAGGAAAACCGGCCTCCTTTCAAGTTAGGGCTTCTCGCTGTATATTCCACTTGAGGCAGCAAACTCGGGGTCCCACGAACATACCTATTGCTGAGAGAAGCCTCCTCTGGGGGTGCTTCTGGAAAGTTGGCATATGTCTTGAGCCTAAGCCAGGGAATCAGCTCTCACCTTGAAACGATTTGGGGTACACGGAGCATTCCTCGAGTTGCTGTGCTGAAGTTGGTGTTCCTCTAGACTTGGGACAGTGTTCTCCGGGCAACTCTGGAGTTGCCTGAAGGAAGTCAAGCCACTGGTGGTGTTTAATGGGGTATGGGGAATGGCTCTGGAGTCAATGCCGGAGAATCGGGCCTCATCTCGAGTTGATGTGGGGCACATGGAGCTGCTTTGCATTGCTGCGGTGACCTCAGGGTCTGTCTAGACTTGTGACAGTGTTCCTGGTGACTCTCTCAAGATCCATTAAGCAAGTCGAAGCTCCTGACTTGCTTGATGGGGATCACGGGCCTGCTCTGCATGGACTGCAGGGAATCAGACCTCATCTCGCATCTAGGGGAAGTCTCTTCGTTTTGCTCGAGTTGCGGCCGGACCTGGGGTATGTTCTCGAGTTATGGCGGGGATGGCCCTTCAAAACACGTGTTTATTCAGTGACGTCAGGACTCCTGTCTAGTAACGAGAGACACCTCAGGAATCTCTTCGAAGCTTGGCAGGGCAAAAGGGATGCTTCCCGAAGTGAGGCAGGGCACCCAAGAACCCTGTCCTGTAGCTACAGTGATTTTGGGATTCCTATCAATGTTCAAGAGGAGTCAGGCATCGTCACATTTTGAAGCAGTGAACTCCGTGTGCCTCTCGAGGTGTCAACGGGATGTGAGACATTCCGTCAAAATGAGGCAGGGACATACGGCTTTCTCTAAGGTCTCCTCAGGGGATTCAGACATTCCTTCTGGTTGTGAGATGAAAGACGAGCCTGTATTCAAGACACTGCAAGGAAATCCGGCCTCCTTTCAAGTTAAGGCTTCTCGTTGTATATTCCACTTGAGGCAGCAAACTGGGGGTAACTCCCTCATACCGATTGCTGAGAGAAGCCTCCTCTTGAGGTGCTTCTGGAAAGTTGGCATACGTCTTGAGCCTAAGCTAGGGAATCAGCTCTCACCTCGAAACGATTTGGGGTACACCGGTCATTCCTCGAGTTGCTGTGCTGAAGTTGGTGTTCCTCTAGACTTGGGACAGTGTTCTCGGGGCATCTCTGGAGTTGCCTGAAGGAAGTCAAGCCACTGGTCGTGTTTAATGGGCAACGGGGGATGGCTCCGGAGTCAATGCAGGGGAATCTGGCATCATCCCGAGTGGATTTGGGGCACATTGTGCTGCTTTGCATTGATGGGGTGACCTCAGGATCCGTCTAGACATGTGACTGTATTCTTGGGGACTCTCTCGAGATCCATTAAGCAAGTCGAAGGTCCTGACTTGTTTGATGGGGATCACGGAATTGCTCTGCATGCACTGCAGGAAAATCGGGCCTCATCTCGCCTATAGGGGAAAGTCTCATGGTTTTTCTCGACTTGCGGCGGGGACCTAGGGTATGTACTCCGGTTAAGGCGGGGATGACCCTTCAAAACTCGTGTTTATTCAGTGACGTCAGGACTCCTGTCCAATAACGAGGGACAGCTCAGGAATCTCTTCTAGGCTTGGCAGTGCACAAGGGACGCTTCTCGAGGTGAGGCAGGGCACCCAAGGAACCTTTCCAATAGCCACAGGGATTTTGGGATTCCTGTCAATATTCAAGAGGAGTCAGGCATCGTCACCTTTTGAAGCAGTGAACTCCGCGTGCCTCTCGAGGTGACAACGGGATGTGAGGCATTCCGTCAAAATGAGGCAGGGACCCAGAGCTTTCTCTAAGGTCTCCACAGGGGATTCAGACATCCCTTCATGGTGTGAGATGAAAGACGAGCCTGTATTCAAGCCACTGCAAGGAAAACCGGCCTCCTTTCAAGTTAGGGCTTCTCGCTGTATATTCCACTTGAGGCAGCAAACTGGGGGTCCCTCCAACATACCTATAGCTGAGAGAAGCCTCCTCTTGAGGTGCTTCTGGAAAGTTGGCATACGTCTTGAGCCTAAGCCAGGGAATCAGCTCTCATCTCGAGACGATTTGGGGTACACGGAGCATTCCTCGTGTTGCTGTGCTGAAGTTCGTATTCCTCTAGACTTGGGACATTGTTCTCAGGGAATCTCTGGAGTTGCCTGAAGGAAGTCAAGCCACTGGTGGTGTTTAATGGGCTACGGGGGATGGCTCTGGAGTCAATGCAGGGGAATCGGGCCTCATCTCGAGTTGATGTGGGGTACTTGGAGCTGCTTTGCATTGCTGGGGTGACCTCACGTTCTGTCTAGACTTTTGACAGTGTTCCTGGGGACTTTCGCGAGTTCGATTAAGCAAGTCGAATCTCCTGACTTGCTTGATGGGGATCACGGGAATGCTCTGCATGGACTGCAGGGAATAAGGCTTCATCTCGTATCTAGGGGAAGTGTCATGGTTTTTCTCGAGTTGCGGCGAGACCTGTGGTATGTTCTCGAGTTATGGTGGGGATGGCCCTTCAAAACACGTGTTTATTCAGTGACGTCAGGACTCCTGTCTAGTAACGAGAGACACCTCAGGAATCTCTTCGAGGCTTGGCAGGGCACAAGGGACGCTTCTCGAGGTGAGGCAGGGAACCCAAGGAACCTTTCCAATAGCCATAGGGATTTTGGGATTCCAATCAATATTCAAGAGGAGTCAGGCATCGTCCCCTTTTGAAATAGTGAACTCCGCGTGCCTCTCGAGGTGACAATGGGATGTGAGGCATTCCGTCCAAATGAGGCAGGGACCTAGGGCTTTCTCTAAGGTCTTCACAGGGGATTCAGTCATCCCTTCCTGTTGTGAGATGAAAGACGAGCCTGTATACAAGACACTGCAAGGAAATCCGGCCTCCTTTCAAGTTAGGGCTTCTCGCTGTATATTCCACTTGAGGCAGCAAACTCGGGGTCCCACGAACAAACCTATTGCTGAGAGAAGCCTCCTCTTGTGGTGCTTCTGGAAAGTTGGCATACGTCTTGAGCCTAAGCCAGGGTATCAGCTCTCATCTCGAGACGATTTGGGGTACACGGAGCATTCCTGGAGTTGCTGTGCTTAAGTTCGTATTCCTCTAGACTTGAGACAGTGTTCTCGGGGCAACTCTGGAGTTGCATGAAGGAAGTCAAGCCACTCGTGGTGTTTAATGGGGTACGGGGGATGGCTCTGGAGTCAATGCATTGGAATCTGGCATCATCTCGAGTTTATTTGGGGCAAATGGAGCTGCTTTGCGTTGCTGGGGTGACGTCATGGTCCGTCTACACTTGTGACAGTGTTCCTGGGGACTCTCTCGAGATCCATTAAGCAAATCGAACCTGCTGACTTGCTTGATGGGGATCACGGGAATGCTCTGCATGGACTGCAGGGAATCAGGCCTCATCTCACATCTAGGGGAAGTCTCATGGTTTTTCTCGAGTTGCGGCGGGACGTGGGGTATGTTCTCGAGTTATGGCGGGCATGGCCCTTCAAAACACGTGTTTATTCAGTGACGTCAGGACTCCTGACTAGTAATGAGGGACACCTCAGGAATCTCTTCGAGGCTTGGCAGGGGAAAAGGTATGCTTCTCGAGGTGAGGCAGGGCACACAAGAACCCTTTCCTGTAGCCACAGTTATTTTGGGATTCCTATCAATGTTCAGGAGGAGTCAGGCAGCTTCACATTTTGAAGCAATGAACTCCACGTGCCTCTCGTGGTGTCAACGGGATGTGAGGCTTTCCGTCAAAATAAGGCAGGGACCTAGGGCTTTCTCTAAGGTCTCTACAGGGGATTCAGACATCCCTTCATGCTGAGAGATGAAAGACGAGCCTGTATTCAAGCCCCTGCAAGGAAATCCGGCCTCCTTTCATTTTAGGGCTTCTCGCTGTATATTCCACTTGAGGCAGCAAACTCGGGGTCCCACGAACATACCTATTGCTGAGAGAAGCCTCCTCTTGAGGTGCTTCTGGAAAGTTGGCATACGTCTTGAGCCTAAGCCAGGGAATCAGCTCTCATCTCGAGACGATTTGGGGTACACGGAGCATTCCTCGAGTTGCTGTGCTGAAGATGGTGTTCCTCTAGACTTGGGACAGTGTTCTCAGGGCATGTCTGCAGTTGTATGAAGGAAGTCAAGCCACTGGTGGTGTTTAATGTGGAACGGGGGATGCCTCTGGAGTCAATGCAGGGGAATCGGGCATTATCTCGAGTTGATTTGGGGCACATGGTGCTGCTTTGCGATGATGGGGTGACCTCAGGATCCGTCTAGACATGTGACAGTGTTCTTGGGTACTGTCTCGAGATCCATTAAGCAAGTCGAAGCTCCTGACTTGTTTGATGGGGATCACGGAATTGCTCTGCATGCACTGCAGGTGAATCGGGCCTCATCTGGCATCCAGATGGAAGTCTCAAGGTTTTTTTCGAATTGTGGCGGGGACCTGGGTTATGTACTCTGGTTACGGGGGGGAAGGCCCTTCAAAACTCGTGTATATTCAGTGACGTCAGGACTCCTGTCCAATAACGAGGGACAGCTCAGGAATCTCTTCGAGGCTTGGCAGTGCAAAAGGGACGCTTCTCGAGGTGAGGCAGGGCACCCAAGGAACCTTTCCAATAGCCACAGGGATTTTGGGATTCCTATCAATATTCAAGAGGAGTCAGGCATCGTCACCTTTTGAAGCACTGAACTCCGCGTGCCTCTCGAGGTGACAACGGGATGTGAGGCATTACGTCAAACTGAGGCAGGGACCTAGAGCTTTCTCTAAGGTCTCCACAGGGGATTCAGACATCCCTTCATGCTGTGAGATGAAAGACGAGCCTGTATTCAAGCCACTGCAAGGAAAACCGGCCGCCTTTCAAGTTAGGGCTTCTCGCTGTATATTCCACTTGAGGCAGCAAACTGGGGGTCCCTCCAACATACCTATAGCTGAGAGAAGCCTCCTCTTGAGGTGCTTCTGGAAAGTTGGCATACGTCTTGAGCCTAAGCCAGGGAATCAGCTCTCATCTCGAGACGATTTGGGGTACACGGAGCATTCCTCGATTTGCTGTGCTGAAGTTCGTGTTCCTCTAGACTTGGGACAGTGTTCTTGGGGCATCTCTGGAGTTGCCTGAAGGAAGTCAAGCCACTGGTCTTGTTTAATGGGGAACGGGGGATGGCTCCGGAGTCAATGCAGGGGAATCTGGTATCATCCCGAGTGGATTTGGGGCACATTGTGCTGCTTTGCATTGATGGGGTGACCTCAGGATCCGTCTAGACATGTGACTGTATTCTTGGGGACTCTCTCGAGATCCATTAAGCAAGTCGAAGGTCCTGACTTGTTTGATGGGGATCACGGAATTGCTCTGCATGCACTGCAGGAAAATCGGGCCTCATCTCGCCTATAGGGGAAAGTCTCATGGTTTTTCTCGACTTGCGGCGGGGACCTTGGGTATGTACTCCAGTTAAGGCGGGGATGACCCTTCAAAACTCGTGTTTATTCAGTGACGTCAGGACTCCTGTCCAATAACGAGGGACAGCTCAGGAATCTCTTCGAGGCTTGGCAGTGCACAAGGGACGCTTCTCGAGGTGAGGCAGGGCACCCAAGGACCCTTTCCAATAGCCACAGGGATTTTGGGATTCCTGTCAATATACAAGAGGAGTCAGGCATCGTCACCTTTTGAAGCAGTGAACTCTGCGTGCCTCTCGAGGTGACAACGGGATGTGAGGCATTCCGTCAAAATGAGGCAGGGACCCAGAGCTTTCTCTAAGGTCTCCACAGGGGATTCAGACATCCCTTCATGCTGTGAGATGAAAGACGAGCCTGTATTCAAGCCACTGCAAGGAAAACCGGCCTCCTTTCAAGTTAGGGCTTCTCGCTGTATATTCCACTTGAGGCAGCAAACTCGGGGTCCCACGAACATACCTATTGCTGAGAGAAGCCTCCTCTGGGGGTGCTTCTGGAAAGTTGGCATATGTCTTGAGCCTAAGCCAGGGAATCAGCTCTCACCTTGAAACGATTTGGGGTACACGGAGCATTCCTCGAGTTGCTGTGCTGAAGTTGATGTTCCTCTAGACTTGGGACAGTGTTCTCCGGGCAACTCTGGAGTTGCCTGAAGGAAGTCAAGCCACTGGTGGTGTTTAATGGGGTATGGGGAATGGCTCTGGAGTCAATGCCGGAGAATCGGGCCTCATCTCGAGTTGATGTGGGGCACATGGAGCTGCTTTGCATTGCTGCGGTGACCTCAGGGTCTGTCTAGACTTGTGACAGTGTTCCTGGTGACTCTCTCAAGATCCATTAAGCAAGTCGAAGCTCCTGACTTGCTTGATGGGGATCACGGGCCTGCTCTGCATGGACTGCAGGGAATCAGACCTCATCTCGCATCTAGGGGAAGTCTCTTCGTTTTGCTCGAGTTGCGGCCGGACCTGGGGTATGTCTCGAGTTATGGCGGGGATGGCCCTTCAAAACACGTGTTTATTCAGTGACGTCAGGACTCCTGTCTAGTAACGAGAGACACCTCAGGAATCTCTTCGAAGCTTGGCAGGGAAAAAGGGATGCTTCCCGAAGTGAGGCAGGGCACCCAAGAACCCTGTCCTGTAGCTACAGTGATTTTGGGATTCCTATCAATGTTCAAGAGGAGTCAGGCATCGTCACATTTTGAAGCAGTGAACTCCGTGTGCCTCTCGAGGTGTCAACGGGATGTGAGACATTCCGTCAAAATGAGGCAGGGACATACGGCTTTCTCTAAGGTCTGCTCAGGGGATTCAGACATTCCTTCTGGTTGTGAGATGAAAGACGAGCCTGTATTCAAGACACTGCAAGGAAATCCGGCCTCCTTTCAAGTTAAGGCTTCTCGTTGTATATTCCACTTGAGGCAGCAAACTGGGGGTCCCTCCCTCATACCGATTGCTGAGAGAAGCCTCCTCTTGAGGTGCTTCTGGAAAGTTGGCATACGTCTTGAGCCTAAGCTAGGGAATCAGCTCTCACCTCGAAACGATTTGGGGTACACCGGTCATTCCTCGAGTTGCTGTGCTGAAGTTGGTGTTCCTCTAGACTTGGGACAGTGTTCTCGGGGCATCTCTGGAGTTGCCTGAAGGAAGTCAAGCCACTGGTCGTGTTTAATGGGGAACGGGGGATGGCTCCGGAGTCAATGCAGGGGAATCTGGCATCATCCCGAGTGGATTTGGGGCACATTGTGCTGCTTTGCATTAATGGGGTGACCTCAGGATCCGTCTAGACATGTGACTGTATTCTTGGGGACTCTCTCGAGATCCATTAAGCAAGTCGAAGGTCCTGACTTGTTTGATGGGGATCACGGAATTGCTCTGCATGCACTGCAGGAAAATCGGGCCTCATCTCGCCTATAGGGGAAAGTCTCATGGTTTTTCTCGACTTGCGGCGGGGACCTAGGGTATGTACTCCGGTTAAGGCGGGGATGACCCTTCAAAACTCGTGTTTATTCAGTGACGTCAGGACTCCTGTCCAATAACGAGGGACAGCTCAGGAATCTCTTCTAGGCTTGGCAGTGCACAAGGGACGCTTCTCGAGGTGAGGCAGGGCACCCAAGGAACCTTTCCAATAGCCACAGGGATTTTGGGATTCCTGTCAATATTCAAGAGGAGTCAGGCATCGTCACCTTTTGAAGCAGTGAACTCCGCGTGCCTCTCGAGGTGACAACGGGATGTGAGGCATTCCGTCAAAATGAGGCAGGGACCCAGAGCTTTCTCTAAGGTCTCCACAGGGGATTCAGACATCCCTTCATGCTGTGAGATGAAAGACGAGCCTGTATTCAAGCCACTGCAAGGAAAACCGGCCTCCTTTCAAGTTAGGGCTTCTCGCTGTATATTCCACTTGAGGCAGCAAACTGGGGGTCCCTCCAACATACCTATAGCTGAGAGAAGCCTCCTCTTGAGGTGCTTCTGGAAAGTTGGCATACGTCTTGAGCCTAAGGCAGGGAATCAGCTCTCATCTCGAGACGATTTGGGGTACACGGAGCATTCCTCGTGTTGCTGTGCTGAAGTTCGTATTCCTCTAGACTTGGGACAGTGTTCTCAGGGAATCTCTGGAGTTGCCTGAAGGAAGTCAAGCCACTGGTGGTGTTTAATGTGCTACGGGGGATGGCTCTGGAGTCAATGCAGGGGAATCGGGCCTCATCTCGAGTTGATGTGGGGTACTTGGAGCTGCTTTGCATTGCTGGGGTGACCTCACGTTCTGTCTAGACTTTTGACAGTGTTCCTGGGGACTTTCGCGAGTTCGATTAAGCAAGTCGAATCTCCTGACTTGCTTGATGGGGATCACGGGAATGCTCTGCATGGACTGCAGGGAATAAGGCTTCATCTCGTATCTAGGGGAAGTGTCATGGTTTTTCTCGAGTTGCGGCGAGACCTGTGGTATGTTCTCGAGTTATGGTGGGGATGGCCCTTCAAAACACGTGTTTATTCAGTGACGTCAGGACTCCTGTCTAGTAACGAGAGACACCTCAGGAATCTCTTCGAGGCTTGGCAGGGCACAAGGGACGCTTCTCGAGGTGAGGCAGGGCACCCAAGGAACCTTTCCAATAGCCATAGGGATTTTGGGATTCCAATCAATATTCAAGAGGAGTCAGGCATCGTCCCCTTTTGAAATAGTGAACTCCGCGTGCCTCTCGAGGTGACAATGGGATGTGAGGCATTCCGTCCAAATGAGGCAGGGACCTAGGGCTTTCTCTAAGGTCTTCACAGGGGATTCAGTCATCCCTTCCTGTTGTGAGATGAAAGACGAGCCTGTATACAAGACACTGCAAGGAAATCCGGCCTCCTTTCAAGTTAGGGCTTCTCGCTGTATATTCCACTTGAGGCAGCAAACTCGGGGTCCCACGAACAAACCTATTGCTGAGAGAAGCCTCCTCTTGTGGTGCTTCTGGAAAGTTGGCATACGTCTTGAGCCTAAGCCAGGGTATCAGCTCTCATCTCGAGACGATTTGGGGTACACGGAGCATTCCTGGAGTTGCTGTGCTTAAGTTCGTATTCCTCTAGACTTGAGACAGTGTTCTCGGGGCAACTCTGGAGTTGCATGAAGGAAGTCAAGCCACTCGTGGTGTTTAATGGGGTACGGGGGATGGCTCTGGAGTCAATGCATTGGAATCTGGCATCATCTCGAGTTTATTTGGGGCAAATGGAGCTGCTTTGCGTTGCTGGGGTGACGTCATGGTCCGTCTACACTTGTGACAGTGTTCCTGGGGACTCTCTCGAGATCCATTAAGCAAATCGAACCTGCTGACTTGCTTGATGGGGATCACGGGAATGCTCTGCATGGACTGCAGGGAATCAGGCCTCATCTCACATCTAGGGGAAGTCTCATGGTTTTTCTCGAGTTGCGGCGGGACGTGGGGTATGTTCTCGAGTTATGGCGGGCATGGCCCTTCAAAACACGTGTTTATTCAGTGACGTCAGGACTCCTGACTAGTAATGAGGGACACCTCAGGAATCTCTTCGAGGCTTGGCAGGGGAAAAGGTATGCTTCTCGAGGTGAGGCAGGGCACACAAGAACCCTTTCCTGTAGCCACAGTTATTTTGGGATTCCTATCAATGTTCAGGAGGAGTCAGGCAGCTTCACATTTTGAAGCAATGAACTCCACGTGCCTCTCGTGGTGTCAACGGGATGTGAGGCTTTCCGTCAAAATAAGGCAGGGACCTAGGGCTTTCTCTAAGGTCTCTACAGGGGATTCAGACATCCCTTCATGCTGAGAGATGAAAGACGAGCCTGTATTCAAGCCCCTGCAAGGAAATCCGGCCTCCTTTCATTTTAGGGCTTCTCGCTGTATATTCCACTTGAGGCAGCAAACTCGGGGTCCCACGAACATACCTATTGCTGAGAGAAGCCTCCTCTTGAGGTGCTTCTGGAAAGTTGGCATACGTCTTGAGCCTAAGCCAGGGAATCAGCTCTCATCTCGAGACGATTTGGGGTACACGGAGCATTCCTCGAGTTGCTGTGCTGAAGATGGTGTTCCTCTAGACTTGGGACAGTGTTCTCAGGGCATGTCTGCAGTTGTATGAAGGAAGTCAAGCCACTGGTGGTGTTTAATGTGGAACGGGGGATGCCTCTGGAGTCAATGCAGGGGAATCGGGCATTATCTCGAGTTGATTTGGGGCACATGGTGCTGCTTTGCGATGATGGGGTGACCTCAGGATCCGTCTAGACATGTGACAGTGTTCTTGGGTACTGTCTCGAGATCCATTAAGCAAGTCGAAGCTCCTGACTTGTTTGATGGGGATCACGGAATTGCTCTGCATGCACTGCAGGTGAATCGGGCCTCATCTGGCATCCAGATGGAAGTCTCAAGGTTTTTTTCGAATTGTGGCGGGGACCTGGGTTATGTACTCTGGTTACGGGGGGGAAGGCCCTTCAAAACTCGTGTATATTCAGTGACGTCAGGACTCCTGTCCAATAACGAGGGACAGCTCAGGAATCTCTTCGAGGCTTGGCAGTGCAAAAGGGACGCTTCTCGAGGTGAGGCAGGGCACCCAAGGAACCTTTCCAATAGCCACAGGGATTTTGGGATTCCTATCAATATTCAAGAGGAGTCAGGCATCATCACCTTTTGAAGCACTGAACTCCGCGTGCCTCTCGAGGTGACAACGGGATGTGAGGCATTACGTCAAACTGAGGCAGGGACCTAGAGCTTTCTCTAAGGTCTCCACAGGGGATTCAGACATCCCTTCATGCTGTGAGATGAAAGACGAGCCTGTATTCAAGCCACTGCAAGGAAAACCGGCCGCCTTTCAAGTTAGGGCTTCTCGCTGTATATTCCACTTGAGGCAGCAAACTGGGGGTCCCTCCAACATACCTATAGCTGAGAGAAGCCTCCTCTTGAGGTGCTTCTGGAAAGTTGGCATACGTCTTGAGCCTAAGCCAGGGAATCAGCTCTCATCTCGAGACGATTTGGGGTACACGGAGCATTCCTCGATTTGCTGTGCTGAAGTTCGTGTTCCTCTAGACTTGGGACAGTGTTCTTGGGGCATCTCTGGAGTTGCCTGAAGGAAGTCAAGCCACTGGTCTTGTTTAATGGGGAACGGGGGATGGCTCCGGAGTCAATGCAGGGGAATCTGGTATCATCCCGAGTGGATTTGGGGCACATTGTGCTGCTTTGCATTGATGGGGTGACCTCAGGATCCGTCTAGACATGTGACTGTATTCTTGGGGACTCTCTCGAGATCCATTAAGCAAGTCGAAGGTCCTGACTTGTTTGATGGGGATCACGGAATTGCTCTGCATGCACTGCAGGAAAATCGGGCCTCATCTCGCCTATAGGGGAAAGTCTCATGGTTTTTCTCGACTTGCGGCGGGGACCTTGGGTATGTACTCCAGTTAAGGCGGGGATGACCCTTCAAAACTCGTGTTTATTCAGTGACGTCAGGACTCCTGTCCAATAACGAGGGACAGCTCAGGAATCTCTTCGAGGCTTGGCAGTGCACAAGGGACGCTTCTCGAGGTGAGGCAGGGCACCCAAGGAACCTTTCCAATAGCCACAGGGATTTTGGGATTCCTGTCAATATACAAGAGGAGTCAGGCATCGTCACCTTTTGAAGCAGTGAACTCTGCGTGCCTCTCGAGGTGACAACGGGATGTGAGGCATTCCGTCAAAATGAGGCAGGGACCCAGAGCTTTCTCTAAGGTCTCCACAGGGGATTCAGACATCCCTTCATGCTGTGAGATGAAAGACGAGCCTGTATTCAAGCCACTGCAAGGAAAACCGGCCTCCTTTCAAGTTAGGGCTTCTCGCTGTATATTCCACTTGAGGCAGCAAACTCGGGGTCCCACGAACATACCTATTGCTGAGAGAAGCCTCCTCTGGGGGTGCTTCTGGAAAGTTGGCATATGTCTTGAGCCTAAGCCAGGGAATCAGCTCTCACCTTGAAACGATTTGGGGTACACGGAGCATTCCTCGAGTTGCTGTGCTGAAGTTGGTGTTCCTCTAGACTTGGGACAGTGTTCTCCGGGCAACTCTGGAGTTGCCTGAAGGAAGTCAAGCCACTGGTGGTGTTTAATGGGGTATGGGGAATGGCTCTGGAGTCAATGCCGGAGAATCGGGCCTCATCTCGAGTTGATGTGGGGCACATGGAGCTGCTTTGCATTGCTGCGGTGACCTCAGGGTCTGTCTAGACTTGTGACAGTGTTCCTGGTGACTCTCTCAAGATCCATTAAGCAAGTCGAAGCTCCTGACTTGCTTGATGGGGATCACGGGCCTGCTCTGCATGGACTGCAGGGAATCAGACCTCATCTCGCATCTAGGGGAAGTCTCTTCGTTTTGCTCGAGTTGCGGCCGGACCTGGGGTATGTTCTCGAGTTATGGCGGGGATGGCCCTTCAAAACACGTGTTTATTCAGTGACGTCAGGACTCCTGTCTAGTAACGAGAGACACCTCAGGAATCTCTTCGAAGCTTGGCAGGGCAAAAGGGATGCTTCCCGAAGTGAGGCAGGGCACCCAAGAACCCTGTCCTGTAGCTACAGTGATTTTGGGATTCCTATCAATGTTCAAGAGGAGTCAGGCATCGTCACATTTTGAAGCAGTGAACTCCGTGTGCCTCTCGAGGTGTCAACGGGATGTGAGACATTCCGTCAAAATAAGGCAGGGACATACGGCTTTCTCTAAGGTCTCCTCAGGGGATTCAGACATTCCTTCTGGTTGTGAGATGAAAGACGAGCCTGTATTCAAGACACTGCAAGGAAATCCGGCCTCCTTTCAAGTTAAGGCTTCTCGTTGTATATTCCACTTGAGGCAGCAAACTGGGGGTCCCTCCCTCATACCGATTGCTGAGAGAAGCCTCCTCTTGAGGTGCTTCTGGAAAGTTGGCATACGTCTTGAGCCTAAGCTAGGGAATCAGCTCTCACCTCGAAACGATTTGGGGTACACCGGTCATTCCTCGAGTTGCTGTGCTGAAGTTGGTGTTCCTCTAGACTTGGGACAGTGTTCTCGGGGCATCTCTGGAGTTGCCTGAAGGAAGTCAAGCCACTGGTCGTGTTTAATGGGGAACGGGGGATGGCTCCGGAGTCAATGCAGGGGAATCTGGCATCATCCCGAGTGGATTTGGGGCACATTGTGCTGCTTTGCATTGATGGGGTGACCTCAGGATCCGTCTAGACATGTGACTGTATTCTTGGGGACTCTCTCGAGATCCATTAAGCAAGTCGAAGGTCCTGACTTGTTTGATGGGGATCACGGAATTGCTCTGCATGCACTGCAGGAAAATCGGGCCTCATCTCGCCTATAGGGGAAAGTCTCATGGTTTTTCTCGACTTGCGGCGGGGACCTAGGGTATGTACTCCGGTTAAGGCGGGGATGACCCTTCAAAACTCGTGTTTATTCAGTGACGTCAGGACTCCTGTCCAATAACGAGGGACAGCTCAGGAATCTCTTCTAGGCTTGGCAGTGCACAAGGGACGCTTCTCGAGGTGAGGCAGGGCACCCAAGGAACCTTTCCAATAGCCACAGGGATTTTGGGATTCCTGTCAATATTCAAGAGGAGTCAGGCATCGTCACCTTTTGAAGCAGTGAACTCCGCGTGCCTCTCGAGGTGACAACGGGATGTGAGGCATTCCGTCAAAATGAGGCAGGGACCCAGAGCTTTCTCTAAGGTCTCCACAGGGGATTCAGACATCCCTTCATGCTGTGAGATGAAAGACGAGCCTGTATTCAAGCCACTGCAAGGAAAACCGGCCTCCTTTCAAGTTAGGGCTTCTCGCTGTATATTCCACTTGAGGCAGCAAACTGGGGGTCCCTCCAACATACCTATAGCTGAGAGAAGCCTCCTCTTGAGGTGCTTCTGGAAAGTTGGCATACGTCTTGAGCCTAAGCCAGGGAATCAGCTCTCATCTCGAGACGATTTGGGGTACACGGAGCATTCCTCGTGTTGCTGTGCTGAAGTTCGTATTCCTCTAGACTTGGGACAGTGTTCTCAGGGAATCTCTGGAGTTGCCTGAAGGAAGTCAAGCCACTGGTGGTGTTTAATGTGCTACGGGGGATGGCTCTGGAGTCAATGCAGGGGAATCGGGCCTCATCTCGAGTTGATGTGGGGTACTTGGAGCTGCTTTGCATTGCTGGGGTGACCTCACGTTCTGTCTAGACTTTTGACAGTGTTCCTGGGGACTTTCGCGAGTTCGATTAAGCAAGTCGAATCTCCTGACTTGCTTGATGGGGATCACGGGAATGCTCTGCATGGACTGCAGGGAATAAGGCTTCATCTCGTATCTAGGGGAAGTGTCATGGTTTTTCTCGAGTTGCGGCGAGACCTGTGGTATGTTCTCGAGTTATGGTGGGGATGGCCCTTCAAAACACGTGTTTATTCAGTGACGTCAGGACTCCTGTCTAGTAACGAGAGACACCTCAGGAATCTCTTCGAGGCTTGGCAGGGCACAAGGGACGCTTCTCGAGGTGAGGCAGGGCACCCAAGGAACCTTTCCAATAGCCATAGGGATTTTGGGATTCCAATCAATATTCAAGAGGAGTCAGGCATCGTCCCCTTTTGAAATAGTGAACTCCGCGTGCCTCTCGAGGTGACAATGGGATGTGAGGCATTCCGTCCAAATGAGGCAGGGACCTAGGGCTTTCTCTAAGGTCTTCACAGGGGATTCAGTCATCCCTTCCTGTTGTGAGATGAAAGACGAGCCTGTATACAAGACACTGCAAGGAAATCCGGCCTCCTTTCAAGTTAGGGCTTCTCGCTGTATATTCCACTTGAGGCAGCAAACTCGGGGTCCCACGAACAAACCTATTGCTGAGAGAAGCCTCCTCTTGTGGTGCTTCTGGAAAGTTGGCATACGTCTTGAGCCTAAGCCAGGGTATCAGCTCTCATCTCGAGACGATTTGGGGTACACGGAGCATTCCTGGAGTTGCTGTGCTTAAGTTCGTATTCCTCTAGACTTGAGACAGTGTTCTCGGGGCAACTCTGGAGTTGCATGAAGGAAGTCAAGCCACTCGTGGTGTTTAATGGGGTACGGGGGATGGCTCTGGAGTCAATGCATTGGAATCTGGCATCATCTCGAGTTTATTTGGGGCAAATGGAGCTGCTTTGCGTTGCTGGGGTGACGTCATGGTCCGTCTACACTTGTGACAGTGTTCCTGGGGACTCTCTCGAGATCCATTAAGCAAATCGAACCTGCTGACTTGCTTGATGGGGATCACGGGAATGCTCTGCATGGACTGCAGGGAATCAGGCCTCATCTCACATCTAGGGGAAGTCTCATGGTTTTTCTCGAGTTGCGGCGGGACGTGGGGTATGTTCTCGAGTTATGGCGGGCATGGCCCTTCAAAACACGTGTTTATTCAGTGACGTCAGGACTCCTGACTAGTAATGAGGGACACCTCAGGAATCTCTTCGAGGCTTGGCAGGGGAAAAGGTATGCTTCTCGAGGTGAGGCAGGGCACACAAGAACCCTTTCCTGTAGCCACAGTTATTTTGGGATTCCTATCAATGTTCAGGAGGAGTCAGGCAGCTTCACATTTTGAAGCAATGAACTCCACGTGCCTCTCGTGGTGTCAACGGGATGTGAGGCTTTCCGTCAAAATAAGGCAGGGACCTAGGGCTTTCTCTAAGGTCTCTACAGGGGATTCAGACATCCCTTCATGCTGAGAGATGAAAGACGAGCCTGTATTCAAGCCCCTGCAAGGAAATCCGGCCTCCTTTCATTTTAGGGCTTCTCGCTGTATATTCCACTTGAGGCAGCAAACTCGGGGTCCCACGACCATACCTATTGCTGAGAGAAGCCTCCTCTTGAGGTGCTTCTGGAAAGTTGGCATACGTCTTGAGCCTAAGCCAGGGAATCAGCTCTCATCTCGAGACGATTTGGGGTACACGGAGCATTCCTCGAGTTGCTGTGCTGAAGATGGTGTTCCTCTAGACTTGGGACAGTGTTCTCAGGGCATGTCTGCAGTTGTATGAAGGAAGTCAAGCCACTGGTGGTGTTTAATGTGGAACGGGGGATGCCTCTGGAGTCAATGCAGGGGAATCGGGCATTATCTCGAGTTGATTTGGGGCACATGGTGCTGCTTTGCGATGATGGGGTGACCTCAGGATCCGTCTAGACATGTGACAGTGTTCTTGGGTACTGTCTCGAGATCCATTAAGCAAGTCGAAGCTCCTGACTTGTTTGATGGGGATCACGGAATTGCTCTGCATGCACTGCAGGTGAATCGGGCCTCATCTGGCATCCAGATGGAAGTCTCAAGGTTTTTTTCGAATTGTGGCGGGGACCTGGGTTATGTACTCTGGTTACGGGGGGGAAGGCCCTTCAAAACTCGTGTATATTCAGTGACGTCAGGACTCCTGTCCAATAACGAGGGACAGCTCAGGAATCTCTTCGAGGCTTGGCAGTGCAAAAGGGACGCTTCTCGAGGTGAGGCAGGGCACCCAAGGAACCTTTCCAATAGCCACAGGGATTTTGGGATTCCTATCAATATTCAAGAGGAGTCAGGCATCGTCACCTTTTGAAGCACTGAACTCCGCGTGCCTCTCGAGGTGACAACGGGATGTGAGGCATTACGTCAAACTGAGGCAGGGACCTAGAGCTTTCTCTAAGGTCTCCACAGGGGATTCAGACATCCCTTCATGCTGTGAGATGAAAGACGAGCCTGTATTCAAGCCACTGCAAGGAAAACCGGCCGCCTTTCAAGTTAGGGCTTCTCGCTGTATATTCCACTTGAGGCAGCAAACTGGGGGTCCCTCCAACATACCTATAGCTGAGAGAAGCCTCCTCTTGAGGTGCTTCTGGAAAGTTGGCATACGTCTTGAGCCTAAGCCAGGGAATCAGCTCTCATCTCGAGACGATTTGGGGTACACGGAGCATTCCTCGATTTGCTGTGCTGAAGTTCGTGTTCCTCTAGACTTGGGACAGTGTTCTTGGGGCATCTCTGGAGTTGCCTGAAGGAAGTCAAGCCACTGGTCTTGTTTAATGGGGAACGGGGGATGGCTCCGGAGTCAATGCAGGGGAATCTGGTATCATCCCGAGTGGATTTGGGGCACATTGTGCTGCTTTGCATTGATGGGGTGACCTCAGGATCCGTCTAGACATGTGACTGTATTCTTGGGGACTCTCTCGAGATCCATTAAGCAAGTCGAAGGTCCTGACTTGTTTGATGGGGATCACGGAATTGCTCTGCATGCACTGCAGGAAAATCGGGCCTCATCTCGCCTATAGGGGAAAGTCTCATGGTTTTTCTCGACTTGCGGCGGGGACCTAGGGTATGTACTCCAGTTAAGGCGGGGATGACCCTTCAAAACTCGTGTTTATTCAGTGACGTCAGGACTCCTGTCCAATAACGAGGGACAGCTCAGGAATCTCTTCGAGGCTTGGCAGTGCACAAGGGACGCTTCTCGAGGTGAGGCAGGGCACCCAAGGAACCTTTCCAATAGCCACAGGGATTTTGGGATTCCTGTCAATATACAAGAGGAGTCAGGCATCGTCACCTTTTGAAGCAGTGAACTCTGCGTGCCTCTCGAGGTGACAACGGGATGTGAGGCATTCCGTCAAAATGAGGCAGGGACCCAGAGCTTTCTCTAAGGTCTCCACAGGGGATTCAGACATCCCTTCATGCTGTGAGATGAAAGACGAGCCTGTATTCAAGCCACTGCAAGGAAAACCGGCCTCCTTTCAAGTTAGGGCTTCTCGCTGTATATTCCACTTGAGGCAGCAAACTCGGGGTCCCACGAACATACCTATTGCTGAGAGAAGCCTCCTCTGGGGGTGCTTCTGGAAAGTTGGCATATGTCTTGAGCCTAAGCCAGGGAATCAGCTCTCACCTTGAAACGATTTGGGGTACACGGAGCATTCCTCGAGTTGCTGTGCTGAAGTTGGTGTTCCTCTAGACTTGGGACAGTGTTCTCCGGGCAACTCTGGAGTTGCCTGAAGGAAGTCAAGCCACTGGTGGTGTTTAATGGGGTATGGGGAATGGCTCTGGAGTCAATGCCGGAGAATCGGGCCTCATCTCGAGTTGATGTGGGGCACATGGAGCTGCTTTGCATTGCTGCGGTGACCTCAGGGTCTGTCTAGACTTGTGACAGTGTTCCTGGTGACTCTCTCAAGATCCATTAAGCAAGTCGAAGCTCCTGACTTGCTTGATGGGGATCACGGGCCTGCTCTGCATGGACTGCAGGGAATCAGACCTCATCTCGCATCTAGGGGAAGTCTCTTCGTTTTGCTCGAGTTGCGGCCGGGCCTGGGGTATGTTCTCGAGTTATGGCGGGGATGGCCCTTCAAAACACGTGTTTATTCAGTGACGTCAGGACTCCTGTCTAGTAACGAGAGACACCTCAGGAATCTCTTCGAAGCTTGGCAGGGCAAAAGGGATGCTTCCCGAAGTGAGGCAGGGCACCCAAGAACCCTGTCCTGTAGCTACAGTGATTTTGGGATTCCTATCAATGTTCAAGAGGAGTCAGGCATCGTCACATTTTGAAGCAGTGAACTCCGTGTGCCTCTCGAGGTGTCAACGGGATGTGAGACATTCCGTCAAAATGAGGCAGGGACATACGGCTTTCTCTAAGGTCTCCTCAGGGGATTCAGACATTCCTTCTGGTTGTGAGATGAAAGACGAGCCTGTATTCAAGACACTGCAAGGAAATCCGGCCTCCTTTCAAGTTAAGGCTTCTCGTTGTATATTCCACTTGAGGCAGCAAACTGGGGGTCCCTCCCTCATACCGATTGCTGAGAGAAGCCTCCTCTTGAGGTGCTTCTGGAAAGTTGGCATACGTCTTGAGCCTAAGCTAGGGAATCAGCTCTCACCTCGAAACGATTTGGGGTACACCGGTCATTCCTCGAGTTGCTGTGCTGAAGTTGGTGTTCCTCTAGACTTGGGACAGTGTTCTCGGGGCATCTCTGGAGTTGCCTGAAGGAAGTCAAGCCACTGGTCGTGTTTAATGGGCAACGGGGGATGGCTCCGGAGTCAATGCAGGGGAATCTGGCATCATCCCGAGTGGATTTGGGGCACATTGTGCTGCTTTGCATTGATGGGGTGACCTCAGGATCCGTCTAGACATGTGACTGTATTCTTGGGGACTCTCTCGAGATCCATTAAGCAAGTCGAAGGTCCTGACTTGTTTGATGGGGATCACGGAATTGCTCTGCATGCACTGCAGGAAAATCGGGCCTCATCTCGCCTATAGGGGAAAGTCTCATGGTTTTTCTCGACTTGCGGCGGGGACCTAGGGTATGTACTCCGGTTAAGGCGGGGATGACCCTTCAAAACTCGTGTTTATTCAGTGACGTCAGGACTCCTGTCCAATAACGAGGGACAGCTCAGGAATCTCTTCTAGGCTTGGCAGTGCACAAGGGACGCTTCTCGAGGTGAGGCAGGGCACCCAAGGAACCTTTCCAATAGCCACAGGGATTTTGGGATTCCTGTCAATATTCAAGAGGAGTCAGGCATCGTCACCTTTTGAAGCAGTGAACTCCGCGTGCCTCTCGAGGTGACAACGGGATGTGAGGCATTCCGTCAAAATGAGGCAGGGACCCAGAGCTTTCTCTAAGGTCTCCACAGGGGATTCAGACATCCCTTCATGCTGTGAGATGAAAGACGAGCCTGTATTCAAGCCACTGCAAGGAAAACCGGCCTCCTTTCAAGTTAGGGCTTCTCGCTGTATATTCCACTTGAGGCAGCAAACTGGGGGTCCCTCCAACATACCTATAGCTGAGAGAAGCCTCCTCTTGAGGTGCTTCTGGAAAGTTGGCATACGTCTTGAGCCTAAGCCAGGGAATCAGCTCTCATCTCGAGACGATTTGGGGTACACGGAGCATTCCTCGTGTTGCTGTGCTGAAGTTCGTATTCCTCTAGACTTGGGACATTGTTCTCAGGGAATCTCTGGAGTTGCCTGAAGGAAGTCAAGCCACTGGTGGTGTTTAATGGGCTACGGGGGATGGCTCTGGAGTCAATGCAGGGGAATCGGGCCTCATCTCGAGTTGATGTGGGGTACTTGGAGCTGCTTTGCATTGCTGGGGTGACCTCAGGTTCTGTCTAGACTTTTGACAGTGTTCCTGGGGACTTTCGCGAGTTCGATTAAGCAAGTCGAATCTCCTGACTTGCTTGATGGGGATCACGGGAATGCTCTGCATGGACTGCAGGGAATAAGGCTTCATCTCGTATCTAGGGGAAGTGTCATGGTTTTTCTCGAGTTGCGGCGAGACCTGTGGTATGTTCTCGAGTTATGGTGGGGATGGCCCTTCAAAACACGTGTTTATTCAGTGACGTCAGGACTCCTGTCTAGTAACGAGAGACACCTCAGGAATCTCTTCGAGGCTTGGCAGGGCACAAGGGACGCTTCTCGAGGTGAGGCAGGGCACCCAAGGAACCTTTCCAATAGCCATAGGGATTTTGGGATTCCAATCAATATTCAAGAGGAGTCAGGCATCGTCCCCTTTTGAAATAGTGAACTCCGCGTGCCTCTCGAGGTGACAATGGGATGTGAGGCATTCCGTCCAAATGAGGCAGGGACCTAGGGCTTTCTCTAAGGTCTTCACAGGGGATTCAGTCATCCCTTCCTGTTGTGAGATGAAAGACGAGCCTGTATACAAGACACTGCAAGGAAATCCGGCCTCCTTTCAAGTTAGGGCTTCTCGCTGTATATTCCACTTGAGGCAGCAAACTCGGGGTCCCACGAACAAACCTATTGCTGAGAGAAGCCTCCTCTTGTGGTGCTTCTGGAAAGTTGGCATACGTCTTGAGCCTAAGCCAGGGTATCAGCTCTCATCTCGAGACGATTTGGGGTACACGGAGCATTCCTGGAGTTGCTGTGCTTAAGTTCGTATTCCTCTAGACTTGAGACAGTGTTCTCGGGGCAACTCTGGAGTTGCATGAAGGAAGTCAAGCCACTCGTGGTGTTTAATGGGGTACGGGGGATGGCTCTGGAGTCAATGCATTGGAATCTGGCATCATCTCGAGTTTATTTGGGGCAAATGGAGCTGCTTTGCGTTGCTGGGGTGACGTCATGGTCCGTCTACACTTGTGACAGTGTTCCTGGGGACTCTCTCGAGATCCATTAAGCAAATCGAACCTGCTGACTTGCTTGATGGGGATCACGGGAATGCTCTGCATGGACTGCAGGGAATCAGGCCTCATCTCACATCTAGGGGAAGTCTCATGGTTTTTCTCGAGTTGCGGCGGGACGTGGGGTATGTTCTCGAGTTATGGCGGGCATGGCCCTTCAAAACACGTGTTTATTCAGTGACGTCAGGACTCCTGACTAGTAATGAGGGACACCTCAGGAATCTCTTCGAGGCTTGGCAGGGGAAAAGGTATGCTTCTCGAGGTGAGGCAGGGCACACAAGAACCCTTTCCTGTAGCCACAGTTATTTTGGGATTCCTATCAATGTTCAGGAGGAGTCAGGCAGCTTCACATTTTGAAGCAATGAACTCCACGTGCCTCTCGTGGTGTCAACGGGATGTGAGGCTTTCCGTCAAAATAAGGCAGGGACCTAGGGCTTTCTCTAAGGTCTCTACAGGGGATTCAGACATCCCTTCATGCTGAGAGATGAAAGACGAGCCTGTATTCAAGCCCCTGCAAGGAAATCCGGCCTCCTTTCATTTTAGGGCTTCTCGCTGTATATTCCACTTGAGGCAGCAAACTCGGGGTCCCACGAACATACCTATTGCTGAGAGAAGCCTCCTCTTGAGGTGCTTCTGGAAAGTTGGCATACGTCTTGAGCCTAAGCCAGGGAATCAGCTCTCATCTCGAGACGATTTGGGGTACACGGAGCATTCCTCGAGTTGCTGTGCTGAAGATGGTGTTCCTCTAGACTTGGGACAGTGTTCTCAGGGCATGTCTGCAGTTGTATGAAGGAAGTCAAGCCACTGGTGGTGTTTAATGTGGAACGGGGGATGCCTCTGGAGTCAATGCAGGGGAATCGGGCATTATCTCGAGTTGATTTGGGGCACATGGTGCTGCTTTGCGATGATGGGGTGACCTCAGGATCCGTCTAGACATGTGACAGTGTTCTTGGGTACTGTCTCGAGATCCATTAAGCAAGTCGAAGCTCCTGACTTGTTTGATGGGGATCACGGAATTGCTCTGCATGCACTGCAGGTGAATCGGGCCTCATCTGGCATCCAGATGGAAGTCTCAAGGTTTTTTTCGAATTGTGGCGGGGACCTGGGTTATGTACTCTGGTTAAGGGGGGGGAAGGCCCTTCAAAACTCGTGTATATTCAGTGACGTCAGGACTCCTGTCCAATAACGAGGGACAGCTCAGGAATCTCTTCGAGGCTTGGCAGTGCAAAAGGGACGCTTCTCGAGGTGAGGCAGGGCACCCAAGGAACCTTTCCAATAGCCACAGGGATTTTGGGATTCCTATCAATATTCAAGAGGAGTCAGGCATCGTCACCTTTTGAAGCACTGAACTCCGCGTGCCTCTCGAGGTGACAACGGGATGTGAGGCATTACGTCAAACTGAGGCAGGGACCTAGAGCTTTCTCTAAGGTCTCCACAGGGGATTCAGACATCCCTTCATGCTGTGAGATGAAAGACGAGCCTGTATTCAAGCCACTGCAAGGAAAACCGGCCGCCTTTCAAGTTAGGGCTTCTCGCTGTATATTCCACTTGAGGCAGCAAACTGGGGGTCCCTCCAACATACCTATAGCTGAGAGAAGCCTCCTCTTGAGGTGCTTCTGGAAAGTTGGCATACGTCTTGAGCCTAAGCCAGGGAATCAGCTCTCATCTCGAGACGATTTGGGGTACACGGAGCATTCCTCGATTTGCTGTGCTGAAGTTCGTGTTCCTCTAGACTTGGGACAGTGTTCTTGGGGCATCTCTGGAGTTGCCTGAAGGAAGTCAAGCCACTGGTCTTGTTTAATGGGGAACGGGGGATGGCTCCGGAGTCAATGCAGGGGAATCTGGTATCATCCCGAGTGGATTTGGGGCACATTGTGCTGCTTTGCATTGATGGGGTGACCTCAGGATCCGTCTAGACATGTGACTGTATTCTTGGGGAATCTCTCGAGATCCATTAAGCAAGTCGAAGGTCCTGACTTGTTTGATGGGGATCACGGAATTGCTCTGCATGCACTGCAGGAAAATCGGGCCTCATCTCGCCTATAGGGGAAAGTCTCATGGTTTTTCTCGACTTGCGGCGGGGACCTAGGGTATGTACTCCAGTTAAGGCGGGGATGACCCTTCAAAACTCGTGTTTATTCAGTGACGTCAGGACTCCTGTCCAATAACGAGGGACAGCTCAGGAATCTCTTCGAGGCTTGGCAGTGCACAAGGGACGCTTCTCGAGGTGAGGCAGGGCACCCAAGGAACCTTTCCAATAGCCACAGGGATTTTGGGATTCCTGTCAATATACAAGAGGAGTCAGGCATCGTCACCTTTTGAAGCAGTGAACTCTGCGTGCCTCTCGAGGTGACAACGGGATGTGAGGCATTCCGTCAAAATGAGGCAGGGACCCAGAGCTTTCTCTAAGGTCTCCACAGGGGATTCAGACATCCCTTCATGCTGTGAGATGAAAGACGAGCCTGTATTCAAGCCACTGCAAGGAAAACCGGCCTCCTTTCAAGTTAGGGCTTCTCCCTGTATATTCCACTTGAGGCAGCAAACTCGGGGTCCCACGAACATACCTATTGCTGAGAGAAGCCTCCTCTGGGGGTGCTTCTGGAAAGTTGGCATATGTCTTGAGCCTAAGCCAGGGAATCAGCTCTCACCTTGAAACGATTTGGGGTACACGGAGCATTCCTCGAGTTGCTGTGCTGAAGTTGGTGTTCCTCTAGACTTGGGACAGTGTTCTCCGGGCAACTCTGGAGTTGCCTGAAGGAAGTCAAGCCACTGGTGGTGTTTAATGGGGTATGGGGAATGGCTCTGGAGTCAATGCCGGAGAATCGGGCCTCATCTCGAGTTGATGTGGGGCACATGGAGCTGCTTTGCATTGCTGCGGTGACCTCAGGGTCTGTCTAGACTTGTGACAGTGTTCCTGGTGACTCTCTCAAGATCCATTAAGCAAGTCGAAGCTCCTGACTTGCTTGATGGGGATCACGGGCCTGCTCTGCATGGACTGCAGGGAATCAGACCTCATCTCGCATCTAGGGGAAGTCTCTTCGTTTTGCTCGAGTTGCGGCCGGACCTGGGGTATGTTCTCGAGTTATGGCGGGGATGGCCCTTCAAAACACGTGTTTATTCAGTGACGTCAGGACTCCTGTCTAGTAACGAGAGACACCTCAGGAATCTCTTCGAAGCTTGGCAGGGCAAAAGGGATGCTTCCCGAAGTGAGGCAGGGCACCCAAGAACCCTGTCCTGTAGCTACAGTGATTTTGGGATTCCTATCAATGTTCAAGAGGAGTCAGGCATCGTCACATTTTGAAGCAGTGAACTCCGTGTGCCTCTCGAGGTGTCAACGGGATGTGAGACATTCCGTCAAAATGAGGCAGGGACATACGGCTTTCTCTAAGGTCTCCTCAGGGGATTCAGACATTCCTTCTGGTTGTGAGATGAAAGACGAGCCTGTATTCAAGACACTGCAAGGAAATCCGGCCTCCTTTCAAGTTAAGGCTTCTCGTTGTATATTCCACTTGAGGCAGCAAACTGGGGGTCCCTCCCTCATACCGATTGCTGAGAGAAGCCTCCTCTTGAGGTGCTTCTGGAAAGTTGGCATACGTCTTGAGCCTAAGCTAGGGAATCAGCTCTCACCTCGAAACGATTTGGGGTACACCGGTCATTCCTCGAGTTGCTGTGCTGAAGTTGGTGTTCCTCTAGACTTGGGACAGTGTTCTCGGGGCATCTCTGGAGTTGCCTGAAGGAAGTCAAGCCACTGGTCGTGTTTAATGGGGAACGGGGGATGGCTCCGGAGTCAATGCAGGGGAATCTGGCATCATCCCGAGTGGATTTGGGGCACATTGTGCTGCTTTGCATTGATGGGGTGACCTCAGGATCCGTCTAGACATGTGACTGTATTCTTGGGGACTCTCTCGAGATCCATTAAGCAAGTCGAAGGTCCTGACTTGTTTGATGGGGATCACGGAATTGCTCTGCATGCACTGCAGGAAAATCGGGCCTCATCTCGCCTATAGGGGAAAGTCTCATGGTTTTTCTCGACTTGCGGCGGGGACCTAGGGTATGTACTCCGGTTAAGGCGGGGATGACCCTTCAAAACTCGTGTTTATTCAGTGACGTCAGGACTCCTGTCCAATAACGAGGGACAGCTCAGGAATCTCTTCTAGGCTTGGCAGTGCACAAGGGACGCTTCTCGAGGTGAGGCAGGGCACCCAAGGAACCTTTCCAATAGCCACAGGGATTTTGGGATTCCTGTCAATATTCAAGAGGAGTCAGGCATCGTCACCTTTTGAAGCAGTGAACTCCGCGTGCCTCTCGAGGTGACAACGGGATGTGAGGCATTCCGTCAAAATGAGGCAGGGACCCAGAGCTTTCTCTAAGGTCTCCACAGGGGATTCAGACATCCCTTCATGGTGTGAGATGAAAGACGAGCCTGTATTCAAGCCACTGCAAGGAAAACCGGCCTCCTTTCAAGTTAGGGCTTCTCGCTGTATATTCCACTTGAGGCAGCAAACTGGGGGTCCCTCCAACATACCTATAGCTGAGAGAAGCCTCCTCTTGAGGTGCTTCTGGAAAGTTGGCATACGTCTTGAGCCTAAGCCAGGGAATCAGCTCTCATCTCGAGACGATTTGGGGTACACGGAGCATTCCTCGTGTTGCTGTGCTGAAGTTCGTATTCCTCTAGACTTGGGACATTGTTCTCAGGGAATCTCTGGAGTTGCCTGAAGGAAGTCAAGCCACTGGTGGTGTTTAATGGGCTACGGGGGATTGCTCTGGAGTCAATGCAGGGGAATCGGGCCTCATCTCGAGTTGATGTGGGGTACTTGGAGCTGCTTTGCATTGCTGGGGTGACCTCAGGTTCTGTCTAGACTTTTGACAGTGTTCCTGGGGACTTTCGCGAGTTCGATTAAGCAAGTCGAATCTCCTGACTTGCTTGATGGGGATCACGGGAATGCTCTGCATGGACTGCAGGGAATAAGGCTTCATCTCGTATCTAGGGGAAGTGTCATGGTTTTTCTCGAGTTGCGGCGAGACCTGTGGTATGTTCTCGAGTTATGGTGGGGATGGCCCTTCAAAACACGTGTTTATTCAGTGACGTCAGGACTCCTGTCTAGTAACGAGAGACACCTCAGGAATCTCTTCGAGGCTTGGCAGGGCACAAGGGACGCTTCTCGAGGTGAGGCAGGGCACCCAAGGAACCTTTCCAATAGCCATAGGGATTTTGGGATTCCAATCAATATTCAAGAGGAGTCAGGCATCGTCCCCTTTTGAAATAGTGAACTCCGCGTGCCTCTCGAGGTGACAATGGGATGTGAGGCATTCCGTCCAAATGAGGCAGGGACCTAGGGCTTTCTCTAAGGTCTTCACAGGGGATTCAGTCATCCCTTCCTGTTGTGAGATGAAAGACGAGCCTGTATACAAGACACTGCAAGGAAATCCGGCCTCCTTTCAAGTTAGGGCTTCTCGCTGTATATTCCACTTGAGGCAGCAAACTCGGGGTCCCACGAACAAACCTATTGCTGAGAGAAGCCTCCTCTTGTGGTGCTTCTGGAAAGTTGGCATACGTCTTGAGCCTAAGCCAGGGTATCAGCTCTCATCTCGAGACGATTTGGGGTACACGGAGCATTCCTGGAGTTGCTGTGCTTAAGTTCGTATTCCTCTAGACTTGAGACAGTGTTCTCGGGGCAACTCTGGAGTTGCATGAAGGAAGTCAAGCCACTCGTGGTGTTTAATGGGGTACGGGGGATGGCTCTGGAGTCAATGCATTGGAATCTGGCATCATCTCGAGTTTATTTGGGGCAAATGGAGCTGCTTTGCGTTGCTGGGGTGACGTCATGGTCCGTCTACACTTGTGACAGTGTTCCTGGGGACTCTCTCGAGATCCATTAAGCAAATCGAACCTGCTGACTTGCTTGATGGGGATCACGGGAATGCTCTGCATGGACTGCAGGGAATCAGGCCTCATCTCACATCTAGGGGAAGTCTCATGGTTTTTCTCGAGTTGCGGCGGGACGTGGGGTATGTTCTCGAGTTATGGCGGGCATGGCCCTTCAAAACACGTGTTTATTCAGTGACGTCAGGACTCCTGACTAGTAATGAGGGACACCTCAGGAATCTCTTCGAGGCTTGGCAGGGGAAAAGGTATGCTTCTCGAGGTGAGGCAGGGCACACAAGAACCCTTTCCTGTAGCCACAGTTATTTTGGGATTCCTATCAATGTTCAGGAGGAGTCAGGCAGCTTCACATTTTGAAGCAATGAACTCCACGTGCCTCTCGTGGTGTCAACGGGATGTGAGGCTTTCCGTCAAAATAAGGCAGGGACCTAGGGCTTTCTCTAAGGTCTCTACAGGGGATTCAGACATCCCTTCATGCTGAGAGATGAAAGACGAGCCTGTATTCAAGCCCCTGCAAGGAAATCCGGCCTCCTTTCATTTTAGGGCTTCTCGCTGTATATTCCACTTGAGGCAGCAAACTCGGGGTCCCACGAACATACCTATTGCTGAGAGAAGCCTCCTCTTGAGGTGCTTCTGGAAAGTTGGCATACGTCTTGAGCCTAAGCCAGGGAATCAGCTCTCATCTCGAGACGATTTGGGGTACACGGAGCATTCCTCGAGTTGCTGTGCTGAAGATGGTGTTCCTCTAGACTTGGGACAGTGTTCTCAGGGCATGTCTGCAGTTGTATGAAGGAAGTCAAGCCACTGGTGGTGTTTAATGTGGAACGGGGGATGCCTCTGGAGTCAATGCAGGGGAATCGGGCATTATCTCGAGTTGATTTGGGGCACATGGTGCTGCTTTGCGATGATGGGGTGACCTCAGGATCCGTCTAGACATGTGACAGTGTTCTTGGGTACTGTCTCGAGATCCATTAAGCAAGTCGAAGCTCCTGACTTGTTTGATGGGGATCACGGAATTGCTCTGCATGCACTGCAGGTGAATCGGGCCTCATCTGGCATCCAGATGGAAGTCTCAAGGTTTTTTTCGAATTGTGGCGGGGACCTGGGTTATGTACTCTGGTTACGGGGGGGAAGGCCCTTCAAAACTCGTGTATATTCAGTGACGTCAGGACTCCTGTCCAATAACGAGGGACAGCTCAGGAATCTCTTCGAGGCTTGGCAGTGCAAAAGGGACGCTTCTCGAGGTGAGGCAGGGCACCCAAGGAACCTTTCCAATAGCCACAGGGATTTTGGGATTCCTATCAATATTCAAGAGGAGTCAGGCATCGTCACCTTTTGAAGCACTGAACTCCGCGTGCCTCTCGAGGTGACAACGGGATGTGAGGCATTACGTCAAACTGAGGCAGGGACCTAGAGCTTTCTCTAAGGTCTCCACAGGGGATTCAGACATCCCTTCATGCTGTGAGATGAAAGACGAGCCTGTATTCAAGCCACTGCAAGGAAAACCGGCCGCCTTTCAAGTTAGGGCTTCTCGCTGTATATTCCACTTGAGGCAGCAAACTGGGGGTCCCTCCAACATACCTATAGCTGAGAGAAGCCTCCTCTTGAGGTGCTTCTGGAAAGTTGGCATACGTCTTGAGCCTAAGCCAGGGAATCAGCTCTCATCTCGAGACGATTTGGGGTACACGGAGCATTCCTCGATTTGCTGTGCTGAAGTTCGTGTTCCTCTAGACTTGGGACAGTGTTCTTGGGGCATCTCTGGAGTTGCCTGAAGGAAGTCAAGCCACTGGTCTTGTTTAATGGGGAACGGGGGATGGCTCCGGAGTCAATGCAGGGGAATCTGGTATCATCCCGAGTGGATTTGGGGCACATTGTGCTGCTTTGCATTGATGGGGTGACCTCAGGATCCGTCTAGACATGTGACTGTATTCTTGGGGACTCTCTCGAGATCCATTAAGCAAGTCGAAGGTCCTGACTTGTTTGATGGGGATCACGGAATTGCTCTGCATGCACTGCAGGAAAATCGGGCCTCATCTCGCCTATAGGGGAAAGTCTCATGGTTTTTCTCGACTTGCGGCGGGGACCTTGGGTATGTACTCCAGTTAAGGCGGGGATGACCCTTCAAAACTCGTGTTTATTCAGTGACGTCAGGACTCCTGTCCAATAACGAGGGACAGCTCAGGAATCTCTTCGAGGCTTGGCAGTGCACAAGGGACGCTTCTCGAGGTGAGGCAGGGCACCCAAGGAACCTTTCCAATAGCCACAGGGATTTTGGGATTCCTGTCAATATACAAGAGGAGTCAGGCATCGTCACCTTTTGAAGCAGTGAACTCTGCGTGCCTCTCGAGGTGACAACGGGATGTGAGGCATTCCGTCAAAATGAGGCAGGGACCCAGAGCTTTCTCTAAGGTCTCCACAGGGGATTCAGACATCCCTTCATGCTGTGAGATGAAAGACGAGCCTGTATTCAAGCCACTGCAAGGAAAACCGGCCTCCTTTCAAGTTAGGGCTTCTCCCTGTATATTCCACTTGAGGCAGCAAACTCGGGGTCCCACGAACATACCTATTGCTGAGAGAAGCCTCCTCTGGGGGTGCTTCTGGAAAGTTGGCATATGTCTTGAGCCTAAGCCAGGGAATCAGCTCTCACCTTGAAACGATTTGGGGTACACGGAGCATTCCTCGAGTTGCTGTGCTGAAGTTGGTGTTCCTCTAGACTTGGGACAGTGTTCTCCGGGCAACTCTGGAGTTGCCTGAAGGAAGTCAAGCCACTGGTGGTGTTTAATGGGGTATGGGGAATGGCTCTGGAGTCAATGCCGGAGAATCGGGCCTCATCTCGAGTTGATGTGGGGCACATGGAGCTGCTTTGCATTGCTGCGGTGACCTCAGGGTCTGTCTAGACTTGTGACAGTGTTCCTGGTGACTCTCTCAAGATCCATTAAGCAAGTCGAAGCTCCTGACTTGCTTGATGGGGATCACGGGCCTGCTCTGCATGGACTGCAGGGAATCAGACCTCATCTCGCATCTAGGGGAAGTCTCTTCGTTTTGCTCGAGTTGCGGCCGGACCTGGGGTATGTTCTCGAGTTATGGCGGGGATGGCCCTTCAAAACACGTGTTTATTCAGTGACGTCAGGACTCCTGTCTAGTAACGAGAGACACCTCAGGAATCTCTTCGAAGCTTGGCAGGGCAAAAGGGATGCTTCCCGAAGTGAGGCAGGGCACCCAAGAACCCTGTCCTGTAGCTACAGTGATTTTGGGATTCCTATCAATGTTCAAGAGGAGTCAGGCATCGTCACATTTTGAAGCAGTGAACTCCGTGTGCCTCTCGAGGTGTCAACGGGATGTGAGACATTCCGTCAAAATGAGGCAGGGACATACGGCTTTCTCTAAGGTCTCCTCAGGGGATTCAGACATTCCTTCTGGTTGTGAGATGAAAGACGAGCCTGTATTCAAGACACTGCAAGGAAATCCGGCCTCCTTTCAAGTTAAGGCTTCTCGTTGTATATTCCACTTGAGGCAGCAAACTGGGGGTCCCTCCCTCATACCGATTGCTGAGAGAAGCCTCCTCTTGAGGTGCTTCTGGAAAGTTGGCATACGTCTTGAGCCTAAGCTAGGGAATCAGCTCTCACCTCGAAACGATTTGGGGTACACCGGTCATTCCTCGAGTTGCTGTGCTGAAGTTGGTGTTCCTCTAGACTTGGGACAGTGTTCTCGGGGCATCTCTGGAGTTGCCTGAAGGAAGTCAAGCCACTGGTCGTGTTTAATGGGGAACGGGGGATGGCTCCGGAGTCAATGCAGGGGAATCTGGCATCATCCCGAGTGGATTTGGGGCACATTGTGCTGCTTTGCATTGATGGGGTGACCTCAGGATCCGTCTAGACATGTGACTGTATTCTTGGGGACTCTCTCGAGATCCATTAAGCAAGTCGAAGGTCCTGACTTGTTTGATGGGGATCACGGAATTGCTCTGCATGCACTGCAGGAAAATCGGGCCTCATCTCGCCTATAGGGGAAAGTCTCATGGTTTTTCTCGACTTGCGGCGGGGACCTAGGGTATGTACTCCGGTTAAGGCGGGGATGACCCTTCAAAACTCGTGTTTATTCAGTGACGTCAGGACTCCTGTCCAATAACGAGGGACAGCTCAGGAATCTCTTCTAGGCTTGGCAGTGCACAAGGGACGCTTCTCGAGGTGAGGCAGGGCACCCAAGGAACCTTTCCAATAGCCACAGGGATTTTGGGATTCCTGTCAATATTCAAGAGGAGTCAGGCATCGTCACCTTTTGAAGCAGTGAACTCCGCGTGCCTCTCGAGGTGACAACGGGATGTGAGGCATTCCGTCAAAATGAGGCAGGGACCCAGAGCTTTCTCTAAGGTCTCCACAGGGGATTCAGACATCCCTTCATGGTGTGAGATGAAAGACGAGCCTGTATTCAAGCCACTGCAAGGAAAACCGGCCTCCTTTCAAGTTAGGGCTTCTCGCTGTATATTCCACTTGAGGCAGCAAACTGGGGGTCCCTCCAACATACCTATAGCTGAGAGAAGCCTCCTCTTGAGGTGCTTCTGGAAAGTTGGCATACGTCTTGAGCCTAAGCCAGGGAATCAGCTCTCATCTCGAGACGATTTGGGGTACACGGAGCATTCCTCGTGTTGCTGTGCTGAAGTTCGTATTCCTCTAGACTTGGGACATTGTTCTCAGGGAATCTCTGGAGTTGCCTGAAGGAAGTCAAGCCACTGGTGGTGTTTAATGGGCTACGGGGGATGGCTCTGGAGTCAATGCAGGGGAATCGGGCCTCATCTCGAGTTGATGTGGGGTACTTGGAGCTGCTTTGCATTGCTGGGGTGACCTCAGGTTCTGTCTAGACTTTTGACAGTGTTCCTGGGGACTTTCGCGAGTTCGATTAAGCAAGTCGAATCTCCTGACTTGCTTGATGGGGATCACGGGAATGCTCTGCATGGACTGCAGGGAATAAGGCTTCATCTCGTATCTAGGGGAAGTGTCATGGTTTTTCTCGAGTTGCGGCGAGACCTGTGGTATGTTCTCGAGTTATGGTGGGGATGGCCCTTCAAAACACGTGTTTATTCAGTGACGTCAGGACTCCTGTCTAGTAACGAGAGACACCTCAGGAATCTCTTCGAGGCTTGGCAGGGCACAAGGGACGCTTCTCGAGGTGAGGCAGGGCACCCAAGGAACCTTTCCAATAGCCATAGGGATTTTGGGATTCCAATCAATATTCAAGAGGAGTCAGGCATCGTCCCCTTTTGAAATAGTGAACTCCGCGTGCCTCTCGAGGTGACAATGGGATGTGAGGCATTCCGTCCAAATGAGGCAGGGACCTAGGGCTTTCTCTAAGGTCTTCACAGGGGATTCAGTCATCCCTTCCTGTTGTGAGATGAAAGACGAGCCTGTATACAAGACACTGCAAGGAAATCCGGCCTCCTTTCAAGTTAGGGCTTCTCGCTGTATATTCCACTTGAGGCAGCAAACTCGGGGTCCCACGAACAAACCTATTGCTGAGAGAAGCCTCCTCTTGTGGTGCTTCTGGAAAGTTGGCATACGTCTTGAGCCTAAGCCAGGGTATCAGCTCTCATCTCGAGACGATTTGGGGTACACGGAGCATTCCTGGAGTTGCTGTGCTTAAGTTCGTATTCCTCTAGACTTGAGACAGTGTTCTCGGGGCAACTCTGGAGTTGCATGAAGGAAGTCAAGCCACTCGTGGTGTTTAATGGGGTACGGGGGATGGCTCTGGAGTCAATGCATTGGAATCTGGCATCATCTCGAGTTTATTTGGGGCAAATGGAGCTGCTTTGCGTTGCTGGGGTGACGTCATGGTCCGTCTACACTTGTGACAGTGTTCCTGGGGACTCTCTCGAGATCCATTAAGCAAATCGAACCTGCTGACTTGCTTGATGGGGATCACGGGAATGCTCTGCATGGACTGCAGGGAATCAGGCCTCATCTCACATCTAGGGGAAGTCTCATGGTTTTTCTCGAGTTGCGGCGGGACGTGGGGTATGTTCTCGAGTTATGGCGGGCATGGCCCTTCAAAACACGTGTTTATTCAGTGACGTCAGGACTCCTGACTAGTAATGAGGGACACCTCAGGAATCTCTTCGAGGCTTGGCAGGGGAAAAGGTATGCTTCTCGAGGTGAGGCAGGGCACACAAGAACCCTTTCCTGTAGCCACAGTTATTTTGGGATTCCTATCAATGTTCAGGAGGAGTCAGGCAGCTTCACATTTTGAAGCAATGAACTCCACGTGCCTCTCGTGGTGTCAACGGGATGTGAGGCTTTCCGTCAAAATAAGGCAGGGACCTAGGGCTTTCTCTAAGGTCTCTACAGGGGATTCAGACATCCCTTCATGCTGAGAGATGAAAGACGAGCCTGTATTCAAGCCCCTGCAAGGAAATCCGGCCTCCTTTCATTTTAGGGCTTCTCGCTGTATATTCCACTTGAGGCAGCAAACTCGGGGTCCCACGAACATACCTATTGCTGAGAGAAGCCTCCTCTTGAGGTGCTTCTGGAAAGTTGGCATACGTCTTGAGCCTAAGCCAGGGAATCAGCTCTCATCTCGAGACGATTTGGGGTACACGGAGCATTCCTCGAGTTGCTGTGCTGAAGATGGTGTTCCTCTAGACTTGGGACAGTGTTCTCAGGGCATGTCTGCAGTTGTATGAAGGAAGTCAAGCCACTGGTGGTGTTTAATGTGGAACGGGGGATGCCTCTGGAGTCAATGCAGGGGAATCGGGCATTATCTCGAGTTGATTTGGGGCACATGGTGCTGCTTTGCGATGATGGGGTGACCTCAGGATCCGTCTAGACATGTGACAGTGTTCTTGGGTACTGTCTCGAGATCCATTAAGCAAGTCGAAGCTCCTGACTTGTTTGATGGGGATCACGGAATTGCTCTGCATGCACTGCAGGTGAATCGGGCCTCATCTGGCATCCAGATGGAAGTCTCAAGGTTTTTTTCGAATTGTGGCGGGGACCTGGGTTATGTACTCTGGTTACGGGGGGGAAGGCCCTTCAAAACTCGTGTATATTCAGTGACGTCAGGACTCCTGTCCAATAACGAGGGACAGCTCAGGAATCTCTTCGAGGCTTGGCAGTGCAAAAGGGACGCTTCTCGAGGTGAGGCAGGGCACCCAAGGAACCTTTCCAATAGCCACAGGGATTTTGGGATTCCTATCAATATTCAAGAGGAGTCAGGCATCGTCACCTTTTGAAGCACTGAACTCCGCGTGCCTCTCGAGGTGACAACGGGATGTGAGGCATTACGTCAAACTGAGGCAGGGACCTAGAGCTTTCTCTAAGGTCTCCACAGGGGATTCAGACATCCCTTCATGCTGTGAGATGAAAGACGAGCCTGTATTCAAGCCACTGCAAGGAAAACCGGCCGCCTTTCAAGTTAGGGCTTCTCGCTGTATATTCCACTTGAGGCAGCAAACTGGGGGTCCCTCCAACATACCTATAGCTGAGAGAAGCCTCCTCTTGAGGTGCTTCTGGAAAGTTGGCATACGTCTTGAGCCTAAGCCAGGGAATCAGCTCTCATCTCGAGACGATTTGGGGTACACGGAGCATTCCTCGATTTGCTGTGCTGAAGTTCGTGTTCCTCTAGACTTGGGACAGTGTTCTTGGGGCATCTCTGGAGTTGCCTGAAGGAAGTCAAGCCACTGGTCTTGTTTAATGGGGAACGGGGGATGGCTCCGGAGTCAATGCAGGGGAATCTGGTATCATCCCGAGTGGATTTGGGGCACATTGTGCTGCTTTGCATTGATGGGGTGACCTCAGGATCCGTCTAGACATGTGACTGTATTCTTGGGGACTCTCTCGAGATCCATTAAGCAAGTCGAAGGTCCTGACTTGTTTGATGGGGATCACGGAATTGCTCTGCATGCACTGCAGGAAAATCGGGCCTCATCTCGCCTATAGGGGAAAGTCTCATGGTTTTTCTCGACTTGCGGCGGGGACCTAGGGTATGTACTCCAGTTAAGGCGGGGATGACCCTTCAAAACTCGTGTTTATTCAGTGACGTCAGGACTCCTGTCCAATAACGAGGGACAGCTCAGGAATCTCTTCGAGGCTTGGCAGTGCACAAGGGACGCTTCTCGAGGTGAGGCAGGGCACCCAAGGAACCTTTCCAATAGCCACAGGGATTTTGGGATTCCTGTCAATATACAAGAGGAGTCAGGCATCGTCACCTTTTGAAGCAGTGAACTCTGCGTGCCTCTCGAGGTGACAACGGGATGTGAGGCATTCCGTCAAAATGAGGCAGGGACCCAGAGCTTTCTCTAAGGTCTCCACAGGGGATTCAGACATCCCTTCATGCTGTGAGATGAAAGACGAGCCTGTATTCAAGCCACTGCAAGGAAAACCGGCCTCCTTTCAAGTTAGGGCTTCTCGCTGTATATTCCACTTGAGGCAGCAAACTCGGGGTCCCACGAACATACCTATTGCTGAGAGAAGCCTCCTCTGGGGGTGCTTCTGGAAAGTTGGCATATGTCTTGAGCCTAAGCCAGGGAATCAGCTCTCACCTTGAAACGATTTGGGGTACACGGAGCATTCCTCGAGTTGCTGTGCTGAAGTTGGTGTTCCTCTAGACTTGGGACAGTGTTCTCCGGGCAACTCTGGAGTTGCCTGAAGGAAGTCAAGCCACTGGTGGTGTTTAATGGGGTATGGGGAATGGCTCTGGAGTCAATGCCGGAGAATCGGGCCTCATCTCGAGTTGATGTGGGGCACATGGAGCTGCTTTGCATTGCTGCGGTGACCTCAGGGTCTGTCTAGACTTGTGACAGTGTTCCTGGTGACTCTCTCAAGATCCATTAAGCAAGTCGAAGCTCCTGACTTGCTTGATGGGGATCACGGGCCTGCTCTGCATGGACTGCAGGGAATCAGACCTCATCTCGCATCTAGGGGAAGTCTCTTCGTTTTGCTCGAGTTGCGGCCGGGCCTGGGGTATGTTCTCGAGTTATGGCGGGGATGGCCCTTCAAAACACGTGTTTATTCAGTGACGTCAGGACTCCTGTCTAGTAACGAGAGACACCTCAGGAATCTCTTCGAAGCTTGGCAGGGCAAAAGGGATGCTTCCCGAAGTGAGGCAGGGCACCCAAGAACCCTGTCCTGTAGCTACAGTGATTTTGGGATTCCTATCAATGTTCAAGAGGAGTCAGGCATCGTCACATTTTGAAGCAGTGAACTCCGTGTGCCTCTCGAGGTGTCAACGGGATGTGAGACATTCCGTCAAAATGAGGCAGGGACATACGGCTTTCTCTAAGGTCTCCTCAGGGGATTCAGACATTCCTTCTGGTTGTGAGATGAAAGACGAGCCTGTATTCAAGACACTGCAAGGAAATCCGGCCTCCTTTCAAGTTAAGGCTTCTCGTTGTATATTCCACTTGAGGCAGCAAACTGGGGGTCCCTCCCTCATACCGATTGCTGAGAGAAGCCTCCTCTTGAGGTGCTTCTGGAAAGTTGGCATACGTCTTGAGCCTAAGCTAGGGAATCAGCTCTCACCTCGAAACGATTTGGGGTACACCGGTCATTCCTCGAGTTGCTGTGCTGAAGTTGGTGTTCCTCTAGACTTGGGACAGTGTTCTCGGGGCATCTCTGGAGTTGCCTGAAGGAAGTCAAGCCACTGGTCGTGTTTAATGGGCAACGGGGGATGGCTCCGGAGTCAATGCAGGGGAATCTGGCATCATCCCGAGTGGATTTGGGGCACATTGTGCTGCTTTGCATTGATGGGGTGACCTCAGGATCCGTCTAGACATGTGACTGTATTCTTGGGGACTCTCTCGAGATCCATTAAGCAAGTCGAAGGTCCTGACTTGTTTGATGGGGATCACGGAATTGCTCTGCATGCACTGCAGGAAAATCGGGCCTCATCTCGCCTATAGGGGAAAGTCTCATGGTTTTTCTCGACTTGCGGCGGGGACCTAGGGTATGTACTCCGGTTAAGGCGGGGATGACCCTTCAAAACTCGTGTTTATTCAGTGACGTCAGGACTCCTGTCCAATAACGAGGGACAGCTCAGGAATCTCTTCTAGGCTTGGCAGTGCACAAGGGACGCTTCTCGAGGTGAGGCAGGGCACCCAAGGAACCTTTCCAATAGCCACAGGGATTTTGGGATTCCTGTCAATATTCAAGAGGAGTCAGGCATCGTCACCTTTTGAAGCAGTGAACTCCGCGTGCCTCTCGAGGTGACAACGGGATGTGAGGCATTCCGTCAAAATGAGGCAGGGACCCAGAGCTTTCTCTAAGGTCTCCACAGGGGATTCAGACATCCCTTCATGCTGTGAGATGAAAGACGAGCCTGTATTCAAGCCACTGCAAGGAAAACCGGCCTCCTTTCAAGTTAGGGCTTCTCGCTGTATATTCCACTTGAGGCAGCAAACTGGGGGTCCCTCCAACATACCTATAGCTGAGAGAAGCCTCCTCTTGAGGTGCTTCTGGAAAGTTGGCATACGTCTTGAGCCTAAGCCAGGGAATCAGCTCTCATCTCGAGACGATTTGGGGTACACGGAGCATTCCTCGTGTTGCTGTGCTGAAGTTCGTATTCCTCTAGACTTGGGACATTGTTCTCAGGGAATCTCTGGAGTTGCCTGAAGGAAGTCAAGCCACTGGTGGTGTTTAATGGGCTACGGGGGATGGCTCTGGAGTCAATGCAGGGGAATCGGGCCTCATCTCGAGTTGATGTGGGGTACTTGGAGCTGCTTTGCATTGCTGGGGTGACCTCAGGTTCTGTCTAGACTTTTGACAGTGTTCCTGGGGACTTTCGCGAGTTCGATTAAGCAAGTCGAATCTCCTGACTTGCTTGATGGGGATCACGGGAATGCTCTGCATGGACTGCAGGGAATAAGGCTTCATCTCGTATCTAGGGGAAGTGTCATGGTTTTTCTCGAGTTGCGGCGAGACCTGTGGTATGTTCTCGAGTTATGGTGGGGATGGCCCTTCAAAACACGTGTTTATTCAGTGACGTCAGGACTCCTGTCTAGTAACGAGAGACACCTCAGGAATCTCTTCGAGGCTTGGCAGGGCACAAGGGACGCTTCTCGAGGTGAGGCAGGGCACCCAAGGAACCTTTCCAATAGCCATAGGGATTTTGGGATTCCAATCAATATTCAAGAGGAGTCAGGCATCGTCCCCTTTTGAAATAGTGAACTCCGCGTGCCTCTCGAGGTGACAATGGGATGTGAGGCATTCCGTCCAAATGAGGCAGGGACCTAGGGCTTTCTCTAAGGTCTTCACAGGGGATTCAGTCATCCCTTCCTGTTGTGAGATGAAAGACGAGCCTGTATACAAGACACTGCAAGGAAATCCGGCCTCCTTTCAAGTTAGGGCTTCTCGCTGTATATTCCACTTGAGGCAGCAAACTCGGGGTCCCACGAACAAACCTATTGCTGAGAGAAGCCTCCTCTTGTGGTGCTTCTGGAAAGTTGGCATACGTCTTGAGCCTAAGCCAGGGTATCAGCTCTCATCTCGAGACGATTTGGGGTACACGGAGCATTCCTGGAGTTGCTGTGCTTAAGTTCGTATTCCTCTAGACTTGAGACAGTGTTCTCGGGGCAACTCTGGAGTTGCATGAAGGAAGTCAAGCCACTCGTGGTGTTTAATGGGGTACGGGGGATGGCTCTGGAGTCAATGCATTGGAATCTGGCATCATCTCGAGTTTATTTGGGGCAAATGGAGCTGCTTTGCGTTGCTGGGGTGACGTCATGGTCCGTCTACACTTGTGACAGTGTTCCTGGGGACTCTCTCGAGATCCATTAAGCAAATCGAACCTGCTGACTTGCTTGATGGGGATCACGGGAATGCTCTGCATGGACTGCAGGGAATCAGGCCTCATCTCACATCTAGGGGAAGTCTCATGGTTTTTCTCGAGTTGCGGCGGGACGTGGGGTATGTTCTCGAGTTATGGCGGGCATGGCCCTTCAAAACACGTGTTTATTCAGTGACGTCAGGACTCCTGACTAGTAATGAGGGACACCTCAGGAATCTCTTCGAGGCTTGGCAGGGGAAAAGGTATGCTTCTCGAGGTGAGGCAGGGCACACAAGAACCCTTTCCTGTAGCCACAGTTATTTTGGGATTCCTATCAATGTTCAGGAGGAGTCAGGCAGCTTCACATTTTGAAGCAATGAACTCCACGTGCCTCTCGTGGTGTCAACGGGATGTGAGGCTTTCCGTCAAAATAAGGCAGGGACCTAGGGCTTTCTCTAAGGTCTCTACAGGGGATTCAGACATCCCTTCATGCTGAGAGATGAAAGACGAGCCTGTATTCAAGCCCCTGCAAGGAAATCCGGCCTCCTTTCATTTTAGGGCTTCTCGCTGTATATTCCACTTGAGGCAGCAAACTCGGGGTCCCACGAACATACCTATTGCTGAGAGAAGCCTCCTCTTGAGGTGCTTCTGGAAAGTTGGCATACGTCTTGAGCCTAAGCCAGGGAATCAGCTCTCATCTCGAGACGATTTGGGGTACACGGAGCATTCCTCGAGTTGCTGTGCTGAAGATGGTGTTCCTCTAGACTTGGGACAGTGTTCTCAGGGCATGTCTGCAGTTGTATGAAGGAAGTCAAGCCACTGGTGGTGTTTAATGTGGAACGGGGGATGCCTCTGGAGTCAATGCAGGGGAATCGGGCATTATCTCGAGTTGATTTGGGGCACATGGTGCTGCTTTGCGATGATGGGGTGACCTCAGGATCCGTCTAGACATGTGACAGTGTTCTTGGGTACTGTCTCGAGATCCATTAAGCAAGTCGAAGCTCCTGACTTGTTTGATGGGGATCACGGAATTGCTCTGCATGCACTGCAGGTGAATCGGGCCTCATCTGGCATCCAGATGGAAGTCTCAAGGTTTTTTTCGAATTGTGGCGGGGACCTGGGTTATGTACTCTGGTTACGGGGGGGAAGGCCCTTCAAAACTCGTGTATATTCAGTGACGTCAGGACTCCTGTCCAATAACGAGGGACAGCTCAGGAATCTCTTCGAGGCTTGGCAGTGCAAAAGGGACGCTTCTCGAGGTGAGGCAGGGCACCCAAGGAACCTTTCCAATAGCCACAGGGATTTTGGGATTCCTATCAATATTCAAGAGGAGTCAGGCATCGTCACCTTTTGAAGCACTGAACTCCGCGTGCCTCTCGAGGTGACAACGGGATGTGAGGCATTACGTCAAACTGAGGCAGGGACCTAGAGCTTTCTCTAAGGTCTCCACAGGGGATTCAGACATCCCTTCATGCTGTGAGATGAAAGACGAGCCTGTATTCAAGCCACTGCAAGGAAAACCGGCCGCCTTTCAAGTTAGGGCTTCTCGCTGTATATTCCACTTGAGGCAGCAAACTGGGGGTCCCTCCAACATACCTATAGCTGAGAGAAGCCTCCTCTTGAGGTGCTTCTGGAAAGTTGGCATACGTCTTGAGCCTAAGCCAGGGAATCAGCTCTCATCTCGAGACGATTTGGGGTACACGGAGCATTCCTCGATTTGCTGTGCTGAAGTTCGTGTTCCTCTAGACTTGGGACAGTGTTCTTGGGGCATCTCTGGAGTTGCCTGAAGGAAGTCAAGCCACTGGTCTTGTTTAATGGGGAACGGGGGATGGCTCCGGAGTCAATGCAGGGGAATCTGGTATCATCCCGAGTGGATTTGGGGCACATTGTGCTGCTTTGCATTGATGGGGTGACCTCAGGATCCGTCTAGACATGTGACTGTATTCTTGGGGACTCTCTCGAGATCCATTAAGCAAGTCGAAGGTCCTGACTTGTTTGATGGGGATCACGGAATTGCTCTGCATGCACTGCAGGAAAATCGGGCCTCATCTCGCCTATAGGGGAAAGTCTCATGGTTTTTCTCGACTTGCGGCGGGGACCTAGGGTATGTACTCCAGTTAAGGCGGGGATGACCCTTCAAAACTCGTGTTTATTCAGTGACGTCAGGACTCCTGTCCAATAACGAGGGACAGCTCAGGAATCTCTTCGAGGCTTGGCAGTGCACAAGGGACGCTTCTCGAGGTGAGGCAGGGCACCCAAGGAACCTTTCCAATAGCCACAGGGATTTTGGGATTCCTGTCAATATACAAGAGGAGTCAGGCATCGTCACCTTTTGAAGCAGTGAACTCTGCGTGCCTCTCGAGGTGACAACGGGATGTGAGGCATTCCGTCAAAATGAGGCAGGGACCCAGAGCTTTCTCTAAGGTCTCCACAGGGGATTCAGACATCCCTTCATGCTGTGAGATGAAAGACGAGCCTGTATTCAAGCCACTGCAAGGAAAACCGGCCTCCTTTCAAGTTAGGGCTTCTCCCTGTATATTCCACTTGAGGCAGCAAACTCGGGGTCCCACGAACATACCTATTGCTGAGAGAAGCCTCCTCTGGGGGTGCTTCTGGAAAGTTGGCATATGTCTTGAGCCTAAGCCAGGGAATCAGCTCTCACCTTGAAACGATTTGGGGTACACGGAGCATTCCTCGAGTTGCTGTGCTGAAGTTGGTGTTCCTCTAGACTTGGGACAGTGTTCTCCGGGCAACTCTGGAGTTGCCTGAAGGAAGTCAAGCCACTGGTGGTGTTTAATGGGGTATGGGGAATGGCTCTGGAGTCAATGCCGGAGAATCGGGCCTCATCTCGAGTTGATGTGGGGCACATGGAGCTGCTTTGCATTGCTGCGGTGACCTCAGGGTCTGTCTAGACTTGTGACAGTGTTCCTGGTGACTCTCTCAAGATCCATTAAGCAAGTCGAAGCTCCTGACTTGCTTGATGGGGATCACGGGCCTGCTCTGCATGGACTGCAGGGAATCAGACCTCATCTCGCATCTAGGGGAAGTCTCTTCGTTTTGCTCGAGTTGCGGCCGGACCTGGGGTATGTTCTCGAGTTATGGCGGGGATGGCCCTTCAAAACACGTGTTTATTCAGTGACGTCAGGACTCCTGTCTAGTAACGAGAGACACCTCAGGAATCTCTTCGAAGCTTGGCAGGGCAAAAGGGATGCTTCCCGAAGTGAGGCAGGGCACCCAAGAACCCTGTCCTGTAGCTACAGTGATTTTGGGATTCCTATCAATGTTCAAGAGGAGTCAGGCATCGTCACATTTTGAAGCAGTGAACTCCGTGTGCCTCTCGAGGTGTCAACGGGATGTGAGACATTCCGTCAAAATGAGGCAGGGACATACGGCTTTCTCTAAGGTCTCCTCAGGGGATTCAGACATTCCTTCTGGTTGTGAGATGAAAGACGAGCCTGTATTCAAGACACTGCAAGGAAATCCGGCCTCCTTTCAAGTTAAGGCTTCTCGTTGTATATTCCACTTGAGGCAGCAAACTGGGGGTCCCTCCCTCATACCGATTGCTGAGAGAAGCCTCCTCTTGAGGTGCTTCTGGAAAGTTGGCATACGTCTTGAGCCTAAGCTAGGGAATCAGCTCTCACCTCGAAACGATTTGGGGTACACCGGTCATTCCTCGAGTTGCTGTGCTGAAGTTGGTGTTCCTCTAGACTTGGGACAGTGTTCTCGGGGCATCTCTGGAGTTGCCTGAAGGAAGTCAAGCCACTGGTCGTGTTTAATGGGGAACGGGGGATGGCTCCGGAGTCAATGCAGGGGAATCTGGCATCATCCCGAGTGGATTTGGGGCACATTGTGCTGCTTTGCATTGATGGGGTGACCTCAGGATCCGTCTAGACATGTGACTGTATTCTTGGGGACTCTCTCGAGATCCATTAAGCAAGTCGAAGGTCCTGACTTGTTTGATGGGGATCACGGAATTGCTCTGCATGCACTGCAGGAAAATCGGGCCTCATCTCGCCTATAGGGGAAAGTCTCATGGTTTTTCTCGACTTGCGGCGGGGACCTAGGGTATGTACTCCGGTTAAGGCGGGGATGACCCTTCAAAACTCGTGTTTATTCAGTGACGTCAGGACTCCTGTCCAATAACGAGGGACAGCTCAGGAATCTCTTCTAGGCTTGGCAGTGCACAAGGGACGCTTCTCGAGGTGAGGCAGGGCACCCAAGGAACCTTTCCAATAGCCACAGGGATTTTGGGATTCCTGTCAATATTCAAGAGGAGTCAGGCATCGTCACCTTTTGAAGCAGTGAACTCCGCGTGCCTCTCGAGGTGACAACGGGATGTGAGGCATTCCGTCAAAATGAGGCAGGGACCCAGAGCTTTCTCTAAGGTCTCCACAGGGGATTCAGACATCCCTTCATGGTGTGAGATGAAAGACGAGCCTGTATTCAAGCCACTGCAAGGAAAACCGGCCTCCTTTCAAGTTAGGGCTTCTCGCTGTATATTCCACTTGAGGCAGCAAACTGGGGGTCCCTCCAACATACCTATAGCTGAGAGAAGCCTCCTCTTGAGGTGCTTCTGGAAAGTTGGCATACGTCTTGAGCCTAAGCCAGGGAATCAGCTCTCATCTCGAGACGATTTGGGGTACACGGAGCATTCCTCGTGTTGCTGTGCTGAAGTTCGTATTCCTCTAGACTTGGGACATTGTTCTCAGGGAATCTCTGGAGTTGCCTGAAGGAAGTCAAGCCACTGGTGGTGTTTAATGGGCTACGGGGGATTGCTCTGGAGTCAATGCAGGGGAATCGGGCCTCATCTCGAGTTGATGTGGGGTACTTGGAGCTGCTTTGCATTGCTGGGGTGACCTCAGGTTCTGTCTAGACTTTTGACAGTGTTCCTGGGGACTTTCGCGAGTTCGATTAAGCAAGTCGAATCTCCTGACTTGCTTGATGGGGATCACGGGAATGCTCTGCATGGACTGCAGGGAATAAGGCTTCATCTCGTATCTAGGGGAAGTGTCATGGTTTTTCTCGAGTTGCGGCGAGACCTGTGGTATGTTCTCGAGTTATGGTGGGGATGGCCCTTCAAAACACGTGTTTATTCAGTGACGTCAGGACTCCTGTCTAGTAACGAGAGACACCTCAGGAATCTCTTCGAGGCTTGGCAGGGCACAAGGGACGCTTCTCGAGGTGAGGCAGGGCACCCAAGGAACCTTTCCAATAGCCATAGGGATTTTGGGATTCCAATCAATATTCAAGAGGAGTCAGGCATCGTCCCCTTTTGAAATAGTGAACTCCGCGTGCCTCTCGAGGTGACAATGGGATGTGAGGCATTCCGTCCAAATGAGGCAGGGACCTAGGGCTTTCTCTAAGGTCTTCACAGGGGATTCAGTCATCCCTTCCTGTTGTGAGATGAAAGACGAGCCTGTATACAAGACACTGCAAGGAAATCCGGCCTCCTTTCAAGTTAGGGCTTCTCGCTGTATATTCCACTTGAGGCAGCAAACTCGGGGTCCCACGAACAAACCTATTGCTGAGAGAAGCCTCCTCTTGTGGTGCTTCTGGAAAGTTGGCATACGTCTTGAGCCTAAGCCAGGGTATCAGCTCTCATCTCGAGACGATTTGGGGTACACGGAGCATTCCTGGAGTTGCTGTGCTTAAGTTCGTATTCCTCTAGACTTGAGACAGTGTTCTCGGGGCAACTCTGGAGTTGCATGAAGGAAGTCAAGCCACTCGTGGTGTTTAATGGGGTACGGGGGATGGCTCTGGAGTCAATGCATTGGAATCTGGCATCATCTCGAGTTTATTTGGGGCAAATGGAGCTGCTTTGCGTTGCTGGGGTGACGTCATGGTCCGTCTACACTTGTGACAGTGTTCCTGGGGACTCTCTCGAGATCCATTAAGCAAATCGAACCTGCTGACTTGCTTGATGGGGATCACGGGAATGCTCTGCATGGACTGCAGGGAATCAGGCCTCATCTCACATCTAGGGGAAGTCTCATGGTTTTTCTCGAGTTGCGGCGGGACGTGGGGTATGTTCTCGAGTTATGGCGGGCATGGCCCTTCAAAACACGTGTTTATTCAGTGACGTCAGGACTCCTGACTAGTAATGAGGGACACCTCAGGAATCTCTTCGAGGCTTGGCAGGGGAAAAGGTATGCTTCTCGAGGTGAGGCAGGGCACACAAGAACCCTTTCCTGTAGCCACAGTTATTTTGGGATTCCTATCAATGTTCAGGAGGAGTCAGGCAGCTTCACATTTTGAAGCAATGAACTCCACGTGCCTCTCGTGGTGTCAACGGGATGTGAGGCTTTCCGTCAAAATAAGGCAGGGACCTAGGGCTTTCTCTAAGGTCTCTACAGGGGATTCAGACATCCCTTCATGCTGAGAGATGAAAGACGAGCCTGTATTCAAGCCCCTGCAAGGAAATCCGGCCTCCTTTCATTTTAGGGCTTCTCGCTGTATATTCCACTTGAGGCAGCAAACTCGGGGTCCCACGAACATACCTATTGCTGAGAGAAGCCTCCTCTTGAGGTGCTTCTGGAAAGTTGGCATACGTCTTGAGCCTAAGCCAGGGAATCAGCTCTCATCTCGAGACGATTTGGGGTACACGGAGCATTCCTCGAGTTGCTGTGCTGAAGATGGTGTTCCTCTAGACTTGGGACAGTGTTCTCAGGGCATGTCTGCAGTTGTATGAAGGAAGTCAAGCCACTGGTGGTGTTTAATGTGGAACGGGGGATGCCTCTGGAGTCAATGCAGGGGAATCGGGCATTATCTCGAGTTGATTTGGGGCACATGGTGCTGCTTTGCGATGATGGGGTGACCTCAGGATCCGTCTAGACATGTGACAGTGTTCTTGGGTACTGTCTCGAGATCCATTAAGCAAGTCGAAGCTCCTGACTTGTTTGATGGGGATCACGGAATTGCTCTGCATGCACTGCAGGTGAATCGGGCCTCATCTGGCATCCAGATGGAAGTCTCAAGGTTTTTTTCGAATTGTGGCGGGGACCTGGGTTATGTACTCTGGTTACGGGGGGGAAGGCCCTTCAAAACTCGTGTATATTCAGTGACGTCAGGACTCCTGTCCAATAACGAGGGACAGCTCAGGAATCTCTTCGAGGCTTGGCAGTGCAAAAGGGACGCTTCTCGAGGTGAGGCAGGGCACCCAAGGAACCTTTCCAATAGCCACAGGGATTTTGGGATTCCTATCAATATTCAAGAGGAGTCAGGCATCGTCACCTTTTGAAGCACTGAACTCCGCGTGCCTCTCGAGGTGACAACGGGATGTGAGGCATTACGTCAAACTGAGGCAGGGACCTAGAGCTTTCTCTAAGGTCTCCACAGGGGATTCAGACATCCCTTCATGCTGTGAGATGAAAGACGAGCCTGTATTCAAGCCACTGCAAGGAAAACCGGCCGCCTTTCAAGTTAGGGCTTCTCGCTGTATATTCCACTTGAGGCAGCAAACTGGGGGTCCCTCCAACATACCTATAGCTGAGAGAAGCCTCCTCTTGAGGTGCTTCTGGAAAGTTGGCATACGTCTTGAGCCTAAGCCAGGGAATCAGCTCTCATCTCGAGACGATTTGGGGTACACGGAGCATTCCTCGATTTGCTGTGCTGAAGTTCGTGTTCCTCTAGACTTGGGACAGTGTTCTTGGGGCATCTCTGGAGTTGCCTGAAGGAAGTCAAGCCACTGGTCTTGTTTAATGGGGAACGGGGGATGGCTCCGGAGTCAATGCAGGGGAATCTGGTATCATCCCGAGTGGATTTGGGGCACATTGTGCTGCTTTGCATTGATGGGGTGACCTCAGGATCCGTCTAGACATGTGACTGTATTCTTGGGGACTCTCTCGAGATCCATTAAGCAAGTCGAAGGTCCTGACTTGTTTGATGGGGATCACGGAATTGCTCTGCATGCACTGCAGGAAAATCGGGCCTCATCTCGCCTATAGGGGAAAGTCTCATGGTTTTTCTCGACTTGCGGCGGGGACCTTGGGTATGTACTCCAGTTAAGGCGGGGATGACCCTTCAAAACTCGTGTTTATTCAGTGACGTCAGGACTCCTGTCCAATAACGAGGGACAGCTCAGGAATCTCTTCGAGGCTTGGCAGTGCACAAGGGACGCTTCTCGAGGTGAGGCAGGGCACCCAAGGAACCTTTCCAATAGCCACAGGGATTTTGGGATTCCTGTCAATATACAAGAGGAGTCAGGCATCGTCACCTTTTGAAGCAGTGAACTCTGCGTGCCTCTCGAGGTGACAACGGGATGTGAGGCATTCCGTCAAAATGAGGCAGGGACCCAGAGCTTTCTCTAAGGTCTCCACAGGGGATTCAGACATCCCTTCATGCTGTGAGATGAAAGACGAGCCTGTATTCAAGCCACTGCAAGGAAAACCGGCCTCCTTTCAAGTTAGGGCTTCTCCCTGTATATTCCACTTGAGGCAGCAAACTCGGGGTCCCACGAACATACCTATTGCTGAGAGAAGCCTCCTCTGGGGGTGCTTCTGGAAAGTTGGCATATGTCTTGAGCCTAAGCCAGGGAATCAGCTCTCACCTTGAAACGATTTGGGGTACACGGAGCATTCCTCGAGTTGCTGTGCTGAAGTTGGTGTTCCTCTAGACTTGGGACAGTGTTCTCCGGGCAACTCTGGAGTTGCCTGAAGGAAGTCAAGCCACTGGTGGTGTTTAATGGGGTATGGGGAATGGCTCTGGAGTCAATGCCGGAGAATCGGGCCTCATCTCGAGTTGATGTGGGGCACATGGAGCTGCTTTGCATTGCTGCGGTGACCTCAGGGTCTGTCTAGACTTGTGACAGTGTTCCTGGTGACTCTCTCAAGATCCATTAAGCAAGTCGAAGCTCCTGACTTGCTTGATGGGGATCACGGGCCTGCTCTGCATGGACTGCAGGGAATCAGACCTCATCTCGCATCTAGGGGAAGTCTCTTCGTTTTGCTCGAGTTGCGGCCGGACCTGGGGTATGTTCTCGAGTTATGGCGGGGATGGCCCTTCAAAACACGTGTTTATTCAGTGACGTCAGGACTCCTGTCTAGTAACGAGAGACACCTCAGGAATCTCTTCGAAGCTTGGCAGGGCAAAAGGGATGCTTCCCGAAGTGAGGCAGGGCACCCAAGAACCCTGTCCTGTAGCTACAGTGATTTTGGGATTCCTATCAATGTTCAAGAGGAGTCAGGCATCGTCACATTTTGAAGCAGTGAACTCCGTGTGCCTCTCGAGGTGTCAACGGGATGTGAGACATTCCGTCAAAATGAGGCAGGGACATACGGCTTTCTCTAAGGTCTCCTCAGGGGATTCAGACATTCCTTCTGGTTGTGAGATGAAAGACGAGCCTGTATTCAAGACACTGCAAGGAAATCCGGCCTCCTTTCAAGTTAAGGCTTCTCGTTGTATATTCCACTTGAGGCAGCAAACTGGGGGTCCCTCCCTCATACCGATTGCTGAGAGAAGCCTCCTCTTGAGGTGCTTCTGGAAAGTTGGCATACGTCTTGAGCCTAAGCTAGGGAATCAGCTCTCACCTCGAAACGATTTGGGGTACACCGGTCATTCCTCGAGTTGCTGTGCTGAAGTTGGTGTTCCTCTAGACTTGGGACAGTGTTCTCGGGGCATCTCTGGAGTTGCCTGAAGGAAGTCAAGCCACTGGTCGTGTTTAATGGGGAACGGGGGATGGCTCCGGAGTCAATGCAGGGGAATCTGGCATCATCCCGAGTGGATTTGGGGCACATTGTGCTGCTTTGCATTGATGGGGTGACCTCAGGATCCGTCTAGACATGTGACTGTATTCTTGGGGACTCTCTCGAGATCCATTAAGCAAGTCGAAGGTCCTGACTTGTTTGATGGGGATCACGGAATTGCTCTGCATGCACTGCAGGAAAATCGGGCCTCATCTCGCCTATAGGGGAAAGTCTCATGGTTTTTCTCGACTTGCGGCGGGGACCTAGGGTATGTACTCCGGTTAAGGCGGGGATGACCCTTCAAAACTCGTGTTTATTCAGTGACGTCAGGACTCCTGTCCAATAACGAGGGACAGCTCAGGAATCTCTTCTAGGCTTGGCAGTGCACAAGGGACGCTTCTCGAGGTGAGGCAGGGCACCCAAGGAACCTTTCCAATAGCCACAGGGATTTTGGGATTCCTGTCAATATTCAAGAGGAGTCAGGCATCGTCACCTTTTGAAGCAGTGAACTCCGCGTGCCTCTCGAGGTGACAACGGGATGTGAGGCATTCCGTCAAAATGAGGCAGGGACCCAGAGCTTTCTCTAAGGTCTCCACAGGGGATTCAGACATCCCTTCATGGTGTGAGATGAAAGACGAGCCTGTATTCAAGCCACTGCAAGGAAAACCGGCCTCCTTTCAAGTTAGGGCTTCTCGCTGTATATTCCACTTGAGGCAGCAAACTGGGGGTCCCTCCAACATACCTATAGCTGAGAGAAGCCTCCTCTTGAGGTGCTTCTGGAAAGTTGGCATACGTCTTGAGCCTAAGCCAGGGAATCAGCTCTCATCTCGAGACGATTTGGGGTACACGGAGCATTCCTCGTGTTGCTGTGCTGAAGTTCGTATTCCTCTAGACTTGGGACATTGTTCTCAGGGAATCTCTGGAGTTGCCTGAAGGAAGTCAAGCCACTGGTGGTGTTTAATGGGCTACGGGGGATGGCTCTGGAGTCAATGCAGGGGAATCGGGCCTCATCTCGAGTTGATGTGGGGTACTTGGAGCTGCTTTGCATTGCTGGGGTGACCTCAGGTTCTGTCTAGACTTTTGACAGTGTTCCTGGGGACTTTCGCGAGTTCGATTAAGCAAGTCGAATCTCCTGACTTGCTTGATGGGGATCACGGGAATGCTCTGCATGGACTGCAGGGAATAAGGCTTCATCTCGTATCTAGGGGAAGTGTCATGGTTTTTCTCGAGTTGCGGCGAGACCTGTGGTATGTTCTCGAGTTATGGTGGGGATGGCCCTTCAAAACACGTGTTTATTCAGTGACGTCAGGACTCCTGTCTAGTAACGAGAGACACCTCAGGAATCTCTTCGAGGCTTGGCAGGGCACAAGGGACGCTTCTCGAGGTGAGGCAGGGCACCCAAGGAACCTTTCCAATAGCCATAGGGATTTTGGGATTCCAATCAATATTCAAGAGGAGTCAGGCATCGTCCCCTTTTGAAATAGTGAACTCCGCGTGCCTCTCGAGGTGACAATGGGATGTGAGGCATTCCGTCCAAATGAGGCAGGGACCTAGGGCTTTCTCTAAGGTCTTCACAGGGGATTCAGTCATCCCTTCCTGTTGTGAGATGAAAGACGAGCCTGTATACAAGACACTGCAAGGAAATCCGGCCTCCTTTCAAGTTAGGGCTTCTCGCTGTATATTCCACTTGAGGCAGCAAACTCGGGGTCCCACGAACAAACCTATTGCTGAGAGAAGCCTCCTCTTGTGGTGCTTCTGGAAAGTTGGCATACGTCTTGAGCCTAAGCCAGGGTATCAGCTCTCATCTCGAGACGATTTGGGGTACACGGAGCATTCCTGGAGTTGCTGTGCTTAAGTTCGTATTCCTCTAGACTTGAGACAGTGTTCTCGGGGCAACTCTGGAGTTGCATGAAGGAAGTCAAGCCACTCGTGGTGTTTAATGGGGTACGGGGGATGGCTCTGGAGTCAATGCATTGGAATCTGGCATCATCTCGAGTTTATTTGGGGCAAATGGAGCTGCTTTGCGTTGCTGGGGTGACGTCATGGTCCGTCTACACTTGTGACAGTGTTCCTGGGGACTCTCTCGAGATCCATTAAGCAAATCGAACCTGCTGACTTGCTTGATGGGGATCACGGGAATGCTCTGCATGGACTGCAGGGAATCAGGCCTCATCTCACATCTAGGGGAAGTCTCATGGTTTTTCTCGAGTTGCGGCGGGACGTGGGGTATGTTCTCGAGTTATGGCGGGCATGGCCCTTCAAAACACGTGTTTATTCAGTGACGTCAGGACTCCTGACTAGTAATGAGGGACACCTCAGGAATCTCTTCGAGGCTTGGCAGGGGAAAAGGTATGCTTCTCGAGGTGAGGCAGGGCACACAAGAACCCTTTCCTGTAGCCACAGTTATTTTGGGATTCCTATCAATGTTCAGGAGGAGTCAGGCAGCTTCACATTTTGAAGCAATGAACTCCACGTGCCTCTCGTGGTGTCAACGGGATGTGAGGCTTTCCGTCAAAATAAGGCAGGGACCTAGGGCTTTCTCTAAGGTCTCTACAGGGGATTCAGACATCCCTTCATGCTGAGAGATGAAAGACGAGCCTGTATTCAAGCCCCTGCAAGGAAATCCGGCCTCCTTTCATTTTAGGGCTTCTCGCTGTATATTCCACTTGAGGCAGCAAACTCGGGGTCCCACGAACATACCTATTGCTGAGAGAAGCCTCCTCTTGAGGTGCTTCTGGAAAGTTGGCATACGTCTTGAGCCTAAGCCAGGGAATCAGCTCTCATCTCGAGACGATTTGGGGTACACGGAGCATTCCTCGAGTTGCTGTGCTGAAGATGGTGTTCCTCTAGACTTGGGACAGTGTTCTCAGGGCATGTCTGCAGTTGTATGAAGGAAGTCAAGCCACTGGTGGTGTTTAATGTGGAACGGGGGATGCCTCTGGAGTCAATGCAGGGGAATCGGGCATTATCTCGAGTTGATTTGGGGCACATGGTGCTGCTTTGCGATGATGGGGTGACCTCAGGATCCGTCTAGACATGTGACAGTGTTCTTGGGTACTGTCTCGAGATCCATTAAGCAAGTCGAAGCTCCTGACTTGTTTGATGGGGATCACGGAATTGCTCTGCATGCACTGCAGGTGAATCGGGCCTCATCTGGCATCCAGATGGAAGTCTCAAGGTTTTTTTCGAATTGTGGCGGGGACCTGGGTTATGTACTCTGGTTACGGGGGGGAAGGCCCTTCAAAACTCGTGTATATTCAGTGACGTCAGGACTCCTGTCCAATAACGAGGGACAGCTCAGGAATCTCTTCGAGGCTTGGCAGTGCAAAAGGGACGCTTCTCGAGGTGAGGCAGGGCACCCAAGGAACCTTTCCAATAGCCACAGGGATTTTGGGATTCCTATCAATATTCAAGAGGAGTCAGGCATCGTCACCTTTTGAAGCACTGAACTCCGCGTGCCTCTCGAGGTGACAACGGGATGTGAGGCATTACGTCAAACTGAGGCAGGGACCTAGAGCTTTCTCTAAGGTCTCCACAGGGGATTCAGACATCCCTTCATGCTGTGAGATGAAAGACGAGCCTGTATTCAAGCCACTGCAAGGAAAACCGGCCGCCTTTCAAGTTAGGGCTTCTCGCTGTATATTCCACTTGAGGCAGCAAACTGGGGGTCCCTCCAACATACCTATAGCTGAGAGAAGCCTCCTCTTGAGGTGCTTCTGGAAAGTTGGCATACGTCTTGAGCCTAAGCCAGGGAATCAGCTCTCATCTCGAGACGATTTGGGGTACACGGAGCATTCCTCGATTTGCTGTGCTGAAGTTCGTGTTCCTCTAGACTTGGGACAGTGTTCTTGGGGCATCTCTGGAGTTGCCTGAAGGAAGTCAAGCCACTGGTCTTGTTTAATGGGGAACGGGGGATGGCTCCGGAGTCAATGCAGGGGAATCTGGTATCATCCCGAGTGGATTTGGGGCACATTGTGCTGCTTTGCATTGATGGGGTGACCTCAGGATCCGTCTAGACATGTGACTGTATTCTTGGGGACTCTCTCGAGATCCATTAAGCAAGTCGAAGGTCCTGACTTGTTTGATGGGGATCACGGAATTGCTCTGCATGCACTGCAGGAAAATCGGGCCTCATCTCGCCTATAGGGGAAAGTCTCATGGTTTTTCTCGACTTGCGGCGGGGACCTAGGGTATGTACTCCAGTTAAGGCGGGGATGACCCTTCAAAACTCGTGTTTATTCAGTGACGTCAGGACTCCTGTCCAATAACGAGGGACAGCTCAGGAATCTCTTCGAGGCTTGGCAGTGCACAAGGGACGCTTCTCGAGGTGAGGCAGGGCACCCAAGGAACCTTTCCAATAGCCACAGGGATTTTGGGATTCCTGTCAATATACAAGAGGAGTCAGGCATCGTCACCTTTTGAAGCAGTGAACTCTGCGTGCCTCTCGAGGTGACAACGGGATGTGAGGCATTCCGTCAAAATGAGGCAGGGACCCAGAGCTTTCTCTAAGGTCTCCACAGGGGATTCAGACATCCCTTCATGCTGTGAGATGAAAGACGAGCCTGTATTCAAGCCACTGCAAGGAAAACCGGCCTCCTTTCAAGTTAGGGCTTCTCCCTGTATATTCCACTTGAGGCAGCAAACTCGGGGTCCCACGAACATACCTATTGCTGAGAGAAGCCTCCTCTGGGGGTGCTTCTGGAAAGTTGGCATATGTCTTGAGCCTAAGCCAGGGAATCAGCTCTCACCTTGAAACGATTTGGGGTACACGGAGCATTCCTCGAGTTGCTGTGCTGAAGTTGGTGTTCCTCTAGACTTGGGACAGTGTTCTCCGGGCAACTCTGGAGTTGCCTGAAGGAAGTCAAGCCACTGGTGGTGTTTAATGGGGTATGGGGAATGGCTCTGGAGTCAATGCCGGAGAATCGGGCCTCATCTCGAGTTGATGTGGGGCACATGGAGCTGCTTTGCATTGCTGCGGTGACCTCAGGGTCTGTCTAGACTTGTGACAGTGTTCCTGGTGACTCTCTCAAGATCCATTAAGCAAGTCGAAGCTCCTGACTTGCTTGATGGGGATCACGGGCCTGCTCTGCATGGACTGCAGGGAATCAGACCTCATCTCGCATCTAGGGGAAGTCTCTTCGTTTTGCTCGAGTTGCGGCCGGACCTGGGGTATGTTCTCGAGTTATGGCGGGGATGGCCCTTCAAAACACGTGTTTATTCAGTGACGTCAGGACTCCTGTCTAGTAACGAGAGACACCTCAGGAATCTCTTCGAAGCTTGGCAGGGCCAAAGGGATGCTTCCCGAAGTGAGGCAGGGCACCCAAGAACCCTGTCCTGTAGCTACAGTGATTTTGGGATTCCTATCAATGTTCAAGAGGAGTCAGGCATCGTCACATTTTGAAGCAGTGAACTCCGTGTGCCTCTCGAGGTGTCAACGGGATGTGAGACATTCCGTCAAAATGAGGCAGGGACATACGGCTTTCTCTAAGGTCTCCTCAGGGGATTCAGACATTCCTTCTGGTTGTGAGATGAAAGACGAGCCTGTATTCAAGACACTGCAAGGAAATCCGGCCTCCTTTCAAGTTAAGGCTTCTCGTTGTATATTCCACTTGAGGCAGCAAACTGGGGGTCCCTCCCTCATACCGATTGCTGAGAGAAGCCTCCTCTTGAGGTGCTTCTGGAAAGTTGGCATACGTCTTGAGCCTAAGCTAGGGAATCAGCTCTCACCTCGAAACGATTTGGGGTACACCGGTCATTCCTCGAGTTGCTGTGCTGAAGTTGGTGTTCCTCTAGACTTGGGACAGTGTTCTCGGGGCATCTCTGGAGTTGCCTGAAGGAAGTCAAGCCACTGGTCGTGTTTAATGGGGAACGGGGGATGGCTCCGGAGTCAATGCAGGGGAATCTGGCATCATCCCGAGTGGATTTGGGGCACATTGTGCTGCTTTGCATTGATGGGGTGACCTCAGGATCCGTCTAGACATGTGACTGTATTCTTGGGGACTCTCTCGAGATCCATTAAGCAAGTCGAAGGTCCTGACTTGTTTGATGGGGATCACGGAATTGCTCTGCATGCACTGCAGGAAAATCGGGCCTCATCTCGCCTATAGGGGAAAGTCTCATGGTTTTTCTCGACTTGCGGCGGGGACCTAGGGTATGTACTCCGGTTAAGGCGGGGATGACCCTTCAAAACTCGTGTTTATTCAGTGACGTCAGGACTCCTGTCCAATAACGAGGGACAGCTCAGGAATCTCTTCTAGGCTTGGCAGTGCACAAGGGACGCTTCTCGAGGTGAGGCAGGGCACCCAAGGAACCTTTCCAATAGCCACAGGGATTTTGGGATTCCTGTCAATATTCAAGAGGAGTCAGGCATCGTCACCTTTTGAAGCAGTGAACTCCGCGTGCCTCTCGAGGTGACAACGGGATGTGAGGCATTCCGTCAAAATGAGGCAGGGACCCAGAGCTTTCTCTAAGGTCTCCACAGGGGATTCAGACATCCCTTCATGGTGTGAGATGAAAGACGAGCCTGTATTCAAGCCACTGCAAGGAAAACCGGCCTCCTTTCAAGTTAGGGCTTCTCGCTGTATATTCCACTTGAGGCAGCAAACTGGGGGTCCCTCCAACATACCTATAGCTGAGAGAAGCCTCCTCTTGAGGTGCTTCTGGAAAGTTGGCATACGTCTTGAGCCTAAGCCAGGGAATCAGCTCTCATCTCGAGACGATTTGGGGTACACGGAGCATTCCTCGTGTTGCTGTGCTGAAGTTCGTATTCCTCTAGACTTGGGACATTGTTCTCAGGGAATCTCTGGAGTTGCCTGAAGGAAGTCAAGCCACTGGTGGTGTTTAATGGGCTACGGGGGATGGCTCTGGAGTCAATGCAGGGGAATCGGGCCTCATCTCGAGTTGATGTGGGGTACTTGGAGCTGCTTTGCATTGCTGGGGTGACCTCAGGTTCTGTCTAGACTTTTGACAGTGTTCCTGGGGACTTTCGCGAGTTCGATTAAGCAAGTCGAATCTCCTGACTTGCTTGATGGGGATCACGGGAATGCTCTGCATGGACTGCAGGGAATAAGGCTTCATCTCGTATCTAGGGGAAGTGTCATGGTTTTTCTCGAGTTGCGGCGAGACCTGTGGTATGTTCTCGAGTTATGGTGGGGATGGCCCTTCAAAACACGTGTTTATTCAGTGACGTCAGGACTCCTGTCTAGTAACGAGAGACACCTCAGGAATCTCTTCGAGGCTTGGCAGGGCACAAGGGACGCTTCTCGAGGTGAGGCAGGGCACCCAAGGAACCTTTCCAATAGCCATAGGGATTTTGGGATTCCAATCAATATTCAAGAGGAGTCAGGCATCGTCCCCTTTTGAAATAGTGAACTCCGCGTGCCTCTCGAGGTGACAATGGGATGTGAGGCATTCCGTCCAAATGAGGCAGGGACCTAGGGCTTTCTCTAAGGTCTTCACAGGGGATTCAGTCATCCCTTCCTGTTGTGAGATGAAAGACGAGCCTGTATACAAGACACTGCAAGGAAATCCGGCCTCCTTTCAAGTTAGGGCTTCTCGCTGTATATTCCACTTGAGGCAGCAAACTCGGGGTCCCACGAACAAACCTATTGCTGAGAGAAGCCTCCTCTTGTGGTGCTTCTGGAAAGTTGGCATACGTCTTGAGCCTAAGCCAGGGTATCAGCTCTCATCTCGAGACGATTTGGGGTACACGGAGCATTCCTGGAGTTGCTGTGCTTAAGTTCGTATTCCTCTAGACTTGAGACAGTGTTCTCGGGGCAACTCTGGAGTTGCATGAAGGAAGTCAAGCCACTCGTGGTGTTTAATGGGGTACGGGGGATGGCTCTGGAGTCAATGCATTGGAATCTGGCATCATCTCGAGTTTATTTGGGGCAAATGGAGCTGCTTTGCGTTGCTGGGGTGACGTCATGGTCCGTCTACACTTGTGACAGTGTTCCTGGGGACTCTCTCGAGATCCATTAAGCAAATCGAACCTGCTGACTTGCTTGATGGGGATCACGGGAATGCTCTGCATGGACTGCAGGGAATCAGGCCTCATCTCACATCTAGGGGAAGTCTCATGGTTTTTCTCGAGTTGCGGCGGGACGTGGGGTATGTTCTCGAGTTATGGCGGGCATGGCCCTTCAAAACACGTGTTTATTCAGTGACGTCAGGACTCCTGACTAGTAATGAGGGACACCTCAGGAATCTCTTCGAGGCTTGGCAGGGGAAAAGGTATGCTTCTCGAGGTGAGGCAGGGCACACAAGAACCCTTTCCTGTAGCCACAGTTATTTTGGGATTCCTATCAATGTTCAGGAGGAGTCAGGCAGCTTCACATTTTGAAGCAATGAACTCCACGTGCCTCTCGTGGTGTCAACGGGATGTGAGGCTTTCCGTCAAAATAAGGCAGGGACCTAGGGCTTTCTCTAAGGTCTCTACAGGGGATTCAGACATCCCTTCATGCTGAGAGATGAAAGACGAGCCTGTATTCAAGCCCCTGCAAGGAAATCCGGCCTCCTTTCATTTTAGGGCTTCTCGCTGTATATTCCACTTGAGGCAGCAAACTCGGGGTCCCACGAACATACCTATTGCTGAGAGAAGCCTCCTCTTGAGGTGCTTCTGGAAAGTTGGCATACGTCTTGAGCCTAAGCCAGGGAATCAGCTCTCATCTCGAGACGATTTGGGGTACACGGAGCATTCCTCGAGTTGCTGTGCTGAAGATGGTGTTCCTCTAGACTTGGGACAGTGTTCTCAGGGCATGTCTGCAGTTGTATGAAGGAAGTCAAGCCACTGGTGGTGTTTAATGTGGAACGGGGGATGCCTCTGGAGTCAATGCAGGGGAATCGGGCATTATCTCGAGTTGATTTGGGGCACATGGTGCTGCTTTGCGATGATGGGGTGACCTCAGGATCCGTCTAGACATGTGACAGTGTTCTTGGGTACTGTCTCGAGATCCATTAAGCAAGTCGAAGCTCCTGACTTGTTTGATGGGGATCACGGAATTGCTCTGCATGCACTGCAGGTGAATCGGGCCTCATCTGGCATCCAGATGGAAGTCTCAAGGTTTTTTTCGAATTGTGGCGGGGACCTGGGTTATGTACTCTGGTTACGGGGGGGAAGGCCCTTCAAAACTCGTGTATATTCAGTGACGTCAGGACTCCTGTCCAATAACGAGGGACAGCTCAGGAATCTCTTCGAGGCTTGGCAGTGCAAAAGGGACGCTTCTCGAGGTGAGGCAGGGCACCCAAGGAACCTTTCCAATAGCCACAGGGATTTTGGGATTCCTATCAATATTCAAGAGGAGTCAGGCATCGTCACCTTTTGAAGCACTGAACTCCGCGTGCCTCTCGAGGTGACAACGGGATGTGAGGCATTACGTCAAACTGAGGCAGGGACCTAGAGCTTTCTCTAAGGTCTCCACAGGGGATTCAGACATCCCTTCATGCTGTGAGATGAAAGACGAGCCTGTATTCAAGCCACTGCAAGGAAAACCGGCCGCCTTTCAAGTTAGGGCTTCTCGCTGTATATTCCACTTGAGGCAGCAAACTGGGGGTCCCTCCAACATACCTATAGCTGAGAGAAGCCTCCTCTTGAGGTGCTTCTGGAAAGTTGGCATACGTCTTGAGCCTAAGCCAGGGAATCAGCTCTCATCTCGAGACGATTTGGGGTACACGGAGCATTCCTCGATTTGCTGTGCTGAAGTTCGTGTTCCTCTAGACTTGGGACAGTGTTCTTGGGGCATCTCTGGAGTTGCCTGAAGGAAGTCAAGCCACTGGTCTTGTTTAATGGGGAACGGGGGATGGCTCCGGAGTCAATGCAGGGGAATCTGGTATCATCCCGAGTGGATTTGGGGCACATTGTGCTGCTTTGCATTGATGGGGTGACCTCAGGATCCGTCTAGACATGTGACTGTATTCTTGGGGACTCTCTCGAGATCCATTAAGCAAGTCGAAGGTCCTGACTTGTTTGATGGGGATCACGGAATTGCTCTGCATGCACTGCAGGAAAATCGGGCCTCATCTCGCCTATAGGGGAAAGTCTCATGGTTTTTCTCGACTTGCGGCGGGGACCTAGGGTATGTACTCCAGTTAAGGCGGGGATGACCCTTCAAAACTCGTGTTTATTCAGTGACGTCAGGACTCCTGTCCAATAACGAGGGACAGCTCAGGAATCTCTTCGAGGCTTGGCAGTGCACAAGGGACGCTTCTCGAGGTGAGGCAGGGCACCCAAGGAACCTTTCCAATAGCCACAGGGATTTTGGGATTCCTGTCAATATACAAGAGGAGTCAGGCATCGTCACCTTTTGAAGCAGTGAACTCTGCGTGCCTCTCGAGGTGACAACGGGATGTGAGGCATTCCGTCAAAATGAGGCAGGGACCCAGAGCTTTCTCTAAGGTCTCCACAGGGGATTCAGACATCCCTTCATGCTGTGAGATGAAAGACGAGCCTGTATTCAAGCCACTGCAAGGAAAACCGGCCTCCTTTCAAGTTAGGGCTTCTCGCTGTATATTCCACTTGAGGCAGCAAACTCGGGGTCCCACGAACATACCTATTGCTGAGAGAAGCCTCCTCTGGGGGTGCTTCTGGAAAGTTGGCATATGTCTTGAGCCTAAGCCAGGGAATCAGCTCTCACCTTGAAACGATTTGGGGTACACGGAGCATTCCTCGAGTTGCTGTGCTGAAGTTGGTGTTCCTCTAGACTTGGGACAGTGTTCTCCGGGCAACTCTGGAGTTGCCTGAAGGAAGTCAAGCCACTGGTGGTGTTTAATGGGGTATGGGGAATGGCTCTGGAGTCAATGCCGGAGAATCGGGCCTCATCTCGAGTTGATGTGGGGCACATGGAGCTGCTTTGCATTGCTGCGGTGACCTCAGGGTCTGTCTAGACTTGTGACAGTGTTCCTGGTGACTCTCTCAAGATCCATTAAGCAAGTCGAAGCTCCTGACTTGCTTGATGGGGATCACGGGCCTGCTCTGCATGGACTGCAGGGAATCAGACCTCATCTCGCATCTAGGGGAAGTCTCTTCGTTTTGCTCGAGTTGCGGCCGGACCTGGGGTATGTTCTCGAGTTATGGCGGGGATGGCCCTTCAAAACACGTGTTTATTCAGTGACGTCAGGACTCCTGTCTAGTAACGAGAGACACCTCAGGAATCTCTTCGAAGCTTGGCAGGGCAAAAGGGATGCTTCCCGAAGTGAGGCAGGGCACCCAAGAACCCTGTCCTGTAGCTACAGTGATTTTGGGATTCCTATCAATGTTCAAGAGGAGTCAGGCATCGTCACATTTTGAAGCAGTGAACTCCGTGTGCCTCTCGAGGTGTCAACGGGATGTGAGACATTCCGTCAAAATGAGGCAGGGACATACGGCTTTCTCTAAGGTCTCCTCAGGGGATTCAGACATTCCTTCTGGTTGTGAGATGAAAGACGAGCCTGTATTCAAGACACTGCAAGGAAATCCGGCCTCCTTTCAAGTTAAGGCTTCTCGTTGTATATTCCACTTGAGGCAGCAAACTGGGGGTCCCTCCCTCATACCGATTGCTGAGAGAAGCCTCCTCTTGAGGTGCTTCTGGAAAGTTGGCATACGTCTTGAGCCTAAGCTAGGGAATCAGCTCTCACCTCGAAACGATTTGGGGTACACCGGTCATTCCTCGAGTTGCTGTGCTGAAGTTGGTGTTCCTCTAGACTTGGGACAGTGTTCTCGGGGCATCTCTGGAGTTGCCTGAAGGAAGTCAAGCCACTGGTCGTGTTTAATGGGCAACGGGGGATGGCTCCGGAGTCAATGCAGGGGAATCTGGCATCATCCCGAGTGGATTTGGGGCACATTGTGCTGCTTTGCATTGATGGGGTGACCTCAGGATCCGTCTAGACATGTGACTGTATTCTTGGGGACTCTCTCGAGATCCATTAAGCAAGTCGAAAGTCCTGACTTGTTTGATGGGGATCACGGAATTGCTCTGCATGCACTGCAGGAAAATCGGGCCTCATCTCGCCTATAGGGGAAAGTCTCATGGTTTTTCTCGACTTGCGGCGGGGACCTAGGGTATGTACTCCGGTTAAGGCGGGGATGACCCTTCAAAACTCGTGTTTATTCAGTGACGTCAGGACTCCTGTCCAATAACGAGGGACAGCTCAGGAATCTCTTCTAGGCTTGGCAGTGCACAAGGGACGCTTCTCGAGGTGAGGCAGGGCACCCAAGGAACCTTTCCAATAGCCACAGGGATTTTGGGATTCCTGTCAATATTCAAGAGGAGTCAGGCATCGTCACCTTTTGAAGCAGTGAACTCCGCGTGCCTCTCGAGGTGACAACGGGATGTGAGGCATTCCGTCAAAATGAGGCAGGGACCCAGAGCTTTCTCTAAGGTCTCCACAGGGGATTCAGACATCCCTTCATGGTGTGAGATGAAAGACGAGCCTGTATTCAAGCCACTGCAAGGAAAACCGGCCTCCTTTCAAGTTAGGGCTTCTCGCTGTATATTCCACTTGAGGCAGCAAACTGGGGGTCCCTCCAACATACCTATAGCTGAGAGAAGCCTCCTCTTGAGGTGCTTCTGGAAAGTTGGCATACGTCTTGAGCCTAAGCCAGGGAATCAGCTCTCATCTCGAGACGATTTGGGGTACACGGAGCATTCCTCGTGTTGCTGTGCTGAAGTTCGTATTCCTCTAGACTTGGGACATTGTTCTCAGGGAATCTCTGGAGTTGCCTGAAGGAAGTCAAGCCACTGGTGGTGTTTAATGGGCTACGGGGGATGGCTCTGGAGTCAATGCAGGGGAATCGGGCCTCATCTCGAGTTGATGTGGGGTACTTGGAGCTGCTTTGCATTGCTGGGGTGACCTCACGTTCTGTCTAGACTTTTGACAGTGTTCCTGGGGACTTTCGCGAGTTCGATTAAGCAAGTCGAATCTCCTGACTTGCTTGATGGGGATCACGGGAATGCTCTGCATGGACTGCAGGGAATAAGGCTTCATCTCGTATCTAGGGGAAGTGTCATGGTTTTTCTCGAGTTGCGGCGAGACCTGTGGTATGTTCTCGAGTTATGGTGGGGATGGCCCTTCAAAACACGTGTTTATTCAGTGATGTCAGGACTCCTGTCTAGTAACGAGAGACACCTCAGGAATCTCTTCGAGGCTTGGCAGGGCACAAGGGACGCTTCTCGAGGTGAGGCAGGGCACCCAAGGAACCTTTCCAATAGCCATAGGGATTTTGGGATTCCAATCAATATTCAAGAGGAGTCAGGCATCGTCCCCTTTTGAAATAGTGAACTCCGCGTGCCTCTCGAGGTGACAATGGGATGTGAGGCATTCCGTCCAAATGAGGCAGGGACCTAGGGCTTTCTCTAAGGTCTTCACAGGGGATTCAGTCATCCCTTCCTGTTGTGAGATGAAAGACGAGCCTGTATACAAGACACTGCAAGGAAATCCGGCCTCCTTTCAAGTTAGGGCTTCTCGCTGTATATTCCACTTGAGGCAGCAAACTCGGGGTCCCACGAACAAACCTATTGCTGAGAGAAGCCTCCTCTTGTGGTGCTTCTGGAAAGTTGGCATACGTCTTGAGCCTAAGCCAGGGTATCAGCTCTCATCTCGAGACGATTTGGGGTACACGGAGCATTCCTGGAGTTGCTGTGCTTAAGTTCGTATTCCTCTAGACTTGAGACAGTGTTCTCGGGGCAACTCTGGAGTTGCATGAAGGAAGTCAAGCCACTCGTGGTGTTTAATGGGGTACGGGGGATGGCTCTGGAGTCAATGCATTGGAATCTGGCATCATCTCGAGTTTATTTGGGGCAAATGGAGCTGCTTTGCGTTGCTGGGGTGACGTCATGGTCCGTCTACACTTGTGACAGTGTTCCTGGGGACTCTCTCGAGATCCATTAAGCAAATCGAACCTGCTGACTTGCTTGATGGGGATCACGGGAATGCTCTGCATGGACTGCAGGGAATCAGGCCTCATCTCACATCTAGGGGAAGTCTCATGGTTTTTCTCGAGTTGCGGCGGGACGTGGGGTATGTTCTCGAGTTATGGCGGGCATGGCCCTTCAAAACACGTGTTTATTCAGTGACGTCAGGACTCCTGACTAGTAATGAGGGACACCTCAGGAATCTCTTCGAGGCTTGGCAGGGGAAAAGGTATGCTTCTCGAGGTGAGGCAGGGCACACAAGAACCCTTTCCTGTAGCCACAGTTATTTTGGGATTCCTATCAATGTTCAGGAGGAGTCAGGCAGCTTCACATTTTGAAGCAATGAACTCCACGTGCCTCTCGTGGTGTCAACGGGATGTGAGGCTTTCCGTCAAAATAAGGCAGGGACCTAGGGCTTTCTCTAAGGTCTCTACAGGGGATTCAGACATCCCTTCATGCTGAGAGATGAAAGACGAGCCTGTATTCAAGCCCCTGCAAGGAAATCCGGCCTCCTTTCATTTTAGGGCTTCTCGCTGTATATTCCACTTGAGGCAGCAAACTCGGGGTCCCACGAACATACCTATTGCTGAGAGAAGCCTCCTCTTGAGGTGCTTCTGGAAAGTTGGCATACGTCTTGAGCCTAAGCCAGGGAATCAGCTCTCATCTCGAGACGATTTGGGGTACACGGAGCATTCCTCGAGTTGCTGTGCTGAAGATGGTGTTCCTCTAGACTTGGGACAGTGTTCTCAGGGCATGTCTGCAGTTGTATGAAGGAAGTCAAGCCACTGGTGGTGTTTAATGTGGAACGGGGGATGCCTCTGGAGTCAATGCAGGGGAATCGGGCATTATCTCGAGTTGATTTGGGGCACATGGTGCTGCTTTGCGATGATGGGGTGACCTCAGGATCCGTCTAGACATGTGACAGTGTTCTTGGGTACTGTCTCGAGATCCATTAAGCAAGTCGAAGCTCCTGACTTGTTTGATGGGGATCACGGAATTGCTCTGCATGCACTGCAGGTGAATCGGGCCTCATCTGGCATCCAGATGGAAGTCTCAAGGTTTTTTTCGAATTGTGGCGGGGACCTGGGTTATGTACTCTGGTTACGGGGGGGAAGGCCCTTCAAAACTCGTGTATATTCAGTGACGTCAGGACTCCTGTCCAATAACGAGGGACAGCTCAGGAATCTCTTCGAGGCTTGGCAGTGCAAAAGGGACGCTTCTCGAGGTGAGGCAGGGCACCCAAGGAACCTTTCCAATAGCCACAGGGATTTTGGGATTCCTATCAATATTCAAGAGGAGTCAGGCATCGTCACCTTTTGAAGCACTGAACTCCGCGTGCCTCTCGAGGTGACAACGGGATGTGAGGCATTACGTCAAACTGAGGCAGGGACCTAGAGCTTTCTCTAAGGTCTCCACAGGGGATTCAGACATCCCTTCATGCTGTGAGATGAAAGACGAGCCTGTATTCAAGCCACTGCAAGGAAAACCGGCCGCCTTTCAAGTTAGGGCTTCTCGCTGTATATTCCACTTGAGGCAGCAAACTGGGGGTCCCTCCAACATACCTATAGCTGAGAGAAGCCTCCTCTTGAGGTGCTTCTGGAAAGTTGGCATACGTCTTGAGCCTAAGCCAGGGAATCAGCTCTCATCTCGAGACGATTTGGGGTACACGGAGCATTCCTCGATTTGCTGTGCTGAAGTTCGTGTTCCTCTAGACTTGGGACAGTGTTCTTGGGGCATCTCTGGAGTTGCCTGAAGGAAGTCAAGCCACTGGTCTTGTTTAATGGGGAACGGGGGATGGCTCCGGAGTCAATGCAGGGGAATCTGGTATCATCCCGAGTGGATTTGGGGCACATTGTGCTGCTTTGCATTGATGGGGTGACCTCAGGATCCGTCTAGACATGTGACTGTATTCTTGGGGACTCTCTCGAGATCCATTAAGCAAGTCGAAGGTCCTGACTTGTTTGATGGGGATCACGGAATTGCTCTGCATGCACTGCAGGAAAATCGGGCCTCATCTCGCCTATAGGGGAAAGTCTCATGGTTTTTCTCGACTTGCGGCGGGGACCTAGGGTATGTACTCCAGTTAAGGCGGGGATGACCCTTCAAAACTCGTGTTTATTCAGTGACGTCAGGACTCCTGTCCAATAACGAGGGACAGCTCAGGAATCTCTTCGAGGCTTGGCAGTGCACAAGGGACGCTTCTCGAGGTGAGGCAGGGCACCCAAGGAACCTTTCCAATAGCCACAGGGATTTTGGGATTCCTGTCAATATACAAGAGGAGTCAGGCATCGTCACCTTTTGAAGCAGTGAACTCTGCGTGCCTCTCGAGGTGACAACGGGATGTGAGGCATTCCGTCAAAATGAGGCAGGGACCCAGAGCTTTCTCTAAGGTCTCCACAGGGGATTCAGACATCCCTTCATGCTGTGAGATGAAAGACGAGCCTGTATTCAAGCCACTGCAAGGAAAACCGGCCTCCTTTCAAGTTAGGGCTTCTCCCTGTATATTCCACTTGAGGCAGCAAACTCGGGGTCCCACGAACATACCTATTGCTGAGAGAAGCCTCCTCTGGGGGTGCTTCTGGAAAGTTGGCATATGTCTTGAGCCTAAGCCAGGGAATCAGCTCTCACCTTGAAACGATTTGGGGTACACGGAGCATTCCTCGAGTTGCTGTGCTGAAGTTGGTGTTCCTCTAGACTTGGGACAGTGTTCTCCGGGCAACTCTGGAGTTGCCTGAAGGAAGTCAAGCCACTGGTGGTGTTTAATGGGGTATGGGGAATGGCTCTGGAGTCAATGCCGGAGAATCGGGCCTCATCTCGAGTTGATGTGGGGCACATGGAGCTGCTTTGCATTGCTGCGGTGACCTCAGGGTCTGTCTAGACTTGTGACAGTGTTCCTGGTGACTCTCTCAAGATCCATTAAGCAAGTCGAAGCTCCTGACTTGCTTGATGGGGATCACGGGCCTGCTCTGCATGGACTGCAGGGAATCAGACCTCATCTCGCATCTAGGGGAAGTCTCTTCGTTTTGCTCGAGTTGCGGCCGGACCTGGGGTATGTTCTCGAGTTATGGCGGGGATGGCCCTTCAAAACACGTGTTTATTCAGTGACGTCAGGACTCCTGTCTAGTAACGAGAGACACCTCAGGAATCTCTTCGAAGCTTGGCAGGGCAAAAGGGATGCTTCCCGAAGTGAGGCAGGGCACCCAAGAACCCTGTCCTGTAGCTACAGTGATTTTGGGATTCCTATCAATGTTCAAGAGGAGTCAGGCATCGTCACATTTTGAAGCAGTGAACTCCGTGTGCCTCTCGAGGTGTCAACGGGATGTGAGACATTCCGTCAAAATGAGGCAGGGACATACGGCTTTCTCTAAGGTCTCCTCAGGGGATTCAGACATTCCTTCTGGTTGTGAGATGAAAGACGAGCCTGTATTCAAGACACTGCAAGGAAATCCGGCCTCCTTTCAAGTTAAGGCTTCTCGTTGTATATTCCACTTGAGGCAGCAAACTGGGGGTCCCTCCCTCATACCGATTGCTGAGAGAAGCCTCCTCTTGAGGTGCTTCTGGAAAGTTGGCATACGTCTTGAGCCTAAGCTAGGGAATCAGCTCTCACCTCGAAACGATTTGGGGTACACCGGTCATTCCTCGAGTTGCTGTGCTGAAGTTGGTGTTCCTCTAGACTTGGGACAGTGTTCTCGGGGCATCTCTGGAGTTGCCTGAAGGAAGTCAAGCCACTGGTCGTGTTTAATGGGGAACGGGGGATGGCTCCGGAGTCAATGCAGGGGAATCTGGCATCAACCCGAGTGGATTTGGGGCACATTGTGCTGCTTTGCATTGATGGGGTGACCTCAGGATCCGTCTAGACATGTGACTGTATTCTTGGGGACTCTCTCGAGATCCATTAAGCAAGTCGAAGGTCCTGACTTGTTTGATGGGGATCACGGAATTGCTCTGCATGCACTGCAGGAAAATCGGGCCTCATCTCGCCTATAGGGGAAAGTCTCATGGTTTTTCTCGACTTGCGGCGGGGACCTAGGGTATGTACTCCGGTTAAGGCGGGGATGACCCTTCAAAACTCGTGTTTATTCAGTGACGTCAGGACTCCTGTCCAATAACGAGGGACAGCTCAGGAATCTCTTCTAGGCTTGGCAGTGCACAAGGGACGCTTCTCGAGGTGAGGCAGGGCACCCAAGGAACCTTTCCAATAGCCACAGGGATTTTGGGATTCCTGTCAATATTCAAGAGGAGTCAGGCATCGTCACCTTTTGAAGCAGTGAACTCCGCGTGCCTCTCGAGGTGACAACGGGATGTGAGGCATTCCGTCAAAATGAGGCAGGGACCCAGAGCTTTCTCTAAGGTCTCCACAGGGGATTCAGACATCCCTTCATGGTGTGAGATGAAAGACGAGCCTGTATTCAAGCCACTGCAAGGAAAACCGGCCTCCTTTCAAGTTAGGGCTTCTCGCTGTATATTCCACTTGAGGCAGCAAACTGGGGGTCCCTCCAACATACCTATAGCTGAGAGAAGCCTCCTCTTGAGGTGCTTCTGGAAAGTTGGCATACGTCTTGAGCCTAAGCCAGGGAATCAGCTCTCATCTCGAGACGATTTGGGGTACACGGAGCATTCCTCGTGTTGCTGTGCTGAAGTTCGTATTCCTCTAGACTTGGGACATTGTTCTCAGGGAATCTCTGGAGTTGCCTGAAGGAAGTCAAGCCACTGGTGGTGTTTAATGGGCTACGGGGGATGGCTCTGGAGTCAATGCAGGGGAATCGGGCCTCATCTCGAGTTGATGTGGGGTACTTGGAGCTGCTTTGCATTGCTGGGGTGACCTCAGGTTCTGTCTAGACTTTTGACAGTGTTCCTGGGGACTTTCGCGAGTTCGATTAAGCAAGTCGAATCTCCTGACTTGCTTGATGGGGATCACGGGAATGCTCTGCATGGACTGCAGGGAATAAGGCTTCATCTCGTATCTAGGGGAAGTGTCATGGTTTTTCTCGAGTTGCGGCGAGACCTGTGGTATGTTCTCGAGTTATGGTGGGGATGGCCCTTCAAAACACGTGTTTATTCAGTGACGTCAGGACTCCTGTCTAGTAACGAGAGACACCTCAGGAATCTCTTCGAGGCTTGGCAGGGCACAAGGGACGCTTCTCGAGGTGAGGCAGGGCACCCAAGGAACCTTTCCAATAGCCATAGGGATTTTGGGATTCCAATCAATATTCAAGAGGAGTCAGGCATCGTCCCCTTTTGAAATAGTGAACTCCGCGTGCCTCTCGAGGTGACAATGGGATGTGAGGCATTCCGTCCAAATGAGGCAGGGACCTAGGGCTTTCTCTAAGGTCTTCACAGGGGATTCAGTCATCCCTTCCTGTTGTGAGATGAAAGACGAGCCTGTATACAAGACACTGCAAGGAAATCCGGCCTCCTTTCAAGTTAGGGCTTCTCGCTGTATATTCCACTTGAGGCAGCAAACTCGGGGTCCCACGAACAAACCTATTGCTGAGAGAAGCCTCCTCTTGTGGTGCTTCTGGAAAGTTGGCATACGTCTTGAGCCTAAGCCAGGGTATCAGCTCTCATCTCGAGACGATTTGGGGTACACGGAGCATTCCTGGAGTTGCTGTGCTTAAGTTCGTATTCCTCTAGACTTGAGACAGTGTTCTCGGGGCAACTCTGGAGTTGCATGAAGGAAGTCAAGCCACTCGTGGTGTTTAATGGGGTACGGGGGATGGCTCTGGAGTCAATGCATTGGAATCTGGCATCATCTCGAGTTTATTTGGGGCAAATGGAGCTGCTTTGCGTTGCTGGGGTGACGTCATGGTCCGTCTACACTTGTGACAGTGTTCCTGGGGACTCTCTCGAGATCCATTAAGCAAATCGAACCTGCTGACTTGCTTGATGGGGATCACGGGAATGCTCTGCATGGACTGCAGGGAATCAGGCCTCATCTCACATCTAGGGGAAGTCTCATGGTTTTTCTCGAGTTGCGGCGGGACGTGGGGTATGTTCTCGAGTTATGGCGGGCATGGCCCTTCAAAACACGTGTTTATTCAGTGACGTCAGGACTCCTGACTAGTAATGAGGGACACCTCAGGAATCTCTTCGAGGCTTGGCAGGGGAAAAGGTATGCTTCTCGAGGTGAGGCAGGGCACACAAGAACCCTTTCCTGTAGCCACAGTTATTTTGGGATTCCTATCAATGTTCAGGAGGAGTCAGGCAGCTTCACATTTTGAAGCAATGAACTCCACGTGCCTCTCGTGGTGTCAACGGGATGTGAGGCTTTCCGTCAAAATAAGGCAGGGACCTAGGGCTTTCTCTAAGGTCTCTACAGGGGATTCAGACATCCCTTCATGCTGAGAGATGAAAGACGAGCCTGTATTCAAGCCCCTGCAAGGAAATCCGGCCTCCTTTCATTTTAGGGCTTCTCGCTGTATATTCCACTTGAGGCAGCAAACTCGGGGTCCCACGAACATACCTATTGCTGAGAGAAGCCTCCTCTTGAGGTGCTTCTGGAAAGTTGGCATACGTCTTGAGCCTAAGCCAGGGAATCAGCTCTCATCTCGAGACGATTTGGGGTACACGGAGCATTCCTCGAGTTGCTGTGCTGAAGATGGTGTTCCTCTAGACTTGGGACAGTGTTCTCAGGGCATGTCTGCAGTTGTATGAAGGAAGTCAAGCCACTGGTGGTGTTTAATGTGGAACGGGGGATGCCTCTGGAGTCAATGCAGGGGAATCGGGCATTATCTCGAGTTGATTTGGGGCACATGGTGCTGCTTTGCGATGATGGGGTGACCTCAGGATCCGTCTAGACATGTGACAGTGTTCTTGGGTACTGTCTCGAGATCCATTAAGCAAGTCGAAGCTCCTGACTTGTTTGATGGGGATCACGGAATTGCTCTGCATGCACTGCAGGTGAATCGGGCCTCATCTGGCATCCAGATGGAAGTCTCAAGGTTTTTTTCGAATTGTGGCGGGGACCTGGGTTATGTACTCTGGTTACGGGGGGGAAGGCCCTTCAAAACTCGTGTATATTCAGTGACGTCAGGACTCCTGTCCAATAACGAGGGACAGCTCAGGAATCTCTTCGAGGCTTGGCAGTGCAAAAGGGACGCTTCTCGAGGTGAGGCAGGGCACCCAAGGAACCTTTCCAATAGCCACAGGGATTTTGGGATTCCTATCAATATTCAAGAGGAGTCAGGCATCGTCACCTTTTGAAGCACTGAACTCCGCGTGCCTCTCGAGGTGACAACGGGATGTGAGGCATTACGTCAAACTGAGGCAGGGACCTAGAGCTTTCTCTAAGGTCTCCACAGGGGATTCAGACATCCCTTCATGCTGTGAGATGAAAGACGAGCCTGTATTCAAGCCACTGCAAGGAAAACCGGCCGCCTTTCAAGTTAGGGCTTCTCGCTGTATATTCCACTTGAGGCAGCAAACTGGGGGTCCCTCCAACATACCTATAGCTGAGAGAAGCCTCCTCTTGAGGTGCTTCTGGAAAGTTGGCATACGTCTTGAGCCTAAGCCAGGGAATCAGCTCTCATCTCGAGACGATTTGGGGTACACGGAGCATTCCTCGATTTGCTGTGCTGAAGTTCGTGTTCCTCTAGACTTGGGACAGTGTTCTTGGGGCATCTCTGGAGTTGCCTGAAGGAAGTCAAGCCACTGGTCTTGTTTAATGGGGAACGGGGGATGGCTCCGGAGTCAATGCAGGGGAATCTGGTATCATCCCGAGTGGATTTGGGGCACATTGTGCTGCTTTGCATTGATGGGGTGACCTCAGGATCCGTCTAGACATGTGACTGTATTCTTGGGGACTCTCTCGAGATCCATTAAGCAAGTCGAAGGTCCTGACTTGTTTGATGGGGATCACGGAATTGCTCTGCATGCACTGCAGGAAAATCGGGCCTCATCTCGCCTATAGGGGAAAGTCTCATGGTTTTTCTCGACTTGCGGCGGGGACCTAGGGTATGTACTCCAGTTAAGGCGGGGATGACCCTTCAAAACTCGTGTTTATTCAGTGACGTCAGGACTCCTGTCCAATAACGAGGGACAGCTCAGGAATCTCTTCGAGGCTTGGCAGTGCACAAGGGACGCTTCTCGAGGTGAGGCAGGGCACCCAAGGAACCTTTCCAATAGCCACAGGGATTTTGGGATTCCTGTCAATATACAAGAGGAGTCAGGCATCGTCACCTTTTGAAGCAGTGAACTCTGCGTGCCTCTCGAGGTGACAACGGGATGTGAGGCATTCCGTCAAAATGAGGCAGGGACCCAGAGCTTTCTCTAAGGTCTCCACAGGGGATTCAGACATCCCTTCATGCTGTGAGATGAAAGACGAGCCTGTATTCAAGCCACTGCAAGGAAAACCGGCCTCCTTTCAAGTTAGGGCTTCTCGCTGTATATTCCACTTGAGGCAGCAAACTCGGGGTCCCACGAACATACCTATTGCTGAGAGAAGCCTCCTCTGGGGGTGCTTCTGGAAAGTTGGCATATGTCTTGAGCCTAAGCCAGGGAATCAGCTCTCACCTTGAAACGATTTGGGGTACACGGAGCATTCCTCGAGTTGCTGTGCTGAAGTTGGTGTTCCTCTAGACTTGGGACAGTGTTCTCTGGGCAACTCTGGAGTTGCCTGAAGGAAGTCAAGCCACTGGTGGTGTTTAATGGGGTATGGGGAATGGCTCTGGAGTCAATGCCGGAGAATCGGGCCTCATCTCGAGTTGATGTGGGGCACATGGAGCTGCTTTGCATTGCTGCGGTGACCTCAGGGTCTGTCTAGACTTGTGACAGTGTTCCTGGTGACTCTCTCAAGATCCATTAAGCAAGTCGAAGCTCCTGACTTGCTTGATGGGGATCACGGGCCTGCTCTGCATGGACTGCAGGGAATCAGACCTCATCTCGCATCTAGGGGAAGTCTCTTCGTTTTGCTCGAGTTGCGGCCGGACCTGGGGTATGTTCTCGAGTTATGGCGGGGATGGCCCTTCAAAACACGAGTTTCTTCAGTGACGTCAGGACTCCTGTCTATTAACGAGAGACACCTCAGGAATCTCTTCGAAGCTTGGCAGGGCAAAAGGGATGCTTCCCGAAGTGAGGCAGGGCACCCAAGAACCCTGTCCTGTAGCTACAGTGATTTTGGGATTCCTATCAATGTTCAAGAGGAGTCAGGCATCGTCACATTTTGAAGCAGTGAACTCCGTGTGCCTCTCGAGGTGTCAACGGGATGTGAGACATTCCGTCAAAATGAGGCAGGGACATACGGCTTTCTCTAAGGTCTCCTCAGGGGATTCAGACATTCCTTCTGGTTGTGAGATGAAAGACGAGCCTGTATTCAAGACACTGCAAGGAAATCCGGCCTCCTTTCAAGTTAAGGCTTCTCGTTGTATATTCCACTTGAGGCAGCAAACTGGGGGTCCCTCCCTCATACCGATTGCTGAGAGAAGCCTCCTCTTGAGGTGCTTCTGGAAAGTTGGCATACGTCTTGAGCCTAAGCTAGGGAATCAGCTCTCACCTCGAAACGATTTGGGGTACACCGGTCATTCCTCGAGTTGCTGTGCTGAAGTTGGTGTTCCTCTAGACTTGGGACAGTGTTCTCGGGGCATCTCTGGAGTTGCCTGAAGGAAGTCAAGCCACTGGTCGTGTTTAATGGGCAACGGGGGATGGCTCCGGAGTCAATGCAGGGGAATCTGGCATCATCCCGAGTGGATTTGGGGCACATTGTGCTGCTTTGCATTGATGGGGTGACCTCAGGATCCGTCTAGACATGTGACTGTATTCTTGGGGACTCTCTCGAGATCCATTAAGCAAGTCGAAGGTCCTGACTTGTTTGATGGGGATCACGGAATTGCTCTGCATGCACTGCAGGAAAATCGGGCCTCATCTCGCCTATAGGGGAAAGTCTCATGGTTTTTCTCGACTTGCGGCGGGGACCTAGGGTATGTACTCCGGTTAAGGCGGGGATGACCCTTCAAAACTCGTGTTTATTCAGTGACGTCAGGACTCCTGTCCAATAACGAGGGACAGCTCAGGAATCTCTTCTAGGCTTGGCAGTGCACAAGGGACGCTTCTCGAGGTGAGGCAGGGCACCCAAGGAACCTTTCCAATAGCCACAGGGATTTTGGGATTCCTGTCAATATTCAAGAGGAGTCAGGCATCGTCACCTTTTGAAGCAGTGAACTCCGCGTGCCTCTCGAGGTGACAACGGGATGTGAGGCATTCCGTCAAAATGAGGCAGGGACCCAGAGCTTTCTCTAAGGTCTCCACAGGGGATTCAGACATCCCTTCATGCTGTGAGATGAAAGACGAGCCTGTATTCAAGCCACTGCAAGGAAAACCGGCCTCCTTTCAAGTTAGGGCTTCTCGCTGTATATTCCACTTGAGGCAGCAAACTGGGGGTCCCTCCAACATACCTATAGCTGAGAGAAGCCTCCTCTTGAGGTGCTTCTGGAAAGTTGGCATACGTCTTGAGCCTAAGCCAGGGAATCAGCTCTCATCTCGAGACGATTTGGGGTACACGGAGCATTCCTCGTGTTGCTGTGCTGAAGTTCGTATTCCTCTAGACTTGGGACATTGTTCTCAGGGAATCTCTGGAGTTGCCTGAAGGAAGTCAAGCCACTGGTGGTGTTTAATGGGCTACGGGGGATGGCTCTGGAGTCAATGCAGGGGAATCGGGCCTCATCTCGAGTTGATGTGGGGTACTTGGAGCTGCTTTGCATTGCTGGGGTGACCTCACGTTCTGTCTAGACTTTTGACAGTGTTCCTGGGGACTTTCGCGAGTTCGATTAAGCAAGTCGAATCTCCTGACTTGCTTGATGGGGATCACGGGAATGCTCTGCATGGACTGCAGGGAATAAGGCTTCATCTCGTATCTAGGGGAAGTGTCATGGTTTTTCTCGAGTTGCGGCGAGACCTGTGGTATGTTCTCGAGTTATGGTGGGGATGGCCCTTCAAAACACGTGTTTATTCAGTGACGTCAGGACTCCTGTCTAGTAACGAGAGACACCTCAGGAATCTCTTCGAGGCTTGGCAGGGCACAAGGGACGCTTCTCGAGGTGAGGCAGGGCACCCAAGGAACCTTTCCAATAGCCATAGGGATTTTGGGATTCCAATCAATATTCAAGAGGAGTCAGGCATCGTCCCCTTTTGAAATAGTGAACTCCGCGTGCCTCTCGAGGTGACAATGGGATGTGAGGCATTCCGTCCAAATGAGGCAGGGACCTAGGGCTTTCTCTAAGGTCTTCACAGGGGATTCAGTCATCCCTTCCTGTTGTGAGATGAAAGACGAGCCTGTATACAAGACACTGCAAGGAAATCCGGCCTCCTTTCAAGTTAGGGCTTCTCGCTGTATATTCCACTTGAGGCAGCAAACTCGGGGTCCCACGAACAAACCTATTGCTGAGAGAAGCCTCCTCTTGTGGTGCTTCTGGAAAGTTGGCATACGTCTTGAGCCTAAGCCAGGGTATCAGCTCTCATCTCGAGACGATTTGGGGTACACGGAGCATTCCTGGAGTTGCTGTGCTTAAGTTCGTATTCCTCTAGACTTGAGACAGTGTTCTCGGGGCAACTCTGGAGTTGCATGAAGGAAGTCAAGCCACTCGTGGTGTTTAATGGGGTACGGGGGATGGCTCTGGAGTCAATGCATTGGAATCTGGCATCATCTCGAGTTTATTTGGGGCAAATGGAGCTGCTTTGCGTTGCTGGGGTGACGTCATGGTCCGTCTACACTTGTGACAGTGTTCCTGGGGACTCTCTCGAGATCCATTAAGCAAATCGAACCTGCTGACTTGCTTGATGGGGATCACGGGAATGCTCTGCATGGACTGCAGGGAATCAGGCCTCATCTCACATCTAGGGGAAGTCTCATGGTTTTTCTCGAGTTGCGGCGGGACGTGGGGTATGTTCTCGAGTTATGGCGGGCATGGCCCTTCAAAACACGTGTTTATTCAGTGACGTCAGGACTCCTGACTAGTAATGAGGGACACCTCAGGAATCTCTTCGAGGCTTGGCAGGGGAAAAGGTATGCTTCTCGAGGTGAGGCAGGGCACACAAGAACCCTTTCCTGTAGCCACAGTTATTTTGGGATTCCTATCAATGTTCAGGAGGAGTCAGGCAGCTTCACATTTTGAAGCAATGAACTCCACGTGCCTCTCGTGGTGTCAACGGGATGTGAGGCTTTCCGTCAAAATAAGGCAGGGACCTAGGGCTTTCTCTAAGGTCTCTACAGGGGATTCAGACATCCCTTCATGCTGAGAGATGAAAGACGAGCCTGTATTCAAGCCCCTGCAAGGAAATCCGGCCTCCTTTCATTTTAGGGCTTCTCGCTGTATATTCCACTTGAGGCAGCAAACTCGGGGTCCCACGAACATACCTATTGCTGAGAGAAGCCTCCTCTTGAGGTGCTTCTGGAAAGTTGGCATACGTCTTGAGCCTAAGCCAGGGAATCAGCTCTCATCTCGAGACGATTTGGGGTACACGGAGCATTCCTCGAGTTGCTGTGCTGAAGATGGTGTTCCTCTAGACTTGGGACAGTGTTCTCAGGGCATGTCTGCAGTTGTATGAAGGAAGTCAAGCCACTGGTGGTGTTTAATGTGGAACGGGGGATGCCTCTGGAGTCAATGCAGGGGAATCGGGCATTATCTCGAGTTGATTTGGGGCACATGGTGCTGCTTTGCGATGATGGGGTGACCTCAGGATCCGTCTAGACATGTGACAGTGTTCTTGGGTACTGTCTCGAGATCCATTAAGCAAGTCGAAGCTCCTGACTTGTTTGATGGGGATCACGGAATTGCTCTGCATGCACTGCAGGTGAATCGGGCCTCATCTGGCATCCAGATGGAAGTCTCAAGGTTTTTTTCGAATTGTGGCGGGGACCTGGGTTATGTACTCTGGTTACGGGGGGGAAGGCCCTTCAAAACTCGTGTATATTCAGTGACGTCAGGACTCCTGTCCAATAACGAGGGACAGCTCAGGAATCTCTTCGAGGCTTGGCAGTGCAAAAGGGACGCTTCTCGAGGTGAGGCAGGGCACCCAAGGAACCTTTCCAATAGCCACAGGGATTTTGGGATTCCTATCAATATTCAAGAGGAGTCAGGCATCGTCACCTTTTGAAGCACTGAACTCCGCGTGCCTCTCGAGGTGACAACGGGATGTGAGGCATTACGTCAAACTGAGGCAGGGACCTAGAGCTTTCTCTAAGGTCTCCACAGGGGATTCAGACATCCCTTCATGCTGTGAGATGAAAGACGAGCCTGTATTCAAGCCACTGCAAGGAAAACCGGCCGCCTTTCAAGTTAGGGCTTCTCGCTGTATATTCCACTTGAGGCAGCAAACTGGGGGTCCCTCCAACATACCTATAGCTGAGAGAAGCCTCCTCTTGAGGTGCTTCTGGAAAGTTGGCATACGTCTTGAGCCTAAGCCAGGGAATCAGCTCTCATCTCGAGACGATTTGGGGTACACGGAGCATTCCTCGATTTGCTGTGCTGAAGTTCGTGTTCCTCTAGACTTGGGACAGTGTTCTTGGGGCATCTCTGGAGTTGCCTGAAGGAAGTCAAGCCACTGGTCTTGTTTAATGGGGAACGGGGGATGGCTCCGGAGTCAATGCAGGGGAATCTGGTATCATCCCGAGTGGATTTGGGGCACATTGTGCTGCTTTGCATTGATGGGGTGACCTCAGGATCCGTCTAGACATGTGACTGTATTCTTGGGGACTCTCTCGAGATCCATTAAGCAAGTCGAAGGTCCTGACTTGTTTGATGGGGATCACGGAATTGCTCTGCATGCACTGCAGGAAAATCGGGCCTCATCTCGCCTATAGGGGAAAGTCTCATGGTTTTTCTCGACTTGCGGCGGGGACCTAGGGTATGTACTCCAGTTAAGGCGGGGATGACCCTTCAAAACTCGTGTTTATTCAGTGACGTCAGGACTCCTGTCCAATAACGAGGGACAGCTCAGGAATCTCTTCGAGGCTTGGCAGTGCACAAGGGACGCTTCTCGAGGTGAGGCAGGGCACCCAAGGAACCTTTCCAATAGCCACAGGGATTTTGGGATTCCTGTCAATATACAAGAGGAGTCAGGCATCGTCACCTTTTGAAGCAGTGAACTCTGCGTGCCTCTCGAGGTGACAACGGGATGTGAGGCATTCCGTCAAAATGAGGCAGGGACCCAGAGCTTTCTCTAAGGTCTCCACAGGGGATTCAGACATCCCTTCATGCTGTGAGATGAAAGACGAGCCTGTATTCAAGCCACTGCAAGGAAAACCGGCCTCCTTTCAAGTTAGGGCTTCTCGCTGTATATTCCACTTGAGGCAGCAAACTCGGGGTCCCACGAACATACCTATTGCTGAGAGAAGCCTCCTCTGGGGGTGCTTCTGGAAAGTTGGCATATGTCTTGAGCCTAAGCCAGGGAATCAGCTCTCACCTTGAAACGATTTGGGGTACACGGAGCATTCCTCGAGTTGCTGTGCTGAAGTTGGTGTTCCTCTAGACTTGGGACAGTGTTCTCCGGGCAACTCTGGAGTTGCCTGAAGGAAGTCAAGCCACTGGTGGTGTTTAATGGGGTATGGGGAATGGCTCTGGAGTCAATGCCGGAGAATCGGGCCTCATCTCGAGTTGATGTGGGGCACATGGAGCTGCTTTGCATTGCTGCGGTGACCTCAGGGTCTGTCTAGACTTGTGACAGTGTTCCTGGTGACTCTCTCAAGATCCATTAAGCAAGTCGAAGCTCCTGACTTGCTTGATGGGGATCACGGGCCTGCTCTGCATGGACTGCAGGGAATCAGACCTCATCTCGCATCTAGGGGAAGTCTCTTCGTTTTGCTCGAGTTGCGGCCGGACCTGGGGTATGTTCTCGAGTTATGGCGGGGATGGCCCTTCAAAACACGAGTTTCTTCAGTGACGTCAGGACTCCTGTCTAGTAATGAGAGACACCTCAGGAATCTCTTCGAAGCTTGGCAGGGCAAAAGGGATGCTTCCCGAAGTGAGGCAGGGCACCCAAGAACCCTGTCCTGTAGCTACAGTGATTTTGGGATTCCTATCAATGTTCAAGAGGAGTCAGGCATCGTCACATTTTGAAGCAGTGAACTCCGTGTGCCTCTCGAGGTGTCAACGGGATGTGAGACATTCCGTCAAAATGAGGCAGGGACATACGGCTTTCTCTAAGGTCTCCTCAGGGGATTCAGACATTCCTTCTGGTTGTGAGATGAAAGACGAGCCTGTATTCAAGACACTGCAAGGAAATCCGGCCTCCTTTCAAGTTAAGGCTTCTCGTTGTATATTCCACTTGAGGCAGCAAACTGGGGGTCCCTCCCTCATACCGATTGCTGAGAGAAGCCTCCTCTTGAGGTGCTTCTGGAAAGTTGGCATACGTCTTGAGCCTAAGCTAGGGAATCAGCTCTCACCTCGAAACGATTTGGGGTACACCGGTCATTCCTCGAGTTGCTGTGCTGAAGTTGGTGTTCCTCTAGACTTGGGACAGTGTTCTCGGGGCATCTCTGGAGTTGCCTGAAGGAAGTCAAGCCACTGGTCGTGTTTAATGGGCAACGGGGGATGGCTCCGGAGTCAATGCAGGGGAATCTGGCATCATCCCGAGTGGATTTGGGGCACATTGTGCTGCTTTGCATTGATGGGGTGACCTCAGGATCCGTCTAGACATGTGACTGTATTCTTGGGGACTCTCTCGAGATCCATTAAGCAAGTCGAAGGTCCTGACTTGTTTGATGGGGATCACGGAATTGCTCTGCATGCACTGCAGGAAAATCGGGCCTCATCTCGCCTATAGGGGAAAGTCTCATGGTTTTTCTCGACTTGCGGCGGGGACCTAGGGTATGTACTCCGGTTAAGGCGGGGATGACCCTTCAAAACTCGTGTTTATTCAGTGACGTCAGGACTCCTGTCCAATAACGAGGGACAGCTCAGGAATCTCTTCTAGGCTTGGCAGTGCACAAGGGACGCTTCTCGAGGTGAGGCAGGGCACCCAAGGAACCTTTCCAATAGCCACAGGGATTTTGGGATTCCTGTCAATATTCAAGAGGAGTCAGGCATCGTCACCTTTTGAAGCAGTGAACTCCGCGTGCCTCTCGAGGTGACAACGGGATGTGAGGCATTCCGTCAAAATGAGGCAGGGACCCAGAGCTTTCTCTAAGGTCTCCACAGGGGATTCAGACATCCCTTCATGCTGTGAGATGAAAGACGAGCCTGTATTCAAGCCACTGCAAGGAAAACCGGCCTCCTTTCAAGTTAGGGCTTCTCGCTGTATATTCCACTTGAGGCAGCAAACTGGGGGTCCCTCCAACATACCTATAGCTGAGAGAAGCCTCCTCTTGAGGTGCTTCTGGAAAGTTGGCATACGTCTTGAGCCTAAGCCAGGGAATCAGCTCTCATCTCGAGACGATTTGGGGTACACGGAGCATTCCTCGTGTTGCTGTGCTGAAGTTCGTATTCCTCTAGACTTGGGACATTGTTCTCAGGGAATCTCTGGAGTTGCCTGAAGGAAGTCAAGCCACTGGTGGTGTTTAATGGGCTACGGGGGATGGCTCTGGAGTCAATGCAGGGGAATCGGGCCTCATCTCGAGTTGATGTGGGGTACTTGGAGCTGCTTTGCATTGCTGGGGTGACCTCACGTTCTGTCTAGACTTTTGACAGTGTTCCTGGGGACTTTCGCGAGTTCGATTAAGCAAGTCGAATCTCCTGACTTGCTTGATGGGGATCACGGGAATGCTCTGCATGGACTGCAGGGAATAAGGCTTCATCTCGTATCTAGGGGAAGTGTCATGGTTTTTCTCGAGTTGCGGCGAGACCTGTGGTATGTTCTCGAGTTATGGTGGGGATGGCCCTTCAAAACACGTGTTTATTCAGTGACGTCAGGACTCCTGTCTAGTAACGAGAGACACCTCAGGAATCTCTTCGAGGCTTGGCAGGGCACAAGGGACGCTTCTCGAGGTGAGGCAGGGCACCCAAGGAACCTTTCCAATAGCCATAGGGATTTTGGGATTCCAATCAATATTCAAGAGGAGTCAGGCATCGTCCCCTTTTGAAATAGTGAACTCCGCGTGCCTCTCGAGGTGACAATGGGATGTGAGGCATTCCGTCCAAATGAGGCAGGGACCTAGGGCTTTCTCTAAGGTCTTCACAGGGGATTCAGTCATCCCTTCCTGTTGTGAGATGAAAGACGAGCCTGTATACAAGACACTGCAAGGAAATCCGGCCTCCTTTCAAGTTAGGGCTTCTCGCTGTATATTCCACTTGAGGCAGCAAACTCGGGGTCCCACGAACAAACCTATTGCTGAGAGAAGCCTCCTCTTGTGGTGCTTCTGGAAAGTTGGCATACGTCTTGAGCCTAAGCCAGGGTATCAGCTCTCATCTCGAGACGATTTGGGGTACACGGAGCATTCCTGGAGTTGCTGTGCTTAAGTTCGTATTCCTCTAGACTTGAGACAGTGTTCTCGGGGCAACTCTGGAGTTGCATGAAGGAAGTCAAGCCACTCGTGGTGTTTAATGGGGTACGGGGGATGGCTCTGGAGTCAATGCATTGGAATCTGGCATCATCTCGAGTTTATTTGGGGCAAATGGAGCTGCTTTGCGTTGCTGGGGTGACGTCATGGTCCGTCTACACTTGTGACAGTGTTCCTGGGGACTCTCTCGAGATCCATTAAGCAAATCGAACCTGCTGACTTGCTTGATGGGGATCACGGGAATGCTCTGCATGGACTGCAGGGAATCAGGCCTCATCTCACATCTAGGGGAAGTCTCATGGTTTTTCTCGAGTTGCGGCGGGACGTGGGGTATGTTCTCGAGTTATGGCGGGCATGGCCCTTCAAAACACGTGTTTATTCAGTGACGTCAGGACTCCTGACTAGTAATGAGGGACACCTCAGGAATCTCTTCGAGGCTTGGCAGGGGAAAAGGTATGCTTCTCGAGGTGAGGCAGGGCACACAAGAACCCTTTCCTGTAGCCACAGTTATTTTGGGATTCCTATCAATGTTCAGGAGGAGTCAGGCAGCTTCACATTTTGAAGCAATGAACTCCACGTGCCTCTCGTGGTGTCAACGGGATGTGAGGCTTTCCGTCAAAATAAGGCAGGGACCTAGGGCTTTCTCTAAGGTCTCTACAGGGGATTCAGACATCCCTTCATGCTGAGAGATGAAAGACGAGCCTGTATTCAAGCCCCTGCAAGGAAATCCGGCCTCCTTTCATTTTAGGGCTTCTCGCTGTATATTCCACTTGAGGCAGCAAACTCGGGGTCCCACGAACATACCTATTGCTGAGAGAAGCCTCCTCTTGAGGTGCTTCTGGAAAGTTGGCATACGTCTTGAGCCTAAGCCAGGGAATCAGCTCTCATCTCGAGACGATTTGGGGTACACGGAGCATTCCTCGAGTTGCTGTGCTGAAGATGGTGTTCCTCTAGACTTGGGACAGTGTTCTCAGGGCATGTCTGCAGTTGTATGAAGGAAGTCAAGCCACTGGTGGTGTTTAATGTGGAACGGGGGATGCCTCTGGAGTCAATGCAGGGGAATCGGGCATTATCTCGAGTTGATTTGGGGCACATGGTGCTGCTTTGCGATGATGGGGTGACCTCAGGATCCGTCTAGACATGTGACAGTGTTCTTGGGTACTGTCTCGAGATCCATTAAGCAAGTCGAAGCTCCTGACTTGTTTGATGGGGATCACGGAATTGCTCTGCATGCACTGCAGGTGAATCGGGCCTCATCTGGCATCCAGATGGAAGTCTCAAGGTTTTTTTCGAATTGTGGCGGGGACCTGGGTTATGTACTCTGGTTACGGGGGGGAAGGCCCTTCAAAACTCGTGTATATTCAGTGACGTCAGGACTCCTGTCCAATAACGAGGGACAGCTCAGGAATCTATTCGAGGCTTGGCAGTGCAAAAGGGACGCTTCTCGAGGTGAGGCAGGGCACCCAAGGAACCTTTCCAATAGCCACAGGGATTTTGGGATTCCTATCAATATTCAAGAGGAGTCAGGCATCGTCACCTTTTGAAGCACTGAACTCCGCGTGCCTCTCGAGGTGACAACGGGATGTGAGGCATTACGTCAAACTGAGGCAGGGACCTAGAGCTTTCTCTAAGGTCTCCACAGGGGATTCAGACATCCCTTCATGCTGTGAGATGAAAGACGAGCCTGTATTCAAGCCACTGCAAGGAAAACCGGCCGCCTTTCAAGTTAGGGCTTCTCGCTGTATATTCCACTTGAGGCAGCAAACTGGGGGTCCCTCCAACATACCTATAGCTGAGAGAAGCCTCCTCTTGAGGTGCTTCTGGAAAGTTGGCATACGTCTTGAGCCTAAGCCAGGGAATCAGCTCTCATCTCGAGACGATTTGGGGTACACGGAGCATTCCTCGATTTGCTGTGCTGAAGTTCGTGTTCCTCTAGACTTGGGACAGTGTTCTTGGGGCATCTCTGGAGTTGCCTGAAGGAAGTCAAGCCACTGGTCTTGTTTAATGGGGAACGGGGGATGGCTCCGGAGTCAATGCAGGGGAATCTGGTATCATCCCGAGTGGATTTGGGGCACATTGTGCTGCTTTGCATTGATGGGGTGACCTCAGGATCCGTCTAGACATGTGACTGTATTCTTGGGGACTCTCTCGAGATCCATTAAGCAAGTCGAAGGTCCTGACTTGTTTGATGGGGATCACGGAATTGCTCTGCATGCACTGCAGGAAAATCGGGCCTCATCTCGCCTATAGGGGAAAGTCTCATGGTTTTTCTCGACTTGCGGCGGGGACCTTGGGTATGTACTCCAGTTAAGGCGGGGATGACCCTTCAAAACTCGTGTTTATTCAGTGACGTCAGGACTCCTGTCCAATAACGAGGGACAGCTCAGGAATCTCTTCGAGGCTTGGCAGTGCACAAGGGACGCTTCTCGAGGTGAGGCAGGGCACCCAAGGAACCTTTCCAATAGCCACAGGGATTTTGGGATTCCTGTCAATATACAAGAGGAGTCAGGCATCGTCACCTTTTGAAGCAGTGAACTCTGCGTGCCTCTCGAGGTGACAACGGGATGTGAGGCATTCCGTCAAAATGAGGCAGGGACCCAGAGCTTTCTCTAAGGTCTCCACAGGGGATTCAGACATCCCTTCATGCTGTGAGATGAAAGACGAGCCTGTATTCAAGCCACTGCAAGGAAAACCGGCCTCCTTTCAAGTTAGGGCTTCTCCCTGTATATTCCACTTGAGGCAGCAAACTCGGGGTCCCACGAACATACCTATTGCTGAGAGAAGCCTCCTCTGGGGGTGCTTCTGGAAAGTTGGCATATGTCTTGAGCCTAAGCCAGGGAATCAGCTCTCACCTTGAAACGATTTGGGGTACACGGAGCATTCCTCGAGTTGCTGTGCTGAAGTTGGTGTTCCTCTAGACTTGGGACAGTGTTCTCCGGGCAACTCTGGAGTTGCCTGAAGGAAGTCAAGCCACTGGTGGTGTTTAATGGGGTATGGGGAATGGCTCTGGAGTCAATGCCGGAGAATCGGGCCTCATCTCGAGTTGATGTGGGGCACATGGAGCTGCTTTGCATTGCTGCGGTGACCTCAGGGTCTGTCTAGACTTGTGACAGTGTTCCTGGTGACTCTCTCAAGATCCATTAAGCAAGTCGAAGCTCCTGACTTGCTTGATGGGGATCACGGGCCTGCTCTGCATGGACTGCAGGGAATCAGACCTCATCTCGCATCTAGGGGAAGTCTCTTCGTTTTGCTCGAGTTGCGGCCGGACCTGGGGTATGTTCTCGAGTTATGGCGGGGATGGCCCTTCAAAACACGTGTTTATTCAGTGACGTCAGGACTCCTGTCTAGTAACGAGAGACACCTCAGGAATCTCTTCGAAGCTTGGCAGGGCAAAAGGGATGCTTCCCGAAGTGAGGCAGGGCACCCAAGAACCCTGTCCTGTAGCTACAGTGATTTTGGGATTCCTATCAATGTTCAAGAGGAGTCAGGCATCGTCACATTTTGAAGCAGTGAACTCCGTGTGCCTCTCGAGGTGTCAACGGGATGTGAGACATTCCGTCAAAATGAGGCAGGGACATACGGCTTTCTCTAAGGTCTCCTCAGGGGATTCAGACATTCCTTCTGGTTGTGAGATGAAAGACGAGCCTGTATTCAAGACACTGCAAGGAAATCCGGCCTCCTTTCAAGTTAAGGCTTCTCGTTGTATATTCCACTTGAGGCAGCAAACTGGGGGTCCCTCCCTCATACCGATTGCTGAGAGAAGCCTCCTCTTGAGGTGCTTCTGGAAAGTTGGCATACGTCTTGAGCCTAAGCTAGGGAATCAGCTCTCACCTCGAAACGATTTGGGGTACACCGGTCATTCCTCGAGTTGCTGTGCTGAAGTTGGTGTTCCTCTAGACTTGGGACAGTGTTCTCGGGGCATCTCTGGAGTTGCCTGAAGGAAGTCAAGCCACTGGTCGTGTTTAATGGGGAACGGGGGATGGCTCCGGAGTCAATGCAGGGGAATCTGGCATCATCCCGAGTGGATTTGGGGCACATTGTGCTGCTTTGCATTGATGGGGTGACCTCAGGATCCGTCTAGACATGTGACTGTATTCTTGGGGACTCTCTCGAGATCCATTAAGCAAGTCGAAGGTCCTGACTTGTTTGATGGGGATCACGGAATTGCTCTGCATGCACTGCAGGAAAATCGGGCCTCATCTCGCCTATAGGGGAAAGTCTCATGGTTTTTCTCGACTTGCGGCGGGGACCTAGGGTATGTACTCCGGTTAAGGCGGGGATGACCCTTCAAAACTCGTGTTTATTCAGTGACGTCAGGACTCCTGTCCAATAACGAGGGACAGCTCAGGAATCTCTTCTAGGCTTGGCAGTGCACAAGGGACGCTTCTCGAGGTGAGGCAGGGCACCCAAGGAACCTTTCCAATAGCCACAGGGATTTTGGGATTCCTGTCAATATTCAAGAGGAGTCAGGCATCGTCACCTTTTGAAGCAGTGAACTCCGCGTGCCTCTCGAGGTGACAACGGGATGTGAGGCATTCCGTCAAAATGAGGCAGGGACCCAGAGCTTTCTCTAAGGTCTCCACAGGGGATTCAGACATCCCTTCATGCTGTGAGATGAAAGACGAGCCTGTATTCAAGCCACTGCAAGGAAAACCGGCCTCCTTTCAAGTTAGGGCTTCTCGCTGTATATTCCACTTGAGGCAGCAAACTGGGGGTCCCTCCAACATACCTATAGCTGAGAGAAGCCTCCTCTTGAGGTGCTTCTGGAAAGTTGGCATACGTCTTGAGCCTAAGCCAGGGAATCAGCTCTCATCTCGAGACGATTTGGGGTACACGGAGCATTCCTCGTGTTGCTGTGCTGAAGTTCGTATTCCTCTAGACTTGGGACAGTGTTCTCAGGGAATCTCTGGAGTTGCCTGAAGGAAGTCAAGCCACTGGTGGTGTTTAATGTGCTACGGGGGATGGCTCTGGAGTCAATGCAGGGGAATCGGGCCTCATCTCGAGTTGATGTGGGGTACTTGGAGCTGCTTTGCATTGCTGGGGTGACCTCACGTTCTGTCTAGACTTTTGACAGTGTTCCTGGGGACTTTCGCGAGTTCGATTAAGCAAGTCGAATCTCCTGACTTGCTTGATGGGGATCACGGGAATGCTCTGCATGGACTGCAGGGAATAAGGCTTCATCTCGTATCTAGGGGAAGTGTCATGGTTTTTCTCGAGTTGCGGCGAGACCTGTGGTATGTTCTCGAGTTATGGTGGGGATGGCCCTTCAAAACACGTGTTTATTCAGTGACGTCAGGACTCCTGTCTAGTAACGAGAGACACCTCAGGAATCTCTTCGAGGCTTGGCAGGGCACAAGGGACGCTTCTCGAGGTGAGGCAGGGCACCCAAGGAACCTTTCCAATAGCCATAGGGATTTTGGGATTCCAATCAATATTCAAGAGGAGTCAGGCATCGTCCCCTTTTGAAATAGTGAACTCCGCGTGCCTCTCGAGGTGACAATGGGATGTGAGGCATTCCGTCCAAATGAGGCAGGGACCTAGGGCTTTCTCTAAGGTCTTCACAGGGGATTCAGTCATCCCTTCCTGTTGTGAGATGAAAGACGAGCCTGTATACAAGACACTGCAAGGAAATCCGGCCTCCTTTCAAGTTAGGGCTTCTCGCTGTATATTCCACTTGAGGCAGCAAACTCGGGGTCCCACGAACAAACCTATTGCTGAGAGAAGCCTCCTCTTGTGGTGCTTCTGGAAAGTTGGCATACGTCTTGAGCCTAAGCCAGGGTATCAGCTCTCATCTCGAGACGATTTGGGGTACACGGAGCATTCCTGGAGTTGCTGTGCTTAAGTTCGTATTCCTCTAGACTTGAGACAGTGTTCTCGGGGCAACTCTGGAGTTGCATGAAGGAAGTCAAGCCACTCGTGGTGTTTAATGGGGTACGGGGGATGGCTCTGGAGTCAATGCATTGGAATCTGGCATCATCTCGAGTTTATTTGGGGCAAATGGAGCTGCTTTGCGTTGCTGGGGTGACGTCATGGTCCGTCTACACTTGTGACAGTGTTCCTGGGGACTCTCTCGAGATCCATTAAGCAAATCGAACCTGCTGACTTGCTTGATGGGGATCACGGGAATGCTCTGCATGGACTGCAGGGAATCAGGCCTCATCTCACATCTAGGGGAAGTCTCATGGTTTTTCTCGAGTTGCGGCGGGACGTGGGGTATGTTCTCGAGTTATGGCGGGCATGGCCCTTCAAAACACGTGTTTATTCAGTGACGTCAGGACTCCTGACTAGTAATGAGGGACACCTCAGGAATCTCTTCGAGGCTTGGCAGGGGAAAAGGTATGCTTCTCGAGGTGAGGCAGGGCACACAAGAACCCTTTCCTGTAGCCACAGTTATTTTGGGATTCCTATCAATGTTCAGGAGGAGTCAGGCAGCTTCACATTTTGAAGCAATGAACTCCACGTGCCTCTCGTGGTGTCAACGGGATGTGAGGCTTTCCGTCAAAATAAGGCAGGGACCTAGGGCTTTCTCTAAGGTCTCTACAGGGGATTCAGACATCCCTTCATGCTGAGAGATGAAAGACGAGCCTGTATTCAAGCCCCTGCAAGGAAATCCGGCCTCCTTTCATTTTAGGGCTTCTCGCTGTATATTCCACTTGAGGCAGCAAACTCGGGGTCCCACGAACATACCTATTGCTGAGAGAAGCCTCCTCTTGAGGTGCTTCTGGAAAGTTGGCATACGTCTTGAGCCTAAGCCAGGGAATCAGCTCTCATCTCGAGACGATTTGGGGTACACGGAGCATTCCTCGAGTTGCTGTGCTGAAGATGGTGTTCCTCTAGACTTGGGACAGTGTTCTCAGGGCATGTCTGCAGTTGTATGAAGGAAGTCAAGCCACTGGTGGTGTTTAATGTGGAACGGGGGATGCCTCTGGAGTCAATGCAGGGGAATCGGGCATTATCTCGAGTTGATTTGGGGCACATGGTGCTGCTTTGCGATGATGGGGTGACCTCAGGATCCGTCTAGACATGTGACAGTGTTCTTGGGTACTGTCTCGAGATCCATTAAGCAAGTCGAAGCTCCTGACTTGTTTGATGGGGATCACGGAATTGCTCTGCATGCACTGCAGGTGAATCGGGCCTCATCTGGCATCCAGATGGAAGTCTCAAGGTTTTTTTCGAATTGTGGCGGGGACCTGGGTTATGTACTCTGGTTACGGGGGGGAAGGCCCTTCAAAACTCGTGTATATTCAGTGACGTCAGGACTCCTGTCCAATAACGAGGGACAGCTCAGGAATCTCTTCGAGGCTTGGCAGTGCAAAAGGGACGCTTCTCGAGGTGAGGCAGGGCACCCAAGGAACCTTTCCAATAGCCACAGGGATTTTGGGATTCCTATCAATATTCAAGAGGAGTCAGGCATCGTCACCTTTTGAAGCACTGAACTCCGCGTGCCTCTCGAGGTGACAACGGGATGTGAGGCATTACGTCAAACTGAGGCAGGGACCTAGAGCTTTCTCTAAGGTCTCCACAGGGGATTCAGACATCCCTTCATGCTGTGAGATGAAAGACGAGCCTGTATTCAAGCCACTGCAAGGAAAACCGGCCGCCTTTCAAGTTAGGGCTTCTCGCTGTATATTCCACTTGAGGCAGCAAACTGGGGGTCCCTCCAACATACCTATAGCTGAGAGAAGCCTCCTCTTGAGGTGCTTCTGGAAAGTTGGCATACGTCTTGAGCCTAAGCCAGGGAATCAGCTCTCATCTCGAGACGATTTGGGGTACACGGAGCATTCCTCGATTTGCTGTGCTGAAGTTCGTGTTCCTCTAGACTTGGGACAGTGTTCTTGGGGCATCTCTGGAGTTGCCTGAAGGAAGTCAAGCCACTGGTCTTGTTTAATGGGGAACGGGGGATGGCTCCGGAGTCAATGCAGGGGAATCTGGTATCATCCCGAGTGGATTTGGGGCACATTGTGCTGCTTTGCATTGATGGGGTGACCTCAGGATCCGTCTAGACATGTGACTGTATTCTTGGGGACTCTCTCGAGATCCATTAAGCAAGTCGAAGGTCCTGACTTGTTTGATGGGGATCACGGAATTGCTCTGCATGCACTGCAGGAAAATCGGGCCTCATCTCGCCTATAGGGGAAAGTCTCATGGTTTTTCTCGACTTGCGGCGGGGACCTAGGGTATGTACTCCAGTTAAGGCGGGGATGACCCTTCAAAACTCGTGTTTATTCAGTGACGTCAGGACTCCTGTCCAATAACGAGGGACAGCTCAGGAATCTCTTCGAGGCTTGGCAGTGCACAAGGGACGCTTCTCGAGGTGAGGCAGGGCACCCAAGGAACCTTTCCAATAGCCACAGGGATTTTGGGATTCCTGTCAATATACAAGAGGAGTCAGGCATCGTCACCTTTTGAAGCAGTGAACTCTGCGTGCCTCTCGAGGTGACAACGGGATGTGAGGCATTCCGTCAAAATGAGGCAGGGACCCAGAGCTTTCTCTAAGGTCTCCACAGGGGATTCAGACATCCCTTCATGCTGTGAGATGAAAGACGAGCCTGTATTCAAGCCACTGCAAGGAAAACCGGCCTCCTTTCAAGTTAGGGCTTCTCGCTGTATATTCCACTTGAGGCAGCAAACTCGGGGTCCCACGAACATACCTATTGCTGAGAGAAGCCTCCTCTGGGGGTGCTTCTGGAAAGTTGGCATATGTCTTGAGCCTAAGCCAGGGAATCAGCTCTCACCTTGAAACGATTTGGGGTACACGGAGCATTCCTCGAGTTGCTGTGCTGAAGTTGGTGTTCCTCTAGACTTGGGACAGTGTTCTCTGGGCAACTCTGGAGTTGCCTGAAGGAAGTCAAGCCACTGGTGGTGTTTAATGGGGTATGGGGAATGGCTCTGGAGTCAATGCCGGAGAATCGGGCCTCATCTCGAGTTGATGTGGGGCACATGGAGCTGCTTTGCATTGCTGCGGTGACCTCAGGGTCTGTCTAGACTTGTGACAGTGTTCCTGGTGACTCTCTCAAGATCCATTAAGCAAGTCGAAGCTCCTGACTTGCTTGATGGGGATCACGGGCCTGCTCTGCATGGACTGCAGGGAATCAGACCTCATCTCGCATCTAGGGGAAGTCTCTTCGTTTTGCTCGAGTTGCGGCCGGACCTGGGGTATGTTCTCGAGTTATGGCGGGGATGGCCCTTCAAAACACGAGTTTCTTCAGTGACGTCAGGACTCCTGTCTATTAACGAGAGACACCTCAGGAATCTCTTCGAAGCTTGGCAGGGCAAAAGGGATGCTTCCCGAAGTGAGGCAGGGCACCCAAGAACCCTGTCCTGTAGCTACAGTGATTTTGGGATTCCTATCAATGTTCAAGAGGAGTCAGGCATCGTCACATTTTGAAGCAGTGAACTCCGTGTGCCTCTCGAGGTGTCAACGGGATGTGAGACATTCCGTCAAAATGAGGCAGGGACATACGGCTTTCTCTAAGGTCTCCTCAGGGGATTCAGACATTCCTTCTGGTTGTGAGATGAAAGACGAGCCTGTATTCAAGACACTGCAAGGAAATCCGGCCTCCTTTCAAGTTAAGGCTTCTCGTTGTATATTCCACTTGAGGCAGCAAACTGGGGGTCCCTCCCTCATACCGATTGCTGAGAGAAGCCTCCTCTTGAGGTGCTTCTGGAAAGTTGGCATACGTCTTGAGCCTAAGCTAGGGAATCAGCTCTCACCTCGAAACGATTTGGGGTACACCGGTCATTCCTCGAGTTGCTGTGCTGAAGTTGGTGTTCCTCTAGACTTGGGACAGTGTTCTCGGGGCATCTCTGGAGTTGCCTGAAGGAAGTCAAGCCACTGGTCGTGTTTAATGGGCAACGGGGGATGGCTCCGGAGTCAATGCAGGGGAATCTGGCATCATCCCGAGTGGATTTGGGGCACATTGTGCTGCTTTGCATTGATGGGGTGACCTCAGGATCCGTCTAGACATGTGACTGTATTCTTGGGGACTCTCTCGAGATCCATTAAGCAAGTCGAAGGTCCTGACTTGTTTGATGGGGATCACGGAATTGCTCTGCATGCACTGCAGGAAAATCGGGCCTCATCTCGCCTATAGGGGAAAGTCTCATGGTTTTTCTCGACTTGCGGCGGGGACCTAGGGTATGTACTCCGGTTAAGGCGGGGATGACCCTTCAAAACTCGTGTTTATTCAGTGACGTCAGGACTCCTGTCCAATAACGAGGGACAGCTCAGGAATCTCTTCTAGGCTTGGCAGTGCACAAGGGACGCTTCTCGAGGTGAGGCAGGGCACCCAAGGAACCTTTCCAATAGCCACAGGGATTTTGGGATTCCTGTCAATATTCAAGAGGAGTCAGGCATCGTCACCTTTTGAAGCAGTGAACTCCGCGTGCCTCTCGAGGTGACAACGGGATGTGAGGCATTCCGTCAAAATGAGGCAGGGACCCAGAGCTTTCTCTAAGGTCTCCACAGGGGATTCAGACATCCCTTCATGCTGTGAGATGAAAGACGAGCCTGTATTCAAGCCACTGCAAGGAAAACCGGCCTCCTTTCAAGTTAGGGCTTCTCGCTGTATATTCCACTTGAGGCAGCAAACTGGGGGTCCCTCCAACATACCTATAGCTGAGAGAAGCCTCCTCTTGAGGTGCTTCTGGAAAGTTGGCATACGTCTTGAGCCTAAGCCAGGGAATCAGCTCTCATCTCGAGACGATTTGGGGTACACGGAGCATTCCTCGTGTTGCTGTGCTGAAGTTCGTATTCCTCTAGACTTGGGACATTGTTCTCAGGGAATCTCTGGAGTTGCCTGAAGGAAGTCAAGCCACTGGTGGTGTTTAATGGGCTACGGGGGATGGCTCTGGAGTCAATGCAGGGGAATCGGGCCTCATCTCGAGTTGATGTGGGGTACTTGGAGCTGCTTTGCATTGCTGGGGTGACCTCACGTTCTGTCTAGACTTTTGACAGTGTTCCTGGGGACTTTCGCGAGTTCGATTAAGCAAGTCGAATCTCCTGACTTGCTTGATGGGGATCACGGGAATGCTCTGCATGGACTGCAGGGAATAAGGCTTCATCTCGTATCTAGGGGAAGTGTCATGGTTTTTCTCGAGTTGCGGCGAGACCTGTGGTATGTTCTCGAGTTATGGTGGGGATGGCCCTTCAAAACACGTGTTTATTCAGTGACGTCAGGACTCCTGTCTAGTAACGAGAGACACCTCAGGAATCTCTTCGAGGCTTGGCAGGGCACAAGGGACGCTTCTCGAGGTGAGGCAGGGCACCCAAGGAACCTTTCCAATAGCCATAGGGATTTTGGGATTCCAATCAATATTCAAGAGGAGTCAGGCATCGTCCCCTTTTGAAATAGTGAACTCCGCGTGCCTCTCGAGGTGACAATGGGATGTGAGGCATTCCGTCCAAATGAGGCAGGGACCTAGGGCTTTCTCTAAGGTCTTCACAGGGGATTCAGTCATCCCTTCCTGTTGTGAGATGAAAGACGAGCCTGTATACAAGACACTGCAAGGAAATCCGGCCTCCTTTCAAGTTAGGGCTTCTCGCTGTATATTCCACTTGAGGCAGCAAACTCGGGGTCCCACGAACAAACCTATTGCTGAGAGAAGCCTCCTCTTGTGGTGCTTCTGGAAAGTTGGCATACGTCTTGAGCCTAAGCCAGGGTATCAGCTCTCATCTCGAGACGATTTGGGGTACACGGAGCATTCCTGGAGTTGCTGTGCTTAAGTTCGTATTCCTCTAGACTTGAGACAGTGTTCTCGGGGCAACTCTGGAGTTGCATGAAGGAAGTCAAGCCACTCGTGGTGTTTAATGGGGTACGGGGGATGGCTCTGGAGTCAATGCATTGGAATCTGGCATCATCTCGAGTTTATTTGGGGCAAATGGAGCTGCTTTGCGTTGCTGGGGTGACGTCATGGTCCGTCTACACTTGTGACAGTGTTCCTGGGGACTCTCTCGAGATCCATTAAGCAAATCGAACCTGCTGACTTGCTTGATGGGGATCACGGGAATGCTCTGCATGGACTGCAGGGAATCAGGCCTCATCTCACATCTAGGGGAAGTCTCATGGTTTTTCTCGAGTTGCGGCGGGACGTGGGGTATGTTCTCGAGTTATGGCGGGCATGGCCCTTCAAAACACGTGTTTATTCAGTGACGTCAGGACTCCTGACTAGTAATGAGGGACACCTCAGGAATCTCTTCGAGGCTTGGCAGGGGAAAAGGTATGCTTCTCGAGGTGAGGCAGGGCACACAAGAACCCTTTCCTGTAGCCACAGTTATTTTGGGATTCCTATCAATGTTCAGGAGGAGTCAGGCAGCTTCACATTTTGAAGCAATGAACTCCACGTGCCTCTCGTGGTGTCAACGGGATGTGAGGCTTTCCGTCAAAATAAGGCAGGGACCTAGGGCTTTCTCTAAGGTCTCTACAGGGGATTCAGACATCCCTTCATGCTGAGAGATGAAAGACGAGCCTGTATTCAAGCCCCTGCAAGGAAATCCGGCCTCCTTTCATTTTAGGGCTTCTCGCTGTATATTCCACTTGAGGCAGCAAACTCGGGGTCCCACGAACATACCTATTGCTGAGAGAAGCCTCCTCTTGAGGTGCTTCTGGAAAGTTGGCATACGTCTTGAGCCTAAGCCAGGGAATCAGCTCTCATCTCGAGACGATTTGGGGTACACGGAGCATTCCTCGAGTTGCTGTGCTGAAGATGGTGTTCCTCTAGACTTGGGACAGTGTTCTCAGGGCATGTCTGCAGTTGTATGAAGGAAGTCAAGCCACTGGTGGTGTTTAATGTGGAACGGGGGATGCCTCTGGAGTCAATGCAGGGGAATCGGGCATTATCTCGAGTTGATTTGGGGCACATGGTGCTGCTTTGCGATGATGGGGTGACCTCAGGATCCGTCTAGACATGTGACAGTGTTCTTGGGTACTGTCTCGAGATCCATTAAGCAAGTCGAAGCTCCTGACTTGTTTGATGGGGATCACGGAATTGCTCTGCATGCACTGCAGGTGAATCGGGCCTCATCTGGCATCCAGATGGAAGTCTCAAGGTTTTTTTCGAATTGTGGCGGGGACCTGGGTTATGTACTCTGGTTACGGGGGGGAAGGCCCTTCAAAACTCGTGTATATTCAGTGACGTCAGGACTCCTGTCCAATAACGAGGGACAGCTCAGGAATCTCTTCGAGGCTTGGCAGTGCAAAAGGGACGCTTCTCGAGGTGAGGCAGGGCACCCAAGGAACCTTTCCAATAGCCACAGGGATTTTGGGATTCCTATCAATATTCAAGAGGAGTCAGGCATCGTCACCTTTTGAAGCACTGAACTCCGCGTGCCTCTCGAGGTGACAACGGGATGTGAGGCATTACGTCAAACTGAGGCAGGGACCTAGAGCTTTCTCTAAGGTCTCCACAGGGGATTCAGACATCCCTTCATGCTGTGAGATGAAAGACGAGCCTGTATTCAAGCCACTGCAAGGAAAACCGGCCGCCTTTCAAGTTAGGGCTTCTCGCTGTATATTCCACTTGAGGCAGCAAACTGGGGGTCCCTCCAACATACCTATAGCTGAGAGAAGCCTCCTCTTGAGGTGCTTCTGGAAAGTTGGCATACGTCTTGAGCCTAAGCCAGGGAATCAGCTCTCATCTCGAGACGATTTGGGGTACACGGAGCATTCCTCGATTTGCTGTGCTGAAGTTCGTGTTCCTCTAGACTTGGGACAGTGTTCTTGGGGCATCTCTGGAGTTGCCTGAAGGAAGTCAAGCCACTGGTCTTGTTTAATGGGGAACGGGGGATGGCTCCGGAGTCAATGCAGGGGAATCTGGTATCATCCCGAGTGGATTTGGGGCACATTGTGCTGCTTTGCATTGATGGGGTGACCTCAGGATCCGTCTAGACATGTGACTGTATTCTTGGGGACTCTCTCGAGATCCATTAAGCAAGTCGAAGGTCCTGACTTGTTTGATGGGGATCACGGAATTGCTCTGCATGCACTGCAGGAAAATCGGGCCTCATCTCGCCTATAGGGGAAAGTCTCATGGTTTTTCTCGACTTGCGGCGGGGACCTAGGGTATGTACTCCAGTTAAGGCGGGGATGACCCTTCAAAACTCGTGTTTATTCAGTGACGTCAGGACTCCTGTCCAATAACGAGGGACAGCTCAGGAATCTCTTCGAGGCTTGGCAGTGCACAAGGGACGCTTCTCGAGGTGAGGCAGGGCACCCAAGGAACCTTTCCAATAGCCACAGGGATTTTGGGATTCCTGTCAATATACAAGAGGAGTCAGGCATCGTCACCTTTTGAAGCAGTGAACTCTGCGTGCCTCTCGAGGTGACAACGGGATGTGAGGCATTCCGTCAAAATGAGGCAGGGACCCAGAGCTTTCTCTAAGGTCTCCACAGGGGATTCAGACATCCCTTCATGCTGTGAGATGAAAGACGAGCCTGTATTCAAGCCACTGCAAGGAAAACCGGCCTCCTTTCAAGTTAGGGCTTCTCGCTGTATATTCCACTTGAGGCAGCAAACTCGGGGTCCCACGAACATACCTATTGCTGAGAGAAGCCTCCTCTGGGGGTGCTTCTGGAAAGTTGGCATATGTCTTGAGCCTAAGCCAGGGAATCAGCTCTCACCTTGAAACGATTTGGGGTACACGGAGCATTCCTCGAGTTGCTGTGCTGAAGTTGGTGTTCCTCTAGACTTGGGACAGTGTTCTCCGGGCAACTCTGGAGTTGCCTGAAGGAAGTCAAGCCACTGGTGGTGTTTAATGGGGTATGGGGAATGGCTCTGGAGTCAATGCCGGAGAATCGGGCCTCATCTCGAGTTGATGTGGGGCACATGGAGCTGCTTTGCATTGCTGCGGTGACCTCAGGGTCTGTCTAGACTTGTGACAGTGTTCCTGGTGACTCTCTCAAGATCCATTAAGCAAGTCGAAGCTCCTGACTTGCTTGATGGGGATCACGGGCCTGCTCTGCATGGACTGCAGGGAATCAGACCTCATCTCGCATCTAGGGGAAGTCTCTTCGTTTTGCTCGAGTTGCGGCCGGACCTGGGGTATGTTCTCGAGTTATGGCGGGGATGGCCCTTCAAAACACGAGTTTCTTCAGTGACGTCAGGACTCCTGTCTAGTAATGAGAGACACCTCAGGAATCTCTTCGAAGCTTGGCAGGGCAAAAGGGATGCTTCCCGAAGTGAGGCAGGGCACCCAAGAACCCTGTCCTGTAGCTACAGTGATTTTGGGATTCCTATCAATGTTCAAGAGGAGTCAGGCATCGTCACATTTTGAAGCAGTGAACTCCGTGTGCCTCTCGAGGTGTCAACGGGATGTGAGACATTCCGTCAAAATGAGGCAGGGACATACGGCTTTCTCTAAGGTCTCCTCAGGGGATTCAGACATTCCTTCTGGTTGTGAGATGAAAGACGAGCCTGTATTCAAGACACTGCAAGGAAATCCGGCCTCCTTTCAAGTTAAGGCTTCTCGTTGTATATTCCACTTGAGGCAGCAAACTGGGGGTCCCTCCCTCATACCGATTGCTGAGAGAAGCCTCCTCTTGAGGTGCTTCTGGAAAGTTGGCATACGTCTTGAGCCTAAGCTAGGGAATCAGCTCTCACCTCGAAACGATTTGGGGTACACCGGTCATTCCTCGAGTTGCTGTGCTGAAGTTGGTGTTCCTCTAGACTTGGGACAGTGTTCTCGGGGCATCTCTGGAGTTGCCTGAAGGAAGTCAAGCCACTGGTCGTGTTTAATGGGCAACGGGGGATGGCTCCGGAGTCAATGCAGGGGAATCTGGCATCATCCCGAGTGGATTTGGGGCACATTGTGCTGCTTTGCATTGATGGGGTGACCTCAGGATCCGTCTAGACATGTGACTGTATTCTTGGGGACTCTCTCGAGATCCATTAAGCAAGTCGAAGGTCCTGACTTGTTTGATGGGGATCACGGAATTGCTCTGCATGCACTGCAGGAAAATCGGGCCTCATCTCGCCTATAGGGGAAAGTCTCATGGTTTTTCTCGACTTGCGGCGGGGACCTAGGGTATGTACTCCGGTTAAGGCGGGGATGACCCTTCAAAACTCGTGTTTATTCAGTGACGTCAGGACTCCTGTCCAATAACGAGGGACAGCTCAGGAATCTCTTCTAGGCTTGGCAGTGCACAAGGGACGCTTCTCGAGGTGAGGCAGGGCACCCAAGGAACCTTTCCAATAGCCACAGGGATTTTGGGATTCCTGTCAATATTCAAGAGGAGTCAGGCATCGTCACCTTTTGAAGCAGTGAACTCCGCGTGCCTCTCGAGGTGACAACGGGATGTGAGGCATTCCGTCAAAATGAGGCAGGGACCCAGAGCTTTCTCTAAGGTCTCCACAGGGGATTCAGACATCCCTTCATGCTGTGAGATGAAAGACGAGCCTGTATTCAAGCCACTGCAAGGAAAACCGGCCTCCTTTCAAGTTAGGGCTTCTCGCTGTATATTCCACTTGAGGCAGCAAACTGGGGGTCCCTCCAACATACCTATAGCTGAGAGAAGCCTCCTCTTGAGGTGCTTCTGGAAAGTTGGCATACGTCTTGAGCCTAAGCCAGGGAATCAGCTCTCATCTCGAGACGATTTGGGGTACACGGAGCATTCCTCGTGTTGCTGTGCTGAAGTTCGTATTCCTCTAGACTTGGGACATTGTTCTCAGGGAATCTCTGGAGTTGCCTGAAGGAAGTCAAGCCACTGGTGGTGTTTAATGGGCTACGGGGGATGGCTCTGGAGTCAATGCAGGGGAATCGGGCCTCATCTCGAGTTGATGTGGGGTACTTGGAGCTGCTTTGCATTGCTGGGGTGACCTCACGTTCTGTCTAGACTTTTGACAGTGTTCCTGGGGACTTTCGCGAGTTCGATTAAGCAAGTCGAATCTCCTGACTTGCTTGATGGGGATCACGGGAATGCTCTGCATGGACTGCAGGGAATAAGGCTTCATCTCGTATCTAGGGGAAGTGTCATGGTTTTTCTCGAGTTGCGGCGAGACCTGTGGTATGTTCTCGAGTTATGGTGGGGATGGCCCTTCAAAACACGTGTTTATTCAGTGACGTCAGGACTCCTGTCTAGTAACGAGAGACACCTCAGGAATCTCTTCGAGGCTTGGCAGGGCACAAGGGACGCTTCTCGAGGTGAGGCAGGGCACCCAAGGAACCTTTCCAATAGCCATAGGGATTTTGGGATTCCAATCAATATTCAAGAGGAGTCAGGCATCGTCCCCTTTTGAAATAGTGAACTCCGCGTGCCTCTCGAGGTGACAATGGGATGTGAGGCATTCCGTCCAAATGAGGCAGGGACCTAGGGCTTTCTCTAAGGTCTTCACAGGGGATTCAGTCATCCCTTCCTGTTGTGAGATGAAAGACGAGCCTGTATACAAGACACTGCAAGGAAATCCGGCCTCCTTTCAAGTTAGGGCTTCTCGCTGTATATTCCACTTGAGGCAGCAAACTCGGGGTCCCACGAACAAACCTATTGCTGAGAGAAGCCTCCTCTTGTGGTGCTTCTGGAAAGTTGGCATACGTCTTGAGCCTAAGCCAGGGTATCAGCTCTCATCTCGAGACGATTTGGGGTACACGGAGCATTCCTGGAGTTGCTGTGCTTAAGTTCGTATTCCTCTAGACTTGAGACAGTGTTCTCGGGGCAACTCTGGAGTTGCATGAAGGAAGTCAAGCCACTCGTGGTGTTTAATGGGGTACGGGGGATGGCTCTGGAGTCAATGCATTGGAATCTGGCATCATCTCGAGTTTATTTGGGGCAAATGGAGCTGCTTTGCGTTGCTGGGGTGACGTCATGGTCCGTCTACACTTGTGACAGTGTTCCTGGGGACTCTCTCGAGATCCATTAAGCAAATCGAACCTGCTGACTTGCTTGATGGGGATCACGGGAATGCTCTGCATGGACTGCAGGGAATCAGGCCTCATCTCACATCTAGGGGAAGTCTCATGGTTTTTCTCGAGTTGCGGCGGGACGTGGGGTATGTTCTCGAGTTATGGCGGGCATGGCCCTTCAAAACACGTGTTTATTCAGTGACGTCAGGACTCCTGACTAGTAATGAGGGACACCTCAGGAATCTCTTCGAGGCTTGGCAGGGGAAAAGGTATGCTTCTCGAGGTGAGGCAGGGCACACAAGAACCCTTTCCTGTAGCCACAGTTATTTTGGGATTCCTATCAATGTTCAGGAGGAGTCAGGCAGCTTCACATTTTGAAGCAATGAACTCCACGTGCCTCTCGTGGTGTCAACGGGATGTGAGGCTTTCCGTCAAAATAAGGCAGGGACCTAGGGCTTTCTCTAAGGTCTCTACAGGGGATTCAGACATCCCTTCATGCTGAGAGATGAAAGACGAGCCTGTATTCAAGCCCCTGCAAGGAAATCCGGCCTCCTTTCATTTTAGGGCTTCTCGCTGTATATTCCACTTGAGGCAGCAAACTCGGGGTCCCACGAACATACCTATTGCTGAGAGAAGCCTCCTCTTGAGGTGCTTCTGGAAAGTTGGCATACGTCTTGAGCCTAAGCCAGGGAATCAGCTCTCATCTCGAGACGATTTGGGGTACACGGAGCATTCCTCGAGTTGCTGTGCTGAAGATGGTGTTCCTCTAGACTTGGGACAGTGTTCTCAGGGCATGTCTGCAGTTGTATGAAGGAAGTCAAGCCACTGGTGGTGTTTAATGTGGAACGGGGGATGCCTCTGGAGTCAATGCAGGGGAATCGGGCATTATCTCGAGTTGATTTGGGGCACATGGTGCTGCTTTGCGATGATGGGGTGACCTCAGGATCCGTCTAGACATGTGACAGTGTTCTTGGGTACTGTCTCGAGATCCATTAAGCAAGTCGAAGCTCCTGACTTGTTTGATGGGGATCACGGAATTGCTCTGCATGCACTGCAGGTGAATCGGGCCTCATCTGGCATCCAGATGGAAGTCTCAAGGTTTTTTTCGAATTGTGGCGGGGACCTGGGTTATGTACTCTGGTTACGGGGGGGAAGGCCCTTCAAAACTCGTGTATATTCAGTGACGTCAGGACTCCTGTCCAATAACGAGGGACAGCTCAGGAATCTATTCGAGGCTTGGCAGTGCAAAAGGGACGCTTCTCGAGGTGAGGCAGGGCACCCAAGGAACCTTTCCAATAGCCACAGGGATTTTGGGATTCCTATCAATATTCAAGAGGAGTCAGGCATCGTCACCTTTTGAAGCACTGAACTCCGCGTGCCTCTCGAGGTGACAACGGGATGTGAGGCATTACGTCAAACTGAGGCAGGGACCTAGAGCTTTCTCTAAGGTCTCCACAGGGGATTCAGACATCCCTTCATGCTGTGAGATGAAAGACGAGCCTGTATTCAAGCCACTGCAAGGAAAACCGGCCGCCTTTCAAGTTAGGGCTTCTCGCTGTATATTCCACTTGAGGCAGCAAACTGGGGGTCCCTCCAACATACCTATAGCTGAGAGAAGCCTCCTCTTGAGGTGCTTCTGGAAAGTTGGCATACGTCTTGAGCCTAAGCCAGGGAATCAGCTCTCATCTCGAGACGATTTGGGGTACACGGAGCATTCCTCGATTTGCTGTGCTGAAGTTCGTGTTCCTCTAGACTTGGGACAGTGTTCTTGGGGCATCTCTGGAGTTGCCTGAAGGAAGTCAAGCCACTGGTCTTGTTTAATGGGGAACGGGGGATGGCTCCGGAGTCAATGCAGGGGAATCTGGTATCATCCCGAGTGGATTTGGGGCACATTGTGCTGCTTTGCATTGATGGGGTGACCTCAGGATCCGTCTAGACATGTGACTGTATTCTTGGGGACTCTCTCGAGATCCATTAAGCAAGTCGAAGGTCCTGACTTGTTTGATGGGGATCACGGAATTGCTCTGCATGCACTGCAGGAAAATCGGGCCTCATCTCGCCTATAGGGGAAAGTCTCATGGTTTTTCTCGACTTGCGGCGGGGACCTTGGGTATGTACTCCAGTTAAGGCGGGGATGACCCTTCAAAACTCGTGTTTATTCAGTGACGTCAGGACTCCTGTCCAATAACGAGGGACAGCTCAGGAATCTCTTCGAGGCTTGGCAGTGCACAAGGGACGCTTCTCGAGGTGAGGCAGGGCACCCAAGGAACCTTTCCAATAGCCACAGGGATTTTGGGATTCCTGTCAATATACAAGAGGAGTCAGGCATCGTCACCTTTTGAAGCAGTGAACTCTGCGTGCCTCTCGAGGTGACAACGGGATGTGAGGCATTCCGTCAAAATGAGGCAGGGACCCAGAGCTTTCTCTAAGGTCTCCACAGGGGATTCAGACATCCCTTCATGCTGTGAGATGAAAGACGAGCCTGTATTCAAGCCACTGCAAGGAAAACCGGCCTCCTTTCAAGTTAGGGCTTCTCCCTGTATATTCCACTTGAGGCAGCAAACTCGGGGTCCCACGAACATACCTATTGCTGAGAGAAGCCTCCTCTGGGGGTGCTTCTGGAAAGTTGGCATATGTCTTGAGCCTAAGCCAGGGAATCAGCTCTCACCTTGAAACGATTTGGGGTACACGGAGCATTCCTCGAGTTGCTGTGCTGAAGTTGGTGTTCCTCTAGACTTGGGACAGTGTTCTCCGGGCAACTCTGGAGTTGCCTGAAGGAAGTCAAGCCACTGGTGGTGTTTAATGGGGTATGGGGAATGGCTCTGGAGTCAATGCCGGAGAATCGGGCCTCATCTCGAGTTGATGTGGGGCACATGGAGCTGCTTTGCATTGCTGCGGTGACCTCAGGGTCTGTCTAGACTTGTGACAGTGTTCCTGGTGACTCTCTCAAGATCCATTAAGCAAGTCGAAGCTCCTGACTTGCTTGATGGGGATCACGGGCCTGCTCTGCATGGACTGCAGGGAATCAGACCTCATCTCGCATCTAGGGGAAGTCTCTTCGTTTTGCTCGAGTTGCGGCCGGACCTGGGGTATGTTCTCGAGTTATGGCGGGGATGGCCCTTCAAAACACGTGTTTATTCAGTGACGTCAGGACTCCTGTCTAGTAACGAGAGACACCTCAGGAATCTCTTCGAAGCTTGGCAGGGCAAAAGGGATGCTTCCCGAAGTGAGGCAGGGCACCCAAGAACCCTGTCCTGTAGCTACAGTGATTTTGGGATTCCTATCAATGTTCAAGAGGAGTCAGGCATCGTCACATTTTGAAGCAGTGAACTCCGTGTGCCTCTCGAGGTGTCAACGGGATGTGAGACATTCCGTCAAAATGAGGCAGGGACATACGGCTTTCTCTAAGGTCTCCTCAGGGGATTCAGACATTCCTTCTGGTTGTGAGATGAAAGACGAGCCTGTATTCAAGACACTGCAAGGAAATCCGGCCTCCTTTCAAGTTAAGGCTTCTCGTTGTATATTCCACTTGAGGCAGCAAACTGGGGGTCCCTCCCTCATACCGATTGCTGAGAGAAGCCTCCTCTTGAGGTGCTTCTGGAAAGTTGGCATACGTCTTGAGCCTAAGCTAGGGAATCAGCTCTCACCTCGAAACGATTTGGGGTACACCGGTCATTCCTCGAGTTGCTGTGCTGAAGTTGGTGTTCCTCTAGACTTGGGACAGTGTTCTCGGGGCATCTCTGGAGTTGCCTGAAGGAAGTCAAGCCACTGGTCGTGTTTAATGGGGAACGGGGGATGGCTCCGGAGTCAATGCAGGGGAATCTGGCATCATCCCGAGTGGATTTGGGGCACATTGTGCTGCTTTGCATTGATGGGGTGACCTCAGGATCCGTCTAGACATGTGACTGTATTCTTGGGGACTCTCTCGAGATCCATTAAGCAAGTCGAAGGTCCTGACTTGTTTGATGGGGATCACGGAATTGCTCTGCATGCACTGCAGGAAAATCGGGCCTCATCTCGCCTATAGGGGAAAGTCTCATGGTTTTTCTCGACTTGCGGCGGGGACCTAGGGTATGTACTCCGGTTAAGGCGGGGATGACCCTTCAAAACTCGTGTTTATTCAGTGACGTCAGGACTCCTGTCCAATAACGAGGGACAGCTCAGGAATCTCTTCTAGGCTTGGCAGTGCACAAGGGACGCTTCTCGAGGTGAGGCAGGGCACCCAAGGAACCTTTCCAATAGCCACAGGGATTTTGGGATTCCTGTCAATATTCAAGAGGAGTCAGGCATCGTCACCTTTTGAAGCAGTGAACTCCGCGTGCCTCTCGAGGTGACAACGGGATGTGAGGCATTCCGTCAAAATGAGGCAGGGACCCAGAGCTTTCTCTAAGGTCTCCACAGGGGATTCAGACATCCCTTCATGCTGTGAGATGAAAGACGAGCCTGTATTCAAGCCACTGCAAGGAAAACCGGCCTCCTTTCAAGTTAGGGCTTCTCGCTGTATATTCCACTTGAGGCAGCAAACTGGGGGTCCCTCCAACATACCTATAGCTGAGAGAAGCCTCCTCTTGAGGTGCTTCTGGAAAGTTGGCATACGTCTTGAGCCTAAGCCAGGGAATCAGCTCTCATCTCGAGACGATTTGGGGTACACGGAGCATTCCTCGTGTTGCTGTGCTGAAGTTCGTATTCCTCTAGACTTGGGACAGTGTTCTCAGGGAATCTCTGGAGTTGCCTGAAGGAAGTCAAGCCACTGGTGGTGTTTAATGTGCTACGGGGGATGGCTCTGGAGTCAATGCAGGGGAATCGGGCCTCATCTCGAGTTGATGTGGGGTACTTGGAGCTGCTTTGCATTGCTGGGGTGACCTCACGTTCTGTCTAGACTTTTGACAGTGTTCCTGGGGACTTTCGCGAGTTCGATTAAGCAAGTCGAATCTCCTGACTTGCTTGATGGGGATCACGGGAATGCTCTGCATGGACTGCAGGGAATAAGGCTTCATCTCGTATCTAGGGGAAGTGTCATGGTTTTTCTCGAGTTGCGGCGAGACCTGTGGTATGTTCTCGAGTTATGGTGGGGATGGCCCTTCAAAACACGTGTTTATTCAGTGACGTCAGGACTCCTGTCTAGTAACGAGAGACACCTCAGGAATCTCTTCGAGGCTTGGCAGGGCACAAGGGACGCTTCTCGAGGTGAGGCAGGGCACCCAAGGAACCTTTCCAATAGCCATAGGGATTTTGGGATTCCAATCAATATTCAAGAGGAGTCAGGCATCGTCCCCTTTTGAAATAGTGAACTCCGCGTGCCTCTCGAGGTGACAATGGGATGTGAGGCATTCCGTCCAAATGAGGCAGGGACCTAGGGCTTTCTCTAAGGTCTTCACAGGGGATTCAGTCATCCCTTCCTGTTGTGAGATGAAAGACGAGCCTGTATACAAGACACTGCAAGGAAATCCGGCCTCCTTTCAAGTTAGGGCTTCTCGCTGTATATTCCACTTGAGGCAGCAAACTCGGGGTCCCACGAACAAACCTATTGCTGAGAGAAGCCTCCTCTTGTGGTGCTTCTGGAAAGTTGGCATACGTCTTGAGCCTAAGCCAGGGTATCAGCTCTCATCTCGAGACGATTTGGGGTACACGGAGCATTCCTGGAGTTGCTGTGCTTAAGTTCGTATTCCTCTAGACTTGAGACAGTGTTCTCGGGGCAACTCTGGAGTTGCATGAAGGAAGTCAAGCCACTCGTGGTGTTTAATGGGGTACGGGGGATGGCTCTGGAGTCAATGCATTGGAATCTGGCATCATCTCGAGTTTATTTGGGGCAAATGGAGCTGCTTTGCGTTGCTGGGGTGACGTCATGGTCCGTCTACACTTGTGACAGTGTTCCTGGGGACTCTCTCGAGATCCATTAAGCAAATCGAACCTGCTGACTTGCTTGATGGGGATCACGGGAATGCTCTGCATGGACTGCAGGGAATCAGGCCTCATCTCACATCTAGGGGAAGTCTCATGGTTTTTCTCGAGTTGCGGCGGGACGTGGGGTATGTTCTCGAGTTATGGCGGGCATGGCCCTTCAAAACACGTGTTTATTCAGTGACGTCAGGACTCCTGACTAGTAATGAGGGACACCTCAGGAATCTCTTCGAGGCTTGGCAGGGGAAAAGGTATGCTTCTCGAGGTGAGGCAGGGCACACAAGAACCCTTTCCTGTAGCCACAGTTATTTTGGGATTCCTATCAATGTTCAGGAGGAGTCAGGCAGCTTCACATTTTGAAGCAATGAACTCCACGTGCCTCTCGTGGTGTCAACGGGATGTGAGGCTTTCCGTCAAAATAAGGCAGGGACCTAGGGCTTTCTCTAAGGTCTCTACAGGGGATTCAGACATCCCTTCATGCTGAGAGATGAAAGACGAGCCTGTATTCAAGCCCCTGCAAGGAAATCCGGCCTCCTTTCATTTTAGGGCTTCTCGCTGTATATTCCACTTGAGGCAGCAAACTCGGGGTCCCACGAACATACCTATTGCTGAGAGAAGCCTCCTCTTGAGGTGCTTCTGGAAAGTTGGCATACGTCTTGAGCCTAAGCCAGGGAATCAGCTCTCATCTCGAGACGATTTGGGGTACACGGAGCATTCCTCGAGTTGCTGTGCTGAAGATGGTGTTCCTCTAGACTTGGGACAGTGTTCTCAGGGCATGTCTGCAGTTGTATGAAGGAAGTCAAGCCACTGGTGGTGTTTAATGTGGAACGGGGGATGCCTCTGGAGTCAATGCAGGGGAATCGGGCATTATCTCGAGTTGATTTGGGGCACATGGTGCTGCTTTGCGATGATGGGGTGACCTCAGGATCCGTCTAGACATGTGACAGTGTTCTTGGGTACTGTCTCGAGATCCATTAAGCAAGTCGAAGCTCCTGACTTGTTTGATGGGGATCACGGAATTGCTCTGCATGCACTGCAGGTGAATCGGGCCTCATCTGGCATCCAGATGGAAGTCTCAAGGTTTTTTTCGAATTGTGGCGGGGACCTGGGTTATGTACTCTGGTTACGGGGGGGAAGGCCCTTCAAAACTCGTGTATATTCAGTGACGTCAGGACTCCTGTCCAATAACGAGGGACAGCTCAGGAATCTCTTCGAGGCTTGGCAGTGCAAAAGGGACGCTTCTCGAGGTGAGGCAGGGCACCCAAGGAACCTTTCCAATAGCCACAGGGATTTTGGGATTCCTATCAATATTCAAGAGGAGTCAGGCATCGTCACCTTTTGAAGCACTGAACTCCGCGTGCCTCTCGAGGTGACAACGGGATGTGAGGCATTACGTCAAACTGAGGCAGGGACCTAGAGCTTTCTCTAAGGTCTCCACAGGGGATTCAGACATCCCTTCATGCTGTGAGATGAAAGACGAGCCTGTATTCAAGCCACTGCAAGGAAAACCGGCCGCCTTTCAAGTTAGGGCTTCTCGCTGTATATTCCACTTGAGGCAGCAAACTGGGGGTCCCTCCAACATACCTATAGCTGAGAGAAGCCTCCTCTTGAGGTGCTTCTGGAAAGTTGGCATACGTCTTGAGCCTAAGCCAGGGAATCAGCTCTCATCTCGAGACGATTTGGGGTACACGGAGCATTCCTCGATTTGCTGTGCTGAAGTTCGTGTTCCTCTAGACTTGGGACAGTGTTCTTGGGGCATCTCTGGAGTTGCCTGAAGGAAGTCAAGCCACTGGTCTTGTTTAATGGTGAACGGGGGATGGCTCCGGAGTCAATGCAGGGGAATCTGGTATCATCCCGAGTGGATTTGGGGCACATTGTGCTGCTTTGCATTGATGGGGTGACCTCAGGATCCGTCTAGACATGTGACTGTATTCTTGGGGACTCTCTCGAGATCCATTAAGCAAGTCGAAGGTCCTGACTTGTTTGATGGGGATCACGGAATTGCTCTGCATGCACTGCAGGAAAATCGGGCCTCATCTCGCCTATAGGGGAAAGTCTCATGGTTTTTCTCGACTTGCGGCGGGGACCTTGGGTATGTACTCCAGTTAAGGCGGGGATGACCCTTCAAAACTCGTGTTTATTCAGTGACGTCAGGACTCCTGTCCAATAACGAGGGACAGCTCAGGAATCTCTTCTAGGCTTGGCAGTGCACAAGGGACGCTTCTCGAGGTGAGGCAGGGCACCCAAGGAACCTTTCCAATAGCCACAGGGATTTTGGGATTCCTGTCAATATACAAGAGGAGTCAGGCATCGTCACCTTTTGAAGCAGTGAACTCTGCGTGCCTCTCGAGGTGACAACGGGATGTGAGGCATTCCGTCAAAATGAGGCAGGGACCCAGAGCTTTCTCTAAGGTCTCCACAGGGGATTCAGACATCCCTTCATGCTGTGAGATGAAAGACGAGCCTGTATTCAAGCCACTGCAAGGAAAACCGGCCTCCTTTCAAGTTAGGGCTTCTCGCTGTATATTCCACTTGAGGCAGCAAACTCGGGGTCCCACGAACATACCTATTGCTGAGAGAAGCCTCCTCTGGGGGTGCTTCTGGAAAGTTGGCATATGTCTTGAGCCTAAGCCAGGGAATCAGCTCTCACCTTGAAACGATTTGGGGTACACGGAGCATTCCTCGAGTTGCTGTGCTGAAGTTGGTGTTCCTCTAGACTTGGGACAGTGTTCTCCGGGCAACTCTGGAGTTGCCTGAAGGAAGTCAAGCCACTGGTGGTGTTTAATGGGGTATGGGGAATGGCTCTGGAGTCAATGCCGGAGAATCGGGCCTCATCTCGAGTTGATGTGGGGCACATGGAGCTGCTTTGCATTGCTGCGGTGACCTCAGGGTCTGTCTAGACTTGTGACAGTGTTCCTGGTGACTCTCTCAAGATCCATTAAGCAAGTCGAAGCTCCTGACTTGCTTGATGGGGATCACGGGCCTGCTCTGCATGGACTGCAGGGAATCAGACCTCATCTCGCATCTAGGGGAAGTCTCTTCGTTTTGCTCGAGTTGCGGCCGGACCTGGGGTATGTTCTCGAGTTATGGCGGGGATGGCCCTTCAAAACACGTGTTTATTCAGTGACGTCAGGACTCCTGTCTAGTAACGAGAGACACCTCAGGAATCTCTTCGAAGCTTGGCAGGGCAAAAGGGATGCTTCCCGAAGTGAGGCAGGGCACCCAAGAACCCTGTCCTGTAGCTACAGTGATTTTGGGATTCCTATCAATGTTCAAGAGGAGTCAGGCATCGTCACATTTTGAAGCAGTGAACTCCGTGTGCCTCTCGAGGTGTCAACGGGATGTGAGACATTCCGTCAAAATGAGGCAGGGACATACGGCTTTCTCTAAGGTCTCCTCAGGGGATTCAGACATTCCTTCTGGTTGTGAGATGAAAGACGAGCCTGTATTCAAGACACTGCAAGGAAATCCGGCCTCCTTTCAAGTTAAGGCTTCTCGTTGTATATTCCACTTGAGGCAGCAAACTGGGGGTCCCTCCCTCATACCGATTGCTGAGAGAAGCCTCCTCTTGAGGTGCTTCTGGAAAGTTGGCATACGTCTTGAGCCTAAGCTAGGGAATCAGCTCTCACCTCGAAACGATTTGGGGTACACCGGTCATTCCTCGAGTTGCTGTGCTGAAGTTGGTGTTCCTCTAGACTTGGGACAGTGTTCTCGGGGCATCTCTGGAGTTGCCTGAAGGAAGTCAAGCCACTGGTCGTGTTTAATGGGGAACGGGGGATGGCTCCGGAGTCAATGCAGGGGAATCTGGCATCATCCCGAGTGGATTTGGGGCACATTGTGTTGCTTTGCATTGATGGGGTGACCTCAGGATCCGTCTAGACATGTGACTGTATTCTTGGGGACTCTCTCGAGATCCATTAAGCAAGTCGAAGGTCCTGACTTGTTTGATGGGGATCACGGAATTGCTCTGCATGCACTGCAGGAAAATCGGGCCTCATCTCGCCTATAGGGGAAAGTCTCATGGTTTTTCTCGACTTGCGGCGGGGACCTAGGGTATGTACTCCGGTTAAGGCGGGGATGACCCTTCAAAACTCGTGTTTATTCAGTGACGTCAGGACTCCTGTCCAATAACGAGGGACAGCTCAGGAATCTCTTCTAGGCTTGGCAGTGCACAAGGGACGCTTCTCGAGGTGAGGCAGGGCACCCAAGGAACCTTTCCAATAGCCACAGGGATTTTGGGATTCCTGTCAATATTCAAGAGGAGTCAGGCATCGTCACCTTTTGAAGCAGTGAACTCCGCGTGCCTCTCGAGGTGACAACGGGATGTGAGGCATTCCGTCAAAATGAGGCAGGGACCCAGAGCTTTCTCTAAGGTCTCCACAGGGGATTCAGACATCCCTTCATGCTGTGAGATGAAAGACGAGCCTGTATTCAAGCCACTGCAAGGAAAACCGGCCTCCTTTCAAGTTAGGGCTTCTCGCTGTATATTCCACTTGAGGCAGCAAACTGGGGGTCCCTCCAACATACCTATAGCTGAGAGAAGCCTCCTCTTGAGGTGCTTCTGGAAAGTTGGCATACGTCTTGAGCCTAAGCCAGGGAATCAGCTCTCATCTCGAGACGATTTGGGGTACACGGAGCATTCCTCGTGTTGCTGTGCTGAAGTTCGTATTCCTCTAGACTTGGGACAGTGTTCTCAGGGAATCTCTGGAGTTGCCTGAAGGAAGTCAAGCCACTGGTGGTGTTTAATGTGCTACGGGGGATGGCTCTGGAGTCAATGCAGGGGAATCGGGCCTCATCTCGAGTTGATGTGGGGTACTTGGAGCTGCTTTGCATTGCTGGGGTGACCTCACGTTCTGTCTAGACTTTTGACAGTGTTCCTGGGGACTTTCGCGAGTTCGATTAAGCAAGTCGAATCTCCTGACTTGCTTGATGGGGATCACGGGAATGCTCTGCATGGACTGCAGGGAATAAGGCTTCATCTCGTATCTAGGGGAAGTGTCATGGTTTTTCTCGAGTTGCGGCGAGACCTGTGGTATGTTCTCGAGTTATGGTGGGGATGGCCCTTCAAAACACGTGTTTATTCAGTGACGTCAGGACTCCTGTCTAGTAACGAGAGACACCTCAGGAATCTCTTCGAGGCTTGGCAGGGCACAAGGGACGCTTCTCGAGGTGAGGCAGGGCACCCAAGGAACCTTTCCAATAGCCATAGGGATTTTGGGATTCCAATCAATATTCAAGAGGAGTCAGGCATCGTCCCCTTTTGAAATAGTGAACTCCGCGTGCCTCTCGAGGTGACAATGGGATGTGAGGCATTCCGTCCAAATGAGGCAGGGACCTAGGGCTTTCTCTAAGGTCTTCACAGGGGATTCAGTCATCCCTTCCTGTTGTGAGATGAAAGACGAGCCTGTATACAAGACACTGCAAGGAAATCCGGCCTCCTTTCAAGTTAGGGCTTCTCGCTGTATATTCCACTTGAGGCAGCAAACTCGGGGTCCCACGAACAAACCTATTGCTGAGAGAAGCCTCCTCTTGTGGTGCTTCTGGAAAGTTGGCATACGTCTTGAGCCTAAGCCAGGGTATCAGCTCTCATCTCGAGACGATTTGGGGTACACGGAGCATTCCTGGAGTTGCTGTGCTTAAGTTCGTATTCCTCTAGACTTGAGACAGTGTTCTCGGGGCAACTCTGGAGTTGCATGAAGGAAGTCAAGCCACTCGTGGTGTTTAATGGGGTACGGGGGATGGCTCTGGAGTCAATGCATTGGAATCTGGCATCATCTCGAGTTTATTTGGGGCAAATGGAGCTGCTTTGCGTTGCTGGGGTGACGTCATGGTCCGTCTACACTTGTGACAGTGTTCCTGGGGACTCTCTCGAGATCCATTAAGCAAATCGAACCTGCTGACTTGCTTGATGGGGATCACGGGAATGCTCTGCATGGACTGCAGGGAATCAGGCCTCATCTCACATCTAGGGGAAGTCTCATGGTTTTTCTCGAGTTGCGGCGGGACGTGGGGTATGTTCTCGAGTTATGGCGGGCATGGCCCTTCAAAACACGTGTTTATTCAGTGACGTCAGGACTCCTGACTAGTAATGAGGGACACCTCAGGAATCTCTTCGAGGCTTGGCAGGGGAAAAGGTATGCTTCTCGAGGTGAGGCAGGGCACACAAGAACCCTTTCCTGTAGCCACAGTTATTTTGGGATTCCTATCAATGTTCAGGAGGAGTCAGGCAGCTTCACATTTTGAAGCAATGAACTCCACGTGCCTCTCGTGGTGTCAACGGGATGTGAGGCTTTCCGTCAAAATAAGGCAGGGACCTAGGGCTTTCTCTAAGGTCTCTACAGGGGATTCAGACATCCCTTCATGCTGAGAGATGAAAGACGAGCCTGTATTCAAGCCCCTGCAAGGAAATCCGGCCTCCTTTCATTTTAGGGCTTCTCGCTGTATATTCCACTTGAGGCAGCAAACTCGGGGTCCCACGAACATACCTATTGCTGAGAGAAGCCTCCTCTTGAGGTGCTTCTGGAAAGTTGGCATACGTCTTGAGCCTAAGCCAGGGAATCAGCTCTCATCTCGAGACGATTTGGGGTACACGGAGCATTCCTCGAGTTGCTGTGCTGAAGATGGTGTTCCTCTAGACTTGGGACAGTGTTCTCAGGGCATGTCTGCAGTTGTATGAAGGAAGTCAAGCCACTGGTGGTGTTTAATGTGGAACGGGGGATGCCTCTGGAGTCAATGCAGGGGAATCGGGCATTATCTCGAGTTGATTTGGGGCACATGGTGCTGCTTTGCGATGATGGGGTGACCTCAGGATCCGTCTAGACATGTGACAGTGTTCTTGGGTACTGTCTCGAGATCCATTAAGCAAGTCGAAGCTCCTGACTTGTTTGATGGGGATCACGGAATTGCTCTGCATGCACTGCAGGTGAATCGGGCCTCATCTGGCATCCAGATGGAAGTCTCAAGGTTTTTTTCGAATTGTGGCGGGGACCTGGGTTATGTACTCTGGTTACGGGGGGGAAGGCCCTTCAAAACTCGTGTATATTCAGTGACGTCAGGACTCCTGTCCAATAACGAGGGACAGCTCAGGAATCTCTTCGAGGCTTGGCAGTGCAAAAGGGACGCTTCTCGAGGTGAGGCAGGGCACCCAAGGAACCTTTCCAATAGCCACAGGGATTTTGGGATTCCTATCAATATTCAAGAGGAGTCAGGCATCGTCACCTTTTGAAGCACTGAACTCCGCGTGCCTCTCGAGGTGACAACGGGATGTGAGGCATTACGTCAAACTGAGGCAGGGACCTAGAGCTTTCTCTAAGGTCTCCACAGGGGATTCAGACATCCCTTCATGCTGTGAGATGAAAGACGAGCCTGTATTCAAGCCACTGCAAGGAAAACCGGCCGCCTTTCAAGTTAGGGCTTCTCGCTGTATATTCCACTTGAGGCAGCAAACTGGGGGTCCCTCCAACATACCTATAGCTGAGAGAAGCCTCCTCTTGAGGTGCTTCTGGAAAGTTGGCATACGTCTTGAGCCTAAGCCAGGGAATCAGCTCTCATCTCGAGACGATTTGGGGTACACGGAGCATTCCTCGATTTGCTGTGCTGAAGTTCGTGTTCCTCTAGACTTGGGACAGTGTTCTTGGGGCATCTCTGGAGTTGCCTGAAGGAAGTCAAGCCACTGGTCTTGTTTAATGGTGAACGGGGGATGGCTCCGGAGTCAATGCAGGGGAATCTGGTATCATCCCGAGTGGATTTGGGGCACATTGTGCTGCTTTGCATTGATGGGGTGACCTCAGGATCCGTCTAGACATGTGACTGTATTCTTGGGGACTCTCTCGAGATCCATTAAGCAAGTCGAAGGTCCTGACTTGTTTGATGGGGATCACGGAATTGCTCTGCATGCACTGCAGGAAAATCGGGCCTCATCTCGCCTATAGGGGAAAGTCTCATGGTTTTTCTCGACTTGCGGCGGGGACCTTGGGTATGTACTCCAGTTAAGGCGGGGATGACCCTTCAAAACTCGTGTTTATTCAGTGACGTCAGGACTCCTGTCCAATAACGAGGGACAGCTCAGGAATCTCTTCTAGGCTTGGCAGTGCACAAGGGACGCTTCTCGAGGTGAGGCAGGGCACCCAAGGAACCTTTCCAATAGCCACAGGGATTTTGGGATTCCTGTCAATATACAAGAGGAGTCAGGCATCGTCACCTTTTGAAGCAGTGAACTCTGCGTGCCTCTCGAGGTGACAACGGGATGTGAGGCATTCCGTCAAAATGAGGCAGGGACCCAGAGCTTTCTCTAAGGTCTCCACAGGGGATTCAGACATCCCTTCATGCTGTGAGATGAAAGACGAGCCTGTATTCAAGCCACTGCAAGGAAAACCGGCCTCCTTTCAAGTTAGGGCTTCTCGCTGTATATTCCACTTGAGGCAGCAAACTCGGGGTCCCACGAACATACCTATTGCTGAGAGAAGCCTCCTCTGGGGGTGCTTCTGGAAAGTTGGCATATGTCTTGAGCCTAAGCCAGGGAATCAGCTCTCACCTTGAAACGATTTGGGGTACACGGAGCATTCCTCGAGTTGCTGTGCTGAAGTTGGTGTTCCTCTAGACTTGGGACAGTGTTCTCCGGGCAACTCTGGAGTTGCCTGAAGGAAGTCAAGCCACTGGTGGTGTTTAATGGGGTATGGGGAATGGCTCTGGAGTCAATGCCGGAGAATCGGGCCTCATCTCGAGTTGATGTGGGGCACATGGAGCTGCTTTGCATTGCTGCGGTGACCTCAGGGTCTGTCTAGACTTGTGACAGTGTTCCTGGTGACTCTCTCAAGATCCATTAAGCAAGTCGAAGCTCCTGACTTGCTTGATGGGGATCACGGGCCTGCTCTGCATGGACTGCAGGGAATCAGACCTCATCTCGCATCTAGGGGAAGTCTCTTCGTTTTGCTCGAGTTGCGGCCGGACCTGGGGTATGTTCTCGAGTTATGGCGGGGATGGCCCTTCAAAACACGTGTTTATTCAGTGACGTCAGGACTCCTGTCTAGTAACGAGAGACACCTCAGGAATCTCTTCGAAGCTTGGCAGGGCAAAAGGGATGCTTCCCGAAGTGAGGCAGGGCACCCAAGAACCCTGTCCTGTAGCTACAGTGATTTTGGGATTCCTATCAATGTTCAAGAGGAGTCAGGCATCGTCACATTTTGAAGCAGTGAACTCCGTGTGCCTCTCGAGGTGTCAACGGGATGTGAGACATTCCGTCAAAATGAGGCAGGGACATACGGCTTTCTCTAAGGTCTCCTCAGGGGATTCAGACATTCCTTCTGGTTGTGAGATGAAAGACGAGCCTGTATTCAAGACACTGCAAGGAAATCCGGCCTCCTTTCAAGTTAAGGCTTCTCGTTGTATATTCCACTTGAGGCAGCAAACTGGGGGTCCCTCCCTCATACCGATTGCTGAGAGAAGCCTCCTCTTGAGGTGCTTCTGGAAAGTTGGCATACGTCTTGAGCCTAAGCTAGGGAATCAGCTCTCACCTCGAAACGATTTGGGGTACACCGGTCATTCCTCGAGTTGCTGTGCTGAAGTTGGTGTTCCTCTAGACTTGGGACAGTGTTCTCGGGGCATCTCTGGAGTTGCCTGAAGGAAGTCAAGCCACTGGTCGTGTTTAATGGGGAACGGGGGATGGCTCCGGAGTCAATGCAGGGGAATCTGGCATCATCCCGAGTGGATTTGGGGCACATTGTGCTGCTTTGCATTGATGGGGTGACCTCAGGATCCGTCTAGACATGTGACTGTAATCTTGGGGACTCTCTCGAGATCCATTAAGCAAGTCGAAGGTCCTGACTTGTTTGATGGGGATCACGGAATTGCTCTGCATGCACTGCAGGAAAATCGGGCCTCATCTCGCCTATAGGGGAAAGTCTCATGGTTTTTCTCGACTTGCGGCGGGGACCTAGGGTATGTACTCCGGTTAAGGCGGGGATGACCCTTCAAAACTCGTGTTTATTCAGTGACGTCAGGACTCCTGTCCAATAACGAGGGACAGCTCAGGAATCTCTTCTAGGCTTGGCAGTGCACAAGGGACGCTTCTCGAGGTGAGGCAGGGCACCCAAGGAACCTTTCCAATAGCCACAGGGATTTTGGGATTCCTGTCAATATTCAAGAGGAGTCAGGCATCGTCACCTTTTGAAGCAGTGAACTCCGCGTGCCTCTCGAGGTGACAACGGGATGTGAGGCATTCCGTCAAAATGAGGCAGGGACCCAGAGCTTTCTCTAAGGTCTCCACAGGGGATTCAGACATCCCTTCATGGTGTGAGATGAAAGACGAGCCTGTATTCAAGCCACTGCAAGGAAAACCGGCCTCCTTTCAAGTTAGGGCTTCTCGCTGTATATTCCACTTGAGGCAGCAAACTGGGGGTCCCTCCAACATACCTATAGCTGAGAGAAGCCTCCTCTTGAGGTGCTTCTGGAAAGTTGGCATACGTCTTGAGCCTAAGCCAGGGAATCAGCTCTCATCTCGAGACGATTTGGGGTACACGGAGCATTCCTCGTGTTGCTGTGCTGAAGTTCGTATTCCTCTAGACTTGGGACATTGTTCTCAGGGAATCTCTGGAGTTGCCTGAAGGAAGTCAAGCCACTGGTGGTGTTTAATGGGCTACGGGGGATGGCTCTGGAGTCAATGCAGGGGAATCGGGCCTCATCTCGAGTTGATGTGGGGTACTTGGAGCTGCTTTGCATTGCTGGGGTGACCTCAGGTTCTGTCTAGACTTTTGACAGTGTTCCTGGGGACTTTCGCGAATTCGATTAAGCAAGTCGAATCTCCTGACTTGCTTGATGGGGATCACGGGAATGCTCTGCATGGACTGCAGGGAATAAGGCTTCATCTCGTATCTAGGGGAAGTGTCATGGTTTTTCTCGAGTTGCGGCGAGACCTGTGGTATGTTCTTGAGTTATGGTGGGGATGGCCCTTCAAAACACGTGTTTATTCAGTGACGTCAGGACTCCTGTCTAGTAACGAGAGACACCTCAGGAATCTCTTCGAGGCTTGGCAGGGCACAAGGGACGCTTCTCGAGGTGAGGCAGGGCACCCAAGGAACCTTTCCAATAGCCATAGGGATTTTGGGATTCCAATCAATATTCAAGAGGAGTCAGGCATCGTCCCCTTTTGAAATAGTGAACTCCGCGTGCCTCTCGACGTGACAATGGGATGTGAGGCATCCCGTCCAAATGAGGCAGGGACCTAGGGCTTTCTCTAAGGTCTTCACAGGGGATTCAGTCATCCCTTCCTGTTGTGAGATGAAAGACGAGCCTGTATACAAGACACTGCAAGGAAATCCGGCCTCCTTTCAAGTTAGGGCTTCTCGCTGTATATTCCACTTGAGGCAGCAAACTCGGGGTCCCACGAACAAACCTATTGCTGAGAGAAGCCTCCTCTTGTGGTGCTTCTGGAAAGTTGGCATACGTCTTGAGCCTAAGCCAGGGTATCAGCTCTCATCTCGAGACGATTTGGGGTACACGGAGCATTCCTGGAGTTGCTGTGCTTAAGTTCGTATTCCTCTAGACTTGAGACAGTGTTCTCGGGGCAACTCTGGAGTTGCATGAAGGAAGTCAAGCCACTCGTGGTGTTTAATGGGGTACGGGGGATGGCTCTGGAGTCAATGCATTGGAATCTGGCATCATCTCGAGTTTATTTGGGGCAAATGGAGCTGCTTTGCGTTGCTGGGGTGACGTCATGGTCCGTCTACACTTGTGACAGTGTTCCTGGGGACTCTCTCGAGATCCATTAAGCAAATCGAACCTGCTGACTTGCTTGATGGGGATCACGGGAATGCTCTGCATGGACTGCAGGGAATCAGGCCTCATCTCACATCTAGGGGAAGTCTCACGGTTTTTCTCGAGTTGCAGCGGGACGTGGGGTATGTTCTCGAGTTATGGCGGGCATGGCCCTTCAAAACACGTGTTTATTCAGTGACGTCAGGACTCCTGACTAGTAATGAGGGACACCTCAGGAATCTCTTCGAGGCTTGGCAGGGGAAAAGGTATGCTTCTCGAGGTGAGGCAGGGCACACAAGAACCCTTTACTGTAGCCACAGTTATTTTGGGATTCCTATCAATGTTCAGGAGGAGTCAGGCATCTTCACATTTTGAAGCAGTGAACTCCACCTGCCTCTCGTGGTGTCAACGGGATGTGAGGCTTTCCGTCAAAATAAGGCAGGGACCTAGGGCTTTCTCTAAGGTCTCTACAGGGGATTCAGACATCCCTTCATGCTGAGAGATGAAAGACGAGCCTGTATTCAAGCCCCTGCAAGGAAATCCGGCCTCCTTTCATTTTAGGGCTTCTCGCTGTATAATCCACTTGAGGCAGCAAACTCGGGGTCCCACGAACATACCTATTGCTGAGAGAAGCCTCCTCTTGAGGTGCTTCTGGAAAGTTGGCATACGTCTTGAGCCTAAGCCAGGGAATCAGCTCTCATCTCGAGACGATTTGGGGTACACGGAGCATTCCTCGAGTTGCTGTGCTGAAGTTGGTGTTCCTCTAGACTTGGGACAGTGTTCTTGGGGCATCTCTGGAATTGCCTGAAGGAAGTCAAGCCACTGGTCGTGTTTAATGGGGAACGGGGGATGGCTCTGGAGTCAAAGCAGAGGAATCTGGCATCATCCCGAGTTGATTTGGGGCACATTGTGCTGCTTTGCGTTGATGGGGTGACCTCAGGATCCGTCTAGACATGTGACAGTATTCTTGGGGACTGTCTCGAGATCCATTAAGCAAGTCGAAGGTCCTGACTTGTTTGATGGGGATCACGGAATTGCTCTGCATGCACTGCAGGAGAATCGGGCCTCCTCTCGCCTCTAGGTTAAAGTCTCATGGTTTTTCTCGACTTGTGGCGGGGACCTGGGGTATGTACTCGGGTTATGGCGGGGATGGCCCTTCAAAACTCGTGTTTATTCAGTGACGTCAGGACTCCTGTCCAGTAACGAGAGACAGCTCAGGAATCTCTTCGAGGCTTGGCAGTGCACAAGGGACGCTTCTCGAGGTGAGGCAGGGCACCCAAGGAACCTTTCCAATAGCCACAGGGATTTTGGGATTCCTATCAATATTCAAGAGGAGTCAGGCATCGTCACCTTTTGAAGCACTGAACTCCGCGTGCCTCTCGAGGTGACAACGGGATGTGAGGCATTCCGTCAAAATGAGGCAGGGACCTAGAGCTTTCTCTAAGGTCTCCACAGGGGATTCAGACATCCCTTCATGCTGTGAGATGAAAGACGAGCCTGTATTCAAGCCACTGCAAGGAAATCCGTCCTCCTTTCAAGTTAGGGCTTCTCGCTGTATATTCCACTTGAGGCAGCAAACTCGGGGTCCCTCCCAAATACCTATTGCTGAGAGAAGCCTCCTCTTGAGGTGCTTCTGGAAAGTTGGCATACATCTTGAGCCTAAGCCATGGAATCAGCTCTCACCTCGAAACGATTTGGGGTACACGGAGCATTCCTCGAGTTGCTGTGCTGAAGTTCGTATTCCTCTAGAATTGGGACAGTGTTCTCAGGGCATCTCTGGAGTTGCCTGAAGGAAGTCAAGCCACTGGTGGTGTTTAGTGGGGTACGGGGGATGGCTCTGGAGTCAATGCCGGAGAATCGGGCCTCATCTCGAGTTGATGTGGGGCACTTAGAACTGCTTTGCATTGCTGGGGTGACCTCAGGGTCTGTCTAGACTTGTGACAGTGTTCCTGGGGACTTTCGCGAGTTCGATTAAGCAAGTCGAAGCTCCTGACTTGCTTGATGGGGATCACGGGAATGCTCTGCATGGACTGCAGGGAATAAGGCCTCATCTCGCATCTAGGGGAAGTCTCATGGTGTTTCTCGAGTTGCGGCGGGACCTGGGGTATGTTCTCGAGTTATGGCGGGGATGGCCCTTCAAAACACGTGTTTATTCAATGAGGTCAGGACTCCTGTCTAGTAACGAGGGACAGCTCAGGAATCTCTTCGAGGCTTGGCCGGGCACAAGGGACGCTTCTCGAGGTGAGGCAGGGCACCCAAGGAACCTTTCCAATAGCCACAGGGATTTTGGGATTCCTATCAATATTCAAGAGGAGTCAGGCATCGTCACCTTTTGAAGCAGTGAACTCCACGTGCCTCTCGTGGTGTCAACGGGATGTGAGGCTTTCCGTCAAAATAAGGCAGGGACCTAGGGCTTTCTCTAAGGTCTCCACAGGGGATTCAGACATCCCTTCCTGTTGTGAGATGAAAGACGAGCCTGTATTCAAGACACTGCAAGGAAAGCCGGCCTCCTTTCAAGTTAGGGCTTCTCGCTGTATATTCTACTTGAGGCAGCAAACTCGGGGTCCCTCCCACATACCGATTGCTGAGAGATGCCTCCTCTTGAGGTGCTTCTGGAAAGTTGGCATACGTCTTGAGCCTAAACCAGGGAATCAGCTCTCACCTCGAAACGATTTGGCGTACACGGAGCATTCCTCGAGTTGCTGTGCTGAAGTTGGTGTTCCTCTAGACTTGGGACAGTGTTCTCGGGGCATCTCTGGAGTTTCCAGAAGGAAGTCAAGCCACTGGTGTTGTTTAATGAGGTACGGGGGATGGCTCTGGAGTCAATGCCGGAGAATCTGGCATCATCTCGAGTTTATTTGGTGCACATGGAGCTGCTTTGCGTTGCTGGGGTGACGTCAGGGTCCGTCTACACTTGTGACAGTGTTCCTGGGGACTCTCTCGAGATCCATTAAGCAAATCGAACCTGCTGACTTGCTTGATGGGGATCACGGGAATGCTCTGCATGGTCTGCAGGGAATCAGGCCTCATCTCACATCTAGGGGAAGTCTCATGGTTTTTCTCGAGTTGCGGCGGGACGTGGGGTATGTTCTCGAGTTATGGCGGGCATGGCCCTTCAAAACACGTGTTTATTCAGTGACGTCAGGACTCCTGACTAGTAATGAGGGACACCTCAGGAATCTCTTCGAGGCTTGGCAGGGGAAAAGGTATGCTTCTCGAGGTGAGGCAGGGCACACAAGAACCCTTTCCTGTAGCCACAGTGATTTTGGGATTCCTATCAATGTTCAGGAGGAGTCAGGCATCTTCACATTTTGAAAGAGTGAACTCCGTGTGCCTCTCTAGGTGTCAACGGGATGTGAGGCATTCCGTCAAAATGAGGCAGGGACCTAGGGCTTTCTCTAAGGTCTCCACAGGGGATTCAGACATTCCTTCTGGTTGTGAGATGAAAGACGAGCCTGTATTCAAGACACTGCAAGGAAACCCGGCCTCCTTTCAAGTTAGGGCTTCTCACTGTATATTCCAATTGAGGCAGCAAACTGGGGGTCCCTCCAACATACCTATTGCTGAGAGCAGACTCCCCTTGAGGTGCTTCTGGAAAGTTGGCATACGTCTTGAGCTTAAGCCAGGGAATCAGCTCTCACCTCGAAACGATTTGGGGTACACGGAGCATTCCTCGAGTTGCTGTGCTGAAGATGGTGTTCCTCTAGACTTGGGACAGTGTTCTCAGGGCATGTCTGCAGTTGTATGAAGGAAGTCAAGCCACTGGTGGTGTTTAATGTGGAACGGGGGATGCCTCTGGAGTCAATGCAGGGGAATCGGGCATTATCTCGAGTTGATTTGGGGCACATGGTGCTGCTTTGCGATGATGGGGTGACCTCAGGATCCGTCTAGACATGTGACAGTGTTCTTGGGTACTGTCTCGAGATCCATTAAGCAAGTCGAAGCTCCTGACTTGTTTGATGGGGATCACGGAATTGCTCTGCATGCACTGCAGGTGAATCGGGCCTCATCTCGCATCCAGATGGAAGTCTCAAGGTTTTTTTCGAATTGTGGCGGGGACCTGGGTTATGTACTCTGGTTACGGGGGGGAAGGCCCTTCAAAACTCGTGTATATTCAGTGACGTCAGGACTCCTGTCCAATAAGGAGGGACAGCTCAGGAATCTCTTCGAGGCTTGGCAGTGCAAAAGGGACGCTTCTCGAGGTGAGGCAGGGCACCCAAGGAACCTTTCCAATAGCCACAGGGATTTTGGGATTCCTATCAATATTCAAGAGGAGTCAGGCATCGTCACCTTTTGAAGCACTGAACTCCGCGTGCCTCTCGAGGTGACAACGGGATGTGAGGCATTACGTCAAACTGAGGCAGGGACCTAGAGCTTTCTCTAAGGTCTCAACAGGGGATTCAGACATCCCTTCATGCTGTGAGATGAAAGACGAGCCTGTATTCAAGCCACTGCAAGGAAATCCGTCCTCCTTTCAAGTTAGGGCTTCTCGCTGTATATTCCACTTGAGGCAGCAAACTCGGGGTCCCTCCCAAATACCTATTGCTGAGAGAAGCCTCCTCTTGAGGTGCTTCTGGAAAGTTGGCATACGTCTTGAGCCTAAGCCAGGGAATCAGCTCTCACCTCGAAACCATTTGGGGTACACGGAGCATTCCTCGAGTTGCTGTGCTGAAGTTCGTATTCCTCTAGACTTGGGACAGTGTTCTCAGGTCATCTCGGGAGATGCCTGAAGGAAGTCAAGCCACTGGTGGTGTTTAATGGGGTATGGGTGATGGCTCTGGAGTCAATGCCGGAGAATCGGGCCTCATCTCGAGTTGATGTGGGGCACTTGGCGCTGCTTTGCATTGCTGGGGTGACCTCAGGGTCTGTCTAGACTTGTGACAGTGTTCCTGGGGACTCTCTCGAGATCCATTAAGCCAGTCGACGCTCCTGACTTGCTTGATGGGGATCACGGGACTGCTCTGCATGGACTGCAGGGAATCAGACCTCATCTCGCATCTAGGGGAAGTCTCATCGTTTTTCTCGAGTTGCGGCGGGACCTGGGGTATGTTCTCGAGTTATGGCGGGGATGGCCCTTCCAAACACGTGTTTATTCAGTGACGTCAGGACTCCTGTCTAGTAACGAGAGACACCTCAGGAATCTCTTCGAGGCTTGGCAGGGCAAAAGGGATGCTTCTCGAGGTGAGGCAGGGCACCAAGAACCCTTTCCTGTAGCCACAGTGATTTTGGGATTCCTATCAATGTTCAATAGGAGTCAGGCATCGTCACATTTTGAAGAAGTGAACTCCGTGTGCCTCTCAATGTGTCAACGGGATGTGAGGCATTCCTTCAAAATGAGGCAGGGACCTAGGGCTTTCTCTAAGGTCTCCACAGGGGATTCAGACATCCCTTCCGGTTGTGAGATGAAAGACACGCCTGTATTCAAGACACTGCAAGGAAATCCGGCCTCCTTTCAAGTTAGGGCTTCTCGCTGTATATTCCACTTGAAGCAGCAAACTGGGGATCCCTCCAACATACCTATTGCTGAGAGAAGCCTCCCCTTGAGGTGCTTCTGGAAAGTTGGCATACGTCTTGAGCCTAAGCCAGGGAATCAGCTCTCATCTCCAGACGATTTGGGGTACACAGAGCATTCCTCGAGTTGCTGTGCTGAAGTTGGTGTTCCTCTAGACTTGGGACAGTGTTCTTGGGGGCATCTCTGGAGTTGCCTGAAGGAAGTCAAGCCACTGGTCGTGTTTAATGGGGAACGGGGGATGGCTCTGGAGTCAAAGCAGAGGAATCTGGCATCATCCCGAGTTGATTTGGGGCACATTGTGCTGCTTTGCGTTGATGGTGTGACCTCAGGATCCGTCTAGACATTTGACAGTATTCTTGGGGACTGTCTCGAGATCCATTAAGCAAGTCGAAGGTCCTGACTTGATTGATGGGGATCACGGAATTGCTCTGCATGCACTGCAGGAGAATCGGGCCTCATCTCGCCTCTAGGGGAAAGTCTCATGGTTTTTCTCGACTTGTGGCGGGGACCTGGGGTATGTACTCGGGTTACGGCGGGGATGGCCCTTCAAAACTCGTGTTTATTCAGTGACGTCAGGACTCCTGTCCAGTAACGAGGGACAGCACAGGAATCTCTACGAGGCTTGGCAGTGCACAAGGGACGCTTCTCGAGGTGAGGCAGGGCACCCAAGGAACCTTTCCAATAGCCACAGGGATTTTGGGATTCCTATCAATATTCAAGAGGAGTCAGGCATCGTCACCTTTTGAAGCACTGAACTCCGCGTGCCTCTCGAGGTGACAACGGGATGTGAGGCATTCCGTCAAAATGAGGCAGGGACCTAGAGCTTTCTCTAAGGTCTCCACAGGGGATTCAGACATCCCTTCATGCTGTGAGATGAAAGACGATCCTGTATTCAAGCCACTGCAAGGAAATCCGTCCTCCTTTCAAGTTAGGGCTTCTCGCTGTATATTCCACTTGAGGCAGCAAACTCGGGGTCCCTCCCAAATACCTATTGCTGAGAGAAGCCTCCTCTTGAGGTGCTTCTGGAAAGTTGGCATACGTCTTGAGCCTAAGCCATGGAATCAGCTCTCACCTCGAAACGATTTGGGGTACACGGAGCATTCTTCGAGTTGCTGTGCTGAAGTTGGTGTTCCTCTAGACTTGGGACAGTGTTCTCGGGGCATCTCTGGAGTTGCCTGAAGGAAGTCAAGCCACTGGTGGTGTTTAATGAGGTTTAGGGGATGGCTCTGGAGTCAATGCCGGAGAATCGGGCCTCATCTCGAGTTGATGTGGGGCACTTGGAGCTGCTTTGCATTGCTGGGGTGACCTCAGGGTCTGTCTAGACTTGTGACAGTGTTCTTGGGGACTCTCTCGAGATCCATTAAGCAAGTCGAAGCTCCTGACTTGCTTGATGGGGATCACGGGACTGCTCTGCATGGACTGCAGGGAATCAGACCTCATCTCGCATCTAGGGGAAGTCTCATGGTTTTTCTCGAGTTGCGGCGGGACCTGGGGTATGTTCTCGAGTTATGGCGGGGATGGCCCTTCCAAACACGTGTTTATTCAGTGACGTCAGGACTCCTGTCTAGTAACGAGAGACACCTCAGGAATCTCTTCGAGGCTTGGCAGGGCAAAAGGGATGCTTCTCGAGGTGAGGCAGGCACCAAGAACCCTTTCATGTAGCCACAGTGATTTTGGGATTCCTATCAATGTTCAAGAGGAGTCAGGCATCGTCACATTTTGAAGCAGTGAACTCCGTGTGCCTCTCGATGTGTCAACAAGATGTGAGGCATTCCTTCAAAATGAGGCAGGGACCTAGGGCTTTCTCTAAGGTCTCCACAGGGGATTCAGACATCCCTTCCGGTTGTGAGATGAAAGACGAGCCTGTATTCAAGACACTGCTAGGAAATCCGACCTCCTTTCAAGTTAGGGCTTCTCGCTGTACATTCCACTTGAAGCAGCAAACTGGGGATCCCTCCAACATACCTATTGCTGAGAGAAGCCTCCCCTTGAGGTGCTTCTGGAAAGTTGGCATACGTCTTGAGCCTAAGCCAGGGAATCAGCTCTCATCTCGAGACGATTTGGGGTACACGGAGCATTCCTCGAGTTGCTGTGCTGAAGTTGGTGTTCCTCTAGACTTGGGACAGTGTTCTTGGGGCATCTCTGGAGTTGCCTGAAGGAAGTCAAGCCACTGGTCGTGTTTAATGGGGAACGGGGGATGGCTCTGGAGTCAAAGCAGAGGAATCTGGCATCATCCCGAGTTGATTTGGGGCACATTGTGCTGCTTTGCGTTGATGGTGTGACCTCAGGATCCGTCTAGACATGTGACAGTATTCTTGGGGACTGTCTCGAGATCCATTAAGCAAGTCGAAGGTCCTGACTTGTTTGATGGGGATCACGGAATTGCTCTGCATGCACTGCAGGAGAATCGGGCCTCATCTCGCCTCTAGGGGAAAGTCTCATGGTTTTTCTCGACTTGTGGCGGGGACCTGGGGTATGTACTCGGGTTACGGCGGGGATGGCCCTTCAAAACTCGTGTTTATTCAGTGACATCAGGACTCCTGTCCAGTAACGAGGGACAGCACAGGAATCTCTTCGAGGCTTGGCAGTGCACAAGGGACGGTTCTCGAGGTGAGGCAGGGCACCCAAGGTACCTTTCCAATAGCCACAGGGATTTTGGTATTCCTATCAATATTCAAGAGGAGTCAGGCATCGTCACCTTTTGAAGCACTGAACTCCGCGTGCCTCTCGAGGTGACAACGGGATGTGAGGCATTCCGTCAAAATGAGGCAGGGACCTAGAGCTTTCTCTAAGGTCTCCACAGGGGATTCAGACATCCCTTCATGCTGTGATATGAAAGACGAGCCTGTATTCAAGCCACTGCAAGGAAATCCGTCCTCCTTTCAAGTTAGGGCTTCTCGCTGTATATTCCACTTGAGGCAGCAAACTCGGGGTCCCTCCCAAATACCTATTGCTGAGAGAAGCCTCCTCTTGAGGTGCTTCTGGAAAGTTGGCATACATCTTGAGCCTAAGCCATGGAATCAGCTCTCACCTCGAAACGATTTGAGGTACACGGAGCATTCCTCGAGTTGCTGTGCTGAAGTTGGTGTTCCTCTAGACTTGGGACAGTGTTCTCGGGGCATCTCTGGAGTTGCCTGAAGGAAGTCAAGCCACTGGTGGTGTTTAATGAGGTTTGGGGGATGGCTCTGGAGTCAATGCCGGAGAATCGGGCCTCATCTCGAGTTGATGTGGGGCACTTGGAGCTGCTTTGCTTTGCTGGGGTGACCTCAGGGTCTGTCTAGACTTGTGACAGTGTTCTTGGGGACTCTCTCGAGATCCATTAAGCCAGTCGTCGCTCCTGACTTGCTTGATGGGGATCACGGGACTGCTCTGCATGGACTGCAGGGAATCAGACCTCATTTCGCATCTAGGTGAAGTCTCATGGTTTTTCTCGAGTTGCGGCGGGACCTGGGGTATGTTCTCGAGTTATGGCGGGGATGGCCCTTCCAAACACGTGTTTATTCAGTGACGTCAGGACTCCTGTCTAGTAACGAGAGACACCTCAGGAATCTCTTCGAGGCTTGGCAGGGCAAAAGGGATGCTTCTCGAGGTGAGGCAGGCACCAAGAACCCTTTCATGTAGCCACAGTGATTTTGGGATTCCTATCAATGTTCAAGAGGAGTCAGGCATCGTCACATTTTGAAGCAGTGAACTCCGTGTGCCTCTCGATGTGTCAACAGGATGTGAGGCATTCCTTCAAAATGAGGCAGGGACCTAGGGCTTTCTCTAAGGTCTCCACAGGGGATTCAGACATCCCTTCCGGTTGTGAGATGAAAGACGAGCCTGTATTCAAGACATTGCTAGGAAATCCGCCCTCCTTTCAAGTTAGGGCTTCTCGGTGTACATTCCACTTGAAGCAGCAAACTGGGGATCCCTCCAACATACCTATTGCTGACAGAAGCCTCCCTTTGAGGTGCTTCTGGACAGTTGGCATACGTCTTGAGCCTAAGCCAGGGAATCAGCTCTCATCTCCAGACGATTTGGGGTAAACGGAGCATTCTTCGAGTTGCTGTGCTGAAGTTGGTGTTCCTCTAGACTTGGGACAGTGTTCTTGGGGCATCTCTGGAGTTGCCTGAAGGAAGTCAAGCCACTGGTCTTGTTTAATGGGGAATGGGTGATGGCTCTGGAGTCAAAGCAGGGGAATCTGGCATCATCACGAGTTGATTTGGGGCACATTGTGCTGCTTTGCGTTGATGGGGTGACTTCAGGATCCGTCTAGACATGTGACAGTATTCTTGGGGAATGTCTCGAGATCCATTAAGCAAGTCGAAGGTCCTGACTTGTTTGATGGGGATCACGGAATTGCTCTGCATGCACTGCAGGAGAATCGGGCCTCCTCTCGCCTCTAGGGGAAAGTCTCATGGTTTTTCTCGGCTTGTGGCGGGGACCTGGGGTATGTACTTGGGTTACGGCGGGGATGGCCCTTCAAAACTCGTGTTTATTCAGTGACGTCAGGACTCCTGTCCAGTAACGAGGGACAGCTCAGGAATCTCTTCGAGGCTTGGCAGTGCACAAGGGACGCTTCTCGAGGTGAGGCAGGGCACCCAAGGAACCTTTCCTATAGCCACAGGGATTTTGGGATTCCTATCAATATTCAAGAGGAGTCAGGCATCGTCACCTTTTGAAGCAGTGAACTCTGCGTGCCTCTCGAGGTGACAACGGGATGTGAGGCATTCCGTCAAAATGAGGCAGGGACCCAGAGCTTTCTCTAAGGTCTCCACAGGGGATTCAGACATCCCTTCATGCTGTGAGATGAAAGACGAGCCTGTATTCAAGCCACTGCAAGGAAAACCGGCCTCCTTTCAAGTTAGGGCTTCTCGCTGTATATTCCACTTGAGGCAGCAAACTGGGGGTCCCACGAACATACCTATTGCTGAGAGAAGCCTCCCCTTGAGGTGCTTCTGGAAAGTTGGCATACGTCTTGAGCCTAAGCCAGGGAATCAGCTCTCATCTCGAGACGATTTGGGGTACGCGGAGCATTCCTCGAGTTGCTGTGCTGAAGTTGGTATTCCTCTAGACTTGGGACATTGTTCTCGGGGCATCTCTGAAGTTGCCTGAAGGAAGTCAAGCCAGTGGTCTTGTTTATTGGGGAACTGGGGATGGCTCTGGAGTCAATGCAGGGGAATCGGGCCACATCTCGGGTTGATTTTGGGCACATGGAGCTGCTTTGCGTTGCTGGGGTGACCTCAGGGTCTGTCTAGACTTGTGACAGTGTTCTTGGGGACTGTCTCGAGATCTATTAAGCAAGTGGAAGCTCCTGACTTGTTTGATGGGGATCACGGGAATACTCTGCATGCACTGCAGGGAATCAGGACTCATCTCGTATCTAGGGGGAAGTCTCATGGTTTCTCTCAAGTTGCACTGGGGACCTGGGGTATCTTCTCAAGTTACGGCGGGGATGGCCCTTCAAAACACGTGTTTATTCAGTGACGTCAGGACTCCTGTCTAGTAACGAGAGACACCTCAGGAATCTCTTCGAAGCTTGGCAGGGCAAAAGGGATGCTTCCTGAAGTGAGGCAGGGCACCCAAGAACCCTGTCCTGTAGCGATTTTGGGATTCCTATCAGTATTCAAGACGAGTGAGGCATCATCACCTTTTGAAGCAGTGAACTCCGCGTGCCTCTCGAAGTGTCAACCGGATTTGAGGCATTCCGTCAAAATGAGGCAGGGACCTAGAGCTTTCTCTAAGGTCTCCACAGGGGATTCAGACATCCCTCATGCTGTGAGATGAAAGACGAGCCTGTATTCAAGCCACTGCAAGGAAAACTGGCCTCCTTTCAAGGTAGGGCTTCTCGCTGTATATTCCACTTGAGGCAGCAAACTCGGGGTCCCACGAACATACCTATTGCTGAGAGAAGCCTCCTCTGGGGGTGCTTCTGGAAAGTTGGCATATGTCTTGAGCCTAAGCCAGGGAATCAGCTCTCACCTCGAAACGATTTGGGGTACACGGAGCATTCCTCGAGTTGCTGTGCTGAAGTTGGTGTTCCTCTAGACTTGGGACAGTGTTCTCGGGCATCTCTGGAGTTGCCTGAAGGAATTCAAGCCACTGGCGGTGTTTAATGGGGTATGGGGAATGGCTCTGGAGTCAATGCCGGAGAATCGGGCCTCATCTCGAGTTGATGTGGGGCACATGGAGCTGCTTTGCATTGCTGCGGTGACCTCAGGGTCTGTCTAGACTTGTGACAGTGTTCCTGGTGACTCTCTCAAGATCCATTAAGCAAGTCGAAGCTCCTGACTTGCTTGATGGGGATCACGAGCCTGCTCTGCGTGGACTGCAGGGAATCAGACCTCATCTCGCATCTAGGGGAAGTCTCTTCGTTTTGCTCGAGTTGCGGCCGGACCTGGGGTATGTTCTCGACTTATGGCGGGGATGGCCCTTCAAAACACGTGTTTATTCAGTGACGTCAGGACTCCTGTCTAGTAACGAGAGACACCTCAGGAATCTCTTCGAAGCTTGGCAGGGCAAAAGGGATGCTTCCCGAAGTGAGGCAGGGCACCCAAGAACCCTGTCCTGTAGCTACAGTGATTTTGGGATTCCTATCAATGTTCAAGAGGAGTCAGGCATCGTCACATTTTGAAGCAGTGAACTCCGTGTGCCTCTCGAGGTGTCAACGGGATGTGAGACATTCCGTCAAAATGAGGCAGGGACATACGGCTTTCTCTAAGGTCTCCTCAGGGGATTCAGACATTCCTTCTGGTTGTGAGATGAAAGACGAGCCTGTATTGAAGACACTGCAAGGAAATCCGGCCTCCTTTCAAGTTAAGGCTTCTCGTTGTATATTCCACTTGAGGCAGCAAACTGGGGGTCCCTCCCTCATACCGATTGCTGAGAGAAGCCTCCTCTTGAGGTGCTTCTGGAAAGTTGGCATACGTCTTGAGCCTAAGCTAGGGAATCAGCTCTCACCTCGAAACGATTTGGGGTACACAGATCATTCCTCGAGTTGCTCTGCTGAAGTTGGTGTTCCTCTAGACTTGGGACAGTGTTCTCGGGGCATCTCTGGAGTTGCCTGAAGGAAGTCAAGCCACTGGTCGTGTTTAATGGGGAAGGGGGATGGCTCCGGAGTCAATGCAGGGGAATCTGGCATCATCCCGAGTGGATTTGGGGCACATTGTGCTGCTTTGCATTGATGGGGTGACCTCAGGATCCGTCTAGACAGGTGACTGTATTCTTGGGGACTCTCTCGAGATCCATTAAGCAAGTCGAAGGTCCTGACTTGTTTGATGGGGATCACGGAATTGCTCTGCATGCACTGCAGGAAAATCGGGCCTCATCTCGCCTATAGGGGAAAGTCTCATGGTTTTTCTCGACTTGCGGCGGGGACCTAGGGTATGTACTCCGGTTAAGGCGGGGATGACCCTTCAGAACTCGTGTTTATTCAGTGACGTCAGGACTCCTGTCCAATAACGAGGGACAGCTCAGGAATCTCTTCGAGGCTTGGCAGTGCACAAGGGATGCTTCTCGAGGTGAGGCAGGGCACCCAAGGAACCTTTCCAATAGCCACAGGGATTTTGGGATTCCTGTCAATATTCAAGAGGAGTCAGGCATCGTCACCTTTTGAAGCAGTGAACTCTGCGTGCCTCTCGAGGTGACAACGGGATGTGAGGCATTCCGTCAAAATGAGGCAGGGACCCAGAGCTTTCTCTAAGGTCTCCACAGGGGATTCAGACATCCCTTCATGCTGTGAGATGAAAGACGAGCCTGTATTCAAGCCACTGCAAGGAAAACCGGCCTCCTTTCAAGTTAGGGCTTCTCGCTGTATATTCCACTTGAGGCAGCAAACTCGGGGTCCCACGAACATACCTATTGCTGAGAGAAGCCTCCTCTTGAGGTGCTTCTGGAAAGTTGGCATACGTCTTGAGCCTAAGCCAGGGAATCAGCTCTCATCTCGAGACGATTTGGGGTACACGGAGCATTCCTCGAGTTGCTGTGCTGAAGATGGTGTTCCTCTAGACTTGGGACAGTGTTCTCAGGGCATGTCTGCAGTTGTATGAAGGAAGTCAAGCCACTGGTGGTGTTTAATGTGGAACGGGGGATGCCTCTGGAGTCAATGCAGGGGAATCGGGCATTATCTCGAGTTGATTTGGGGCACATGGTGCTGCTTTGCGATGATGGGGTGACCTCAGGATCCGTCTAGACATGTGACAGTGTTCTTGGGTACTGTCTCGAGATCCATTAAGCAAGTCGAAGCTCCTGACTTGTTTGATGGGGATCACGGAATTGCTCTGCATGCACTGCAGGTGAATCGGGCCTCATCTCGCATCCAGATGGAAGTCTCAAGGTTTTTTTCGAATTGTGGCGGGGACCTGGGTTATGTACTCTGGTTACGGGGGGGAAGGCCCTTCAAAACTCGTGTATATTCAGTGACGTCAGGACTCCTGTCCAATAACGAGGGACAGCTCAGGAATCTCTTCGAGGCTTGGCAGTGCAAAAGGGACGCTTCTCGAGGTGAGGCAGGGCACCCAAGGAACCTTTCCAATAGCCACAGGGATTTTGGGATTCCTATCAATATTCAAGAGGAGTCAGGCATCGTCACCTTTTGAAGCACTGAACTCCGCGTGCCTCTCGAGGTGACAACGGGATGTGAGGCATTACGTCAAACTGAGGCAGGGACCTAGAGCTTTCTCTAAGGTCTCCACAGGGGATTCAGACATCCCTTCATGCTGTGAGATGAAAGACGAGCCTGTATTCAAGCCACTGCAAGGAAAACCGGCCGCCTTTCAAGTTAGGGCTTCTCGCTGTATATTCCACTTGAGGCAGCAAACTGGGGGTCCCTCCAACATACCTATAGCTGAGAGAAGCCTCCTCTTGAGGTGCTTCTGGAAAGTTGGCATACGTCTTGAGCCTAAGCCAGGGAATCAGCTCTCATCTCGAGACGATTTGGGGTACACGGAGCATTCCTCGATTTGCTGTGCTGAAGTTCGTGTTCCTCTAGACTTGGGACAGTGTTCTTGGGGCATCTCTGGAGTTGCCTGAAGGAAGTCAAGCCACTGGTCTTGTTTAATGGGGAACGGGGGATGGCTCCGGAGTCAATGCAGGGGAATCTGGTATCATCCCGAGTGGATTTGGGGCACATTGTGCTGCTTTGCATTGATGGGGTGACCTCAGGATCCGTCTAGACATGTGACTGTATTCTTGGGGACTCTCTCGAGATCCATTAAGCAAGTCGAAGGTCCTGACTTGTTTGATGGGGATCACGGAATTGCTCTGCATGCACTGCAGGAAAATCGGGCCTCATCTCGCCTATAGGGGAAAGTCTCATGGTTTTTCTCGACTTGCGGCGGGGACCTAGGGTATGTACTCCAGTTAAGGCGGGGATGACCCTTCAAAACTCGTGTTTATTCAGTGACGTCAGGACTCCTGTCCAATAACGAGGGACAGCTCAGGAATCTCTTCGAGGCTTGGCAGTGCACAAGGGACGCTTCTCGAGGTGAGGCAGGGCACCCAAGGAACCTTTCCAATAGCCACAGGGATTTTGGGATTCCTGTCAATATACAAGAGGAGTCAGGCATCGTCACCTTTTGAAGCAGTGAACTCTGCGTGCCTCTCGAGGTGACAACGGGATGTGAGGCATTCCGTCAAAATGAGGCAGGGACCCAGAGCTTTCTCTAAGGTCTCCACAGGGGATTCAGACATCCCTTCATGCTGTGAGATGAAAGACGAGCCTGTATTCAAGCCACTGCAAGGAAAACCGGCCTCCTTTCAAGTTAGGGCTTCTCGCTGTATATTCCACTTGAGGCAGCAAACTCGGGGTCCCACGAACATACCTATTGCTGAGAGAAGCCTCCTCTGGGGGTGCTTCTGGAAAGTTGGCATATGTCTTGAGCCTAAGCCAGGGAATCAGCTCTCACCTTGAAACGATTTGGGGTACACGGAGCATTCCTCGAGTTGCTGTGCTGAAGTTGGTGTTCCTCTAGACTTGGGACAGTGTTCTCCGGGCAACTCTGGAGTTGCCTGAAGGAAGTCAAGCCACTGGTGGTGTTTAATGGGGTATGGGGAATGGCTCTGGAGTCAATGCCGGAGAATCGGGCCTCATCTCGAGTTGATGTGGGGCACATGGAGCTGCTTTGCATTGCTGCGGTGACCTCAGGGTCTGTCTAGACTTGTGACAGTGTTCCTGGTGACTCTCTCAAGATCCATTAAGCAAGTCGAAGCTCCTGACTTGCTTGATGGGGATCACGGGCCTGCTCTGCATGGACTGCAGGGAATCAGACCTCATCTCGCATCTAGGGGAAGTCTCTTCGTTTTGCTCGAGTTGCGGCCGGACCTGGGGTATGTTCTCGAGTTATGGCGGGGATGGCCCTTCAAAACACGTGTTTATTCAGTGACGTCAGGACTCCTGTCTAGTAACGAGAGACACCTCAGGAATCTCTTCGAAGCTTGGCAGGGCAAAAGGGATGCTTCCCGAAGTGAGGCAGGGCACCCAAGAACCCTGTCCTGTAGCTACAGTGATTTTGGGATTCCTATCAATGTTCAAGAGGAGTCAGGCATCGTCACATTTTGAAGCAGTGAACTCCGTGTGCCTCTCGAGGTGTCAACGGGATGTGAGACATTCCGTCAAAATGAGGCAGGGACATATGGCTTTCTCTAAGGTCTCCTCAGGGGATTCAGACATTCCTTCTGGTTGTGAGATGAAAGACGAGCCTGTATTCAAGACACTGCAAGGAAATCCGGCCTCCTTTCAAGTTAAGGCTTCTCGTTGTATATTCCACTTGAGGCAGCAAACTGGGGGTCCCTCCCTCATACCGATTGCTGAGAGAAGGCTCCTCTTGAGGTGCTTCTGGAAAGTTGGCATACGTCTTGAGCCTAAGCTAGGGAATCAGCTCTCACCTCGAAACGATTTGGGGTACACCGGTCATTCCTCGAGTTGCTGTGCTGAAGTTGGTGTTCCTCTAGACTTGGGACAGTGTTCTCGGGTCATCTCTGGAGTTGCCTGAAGGAAGTCAAGCCACTGGTCGTGTTTAATGGGGAACGGGGGATGGCTCTGGAGTCAATGCAGGGGAATCTGGCATCATCCCGAGTGGATTTGGGGCACATTGTGCTGCTTTGCATTGATGGGGTGACCTCAGGATCCGTCTAGACATGTGACTGTATTCTTGGGGACTATCTCGAGATCCATTAAGCAAGTCGAAGGTCCTGACTTGTTTGATGGGGATCACGGAATTGCTCTGCATACACTGCAGGAAAATCGGGCCTCATCTCGCCTATAGGGGAAAGTCTCATGGTTTTTCTCGACTTGCGGCGGGGACCTAGGGTATGTACTCCGGTTAAGGCGGGGATGACCCTTCAGAACTCGTGTTTATTCAGTGACGTCAGGACTCCTGTCCAATAACGAGGGACAGCTCAGGAATCTCTTCGAGGCTTGGCAGTGCACAAGGGACGCTTCTCGAGGTGAGGCAGGGCACCCAAGGAACCTTTCCAATAGCCACAGTGATTTTGGGATTCCTGTCAATATTCAAGAGGAGTCAGGCATCGTCACCTTTTGAAGCAGTGAACTCCGCGTGCCTCTCGAGGTGACAACGGGATGTGAGGCATTCCGTCAAAATGAGGCAGGGACCCAGAGCTTTCTCTAAGGTCTCCACAGGGGATTCAGACATCCCTTCATGCTGTGAGATGAAAGACGAGCCTGTATTCAAGCCACTGCAAGGAAAACCGGCCTCCTTTCAAGTTAGGGCTTCTCGCTGTATATTCCACTTGAGGCAGCAAACTGGGGGTCCCTCCAACATACCTATAGCTGAGAGAAGCCTCCTCTTGAGGTGCTTCTGGAAAGTTGGCATACGTCTTGAGCCTAAGCCAGGGAATCAGCTCTCATCTCGAGACGATTTGGGGTACACGGAGCATTCCTCGTGTTGCTGTGCTGAAGTTCGTATTCCTCTAGACTTGGGACATTGTTCTCAGGGAATCTCTGTAGTTGCCTGAAGGAAGTCAAGCCACTGGTGGTGTTTAATGTGCTACGGGGGATGGCTCTGGAGTCAATGCAGGGGAATCGGGCCTCATCTCGAGTTGATGTGGGGTACTTGGAGCTGCTTTGCATTGCTGGGGTGACCTCAGGTTCTGTCTAGACTTTTGACAGTGTTCCTGGGGACTTTCGCAAATTCGATTAAGCAAGTCGAATCTCCTGACTTGCTTGATGGGGATCACGGGAATGCTCTGCATGGACTGCAGGGAATAAGGCTTCATCTCGTATCTAGGGGAAGTGTCATGGTTTTTCTCGAGTTGCGGCGAGACCTGTGGTATGTTCTCGAGTTATGGTGGGGATGGCCCTTCAAAACACGTGTTTATTCAGTGACGTCAGGACTCCTGTCTAGTAACGAGAGACACCTCAGGAATCTCTTCGAGGCTTGGCAGGGCACAAGGGACGCTTCTCGAGGTGAGGCAGGGCACCCAAGGAACCTTTCCAATAGCCATAGGGATTTTGGGATTCCAATCAATATTCAAGAGGAGTCAGGCATCGTCCCCTTTTGAAATAGTGAACTCCGCGTGCCTCTCGAGGTGACAATGGGATGTGAGGCATTCCGTCCAAATGAGGCAGGGACCTAGGGCTTTCTCTAAGGTCTTCACAGGGGATTCAGTCATCCCTTCCTGTTGTGAGATGAAAGACGAGCCTGTATACAAGACACTGCAAGGAAATCCGGCCTCCTTTCAAGTTAGGGCTTCTCGCTGTATATTCCACTTGAGGCAGCAAACTCGGGGTCCCACGAACAAACCTATTGCTGAGGGAAGCCTCCTCTTGTGGTGCTTCTGGAAAGTTGGCATACGTCTTGAGCCTAAGCCAGGGTATCAGCTCTCATCTCGAGACGATTTGGGGTACACGGAGCATTCCTGGAGTTGCTGTGCTTAAGTTCGTATTCCTCTAGACTTGAGACAGTGTTCTCGGGGCAACTCTGGAGTTGCATGAAGGAAGTCAAGCCACTCGTGGTGTTTAATGGGGTACGGGGGATGGCTCTGGAGTCAATGCATTGGAATCTGGCATCATCTCGAGTTTATTTGGGGCAAATGGAGCAGCTTTGCGTTGCTGGGGTGACGTCATGGTCCGTCTACACTTGTGACAGTGTTCCTGGGGACTCTCTCGAGATCCATTAAGCAAATCGAACCTGCTGACTTGCTTGATGGGGATCACGGGAATGCTCTGCATGGACTGCAGGGAATCAGGCCTCATCTCACATCTAGGGGAAGTCTCATGGTTTTTCTCGAGTTGCGGCGGGACGTGGGGTATGTTCTCGAGTTATGGCGGGCATGGCCCTTGAAAACACGTGTTTATTCAGTGACGTCAGGACTCCTGACTAGTAATGAGGGACACCTCAGGAATCTCTTCGAGGCTTGGCAGGGGAAAAGGTATGCTTCTCGAGGTGAGGCAGGGCACACAAGAACCCTTTCCTGTAGCCACAGTTATTTTGGGATTCCTATCAATGTTCAGGAGGAGTCAGGCATCTTCACATTTTGAAGCAGTGAACTCCACGTGCCTCTCGTGGTGTCAACGGGATGTGAGGCTTTCCGTCAAAATAAGGCAGGGACCTAGGGCTTTCTCTAAGGTCTCTACAGGGGATTCAGACATCCCTTCATGCTGAGAGATGAAAGACGAGCCTGTATTCAAGCCCCTGCAAGGAAATCCGGCCTCCTTTCATTTTAGGGCTTCTCGCTGTATATTCCACTTGAGGCAGCAAACTCGGGGTCCCACGAACATACCTATTGCTGAGAGAAGCCTCCTCTTGAGGTGATTCTGGAAAGTTGGCATACGTCTTGAGCCTAAGCCAGGGAATCAGCTCTCATCTCGAGACGATTTGGGGTACACGGAGCATTCCTCGAGTTGCTGTGCTGAAGTTGGTGTTCCTCTAGACTTGGGACAGTGTTCTTGGGGCATCTCTGGAATTGCCTGAAGGAAGTCAAGCCACTGGTCGTGTTTAATGGGGAACGGGGGATGGCTCTGGAGTCAAAGCAGGGGAATCTGGCATCATCCCGAGTTGATTTGGGGCACATTGTGCTGCTTTGCATTGATGGGGTGACCTCAGGATCCGTCTAGACATGTGACAGTATTCTTGGGGACTGTCTCGAGATCCATTAAGCAAGTCGAAGGTCCTGACTTGTTTGATGGGGATCACGGAATTGCTCTGCATGCACTGCAGGAGAATCGGGCCTCCTCTCGCCTCTAGGTTAAAGTCTCATGGTTTTTCTCGACTTGTGGCGGGGACCTGGGGTATGTACTCGGGTTATGGCGGGGATGGCCCTTCAAAACTCGTGTTTATTCAGTGACGTCAGGACTCCTGTCCAGTAACGAGAGACAGCTCAGGAATCTCTTCGAGGCTTGGCAGTGCACAAGGGACGCTTCTCGAGGTGAGGCAGGGCACCCAAGGAACCTTTCCAATAGCCACAGGGATTTTGGGATTCCTATCAATATTCAAGAGGAGTCAGGCATCGTCACCTTTTGAAGCACTGAACTCCGCGTGCCTCTCGAGGTGACAACGGGATGTGAGGCATTCCGTCAAAATGAGGCAGGGACCTAGAGCTTTCTCTAAGGTCTCCACAGGGGATTCAGACATCCCTTCATGCTGTGAGATGAAAGACGAGCCTGTATTCAAGCCACTGCAAGGAAATCCGTCCTCCTTTCAAGTTAGGGCTTCTCGCTGTATATTCCACTTGAGGCAGCAAACTCGGGGTCCCTCCCAAATACCTATTGCTGAGAGAAGCCTCCTCTTGAGGTGCTTCTGGAAAGTTGGCATACATCTTGAGCCTAAGCCATGGAATCAGCTCTCACCTCGAAACGATTTGGGGTACACGGAGCATTCCTCGAGTTGCTGTGCTGAGGTTCGTATTCCTCTAGAATTGGGACAGTGTTCTCAGGGCATCTCTGGAGTTGCCTGAAGGAAGTCAAGCCACTGGTGGTGTTTAATGGGGTACGGGGGATGGCTCTGGAGTCAATGCCGGAGAATCGGGCCTCATCTCGAGTTGATGTGGGGCACTTGGAGCTGCTTTGCATTGCTGGGGTGACCTCAGGGTCTGTCTAGACTTGTGACAGTGTTCCTGGGGACTTTCGCGAGTTCGATTAAGCAAGTCGAAGCTCCTGACTTGCTTGATGGGGATCACGGGAATGCTCTGCATGGACTGCAGGGAATAAGGCCTCATCTCGCATCTAGGGGAAGTCTCATGGTGTTTCTCGAGTTGCGGCGGGACCTGGGGTATGTTCTCGAGTTATGGCGGGGATGGCCCTTCAAAACACGTGTTTATTCAATGACGTCAGGCCTCCTGTCTAGTAACGAGGGACAGCTCAGGAATCTCTTCGAGGCTTGGCAGGGCACAAGGGACGCTTCTCGAGGTGAGGCAGGGCACCCAAGGAACCTTTCCAATAGCCACAGCGATTTTGGGATTCCTATCAATATTCAAGAGGAGTCAGGCATCGTCACCTTTTGAAGCAGTGAACTCCACGTGCCTCTCGTGGTGTCAACGGGATGTGAGGCTTTCCGTCAAAATAAGGCAGGGACCTAGGGCTTTCTCTAAGGTCTTCACAGGGGATTCAGACATCCCTTCCTGTTGTGAGATGAAAGACGAGCCTGTATTCAAGACACTGCAAGGAAAGCCGGCCTCCTTTCAAGTTAGGGCTTCTCGCTGTATATTCTACTTGAGGCAGCAAACTCGGGGTCCCTCCCACATACCGATTGCTGAGAGATGCCTCCTCTTGAGGTGCTTCTGGAAAGTTGGCATACGTCTTGAGCCTAAACCAGGGAATCAGCTCTCACCTCGAAACGATTTGGGGTACACGGAGCATTCCTCGAGTTGCTGTGCTGAAGTTGGTGTTCCTCTAGACTTGGGACAGTGTTCTCGGGGCATCTCTGGAGTTTCCAGAAGGAAGTCAAGCCACTGGTGTTGTTTAATGAGGTACGGGGGATGGCTCTGGAGTCAATGCCGGAGAATCTGGCATCATCTCGAGTTTATTTGGTGCACATGGAGCTGCTTTGCGTTGCTGGGGTGACGTCAGGGTCCGTCTACACTTGTGACAGTGTTCCTGGGGACTCTCTCGAGATCCATTAAGCAAATCGAACCTGCTGACTTGCTTGATGGGGATCACGGGAATGCTCTGCATGGACTGCAGGGAATCAGGCCTCATCTCACATCTAGGGGAGGTCTCATGGTTTTTCTCGAGTTGCGGCGGGACGTGGGGTATGTTCTCGAGTTATGGCGGGCATGGCCCTTCCAAACACGTGTTTATTCAGTGACGTCAGGACTCCTGACTAGTAATGAGGGACACCTCAGGAATCTCTTCGAGGCTTGGCAGGGGAAAAGGTATGCTTCTCGAGGTGAGGCAGGGCACACAAGAACCCTTTCCTGTAGCCACAGTGATTTTGGGATTCCTATCAATGTTCAGGAGGAGTCAGGCATCTTCACATTTTGAAAGAGTGAACTCCGTGTGCCTCTCTAGGTGTCAACGGGATGTGAGGCATTCCGTCAAAATGAGGCAGGGACCTAGGGCTTTCTCTAAGGTCTCCACAGGGGATTCAGACATTCCTTCTGGTTGTGAGATGAAAGACGAGCCTGTATTCAAGACACTGCAAGGAAACCCGGCCTCCTTTCAAGTTAGGGCTTCTCACTGTATATTCCAATTGAGGCAGCAAACTGGGGGTCTCTCCAACATACCTATTGCTGAGAGCAGACTCCCCTTGAGGTGCTTCTGGAAAGTTGGCATACATCTTGATCTTAAGCCAGGGAATCAGCTCTCACCTCGAAACGATTTGGGGTACACGGAGCATTCCTCGAGTTGCTGTGCTGAAGATGGTGTTCCTCTAGACTTGGGACAGTGTTCTCAGGGCATGTCTGCAGTTGTATGAAGGAAGTCAAGCCACTGGTGGTGTTTAATGTGGAACGGGGGATGGCTCTGGAGTCAATGTAGGGGAATCGGGCATTATCTCGAGTTGATTTGGGGCACATGGTGCTGCTTTGCGATGATGGGGTGACCTCAGGATCCGTCTAGACATGTGACAGTGTTCTTGGGTACTGTCTCGAGATCCATTAAGCAAGTCGAAGCTCCTGACTTGCTTGATGGGGATCACGGAATTGCTCTGCATGCACTGCAGGTGAATCGGGCCTCATCTCGCATCCAGATGGAAGTCTCAAGGTTTTTTTCGAATTGTGGCGAGGACCTGGGTTATGTACTCTGGTTACGGGGGGGAAGGCCCTTCAAAACTCGTGTATATTCAGTGACGTCAGGACTCCTGTCCAATAACGAGGGACAGCTCAGGAATCTCTTCGAGGCTTGGCAGTGCACAAGGGACGCTTCTCGAGGTGAGGCAGGGCACCCAAGGAACCTTTCCAATAGCCACAGGGATTTTGGGATTCCTATCAATATTCAAGAGGAGTCAGGCATCGTCACCTTTTGAAGCACTGAACTCCGCGTGCCTCTCGAGGTGACAACGGGATGTGAGGCATTACGTCAAACTGAGGCAGGGACCTAGAGCTTTCTCTAAGGTCTCCACAGGGGATTCAGACATCCCTTCATGCTGTGAGATGAAAGACGAGCCTGTATTCAAGCCACTGCAAGGAAATCCGTCCTCCTTTCAAGTTAGTTCTTCTCGCTGTATATTCCACTTGAGGCAGCAAACTCGGGGTCCCTCCCAAATACCTATTGCTGAGAGAAGCCTCCTCTTGAGGTGCTTCTGGAAAGTTGGCATACGTCTTGAGCCTAAGCCAGGGAATCAGCTCTCACCTCGAAACGATTTGGGGTACACGGAGCATTCCTCGAGTTGCTGTGCTGAAGTTCGTATTCCTCTAGACTTGGGACAGTGTTCTCAGGGCATCTCGGGAGATGCCTGAAGGAAGTCAAGCCACTGGTGGTGTTTAATGGGGTATGGGTGATGGCTCTGGAGTCAATGCCGGAGAATCGGGCCTCATCTCGAGTTGATGTGGGGCACTTGGCGCTGCTTTGCATTGCTGGGGTGACCTCAGGATCTGTCTAGACTTGTGACAGTGTTCCTGGGGACTCTCTCGAAATCCATTAAGCCAGTCGACACTCCTGACTTGCTTGATGGGGATCACGGGACTGCTCTGCATGGACTGCAGGGAATCAGACCTCATCTCGCATCTAGGGGAAGTCTCATCGTTTTTCTCGAGTTGCGGCGGGACCTGGGGTATGTTCTCGAGTTATGGCGGGGATGGCCCTTCCAAACACGTGTTTATTCAGTGACGTCAGGACTCCTGTCTAGTAACGAGAGACACCTCAGGAATCTCTTTGAAGCTTGGCAGGGCAAAAGGGATGCTTCCCGAAGTGAGGCAGGGCACCCAAGAACCCTGTCCTATAGCTACAGTGATTTTGGGATTGCTATCAATGTTCAAGAGGAGTCAGGCATCGTCACATTTTGAAGCAGTGAACTCCGTGTGCCTCTCGAGGTGTCAACGGGATGTGAGACATTCCGTCAAAATGAGGCAGGGACATAGGGCTTTCTCTAAGGTCTCCTCAGTGGATTCAGACATTCCTTCTGGTTGTGAGATGAAAGACGAGCCTGTATTCAAGACACTGCAAGGAAATCCGGCCTCCTTTCAAGTTAAGGCTTCTCGTTGTATATTCCTCTTGAGGCAGCAAACTGGGGGTCCCTCCCTCATACCGATTGCTGAGAGAAGCCTCCTCTTGAGGTGCTTCTGGAAAATTGGCATACGTCTTGAGCCTAAGCTAGGGAATCAGCTCTCACCTCGAAACGATTTGGGGTACACCGATCATTCCTCGAGTTGCTGTGCTGAAGTTGGTGTTCCTCTAGACTTGGGACAGTGTTCTCGGGGCATCTCTGGAGTTGCCTGAAGGAAGTCAAGCCACTGGTCGTGTTTAATGGGGAACGGGCGATGGCTCCGGAGTCAATGCAGGGGAATCTGGCATCATCCCGAGTGGATTTGGGGCACATTGTGCTGCTTTGCATTGATGGGGTGACCTCAGGATCCGTCTAGACATGTGACTGTATTCTTGGGGACTCTCTCGAGATCCATTAAGCAAGTCGAAGGTCCTGACTTGTTTGATGGGGATCACGGAATTGCTCTGCATGCACTGCAGGAGAATCGGGCCTCATCTCGCCTCTAGGGGAAAGTCTCATGGTTTTTCTCGACTTGTGGCCGGGACCTGGGGTATGTACTTGGGTTACGGCGGGGATGGCCCTTCAAAACTCGTGTTTATTCAGTGACGTCAGGACTCCTGTCCAGTAACGAGGGACAGCTCAGGAATCTCTTCGAGGCTTGGCAGTGCACAAGGGACGCTTCTCGAGGTGAGGCAGGGCACCCAAGGAACCTTTCCTATAGCCACAGGGATTTTGGGATTCCTATCAATATTCAAGAGGAGTCAGGCATCGTCACCTTTTGAAGCACTGAACTCCGCGTGCCTCTCGAGGTGACAACGGAATGTGAAGCATTCCGTCAAAATGAGGCAGGGACCTAGAGCTTTCTCTAAGGTCTCCACAGGGGATTCAGACATCCCTTCATGCTGTGATATGAAAGACGAGCCTGTATTCAAGCCACTGCAAGGAAATCCGTCCTCCTTTCAAGTTAGGGCTTCTCGCTGTATATTCCACTTGAGGCAGCAAACTCGGGGTCCCTCCCAAATACCTATTGCTGAGAGAAGGCTCCTCTTTAGGTGCTTCTGGAAAGTTGGCATACATCTTGAGCCTAAGCCATGGAATCAGCTCTCACCTCGAAACGATTTGGGTTACACGGAGCATTCCTCGAGTTGCTGTGCTGAAGTTGGTGTTCCTCTAGACTTGGGACAGTGTTCTCGGGGCATCTCTGGAGTTGCCTGAAGGAAGTCAAGCCACTGGTGGTGTTTAATGTGGTACGGGGGATGGCTCTGGAGTCAATGCCGGAGAATCGGGCCTCATCTCGTGTTGATGTGGGGCACTTGGAGCTGCTTTGCATTGCTGGGGTGACCTCAGGGTCTGTCTAGACTTGTGACAGTGTTCCTGGGGACTTTCTCGAGATCCATTAAGCAAGTCGAAGATCCTGACTTGTTTGATGGGAATCACGGGACTGCTCTGCATGGACTGCAGGAATCAGACCTCATCTCGCATCCAGGGGAAGTCTCATCGTTTTGCTCGAGTTGCAGCGGGACCTGGGGAATGTTCTCGAGTTATGGCGGGGATGGCCCTTCAAAACACGTGTTTATTCAGTGACGTCAGGACTCCTGTCTAGTAACGAGAGACACCTCAGGAACCTCTTCGAAGCTTGGCAGGGCAAAAGGGATGCTTCTCGAGGTGAGGCAGGGCACCCAAGAACCCTTTCCTGTAGCCACAGTGATTTTGGGATTCCTATCATTGTTCAGGAGGAGTCAGGCATCGTCACATTTTGAAGCAGTGAACTCCGTGTGCCTCTCGAGGTGTCAACGGGATGTGAGGCATTCCGTCAAAATGAAGGAGGGACCTAGGGCTTACTCTAAGGTCTCCACAGGGGATTCAGACATCCCTTCCGGTTGTGAGATGAAAGACGAGCCTGTATTCAAGACACTGCAAGGATATCCGGCCTCCTTTCAACTTAGGGCTTCTCGCTGAATATTCCACTTGAGGCAGCAAACTGGGGGTCCCTCCAACATACCTATTGCTGAGAGAAGCCTCCCCTTGAGGTGCTTCTGGAAAGTTGGCATACGTCTTGAGCCTAAGCCAGGGAATCAGCTCTCATCTCGAGACGATTTGGGGTACGCGGAGCATTCCTCGAGTTGCTGTGCTGAAGTTGGTATTCCTCTAGACTTGGGACGTTGTTCTCGGGGCATCTCTGAAGTTTCCTGAAGGAAGTCAAGCCAGTGGTCTTGTTTATTGGGGAACTGGGGATGGCTCTGGAGTCAATGCAGGGGAATCGGGCCACATCTCGGGTTGATTTGGGGCACATGGAGCTGCTTTGCGTTGCTGGGGTGACCTCAGGGTCGGTCTAGACTTGTGACAGTGTTCTTGGGGACTGTCTCGAGATCTATTAAGCAAGTCGAAGCTCCTGACTTGTTTGATGGGGATCTCGGGAATACTCTGCATGCACTGCAGGGAATCAGGACTCATCTCGTATCTAGTGGGAAGTCTCATGGTTTCTCTCAAGTTGCACTGGGGATCTGGGGTATCTTCTCGAGTTACGGCGGGGATGGCCCTTCAAAACTCGTGTTTATTCAGTGCCGTCAGGACTCCTCTCTAGTAACGAGGGACACCTCAGGAATCTCTTCGAGGCTTGACAGGTCAAAAGGGATGCTTCTCGAGGTGAGGCAGGGCACCCAAGGACCCTTTCCAGTAGCCACAGTGATTTTGGGATTCCTATCAGTATTCAAGACGAGTGAGGCATCATCACCTTTTGAAGCAGTGAACTCCGCGTGCCTCTCGAAGTGTCAACCGGATTTGAGGCATTCCGTCAAAATGAGGCAGGGACCTAGAGCTTTCTCTAAGGTCTCCACAGGGGATTCAGACATCCCTCATGCTGTGAGATGAAAGACGAGCCTGTATTCAAGCCACTGCAAGGAAAACCGGCCTCCTTTCAAGTTAGGGCTTCTCGCTGTATATTCCACTTGAGGCAGCAAACTCGGGGTCCCACGAACATACCTATTGCTGAGAGAAGCCTCCTCTGGGGGTGCTTCTGGAAAGTTGGCATATGTCTTGAGCCTAAGCCAGGGAATCAGCTCTCACCTCGAAACGATTTGGGGTACACCGATCATTCCTCGAGTTGCTGTGCTGAAGTTGGTGTTCATCTAGACTTGGGACAGTGTTCTCGGGGCATCTCTGGAGTTGCCTGAAGGAAGTCAAGCCACTGGTCGTGTTTAATGGGGAACGGGGGATGGCTCCGGAGTCAATGCAGGGTAATCTGGCATCATCCCGAGTGGATTTGGGGCACATTGTGCTGCTTTGCATTCATGGGGTGACCTCAGGATCCGTCTAGACATGTGAGTGTATTCTTGGGGACTCTCTCGAGATTCATTAAGCAAGTCGAAGGTCCTGACTTGTTTGATGGGGATCACGGAATTGCTCTGCATGCACTGCAGGAAAATCGGGCCTCATCTCGCCTATAGGGGAAAGTCTCATGGTTTTTCTCGACTTAAGGCGGGGACCTAGGGTATGTACTCCGGTTAAGGCGGGGATGACCCTTCAAAACTCGTGTTTATTCAGTGATGTCAGGACTCCTGTCCAATAACGAGGGACAGCTCAGGAATCTCTTCGAGGCTTGGCAGTGCACAAGGGACGCTTCTCGAGGTGAGGCAGGGCACCCAAGGAACCTTTCCAATAGCCACAGGGATTTTGGGATTCCTGTCAATATTCAAGAGGAGTCAGGCATCGTCACCTTTTGAAGCAGTGAACTCTGCGTGCCTCTCGAGGAGACAACGGGATGTGAGGCATTCCGTCAAAATGAGGCAGGGACCCAGAGCTTTCTCTAAGGTCTCCACAGGGGATTCAGACATCCCTTCATGCTGTGAGATGAAAGACGAGCCTGTATTCAAGCCCCTGCAAGGAAAACCGGCCTCCTTTCAAGTTAGGGCTTCTCGCTGTATATTCCACTTGAGGCAGCAAACTCGGGGTCCCACGAACATACCTATTGCTGAGAGAAGCCTCCTCTGGGGGTGCTTCTGGAAAGTTGGCATATGTCTTGAGCCTAAGCCAGGGAATCAGCTCTCACCTCGAAACGATTTGGGGTACACGGAGCATTCCTCGAGTTGCTGTGCTGAAGTTGGTGTTCCTCTAGACTTGGGACAGTGTTCTCGGGGCATCTCTGGAGTTGCCTGAAGGAAGTCAAGCCACTGGTGGTGTTTAATGGGGTATGGGGAATGGCTCTGGAGTCAATGGCGGAGAATCGGGCCTCATCTCGAGTTGATGTGGGGCACATGGAGCTGCTTTGCATTGCTGCGGTGACCTCAGGGTCTGTCTAGACTTGTGACAGTGTTCCTGGTGACTCTCTCAAGATCCATTAAGCAAGTCGAAGCTCCTGACTTGCTTGATGGGGATCACGGGCCTGCTCTGCATGGACTGCAGGGAATCAGACCTCATCTCACATCTAGGGGAAGTCTCTTCGTTTTGCTTGAGTTGCGGCCGGAACTGGGGTATGTTCTCGAGTTATGGCGGGGATGGCCCTTCAAAACACGTGTTTATTCAGTGACGTCAGGACTCCTGTCTAGTAACGAGAGACACCTCAGGAATCTCTTCGAAGCTTGGCAGGGCAAAAGGGATGCTTCCTGAAGTGAGGCAGGGCACCCAAGAACCCTGTCCTGTAGCGATTTTGGGATTCCTATCAGTATTCAAGACGAGTGAGGCATCATCACCTTTTGAAGCAGTGAACTCCGCGTGCCTCTCGAAGTGTCAACCGGATTTGAGGCATTCCGTCAAAATGAGGCAGGGACCTAGAGCTTTCTCTAAGGTCTCCACAGGGGATTCAGACATCCCTCATGCTGTGAGATGAAAGACGAGCCTGTATTCAAGCCACTGCAAGGAAAACTGGCCTCCTTTCAAGGTAGGGCTTCTCGCTGTATATTCCACTTGAGGCAGCAAACTCGGGGTCCCACGAACATACCTATTGCTGAGAGAAGCCTCCTCTGGGGGTGCTTCTGGAGAGTTGGCATATGTCTTGAGCCTAAGCCAGGGAATCAGCTCTCACCTCGAAACGATTTGGGGTACACGGAGCATTCCTCGAGTTGCTGTGCTGAAGTTGGTGTTCCTCTAGACCTGGGACAGTGTTCTCGGGGCATCTCTGGAGTTGCCTGAAGGAAGTCAAGCCACTGGTGGTGTTTAATGGGCTACGGGGGATGGCTCTGGAGTCAATGCAGGGGAATCGGGCCTCATCTCGAGTTGATGTGGGGTACTTGGAGCTGCTTTGCATTGCTGGGGTGACCTCAGGTTCTGTCTAGACTTTTGACAGTGTTCCTGGGGACTTTCGTGAGTTCGATTAAGCAAGTCGAATCTCCTGACTTGCTTGATGGGGATCACGGGAATGCTCTGCATGGACTGCAGGGAATAAGGCTTCATCTCGTATCTAGGGGAAGTGTCATGGTTTTTCTCGAGTTGCGGCGAGACCTGTGGTATGTTCTCGAGTTATGGTGGGGATGGCCCTTCAAAACACGTGTTTATTCAGTGACGTCAAGACTCCTGTCTAGTAACGAGAGACACCTCAGGAATCTCTTCGAGGCTTGGCAGGGCACAAGGGACGCTTCTCGTGGTGAGGCAGGGCACCCAAGGAACCTTTCCAATAGCCATAGGGATTTTGGGATTCCAATCAATATTCAAGAGGAGTCAGGCATCGTCCCCTTTTGAAATGGTGAACTCCGCGTGCCTCTCGAGGTGACAATGGGATGTGAGGCATTCCGTCCAAATGAGGCAGGGACCTAGGGCTTTCTCTAAGGTCTTCACAGGGGATTCAGTCATCCCTTCCTGTTGTGAGATGAAAGACGAGCCTGTATACAAGACACTGCAAGGAAATCCGGCCTCCTTTCAAGTTAAGGCTTCTCGTTGTATATTCCACTTGAGGCAGCAAACTGGGGGTCCCTCCCTCATACCGATTGCTGAGAGAAGCCTCCTCTTGAGGTGCTTCTGGAAAGTTGGCATACGTCTTGAGCCTAAGCTAGGGAATCAGCTCTCACCTCGAAACGATTTGGGGTACACGGAGCATTCCTCGAATTGCTGTGCTGAAGTTGGTGTTCCTCTAGACTTGGGACAGTGTTCTCGGGGCATCTCTGGAGTTGCCTGAAGGAAGTCAAGCCACTGGTCGTATTTAATGGGGAACGGGGGATGGCTCCGGAGTCAATGCAGGGGAATCTGGCATCATCCCGAGTGGATTTGGGGCACATTGTGCTGCTTTGCATTGATGGGGTGACCTCAGGATCCGTCTAGACATGTGACTGTATTCTTGGGGACTCTCTCGAGATCCATTAAGCAAGTCGAAGGTCCTGACTTGTTTGATGGGGATCACGGAATTGCTCTGCATGCACTGCAGGAAAATCGGGCCTCATCTCGCCTATAGGGGAAAGTCTCATGGTTTTTCTCGACTTGCGGCGGGGACCTAGGGTATGTAATCCGGTTAAGGCGGGGATGACCCTTCAAAACTCGTGTTTATTCAGTGACGTCAGGACTCCTGTCCAATAACGAGGGACAGTTCAGGAATCTCTTCGAGGCTTGGCAGGGCACAAGGGACGCTTCTCGAGGTGAGGCAGGGCACCCAAGGAACCTTTCCAATAGCCACAGGGATTTTGGGATTCCTGTCAATATTCAAGAGGAGTCAGGCATCGTCACCTTTTGAAGCAGTGAACTCCGCGTGCCTCTCGAGGTGACAACGGGATGTGAGGCATTCCGTCAAAATGAGGCAGGGACCCAGAGCTTTCTCTAAGGTCTCCACAGGGGATTCAGACATCCCTTCATGCTGTGAGATGAAAGACGAGCCTGTATTCAAGCCACTGCAAGGAAAAGCGGCCTCCTTTCAAGTTAGGGCTTCTCGCTGTATATTCCACTTGAGGCAGCAAACTGGGGGTCCCTCCAACTACCTATAGCTGAGAGAAGCCTCCTCTTGAGGTGCTTCTGGAAAGTTGGCATACGTCTTGAGCCTAAGCCAGGGAATCAGCTCTCATCTCGAGACGATTTGGGGTACACGGAGCATTCCTCGTGTTGCTGTGCTGAAGTTCGTATTCCTCTAGACTTGGGACATTGTTCTCAGGGCATCTCTGGAGTTGCCTGAAGGAAGTCAAGCCACTGGTGGTGTTTAATGGTCTACGGGGGATGGCTCTGGAGTCAATGCAGGGGAATCGGGCCTCATCTCGAGTTGATGTGGGGTACTTGGAGCTGCTTTGCATTGCTGGGGTGACCTCAGGTTCTGTCTAGACTTTTGACAGTGTTCCTGGGGACTTTCGCGAGTTCGATTAAGCAAGTCGAATCTCCTGACTTGCTTGATGGGGATCACGGGAATGCTCTGCATGGACTGCAGGGAATAAGGCTTCATCTCGTATCTAGGGGAAGTGTCATGGTTTTTCTCGAGTTGCGGCGAGACCTGTGGTATGTTCTCGAGTTATGGTGGGGATGGCCCTTCAAAACACGTGTTTATTCAGTGACGTCAGGACTCCTGTCTAGTAACGAGAGACACCTCAGGAATCTCTTCGAGGCTTGGCAGGGCACAAGGGACGCTTCTCGAGGTGAGGCAGGGCACCCAAGGAACCTTTCCAATAGCCATAGGGATTTTGGGATTCCAATCAATATTCAAGAGGAGTCAGGCATCGTCCCCTTTTGAAATAGTGAACTCCGCGTGCCTCTCGAGGTGACAATGGGATGTGAGGCATTCCGTCCAAATGAGGCAGGGACCTAGAGCTTTCTCTAAGGTCTTCACAGGGGATTCAGTCATCCCTTCCTGTTGTGAGATGAAAGACGAGCCTGTATACAAGACACTGCAAGGAAATCCGGCCTCCTTTCAAGTTAGGGCTTCTCGCTGTATATTCCACTTGAGGCAGCAAACTCGGGGTCCCACGAACAAACCTATTGCTGAGAGAAGCCTCCTCTTGTGGTGCTTCTGGAAAGTTGGCATACGTCTTGAGCCTAAGCCAGGGTATCAGCTCTCATCTCGAGACGATTTGGGGTACACGGAGCATTCCTGGAGTTGCTGTGCTTAAGTTCGTATTCCTCTAGACTTGAGACAGTGTTCTCGGGGCAACTCTGGAGTTGCATGAATGAAGTCAAGCCACTCGTGGTGTTTAATGGGGTACGGGGGATGGCTCTGGAGTCAATGCATTGGAATCTGGCATCATCTCGAGTTTATTTGGGGCAAATGGAGCTGCTTTGCGTTGCTGGGGTGACGTCATGGTCCGTCTACACTTGTGACAGTGTTCCTGGGGACTCTCTCGAGATCCATTAAGCAAATCGAACCTGCTGACTTGCTTGATGGGGATCACGGGAATGCTCTGCATGGACTGCAGGGAATCAGGCCTCATCTCACATCTAGGGGAAGTCTCATGGTTTTTCTCGAGTTGCGGCGAGACCTGTGGTATGTTCTCGAGTTATGGCGGGCATGGCCCTTCAAAACACGTGTTTATTCAGTGACGTCAGGACTCCTGACTAGTAATGAGGGACACCTCAGGAATCTCTTCGAGGCTTGGCAGGGGAAAAGGTATGCTTCTCGAGGTGAGGCAGGGCACACAAGAACCCTTTCCTGTAGCCACAGTTATTTTGGGATTCCTATCAATGATCAGGAGGAGTCAGGCATCTTCACATTTTGAAGCAGTGAACTCCGTGTGCCTCTCGAAGTGTCAACGGTATGTGAGGCATTCCGTCAAAATGAGGCAGGGACCTAGAGCTTTCTCTAAGGTCTCCACAGGGGATTCAGACATCCCTTCATGCTGTGAGATGAAAGACGAGACTGTATTCAAGCCCCTGCAAGGAAATCCGGCCTCCTTTCATTTTAGGGCTTCTCGCTGTATATTCCACTTGAGGCAGCAAACTCGGGGTCCCACGAACATACCTATTGCTGAGAGAAGCCTCCTCTTGAGATGCTTCTGGAAAGTTGGCATACGTCTTGAGCCTAAGCCAGGGAATCAGCTCTCATCTCGAGACGATTTGGGGTACACGGAGCATTCCTGGAGTTGCTGTGCTTAAGTTCGTATTCCTCTAGACTTGAGACAGTGTTCTCGGGGCAACTCTGGAGTTGCATGAAGGAAGTCAAGCCACTCGTGGTGTTTAATGGGGTACGGGGGATGGCTCTGGAGTCAATGCATTGGAATCTGGCATCATCTCGAGTTTATTTGGGGCAAATGGAGCTGCTTTGCGTTGCTGGGGTGACGTCATGGTCCGTCTACACTTGTGACAGTGTTCCTGGGGACTCTCTCGAGATCCATTAAGCAAATCGAACCTGCTGACTTGCTTGATGGGGATCACGGGAATGCTCTGCATGGACTGCAGGGAATCAGGCCTCATCTCACATCTAGGGGAAGTCTCATGGTTTTTCTCGAGTTGCGGCGGGACGTGGGGTATGTTCTCGAGTTATGGCGGGCATGGCCCTTCAAAACACGTGTTTATTCAGTGACGTCAGGACTCCTGACTAGTAATGAGGGACACCTCAGGAATCTCTTCGAGGCTTGGCAGGGGAAAAGGTATGCTTCTCGAGGTGAGGCATTGCACACAAGAACCATTTCCTGTAGCCACAGTTATTTTGGGATTCCTATCAATGATCAGGAGGAGTCAGGCATCTTCACATTTTGAAGCAGTGAATTCCGTGTGCCTCTCGAAGTGTCAACGGGATGTGAGGCATTCCGTCAAAATGAGGCAGGGACCTAGAGCTTTCTCTAAGGTCTCCACAGGGGATTCAGACAACCCTTCATGCTGTGAGATGAAAGACGAGCCTGTATTCAAGCCCCTGCAAGGAAATCCGGCCTCCTTTCATTTTAGGGCTTCTCGCTGTATATTCCACTTGAGGCAGCAAACTCGGGGTCCCACGAACATACCTATTGCTGAGAGAAGCCTCCTCTTGAGGTGCTTCTGGAAAGTTGGCATACGTCTTGAGCCTAAGCCAGGGAATCAGCTCTCATCTCGAGACGATTTGGGGTACACGGAGCATTCCTCGAGTTGCTGTGCTGAAGTTGGTGTTCCTCTAGACTTGGGACAGTGTTCTTGGGGCATCTCTGGAGTTGCCTGAAGGAAGTCAAGCCACTGGTCGTGTTTAATGGGGAACGGGGGATGGCTCTGGAGTCAAGCAGAGGAATCTGGCATCATCTCGAGTTGATTTGGGGCACATTGTGCTGCTTTGCGTTGATGGGGTGACCTCAGGATCCGTCTAGACATGTGACAGTATTCTTGGGGACTGTCTCGAGATCCATTAAGCAAGTCGAAGGTCCTGACTTGTTTGATGGGGATCACGGAATTGCTCTGCATGCACTGCAGGAGAATCGGGCCTCATCTCGCCTCTAGGGGAAAGTCTCATGGTTTTTCTCGACTTGTGGCGGGGACCTGGGGTATGTACTCGGGTTATGGCGGGGATGGCCCTTCAAAACTCGTGTTTATTCAGTGACGTCAGGACTCCTGTCTAGTAACGAGAGACACCTCAGGAATCTCTTCGAAGCTTGGCAGGGCAAAAGGGATGCTTCCCGAAGTGAGGCAGGGCACCCAAGAACCCTGTCCTGTAGCAACAGTGATTTTGGGATTCCTATCAATGTTCAAGAGGAGTCAGGCATCGTCACATTTTGAAGCAGTGAACTCCATGTGCCTCTCGAGGTGTCAACGGGATGTGAGACATTCCGTCAAAATGAGGCAGGGACCTAGGGCTTTCTCTAAGGTCTCCTCAGGGGATTCAGACATTCCTTCTGGTTGTGAGATGAAAGACGAGCCTGTATTCAAGACACTGCAAGGAAATCCGGCCTCCTTTCAAGTTAAGGCTTCTCGTTGTATATTCCACTTGAGGCAGCAAACTGGGGGTCCCTCCCTCATACCGATTGCTGAGAGAAGCCTCCTCTTGAGGTGCTTCTGGAAAGTTGGCATACGTCTTGAGCCTAAGCTAGGGAATCAGCTCTCACCTCGAAACGATTTGGGGTACACCGGTCATTCCTCGAGTTGCTGTGCTGAAGTTGGTGTTCCTCTAGACTTGGGACAGTGTTCTCGGGGCATCTCTGGAGTTGCCTGAAGGAAGTCAAGCCACTGGTCGTGTTTAATGGGGAACGGGGGATGGCTCCGGAGTCAATGCAGGGGAATCTGGCATCATCCCGAGTGGATTTGGGGCACATTGTGCTGCTTTGCATTGATGGGGTGACCTCAGGATCCGTCTAGACATGTGACTGTATTCTTGGGGACTCTCTCGAGATCCATTAAGCAAGTCGAAGGTCCTGACTTGTTTGATGGGGATCACGGAATTGCTCTGCATGCACTGCAGGAAAATCGGGCCTCATCTCGCCTATAGGGGAAAGTCTCATGGTTTTTCTCGACTTGCGGCGGGGACCTAGGGTATGTACTCCGGTTAAGGCGGGGATGACCCTTCAAAACTCGTGTTTATTCAGTGACGTCAGGACTCCTGTCCAATAACGAGGGACAGCTCAGGAATCTCTTCGAGGCTTGGCAGGGCACAAGGGACGCTTCTCGAGGTGAGGCAGGGCACCCAAGGAACATTTCCAATAGCCACAGGGATTTTGGGATTCCTGTCAATATTCAAGAGGAGTCAGGCATCGTCACCTTTTGAAGCAGTGAACTCCGCGTGCCTCTCGAGGTGACAACGGGATGTGAGGCATTCCGTCAAAATGAGGCAGGGACCCAGAGCTTTCTCTAAGGTCTCCACAGGGGATTCAGACATCCCTTCATGCTGTGAGATGAAAGACGAGCCTGTATTCAAGCCACTGCAAGGAAAACCGGCCTCCTTTCAAGTTAGGGCTTCTCGCTGTATATTCCACTTGAGGCAGCAAACTCGGGGTCCCACGAACATACCTATTGCTGAGAGAAGCCTCCTCTGGGGGTGCTTCTGGAAAGTTGGCATATGTCTTGAGCCTAAGCCAGGGAATCAGCTCTCACCTCGAAACGATTTGGGGTACACGGAGCATTCCTCGAGTTGCTGTGCTGAATTTGGTGTTCCTCTAGACTTGGGACAGTGTTCTCAGGGCATCTCTGGAGTTGCCTGAAGGAAGTCAAGCCACTGGTGGTGTTTAATGGGGTACGGGGGATGGCTCTGGAGTCAATGCAGAGGAATCGGGCCTCATCTCGAGTTGATGTGGGGTACTTGGAGCTGCTTTGCATTGCTGGGGTGACCTCAGGTTCTGTCTAGACTTTTGACAGTGTTCCTGGGGACTTTCGCGAGTTCGATTAAGCAAGTCGAATCTCCTGACTTGCTTGATGGGGATCACGGGAATGCTCTGCATGGACTGCAGGGAATAAGGCTTCATCTCGTATCTAGGGGAAGTGTCATGGTTTTTCTCGAGTTGCGGCGAGACCTGTGGTATGTTCTCGAGTTATGGTGGGGATGGCCCTTCAAAACACGTGTTTATTCAGTGACGTCAGGACTCCTGTCTAGTAACGAGAGACACCTCAGGAATCTCTTGGAGGCTTGGCAGGGCACAAGGGACGCTTCTCGTGGTGAGGCAGGGCACCCAAGGAACCTTTCCAATAGCCATAGGGATTTTGGGATTCCAATCAATATTCAAGAGGAGTCAGGCATCGTCCCCTTTTGAAATAGTGAACTCCGCGTGCCTCTCGAGGTGACAATGGGATGTGAGGCATTCCGTCCAAATGAGGCAGGGACCTAGGGCTTTCTCTAAGGTCTTCACAGGGGATTCAGTCATCCCTTCCTGTTGTGAGATGAAAGACGAGCCTGTATACAAGACACTGCAAGGAAATCCGGCCTCCTTTCAAGTTAAGGCTTCTCGTTGTATATTCCACTTGAGGCAGCAAACTGGGGGTCCCTCCCTCATACCGATTGCTGAGAGAAGCCTCCTCTTGAGGTGCTTCTGGAAAGTTGGCATACGTCTTGAGCCTAAGCTAGGGAATCAGCTCTCACCTCGAAACGATTTGGGGTACACGAAGCATTCCTCGAGTTGCTGTGCTGAAGTTGGTGTTCCTCTAGACTTGGGACAGTGTTCTCGGGGCATCTCTGGAGTTGCCTGAAGGAAGTCAAGCCACTGGTCGTTTTTAATGGGGAACGGGGGATGGCTCCGGAGTCAATGCAGGGGAATCTGGCATCATCCCGAGTGGATTTGGGGCACATTGTGCTGCTTTGCATTGATGGGGTGACCTCAGGATCCGTCTAGACATGTGACTGTATTCTTGGGGACTCTCTCGAGATCCATTAAGCAAGTCGAAGGTCCTGACTTGTTTGATGGGGATCACGGAATAGCTCTGCATGCACTGCAGGAAAATCGGGCCTCATCTCGCCTATAGGGGAAAGTCTCATGGTTTTTCTCGACTTGCGGCGGGGACCTAGGGTATGTACTCCGGTTAAGGCGGGGATGACCCTTCAAAACTCGTGTTTATTCAGTGACGTCAGGACTCCTGTCCAATAACGAGGGACAGCTCAGGAATCTCTTCGAGGCTTGGCAGGGCACAAGGGACGCTTCTCGAGGTGAGGCAGGGCACCCAAGGAACCTTTCCAATAGCCACAGGGATTTTGGGATTCCTGTCAATATTCAAGAGGAGTCAGGCATCGTCACCTTTTGAAGCAGTGAACTCCGCGTGCCTCTCGAGGTGACAACGGGATGTGAGGCATTCCGTCAAAATGAGGCAGGGACCCAGAGCTTTCTCTAAGGTCTCCACAGGGGATTCAGACATCCCTTCATGCTGTGAGATGAAAGACGAGCCTGTATTCAAGCCACTGCAAGGAAAACCGGCCTCCTTTCAAGTTAGGGCTTCTCGCTGTATATTCCACTTGAGGCAGCAAACTGGGGGTCCCTCCCACATACCTATAGCTGAGAGAAGCCTCCTCTTGAGGTGCTTCTGGAAAGTTGGCATACGTCTTGAGCCTAAGCCAGGGAATCAGCTCTCATCTCGAGACGATTTGGGGTACACGGAGCATTCCTCGTGTTGCTGTGCTGAAGTTGGTGTTCCTCTAGTCTTGGGACAGTGTTCTCAGGGCATCTCTGGAGTTGCCTGAAGGAAGTCAAGCCACTGGTGGTGTTTAATGGGGTACGGGGGATGGCTCTGGAGTCAATGCAGGGGAATCGGGCCTCATCTCGAGTTGATGTGGGGTACTTGGAGCTGCTTTGCATTGCTGGGGTGACCTCAGGTTCTGTCTAGACTTTTGACAGTGTTCCTGGGGACTTTCGCGAGTTCGATTAAGCAAGTCGAATCTCCTGACTTGCTTGATGGGGATCACGGGAATGCTCTGCATGGACTGCAGGGAATAAGGCTTCATCTCGTATCTAGGGGAAGTGTCATGGTTTTTCTCGAGTTGCGGCGAGACCTGTGGTATGTTCTCGAGTTATGGTGGGGATGGCCCTTCAAAATACGTGTTTATTCAGTGACGTCAGGACTCCTGTCTAGTAACGAGAGACACCTCAGGAATCTCTTCGAGGCTTGGCAGGGCACAAGGGACGCTTCTCGAGGTGAGGCAGGGCATCCAAGGAACCTTTCCAATAGCCATAGGGATTTTGGGATTCCAATCAATATTCAAGAGGAGTCAGGCATCGTCCCCTTTTGAAATAGTGAACTCCGCGTGCCTCTCGAGGTGACAATGGGATGTGAGGCATTCCGTCCAAATGAGGCAGGGACCTAGGGCTTTCTCTAAGGTCTTCACAGGGGATTCAGTCATCCCTTCCTGTTGTGAGATGAAAGACGAGCCTGTATACAAGACACTGCAAGGAAATCCGGCCTCCTTTCAAGTTAGGGCTTCTCGCTGTATATTCCACTTGAGGCAGCAAACTCGGGGTCCCACGAACAAACCTATTGCTGAGAGAAGCCTCCTCTTGTGGTGCTTCTGGAAAGTTGGCATACGTCTTGAGCCTAAGCCAGGGTATCAGCTCTCATCTCGAGACGATTTGGGGTACACGGAGCATTCCTGGAGTTGCTGTGCTTAAGTTCGTATTCCTCTAGACTTGAGACAGTGTTCTCGGGGCAACTCTGGAGTTGCATGAAGGAAGTCAAGCCACTCGTGGTGTTTAATGGGGTACGGGGGATGGCTCTGGAGTCAATGCATTGGAATCTGGCATCATCTCGAGTTTATTTGGGGCAAATGGAGCTGCTTTGCGTTGCTGGGGTGACGTCATGGTCCGTCTACACTTGTGACAGTGTTCCTGGGGACTCTCTCGAGATCCATTAAGCAAATCGAACCTGCTGACTTGCTTGATGGGGATCACGGGAATGCTCTGCATGGACTGCAGGGAATCAGGCCTCATCTCACATCTAGGGGAAGTCTCATGGTTTTTCTCGAGTTGCGGCGGGACGTGGGGTATGTTCTCGAGTTATGGCAGGCATGGCCCTTCAAAACACGTGTTTATTCAGTGACGTCAGGACTCCTGAATAGTAATGAGGGACACCTCAGGAAACTCTTCGAGGCTTGGCAGGGGAAAAGGTATGCTTCTCGAGGTGAGGCAGGGCACACAAGAACCCTTTCCTGTAGCCACAGTTATTTTGGGATTCCTATCAATGCTCAGGAGGAGTCAGGCATCTTCACATTTTGAAGCAGTGAACTCCGTGTGCCTCTCGAAGTGTCAACGGGATGTGAGGCATTCCGTCAAAATGAGGCAGGGACCTAGAGCTTTCTCTAAGGTCTCCACAGGGGATTCAGACATCCCTTCATGCTGTGAGATGAAAGACGAGCCTGTATTCAAGCCCCTGCAAGGAAATCCGGCCTCCTTTCATTTTAGGGCTTCTCGCTGTATATTCCACTTGAGGCAGCAAACTCGGGGTCCCACGAACATACCTATTGCTGAGAGAAGCCTCCTCTTGAGATGCTTCTGGAAAGTTGGCATATGTCTTGAGCCTAAGCCAGGGAATCAGCTCTCATCTCGAGACGTTTTGGGGTACACGGAGCATTCCTCGAGTTGCTGTGCTGAAGCTGGTGTTCCTCTAGACTTGGGACAGTGTTCTTGGGGCATCTCTGGAGTTGCCTGAAGGAAGTCAAGCCACTGGTCATGTTTAATGGGGAACAGGGGATGGCTCTGGAGTCAAAGCAGAGGAATCTGGAATCATCTCGAGTTGATTTGGGGCATATTGTGCTGCTTTGCGTTGATGGGTTGACCTCAGGATCCGTCTAGACATGTGACAGTATTCTTGGGGACTGTCTCGAGATCCATTAAGCAAGTCGAAGGTCCTGACTTGTTTGATGGGGATCACGGAATTGCTCTGCATGCACTGCAGGAGAATCGGGCCTCATCTCGCCTCTAGGGGAAAGTCTCATGGTTTTTCTCGACTTGTGGCGGGGACCTGGGGTATGTACTCGGGTTATGGCGGGGATGGCCCTTCAAAACTCGTGTTTATTCAGTGACGTCAGGACTCCTGTCCAGTAACGAGAGACAGCTCAGGAATCTCTTCGAGGCTTGGCAGTGCACAAGGGACGCTTCTCGAGGTGAGGCAGGGCACCCAAGGAACCTTTCCAATAGCCACAAGGATTTTGGGATTCCTATCAATATTCAAGAGGAGTCAGGCATCGTCACCTTTTGAAGCAATGAACTCCGCGTGCCTCTCGAGGTGACAACGGGATGTGAGGCATTTCGTCAAAATGAGGCAGGGACCTAGAGCTTTCTCTAAGATCTCCACAGGGGATTCAGACATCCCTTCATGCTGTGAGATGAAAGACGAGCCTGTATTCAAGACACTGCAAGGAAATCCGTCCTCCTTTCAAGTTAGGGCTTCTCGCTGTATATTCCACTTGAGGCAGCAAACTCGGGGTCCCTCCCAAATACCTATTGCTGAGAGAAGCCTCCTCTTGAGGTGCTTCTGGAAAGTTGGCATACATCTTGAGCCTAAGCCATGGAATCAGCTCTCACCTCGAAACTATTTGGGGTACACGGAGCATTCCTCGAGTTGCTGTGCTGAAGTTCGTATTCCTCTAGACTTGGGACAGTGTTCTCAGGGCATCTCGGGAGATGCCTGAAGGAAGTCAAGCCACTGGTGGTGTTTAATGGGGTATGGGGGATGACTCTGGAGTCAATGTCGGAGAATCGGGCCTCATCTCGAGTTGATGTGGGGCACTTGGCGCTGCTTTGCCTTTCTGGGGTGACCTCAGGGTCTGTCTAGACTTGTGACAGTGTTCCTGGGGACTCTCTCGAGATCCATTAAGCCAGTCGACGCTCCTGACTTGCTTGATGGGGATCACGGGACTGCTCTGCATGGACTGCAGGGAATCAGACGTCATCTCGCATCTAGGGGAAGTCTCATCGTTTTGCTCGAGTTGCGGCGGGACCTGGGGTATGTTCTCGAGTTATGGCGGGGATGGCCCATCAAAACACGTGTTTATTCAGTGACGTCAGGACTCCTGTCTAGTAATGAGAGACACCTCAGGAATCTCTTCGAGGCTTGGCAGGGCAAAAGGGATTCTTCTCGAGGTGAGGCAGGGCACCAAGAACCCTTTCCTGTAGCCAGAGTGATTTTGGGATTCCTATCAATGTTCAATAGGAGTCAGGCATCGTCACATTTTGAAGCACTGAACTCCGTGTGCCTCTCGATGTGTCAACGGGATGTAAGGCATTCCGTCAAAATGAGGCACGGAACTAGGGCTTTCTCTAAGGTCTCCACAGGGGATTCAGACATCCCTTCTGGTTGTGAGATGAAAGACGAGCCTGCATTCAAGACACTGCAAGGAAATACGGCCTCCTTTCAAGTTAGGGCTTCTCGCTGTATATTCCACTTGAGGCAGCAAACTGGGGATCCCTCCACCATACCTATTGCTGAGAGAAGCCTCCCCTTGATGTGCTTCTGGAAAGTTGGCATACGTCTTGAGCCTAAGCCAGGGAATCAGCTCTCATCTCGAGACGATTTGGGGTACACGGAGCATTCCTCGAGTTGCTGTGCTGAAGTTGGTGTTCCTCTAGACTTGGGACAGTGTTCTCGGGGCATCTCTGGAGTTGCCTGAAGGAAGTCCAGCCACTGGTCGTGTTTAATGGGGAACGGGGGATGGCTCCAGAGTCAATGCAGGGGAATCTGGCATCATCCCGAGTTGATTTGGGGCACATTGTGCTGCTTTGCGTTGATTGGGTGACCTCAGGATCCGTCTAGACATGTGACACTATTCTTGGGGACTGTCTCGAGATCCATTAGGCAAGTCGAAGTTCCTGACTTGTTTGATGGGGATCACGGAATTGCTCTGCATGCACTGCAGGAGAATCTGGCCTCATCTCGCCTATAGGGGAAAGTCTCATGGTTTTTCTCGACTTGCAGCGGGGACCTGGGGTATGTACTCGGGTTACGGCGGGGATGGCCCTTCAAAACTCGTGTTTATTCAGTGACGTCAGGACTCCTGTCCAGTAACGAGGGTCATCTCAGGAATCTCTTCGAGGCTTGGCAGGGCACAAGGGACGCTTCTCGAGGTGAGGCAGGGCACCCAAGGAACCTTTCCAATAGCCACAGGGATTTTGGGATTCCTGTCAATATTCAAGAGGAGTCAGGCATCCTCACCTTTTGAAGCACTGAACTCCGCGTGCCTCTCGAGGTGACAACGGGATGTGAGGCATTCCGTCAAAATGAGGCAGGGACCTAGAGCTTTCTCTAAGGTCTCCACAGGGGATTCAGACATCCCTTCATGCTGTGAGATGAAAGACGAGCCTGTATTCAAGCCACTGCAAGGAAATCCGTCCTCCTTTCAAGTTAGGGCTTCTCGCTGTATATTCCAATTGAGGCAGCAAACTCGGGGTCCCTCCCAAATACCTATTGCTGAGAGAAGCCTCCTCTTGAGGTGCTTCTGGAAAGTTGGCATACGTCTTGAGCCTAAGCCAGGGAATCAGCTCTCATCTCGAGACGATTTGGGGTACATGGAGCATTCCTCGAGTTGCTGTGCTGAAGTTCGTATTCCTCTAGACTTGGGACAGTGTTCTCAGGGCATCTCTGGAGATGCCTGAAGGAAGTCAAGCCACTGGTGGTGTTTAATGGGGTACGGGGTATGGCTCTGGAGTCAATGCCGGAGAATCGGGCCTCATCTCGAGTTGATGTGGGGCACTTGGCGCTGCTTTGCATTGCTGGGGTGACCTCAGGGTCTGTCTAGACTTGTGACAGTGTTCCTGGGGACTCTCTCGAGATCCATTAAGCCAGTCGACGCTCCTGACTTGCTTGATGGGGATCACGGGACTGCTCTGCATGGACAGCAGGGAATCAGGCGTCATCTCACATCTAGGGGAAGTCTCATGGTTTTTCTCGAGTTGCGGTGGGACCTGGGGTATGTTCTCGAGTTATGGCGGGGATGGCCCTTCAAAACACGTGTTTATTCAGTGACGTCAGGACTCCTGTCTAGTAACGAGAGACACCTCAGGAATCTCTTCGAAGCTTGGCAGGGCAAAAGGGATGCTTCCCGAAGTGAGGCAGGGCACCCAAGAACCCTGTCCTGTAGCTACAGTGATTTTGGGATTCCTATCAATGTTCAAGAGGAGTCAGGCATCGTCACATTTTGAAGCAGTGAACTCCGTGTGCCTCTCGAGGTGTCAACGGGATGTGAGACATTCCGTCAAAATGAGGCAGGGACCTAGGGCTTTCTCTAAGGTCTCTTCAGGGGATTCAGACATTCCTTCTGGTTGTGAGATGAAAGACGAGCCTGTATTGAAGACACTGCAAGGAAATCCGGCCTCCTTTCAAGTTAAGGCTTCTCGTTGTATATTCCACTTGAGGCAGCAAACTCGGGGTCCCTCCCAAATACCTATTGCTGAGAGAAGCCTCCTCTTGAGGTGCTTCTGGAAAGTTGGCATACGTCTTGAGCCTAAGCCAGGGAATCAGCTCTCATCTCGAGACGATTTGGGGTACATGGAGCATTCCTCGAGTTGCTGTGCTGAAGTTCGTATTCCTCTAGACTTGGGACAGTGTTCTCAGGGCATCTCTGGAGATGCCTGAAGGAAGTCAAGCCACTGGTGGTGTTTAATGGGGTACGGGGTATGGCTCTGGAGTCAATGCCGGAGAATCGGGCCTCATCTCGAGTTGATGTGGGGCACTTGGCGCTGCTTTGCATTGCTGGGGTGACCTCAGGGTCTGTCTAGACTTGTGACAGTGTTCCTGGGGACTCTCTCGAGATCCATTAAGCCAGTCGACGCTCCTGACTTGCTTGATGGGGATCACGGGACTGCTCTGCATGGACAGCAGGGAATCAGGCGTCATCTCACATCTAGGGGAAGTCTCATGGTTTTTCTCGAGTTGCGGTGGGACCTGGGGTATGTTCTCGAGTTATGGCGGGGATGGCCCTTCAAAACACGTGTTTATTCAGTGACGTCAGGACTCCTGTCTAGTAACGAGAGACACCTCAGGAATCTCTTCGAAGCTTGGCAGGGCAAAAGGGATGCTTCCCGAAGTGAGGCAGGGCACCCAAGAACCCTGTCCTGTAGCTACAGTGATTTTGGGATTCCTATCAATGTTCAAGAGGAGTCAGGCATCGTCACATTTTGAAGCAGTGAACTCCGTGTGCCTCTCGAGGTGTCAACGGGATGTGAGACATTCCGTCAAAATGAGGCAGGGACCTAGGGCTTTCTCTAAGGTCTCTTCAGGGGATTCAGACATTCCTTCTGGTTGTGAGATGAAAGACGAGCCTGTATTGAAGACACTGCAAGGAAATCCGGCCTCCTTTCAAGTTAAGGCTTCTCGTTGTATATTCCACTTGAGGCAGCAAACTGGGGGTCCCTCCCTCATACCGATTGCTGAGAGAAGCCTCCTCTTGAGGTGCTTCTGGAAAGTTGGCATACGTCTTGAGCCTAAGCTAGGGAATCAGCTCTCACCTCGAAACGATTTGGGGTACACCGGTCATTCCTCGAGTTGCTGTGCTGAAGTTGGTGTTCCTCTAGACTTGGGACAGTGTTCTCGGGGCATCTCTGGAGTTGCCTGAAGGAAGTCAAGCCACTGGTCGTGTTTAATGGGGTACGGGGGATGGCTCCGGAGTCAATGCAGGGGAATCTGGCATCATCCCGAGTGGATTTGGGGCACATTGTGCTGCTTTGCATTGATGGGGTGACCTCAGGATCCGTCAAGACATGTGACTGTATTCTTGGGGACTCTCTCGAGATCCATTAAGCAAGTCGAAGGTCCTGACTTGTTTGACGGGGATCACGGAATTGCTCTGCATGCACTGCAGGAAAATCGGGCCTCATCTCGCCTATAGGGGAAAGTCTCATGGTTTTTCTCGACTTGCGGCGGGGACCTAGGGTATGTACTCCGGTTAAGGCGGGGATGACCCTTCAAAACTCGTGTTTATTCAGTGACGTCAGGACTCCTGTCCAATAACGAGGGACAGCTCAGGAATCTCTTCGAGGCTTGGCAGGGCACAAGGGACGCTTCTCGAGGTGAGGCAGGGCACCCAAGGAACCTTTCCAATAGCCACAGGGATTTTGGGATTCCTGTCAATATTCAAGAGGAGTCAGGCATCGTCACCTTTTGAAGCAGTGAACTCCGCGTGCCTCTCGAGGTGACAACGGGATGTGAGGCATTCCGTCAAAATGAGGCAGGGACCCAGAGCTTTCTCTAAGGTCTCCACAGGGGATTCAGACATCCCTTCATGCTGTGAGATGAAAGACGAGCCTGTATTCAAGCCACTGCAAGGAAAACCGGCCTCCTTTCAAGTTAGGGCTTCTCGCTGTATATTCCACTTGAGGCAGCAAACTCGGGGTCCCACGAACATACCTATTGCTGAGAGAAGCCTCCTCTGGGGGTGCTTCTGGAAAGTTGGCATATGTCTTGAGCCTAAGCCAGGGAATCAGCTCTCACCTCGAAACGATTTGGGGTACAAGGAGCATTCCTCGAGTTGCTGTGCTGAAGTTGGTGTTCCTCTAGTCTTGGGACAGTGTTCTCAGGGCATCTCTGGAGTTGCCTGAAGGAAGTCAAGCCACTGGTGGTGTTTAATGGGGTACGGGGGATGGCTCTGGAGTCAATGCAGAGGAATCGGGCCTCATCTCGAGTTGATGTGGGGTACTTGGAGCTGCTTTGCATTGCTGGGGTGACCTCAGGTTCTGTCTAGACTTTTGACAGTGTTCCTGGGGACTTTCGCGAGTACGATTAAGCAAGTCGAATCTCCTGACTTGCTTGATGGGGATCACGGGAATGCTCTGCATGGACTGCAGGGAATAAGGCTTCATCTCGTATCTAGGGGAAGTGTCATGGTTTTTCTCGAGTTGCGGCGAGACCTGTGGTATGTTCTCGAGTTATGGTGGGGATGGCCCTTCAAAACACGTGTTTATTCAGTGACGTCAGGACTCCTGTCTAGTAAAGAGAGACAACTCAGGAATCTCTTCGAGGCTTGGCAGGGCACAAGGGACGCTTCTCGTGGTGAGGCAGGGCACCCAAGAAACCTTTCCAATAGCCATAGGGATTTTGGGATTCCAATCAATATTCAAGAGGAGTCAGGCATCGTCCCCTTTTGAAATAGTGAACTCCGCGTGCCTCTCGAGGTGACAATTGGATGTGAGGCATTCCGTCCAAATGAGGCAGGGACCTAGGGCTTTCTCTAAGGTCTTCACAGGGGATTCAGTCATCCCTTCCTGTTGTGAGATGAAAGACGAGCCTGTATACAAGACACTGCAAGGAAATCCGGCCTCCTTTCAAGTTAAGGCTTCTCGTTGTATATTCCACTTGAGGCAGCAAACTGGGGGTCCCTCCCTCATACCGATTGCTGAGAGAAGCCTCCTCTTGAGGTGCTTCTGGAAAGTTGGCATACGTCTTGAGCCTAAGCTAGGGAATCAGCTCTCACCTCGAAACGATTTGGGGTACACGGAGCATTCCTCGAGTTGCTGTGCTGAAGTTGGTGTTCCTCTAAACTTGGGACAGTGTTCTCGGGGCATCTCTGGAGTTGCCTGAAGGAAGTCAAGCCACTGGCCGTGTTTAATGGGGAACGGGGGATGGCTCCGGAGTCAATGCAGGGGAATCTGGCATCATCCCGAGTGGATTTGGGGCACATTGTGCTGCTTTGCATTGATGGGGTGACCTCAGGATCCGTCTAGACATGTGACTGTATTCTTGGGGACTCTCTCGAGATCCATTAAGCAAGTCGAAGGTCCTGACTTGTTTGATGGGGATCACGGAATTGCTCTGCATGCACTGCAGGAAAATCGGGCCTCATCTCGCCTATAGGGGAAAGTCTCATGGTTTTTCTCGACTTGCGGCGGGGACCTAGGGTATGTACTCCGGTTAAGGCGGGGATGACCCTTCAAAACTCGTGTTTATTCAGTGACGTCAGGACTCCTGTCCAATAACGAGGGACAGCTCAGGAATCTCTTCGAGGCTTGGCAGGGCACAAGGGACGCTTCTCGAGGTGAGGCAGGGCACCCAAGGAACCTTTCCAATAGCCACAGGGATTTTGGGATTCCTGTCAATATTCAAGAGGAGTCAGGCATCGTCACCTTTTGAAGCAGTGAACTCCGCTTGCCTCTCGAGGTGACAACGGGATGTGAGGCATTCCGTCAAAATGAGGCAGGGACCCAGAGCTTTCTCTAAGGTCTCCACAGGGGATTCAGACATCCCTTCATGCTGTGAGATGAAAGACGAGCCTGTATTCAAGCCACTGCAAGGAAATCCGTCCTCCTTTCAAGTTAGGGCTTCTCGCTGTATATTCCACTTGAGGCAGCAAACTGGGGGTCCCTCCAACATACCTATAGCTGAGAGAAGCCTCCTCTTGAGGTGCTTCTGGAAAGTTGGCATAGGTCTTGATCCTAAGCCAGGGAATCAGCTCTCATCTCGAGACGATTTGGGGTACACGGAGCATTCCTCGTGTTGCTGTGCTGAAGTTCGTATTCCTCTAGACTTGGGACATTGTTCTCAGGGCATCTCTGGAGTTGCCTGAAGGAAGTCAAGCCACTGGTGGTGTTTAATGGGGTACGGGGGATGGCTCTGGAGTCAATGCCGGGGAATCGGGCCTCATCTCGAGTTGATGTGGGGTACTTGGAGCTGCTTTGCATTGCTGGGGTGACCTCAGGTTCTGTCTAGACTTTTGACAGTGTTCCTGGGGACTTTCGCGAGTTCGATTAAGCAAGTCGAATCTCCTGACTTGCTTGATGGGGATCACGGGAATGCTCTGCATGGACTGCAGGGAATAAGGCTTCATCTCGTATCTAGGGGAAGTGTCATGGTTTTTCTCGAGTTGCGGCGAGACCTGTGGTATGTTCTCGAGTTATGGTGGGGATGGCCCTTCAAAACACGTGTTTATTCAGTGACGTCAGGACTCCTGTCTAGTAAAGAGAGACAACTCAGGAATCTCTTCGAGGCTTGGCAGGGCACAAGGGACGCTTCTCGTGGTGAGGCAGGGCACCCAAGGAACCTTTCCAATAGCCATAGGGATTTTGGGATTCCAATCAATATTCAAGAGGAGTCAGGCATCGTCCCCTTTTGAAATAGTGAACTCCGCGTGCCTCTCGAGGTGACAATTGGATGTGAGGCATTCCGTCCAAATGAGGCAGGGACCTAGGGCTTTCTCTAAGGTCTTCACAGGGGATTCAGTCATCCCTTCCTGTTGTGAGATGAAAGACGAGCCTGTATACAAGACACTGCAAGGAAATCCGGCCTCCTTTCAAGTTAAGGCTTCTCGTTGTATATTCCACTTGAGGCAGCAAACTGGGGGTCCCTCCCTCATACCGATTGCTGAGAGAAGCCTCCTCTTGAGGTGCTTCTGGAAAGTTGGCATACGTCTTGAGCCTAAGCTAGGGAATCAGCTCTCACCTCGAAACGATTTGGGGTACACCGGTCATTCCTCGAGTTGCTGTGCTGAAGTTGGTGTTCCTCTAGACTTGGGACAGTGTTCTCGGGGCATCTCTGGAGTTGCCTGAAGGAAGTCAAGCCACTGGTCGTGTTTAATGGGGTACGGGGGATGGCTCCGGAGTCAATGCAGGGGAATCTGGCATCATCCCGAGTGGATTTGGGGCACATTGTGCTGCTTTGCATTGATGGGGTGACCTCAGGATCCGTCAAGACATGTGACTGTATTCTTGGGGACTCTCTCGAGATCCATTAAGCAAGTCGAAGGTCCTGACTTGTTTGATGGGGATCACGGAATTGCTCTGCATGCACTGCAGGAAAATCGGGCCTCATCTCGCCTATAGGGGAAAGTCTCATGGTTTTTCTCGACTTGCGGCGGGGACCTAGGGTATGTACTCCGGTTAAGGCGGGGATGACCCTTCAAAACTCGTGTTTATTCAGTGACGTCAGGACTCCTGTCCAATAACGAGGGACAGCTCAGGAATCTCTTCGAGGCTTGGCAGGGCACAAGGGACGCTTCTCGAGGTGAGGCAGGGCACCCAAGGAACCTTTCCAATAGCCACAGGGATTTTGGGATTCCTGTCAATATTCAAGAGGAGTCAGGCATCGTCACCTTTTGAAGCAGTGAACTCCGCTTGCCTCTCGAGGTGACAACGGGATGTGAGGCATTCCGTCAAAATGAGGCAGGGACCCAGAGCTTTCTCTAAGGTCTCCACAGGGGATTCAGACATCCCTTCATGCTGTGAGATGAAAGACGAGCCTGTATTCAAGCCACTGCAAGGAAATCCGTCCTCCTTTCAAGTTAGGGCTTCTCGCTGTATATTCCACTTGAGGCAGCAAACTGGGGGTCCCTCCAACATACCTATAGCTGAGAGAAGCCTCCTCTTGAGGTGCTTCTGGAAAGTTGGCATAGGTCTTGATCCTAAGCCAGGGAATCAGCTCTCATCTCGAGACGATTTGGGGTACACGGAGCATTCCTCGTGTTGCTGTGCTGAAGTTCGTATTCCTCTAGACTTGGGACATTGTTCTCAGGGCATCTCTGGAGTTGCCTGAAGGAAGTCAAGCCACTGGTGGTGTTTAATGGGGTACGGGGGATGGCTCTGGAGTCAATGCCGGGGAATCGGGCCTCATCTCGAGTTGATGTGGGGTACTTGGAGCTGCTTTGCATTGCTGGGGTGACCTCAGGTTCTGTCTAGACTTTTGACAGTGTTCCTGGGGACTTTCGCGAGTTCGATTAAGCAAGTCGAATCTCCTGACTTGCTTGATGGGGATCACGGGAATGCTCTGCATGGACTGCAGGGAATAAGGCTTCATCTCGTATCTAGGGGAAGTGTCATGGTTTTTCTCGAGTTGCGGCGAGACCTGTGGTATGTTCTCGAGTTATGGTGGGGATGGCCCTTCAAAACACGTGTTTATTCAGTGACGTCAGGACTCCTGTCTAGTAAAGAGAGACAACTCAGGAATCTCTTCGAGGCTTGGCAGGGCACAAGGGACGCTTCTCGTGGTGAGGCAGGGCACCCAAGGAACCTTTCCAATAGCCATAGGGATTTTGGGATTCCAATCAATATTCAAGAGGAGTCAGGCATCGTCCCCTTTTGAAATAGTGAACTCCGCGTGCCTCTCGAGGTGACAATTGGATGTGAGGCATTCCGTCCAAATGAGGCAGGGACCTAGGGCTTTCTCTAAGGTCTTCACAGGGGATTCAGTCATCCCTTCCTGTTGTGAGATGAAAGACGAGCCTGTATACAAGACACTGCAAGGAAATCCGGCCTCCTTTCAAGTTAAGGCTTCTCGTTGTATATTCCACTTGAGGCAGCAAACTGGGGGTCCCTCCCTCATACCGATTGCTGAGAGAAGCCTCCTCTTGAGGTGCTTCTGGAAAGTTGGCATACGTCTTGAGCCTAAGCTAGGGAATCAGCTCTCACCTCGAAACGATTTGGGGTACACCGGTCATTCCTCGAGTTGCTGTGCTGAAGTTGGTGTTCCTCTAGACTTGGGACAGTGTTCTCGGGGCATCTCTGGAGTTGCCTGAAGGAAGTCAAGCCACTGGTCGTGTTTAATGGGGTACGGGGGATGGCTCCGGAGTCAATGCAGGGGAATCTGGCATCATCCCGAGTGGATTTGGGGCACATTGTGCTGCTTTGCATTGATGGGGTGACCTCAGGATCCGTCAAGACATGTGACTGTATTCTTGGGGACTCTCTCGAGATCCATTAAGCAAGTCGAAGGTCCTGACTTGTTTGATGGGGATCACGGAATTGCTCTGCATGCACTGCAGGAAAATCGGGCCTCATCTCGCCTATAGGGGAAAGTCTCATGTTTTTTCTCGACTTGCGGCGGGGACCTTGGGTATGTACTCCGGTTAAGGCGGGGATGACCCTTCAAAACTCGTGTTTATTCAGTGACGTCAGGACTCCTGTCCAATAACGAGGGACAGCTCAGGAATCTCTTCGAGGCTTGGCAGGGCACAAGGGACGCTTCTCGAGGTGAGGCAGGGCACCCAAGGAACCTTTCCAATAGCCACAGGGATTTTGGGATTCCTGTCAATATTCAAGAGGAGTCAGGCATCGTCACCTTTTGAAGCAGTGAACTCCGCGTGCCTCTCGAGGTGACAACGGGATGTGAGGCATTCCGTCAAAATGAGGCAGGGACCCAGAGCTTTCTCTAAGGTCTCCACAGGGGATTCAGACATCCCTTCATGCTGTGAGATGAAAGACGAGCCTGTATTCAAGCCACTGCAAGGAAAACCGGCCTCCTTTCAAGTTAGGGCTTCTCGCTGTATATTCCACTTGAGGCAGCAAACTCGGGGTCCCACGAACATACCTATTGCTGAGAGAAGCCTCCTCTGGGGGTGCTTCTGGAAAGTTGGCATATGTCTTGAGCCTAAGCCAGGGAATCAGCTCTCACCCCGAAACGATTTGGGGTACAAGGAGCATTCCTCGAGTTGCTGTGCTGAAGTTGGTGTTCCTCTAGTCTTGGGACAGTGTTCTCAGGGCATCTCTGGAGTTGCCTGAAGGAAGTCAAGCCACTGGTGGTGTTTAATGGGGTACGGGGGATGGCTCTGGAGTCAATGCAGAGGAATCGGGCCTCATCTCGAGTTGATGTGGGGTACTTGGAGCTGCTTTGCATTGCTGGGGTGACCTCAGGTTCCGTCTAGACTTTTGACAGTGTTCCTGGGGACTTTCGCGAGTTCGATTAAGCAAGTCGAATCTCCTGACTTGCTTGATGGGGATCACGGGAATGCTCTGCATGGACTGCAGGGAATAAGGCTTCATCTCGTATCTAGGGGAAGTGTCATGGTTTTTCTCGAGTTGCGGCGAGACCTGTGGTATGTTCTCGAGTTATGGTGGGGATGGCCCTTCAAAACACGTGTTTATTCAGTGACGTCAGGACTCCTGTCTAGTAAAGAGAGACAACTCAGGAATCTCTTCGAGGCTTGGCAGGGCACAAGGGACGCTTCTCGTGGTGAGGCAGGGCACCCAAGGAACCTTTCCAATAGCCATAGGGATTTTGGGATTCCAATCAATATTCAAGAGGAGTCAGGCATCATCCCCTTTTGAAATAGTGAACTCCGCGTGCCTCTCGAGGTGACAATTGGATGTGAGGCATTCCGTCCAGATGAGGCAGGGACCTAGGGCTTTCTCTAAGGTCTTCACAGGGGATTCAGTCATCCCTTCCTGTTGTGAGATGAAAGACGAGCCTGTATACAAGACACTGCAAGGAAATCCGGCCTCCTTTCAAGTTAAGGCTTCTCGTTGTATATTCCACTTGAGGCAGCAAACTGGGGGTCCCTCCCTCATACCGATTGCTGAGAGAAGCCTCCTCTTGAGGTGCTTCTGGAAAGTTGGCATACGTCTTGAGCCTAAGCTAGGGAATCAGCTCTCACCTTGAAACGATTAGGGGTACACGGAGCATTCCTCGAGTTGCTGTGCTGAAGTTGGTGTTCCTCTAGACTTGGGACAGTGTTCTCGGGGCATCTCTGGAGTTGCCTGAAGGAAGTCAAGCCACTGGTCGTGTTTAATGGGGAACGGGGGATGGCTCCGGAGTCAATGCAGGGGAATCTGGCATCATCCCGAGTGGATTTGGGGCACATTGTGCTGCTTTGCATTGATGGGGTGACCTCAGGATCCGTTTAGACATGTGACTGTATTCTTGGTTACTCTCTCGAGATCCATTAAGCAAGTCGAAGGTCCTGACTTGTTTGATGGGGATCACGGAATTGCTCTGCATGCACTGCAGGAAAATCGGGCCTCATCTCGCCTATAGGGGAAAGTCTCATGGTTTTTCTCGACTTGCGGCGGGGACCTAGGGTATGTACTCCGGTTAAGGCGGGGATGACCCTTCAAAACTCGTGTTTATTCAGTGACGTCAGGACTCCTGTCCAATAACGAGGGACAGCTCAGGAATCTCTTCGAGGCTTGGCAGGGCACAAGGGACGCTTCTCGAGGTGAGGCAGGGCACCCAAGGAACCTTTCCAATAGCCACAGGGATTTTGGGATTCCTGTCAATATTCAAGAGGAGTCAGGCATCGTCACCTTTTGAAGCAGTGAACTTTGCGTGCCTCTCGAGGTGACAACGGGATGTGAGGCATTCCGTCAAAATGAGGCAGGGACCCAGAGCTTTCTCTAAGGTCTCCACAGGGGATTCAGACATCCCTTCATGCTGTGAGATGAAAGACGAGCCTGTATTCAAGCCACTGCAAGGAAAACCGGTCTCCTTTCAAGTTAGGCCTTCTCGCTGTATATTCCACTTGAGGCAGCAAACTGGGGGTCCCTCCAACATACCTATAGCTGAGAGAAGCCTCCTCTTGAGGTGCTTCTGGAAAGTTGGCATAGGTCTTGAGCCTAAGCGAGGGAATCAGCTCTCATCTCGAGACGATTTGGGGTACACGGAGCATTCCTCGTGTTGCTGTGCTGAAGTTCGTATTCCTCTAGACTTGGGACATTGTTCTCAGGGCATCTCTGGAGTTGCCTGAAGGAAGTCAAGCCACTGGTGGTGTTTAATGGGGTACGGGGGATGGCTCTGGAGTCAATGCAGGGGAATCGGGCCTCATCTCGAGTTGATGTGGGGTACTTGGAGCTGCTTTGCATTGCTGGGGTGACCTCAGGTTCTGTCTAGACTTTTGACAGTGTTCCTGGGGACTTTCGCGAGTTCGATTAAGCAAGTCGAATCTCCTGACTTGCTTGATGGTAATCACGGGAATGCTCTGCATGGACTGCAGGGAATAAGGCTTCATCTCGTATCTAGGGGAAGTGTCATGGTTTTTCTCGAGTTGTGGCGAGACCTGTGGTATGTTCTCGAGTTATGGTGGGGATGGCCCTTCAAAACACGTGTTTATTCAGTGACGTCAGGACTCCTGTCTAGTAAGGAGAGACACCTCAGGAATCTCTTCGAGGCTTGGCAGGGCACAAGGGACGCTTCTCGAGGTGAGGCAGGGCACCCAAGGAACCTTTCCAATAGCCATAGGGATTTTGGGATTCCAATCAATATTCAAGAGGAGTCAGGCATCGTCCCCTCTTGAAATAGTGAACTCCGCGTGCCTCTCGAGGTGACAATGGGATGTGAGGCATTCCGTCCAAATGAGGCAGGGACCTAGGGCTTTCTCTAAGGTCTTCACAGGGGATTCAGTCATCCCTTCCTGTTGTGAGATGAAAGACGAGCCTGTATACAAGACACTGCAAGGAAATCCGGCCTCCTTTCAAGTTAGGGCTTCTCGCTGTATATTCCACTTGAGGCAGCAAACTCGGGGTCCCACGAACAAACCTATTGCTGAGAGAAGCCTCCTCTTGTGGTGCTTCTGGAAAGTTGGCATACGTCTTGAGCCTAAGCCAGGGTATCAGCTCTCATCTCGAGACGATTTGGGGTACACGGAGCATTCCTCGAGTTGCTGTGCTTAAGTTCGTATTCCTCTAGACTTGAGACAGTGTTCTCGGGGCAACTCTGGAGTTGCATGAAGGAAGTCAAGCCACTCGTGGTGTTTAATGGGGTACGGGGAATGGCTCTGGAGTCAATGCATTGGAATCTGGCATCATCTCGAGTTTATTTGGGGCAAATGGAGCTGCTTTGCTTTGCTGGGGTGACGTCATGGTCCGTCTACACTTGTGACAGTGTTCCTGGGGACTCTCTCGAGATCCATTAAGCAAATCGAACCTGCTGACTTGCTTGATGGGGATCACGGGAATGCTCTACATGGACTGCAGGGAATCAGGCCTCATCTCACATCTAGGGGAAGTCTCATGGTTTTTCTCGAGTTGCGGCGGGACGTGGGGTATGTTCTCGAGTTATGGCGGGCATGGCCCTTCAAAACACGTGTTTATTCAGTGACGTCAGGACTCCTGACTAGTAATGAGGGACACCTCAGGAATCTCTTCGAGGCTTGGCAGGGGAAAAGGTATGCTTCTCGAGGTGAGGCAGGGCACACAAGAACCCTTTCCTGTAGCCACAGTTATTTTGGGATTCCTATCAATGTTCAGGAGGAGTCAGGCATCTTCACATTTTGAAGCAGTGAACTCCGTGTGCCTCTCGAAGTGTCAACGGGATGTGAGGCATTCCGTCAAAATGAGGCAGGGAACTAGAGCTTTCTCTAAGGTCTCCACAGGGGATTCAGACATCCCTTCATGCTGAGAGATGAAAGACGAGCCTGTATTCAACCCCCTGCAAGGAAATCCGGCCTCCTTTCATTTTAGGGCTTCTCGCTGTATATTCCACTTGAGGCAGCAAACTCGGGGTCCCACGAACATACCTATTGCTGAGAGAAGCCTCCTCTTGAGGTGCTTCTGGAAAGTTGGCATACGTCTTGAGCCTAAGCCAGGGAATCAGCTCTCATCTCGAGATGATTTGGGGTACACGGAGCATTCCTCTAGTTGCTGTGCTGAAGTTGGTGTTCCTCTAGACTTGGGACAGTGTTCTTGGGGCATCTCTGGAGTTGCCTGAAGGAAGTCAAGCCACTGGTCGTGTTTAATGGGGAACGGGGGATGACTCTGGAGTCAAAGCAGGGGAATCTGGCATCATCCCGAGTTGATTTGGGGCACATTGTGCTGCTTTGCGTTGATGGGGTGACCTTAGGATCCGTCTAGACATGTGACAGTATTCTTGGGGACTGTCTCGAGATCCATTAAGCAAGTCGAAGGTCCTGACTTGTTTGATGGGGATCACGGAATTGCTCTGCATGCACTGCAGGAGAATCGGGCCTGCTCTGGCCTCTAGGTTAAAGTCTCATGGTTTTTCTCGACTTGTGGCGGGGACCTGGGGTATGTACTCGGGTTATGGCGGGGATGGCCCTTCAAAACTCGTGTTTATTCAGTGACGTCAGGACTCCTGTCCAGTAACGAGAGACAGCTCAGGAATCTCTTCGAGGCTTGGCAGTGCACAAGGGACGCTTCTCGAGGTGAGGCAGGGCACCCAAGGAACCTTTCCAATAGCCACAGGGATTTTGGGATTCCTATCAATATTCAAGAGGAGTCAGGTATCGTCACCTTTTGAAGCACTGAACTCCGCGTGCCTCTCGAGGTGACAACGGGATGTGAGGCATTCCGTCAAAATGAGGCAGGGACCTAGAGCTTTCTCTAAGGTCTCCACAGGGGATTCAGACATCCCTTCATGCTGTGAGATGAAAGACGAGCCTGTATTCAAGCCACTGCAAGGAAATCCGTCCTCCTTTCAAGTTAGGGCTTCTCGCTGTATATTCCACTTGAGGCAGCAAACTCGGGGTCCCTCCCAAATACCTATTGCTGAGAGAAGCCTTCTCTTGAGGTGCTTCTGGAAAGTTGGCATACATCTTGAGCCTAAGCCATGGAATCAGCTCTCACCTCGAAACGATTTGGGGTACACGGAGCATTCCTCGAGTTGCTGTGCTGAAGTTCGTATTCCTCTAGAATTGGGACAGTGTTCTCAGGGCATCTCTGGAGTTGCCTGAAGGAAGTCAAGCCACTGGTGGTGTTTAATGTGGTACGGGGGATGGCTCTGGAGTCAAAGCCGGAGAATCAGGCCTCATCTCGAGTTGATGTGGGGCACTTGGAGCTGCTTTGCATTGCTGGGGTGACCTCAGGGTCTGTCTAGACTTGTGACAGTGTTCCTGGGGACTTTCGCGAGTTCGATTAAGCAAGTCGAAGCTCCTGACTTGCTTGATGGGGATCACGGGAATGCTCTGCATGGACTGCAGGGAATAAGGCCTCATCTCGCATCTAGGGGAAGTCTCATGGTTTTTCTCGAGTTGCGGCGGGACCTGGGGTATGTTCTCGAGTTATGGCGGGGATGGCCCTTCAAAACACGTGTTTATTCAATGACGTCAGGACTCCTGTCTAGTAACGAGGGACAGCTCAGGAATCTGTTCGAGGCTTGGCAGGGCACAAGGGACGCTTCTCGAGGTGAGGCAGGGCACCCAAGGAACCTTTCCAATAGCCACAGGGATTTTGGGATTCCTATCAATATTCAAGAGGAGTCAGGCATCGTCACCTTTTGAAGCAGTGAACTCCACGTGCCTCTCGTGGTGTCAACGGGATGTGAGGCCGTCTGTCAGAATAAGGCAGGGACCTAGGGCTTTCTCTAAGGTCTCCACAGGGGATTCAGACATCCCTTCCTGTTGTGAGATGAAAGACGAGCCTGTATTCAAGACACTGCAAGGAAATCCGGCCTCCTTTCAAGTTAGGGCTTCTCGCTGTATATTCTACTTGAGGCAGCAAACTCGGGGTCCCTCCCACATACCGATTGCTGAGAGATGCCTCCTCTTGAGGTGCTTCTGGAAAGTTGGCATATGTCTTGAGCCTAAGCCAGGGAATCAGCTCTCACCTCGAAACGATTTGGGGTACACGGAGCATTCCTCGAGTTGCTGTGCTGAAGTTGGTGTTCCTCTAGACTTGGGACAGTGTTCTCGGGGCATCTCTGGAGTTTCCAGAAGGAAGTCAAGCCACTGGTGGTGTTTAATGAGGTACGGGGGATGGCTCTGGAGTCAATGCCGGAGAATCTGGCATCATCTCGAGTTTATTTGGTGCACATGGAGCTGCTTTGCGTTGCTGGGGTGACGTCAGGGTCCGTCTACACTTGTGACAGTGTTCCTGGGGACTCTCTCGAGATCCATTAAGCAAATCGAACCTGCTGACTTGCTTGATGGGGATCACGGGAATGCTCTGCATGGACTGCAGGGAATCAGGCCTCATCTCACATCTAGGGGAAGTCTCATGGTTTTTCTCGAGGTGCGGCGGGACGTGGGGTATGTTCTCGAGTTATGGCGGGCATGGCCCTTCAAAACACGTGTTTATTCAGTGACGTCAGGACTCCTGACTAGTAATGAGGGACACCTAAGGAAACTCTTCGAGGCTTGGCAGGGGAAAAGGTATGCTTCTCGAGGTGAGGCAGGGCACACAAGAACCCTTTCCTGTAGCCACAGTGATTTTGGGATTCCTATCAATGTTCAGGAGGAGTCAGGCATCTTCACATTTTGAAAGAGTGAACTCCGTGTGCCTCTCTAGGTGTCAACGGGATGTGAGGCATTCCGTCAAAATGAGGCAGGGACCTAGGGCTTTCTCTAACGTCTCCACAGGGGATTCAGACATTCCTTCTGGTTGTGAGATGAAAGACGAGCCTGTATTCAAGACACTGCAAGGAAACCCGGCCTCCTTTCAAGTTAGGGCTTCTCACTGTATATTCCAATTGAGGCAGCAAACTGGGGGTCCCTCCAACATACCTATTGCTGAGAGCAGACTCCCCTTGAGGTGCTTCTGGAAAGTTGGCATATGTCTTGAGCTTAAGCCAGGGAATCAGCTCTCACCTCGAAACGATTTGGGGTACACGGAGCATTCCTCGAGTTGCTGTGCTGAAGATGGTGTTCCTCTAGACTTGGGACAGTGTTCTCAGGGCATGTCTGCAGTTGTATGAGGGAAGTCAAGCCACTGGTGGTGTTTAATGTGGAACGGGGGATGGCTCTGGAGTCAATGCAGGGGAATCGGGCATTATCTCGAGTTGATTTGGGGCACATGGTGCTGCTTTGCGTTGATGGGGTGACCTCAGGATCCGTCTAGACATGTGACAGTGTTCTTGGGTACTGTCTCGAGATCCATTAAGCAAGTCGAAGCTCCTGACTTGTTTGATGGGGATCACGGAATTGCTCTGCATGCACTGCAGGTGAATCGGGCCTCATCTCGCATCCAGATGGAAGTCTCAAGGTTTTTTTCGAATTGTGGCGGGGACCTGGGGTATGTACTCGGGTTACGGCGGGGAAGGCCCTTCAAAACTCGTGTATATTCAGTGATGTCAGGACTCCTGTCCAATAACGAGGGACAGCTCAGGAATCTCTTTGAGGCTTGGCAGTGCACAAGGGACGCTTTTCGAGGTGAAGCAGGGCACCCAAGGAACCTTTCCAATAGCCACAGGGATTTTGGGATTCCTATCAATATTCAAGAGGAGTCAGGCATCGTCACCTTTTGAAGCACTGAACTCCGCGTGCCTCTCGAGGTGACAACGGGATGTGAGGCATTACGTCAAACTGAGGCAGGGACCTAGAGCTTTCTCTAAGGTCTCCACAGGGGATTCAGACATCCCTTCATGCTGTGAGATGAAAGACGAGCCTGTATTCAAGCCACTGCAAGGAAATCCGTCCTCCTTTCAAGTTAGGGCTTCTCGCTGTATATTCCACTTGAGGCAGCAAACTCGGGGTCCCTCCCAAATACCTATTGCTGAGAGAAGCCTCCTCTTGAGGTGCTTCTGGAAAGTTGGCATACGTCTTGAGCCTAAGCCAGGGAATCAGCTCTCACCTCGAAACGATTTGGGGTACACGGAGCATTCCTCGAGTTGCTGTGCTGAAGTTCGTATTCCTCTAGACTTGGGACAGTGTTCTCAGGGCATCTCGGGAGATGCCTGAAGGAAGTCAAGCCACTGGTGGTGTTTAATGGGGTATGGGGGATGGCTCTGGAGTCAATGCCGGAGAATCGGGCCTCATCTCGAGTTGATGTGGGGCACTTGGCGCTGCTTTGCATTGCTGGGGTGACCTCAGGGTCTGTCTAGACTTGTGACAGTGTTCCTGGGGACTCTCTTGAGATCCATTAAGCCAGTCGACGCTCCTGACTTGCTTGATGGGGATCACGGGACTGCTCTGCATGGACTGCAGGGAATCAGACCTCATCTCGCATCTAGGGGAAGTCTCATCGTTTTTCTCGAGTTGCAGCGGGACCTGGGGTATGTTCTCGAGTTATGGCGGGGATGGCCCTTCCAAACACGTGTTTATTCAGTGACGTCAGGACTCCTGTCTAGTAACGAGAGACACCTCAGGAATCTCTTCGAAGCTTGGCAGGGCAAAAGGGATGCTTCCCGAAGTGAGGCAGGGCACCCAAGAACCCTGTCCTGTAGCTACAGTGATTTTGGGATTCCTATCAATGTTCAATAGGAGTCAGGCATCGTCACATTTTGAAGCAGTGAACTCCGTGTGCTTCTCAATGTGTCAACGGGATGTGAGGCATTCCTTCAAAATGAGGCAGGGACCTAGGGCTTTCTCTAAGGTCTCCACAGGGGATTCAGACATCCCTTCCAGTTGTGAGAGGAAAGACAAGCCTGTATTCAAGACACTGCAAGGAAATCCGGCCTCCTTTCAAGTTAGGGCTTCTCGCTGTATATTCCACTTGAAGCAGCAAACTGGGGATCCCTCCAACATACCTATTGCTGAGAGAAGCCTCCCCTTGAGGTGCTTCTGGAAAGTTGGCATACGTCTTGAGCCTAAGCCAGGGAATCAGCTCTCATCTCGAGACGATTTGGGGTACACGGAGCATTCCTCGAGTTGCTGTGCTGAAGTTGGTGTTCCTCTAGACTTGGGACAGTGTTCTTGGGGCATCTCTGGAGTTGCCTGAAGGAAGTCAAGCCACTGGTCGTGTTTAATGGGAAAAGGGGGATGGCTCTGGAGTCAAAGCAGAGGAATCTGGCATCATCCCGAGTTGATTTGGGGCACATTGTGCTGCTTTGTGTTGATGGTGTGACCTCAGGATCCGTCTAGACATGTGACAGTATTCTTGGGGACTGTCTCGAGATCCATTAAGCAAGTCGAAGGTCCTGACTTGATTGATGGGGATCACGGAATTGCTCTGCATGCACTGCAGGAGAATCGGGCCTCATCTCGCCTCTAGGGGAAAGTCTCATGGTTTTTCTCGACTTGTGGCGGGGACCTGGGGTATGTACTCGGGTTACGGCGGGGATGGCCCTTCAAAACTCGTGTTTATTCAGTGACGTCAGGACTCCTGTCCAGTAACGAGGGACAGCACAGGAATCTCTACGAGGCTTGGCAGTGCACAAGGGACGCTTCTCGAGGTGAGGCAGGGCACCCAAGGAACCTTTCCAATAGCCACAGGGATTTTGGGATTCCTATCAATATTCAAGAGGAGTCAGGCATCGTCACCTTTTGAAGCACTGAACTCCGCGTGCCTCTCGAGGTGACAACGGGATGTGAGGCATTCCGTCAAAATGAGGCAGGGACCTAGAGCTTTCTCTAAGGTCTCCACAGGGGATTCAGACATCCCTTCATGCTGTGAGATGAAAGACGAGCCTGTATTCAAGCCACTGCAAGGAAATCCGTCCTCCTTTCAAGTTAGGGCTTCTCGCTCTATATTCCACTTGAGGCAGCAAACTCGGGGTCCCTCCCAAATACCTATTGCTGAGAGAAGCCTCCTCTTGAGGTGCTTCTGGAAAGTTGGCATAGGTCTTGAGCCTAAGCCATGGAATCAGCTCTCACCTCGAAACGATTTGGGGTACACGGAGCATTCCTCGAGTTGCTGTGCTGAAGTTGGTGTTCCTCTAGACTTGGGACAGTGTTCTCGGGGCATCTCTGGAGTTGCCTGAAGGAAGTCAAGCCACTGGTGGTGTTTAATGAGGTATGGGGGATGGCTCTGGAGTCAATGCCGGAGAATCGGGCCTCATCTCGAGTTGATGTGGGGCACTTGGAGCTGCTTTGCATTGCTGGGGTGACCTCAGGGTCTGTCTAGACTTGTGACAGTGTTCCTGGGGACTTTCGCGAGTTCGATTAAGCAAGTCGAAGCTCCTGACTTGCTTGATGGGGATCACGGGACTGCTCTGCATGGACTGCAGGGAATCAGACCTCATCTCGCATCTAGGGGAAGTCTCATCGTTTTGCTCGAGTTGCGGCGGGACCAGGGGTATGTTCTCGAGTTATGGCGGGGATGGCCCTTCAAAACACGTGTTTATCCAGTGACGTCAGGACTCCTGTCTAGTAACGAGAGACACCTCAGGAACCTCTTCGAGGCTTGGCAGGGCAAAAGCGATGCTTCTCGAGGTGAGGCAGGGCACCCAAGGACCCTTTCCTGTAGCCACAGTGATTTTGGGATTCCTATCAATGTTCAGGAGGAGTCAGGCATCGTCACATTTTGAAGCAGTGAACTCCGTGTGCCTCTCGATGTGTCAACGGGATGTGAGGCATTCCGTCAAAATGAGGCAGGGACCTAGGGCTTTCTCTAAGGTCTCCACAGGGGATTCAGACATCCCTTCCAGTTGTGAGATGAAAGACGAGCCTGTATTCAAGACACTGCAAGGAAATCCGGCCTCCTTTCAAGTTAGGGCTTCTCGCTGTATATTCCACTTGAGGCAGCAAACTGGGGGTCCCTCCAATATACCTATTGCTGAGAGAAGCCTCCCCTTGAGGTGCTTCTGGAAAGTTGGCATACGTCTTGAGCCTAAGCCAGGGAATCAGCTCTCATCTCGAGACGATTTGTGATACACGGAGCATTCCTCGAGTTGCTGTGCTGAAGTTGCTGTTCCTCTAGACTTTGGACAGTGTTTTCGGGGCATCTCTGGAGTTGCCTGAAGGAAGTCAAGCCACTGGTCGTGTTTAATGGGGAACGGGGGATGGCTCTGGAGTCAATGCAGGGGAATCTGGCATCATCCCAAGTTGATTTGGGGCACATTGTGCTGCTTTGCTTTGATGGGGTGACCTCAGAATCCGTCTAGACATGTGACAGTATTCTTGGGGACTGTCTCGAGATCCATTAGGCAAGTCGAAGATCCTGACTTGTTTGATGGGGATCACGGAATTGCTCTGCATGCACTGCAGGAGAATCGGGCCTCAACTCGCCTCTAGGGGAAAGTTTCATGGTTTTCTCGACTTGCGGCGGGGACCTGGGGTATGTACTCGGGTTACGACGGTGATGGCCCTTCAAAACTCGTGTTTATTCAGTGACGTCAGGACTCCTGTCCAGTAACGAGGGACAGCTCAGGAATCTCTTCGAGGCTTGGCAGGGCACAAGGGACGGTTCTCGAGGTGAGGCAGGGCACCCAAGGAACCTTTCCAATACCCCCAAAGATTTTGGAATTCCTGTCAATATTCAAGAGGAGTCAGGCATCGTCACCTTTTGAAGCAGTGAACTCCGGGTGCCTCTCGAGGTGACAACGGGATGTGAGGCATTCCGTCAAAATGAGGCAGGGACCTAGAGCTTTCTCTAAGGTCTCCACAGGGGATTCAGACATCCCTTAATGCTGTGACATGAAAGACGAGCCTGTATTCAAGCCACTGCAAGGACATCCGGCCTCCTTTCAAGTTAGGGCTTCTCGCTGTATATTCCGATTGAGGAAGCAAACTCGGGGTCCCACGAACATACCTATTGTTGAGAGAAGCCTCCTCTTGAGGTGCTTCTGGAAAGTTGGCATACGTCTTGAGACTAAGCCAGGGAATCAGCTCTCACCTCGAGACAATTTGTGGTGCACGGAGCATTCCTCGAGTTGCTGTGCTGAAGTTGGTGTTCCTCTAGTCTTGGGACAGTGTTCTCAGGGCATCTCTGGAGTTGCCTGAAGGAAGTCAAGCCAGTGGTCTTGTTTAATCGGGAACTGGGGATGGCTCTGGAGTCAATGCAGGGGAATCGGGCCACATCTCAGGTTGATTTGGGGCACATGGAGCTGCTTTGCATTGCTGGGGTGACCTCAGGGTCCATCTAGACTTGTGACAGTGTTCTTGGGGACTGTCTCGAGATCCATTAAGCAAGTCGAAGCTCCTGACTTGTTTGATGGGGATGACGGGAATACTCTGCATGCACTGTAGGGAATCAGGACTCATCTCGCATCTAGGGGGAAGTCTCATGGTTTCTCTCAAGTTGCGCGGGGGACCTGGGGTATCTTCTCGAGTTACGGCGGGGATGGCCCTTCAAAACACGTGTTTATTCAGTGCCGTCAGTACTCCTGTCTAGTAATGAGAGACACCTCAGGAATCTCTTCGAGGCTTGGCAGGTCAAAAGGTATGCTTCTCGAGGTGAGGCAGGGCACCCAAGGACACTTTCCAGTAGCCACAGTGATTTTGGGATTCCTATCAATATTCAAGACGAGTGAGGCATCATCACCTTTTGAAGCAGTGAACTCCGCGTGCCTCTCGAAGTGTCAACGGGATGTGAGGCATTCCGTCAAAATGAGGCAGGGACCTAGAGCTTTCTCTAAGGTCTCCACAGGGGCTTCAGACATCCCTTCATGCTGTGAGATGAAAGACGAGCCTGTATTCAAGCCACTGCAAGGAAATCCGGCTTCCTTTCAAGTTACGGCTTCTCGCTGTATATTCCACTTGAGGCAGCAAACTCGGGGTCCCTCCCACATACCTATTGCTGAGAGAAGTCTCCTCTTGAGGTGCTTCTGGAAAGTTGGCATACGTCTTGAGCCTAAACTATGGAATCAGCTCTCACCTCGAAACTATTTGGGGTACACGGAGCATTCCTCGAGTTGCTGTGCTGAAGTTCGTATTCCTCTAGACTTGGGACAGTGTTCTCGGGGCATCTCTGGAGTTGCCTGAAAGAAGTCAAGCCACTGCTGGTGTTTAATGGGGTACGGGGGATGACTCTGGAGTCAATGCATGGGAATCGGGCCTCATCTCGAGTTGATGTGGGGTACTTGGAGCTGCTTTGCATTGCTGGGGTGAACTCACGGTCTGTCTAGACTTGTGACAGTGTTCCTGGGGACTTTGTCGAGTTGGATTAAGCAAGTCGAATCTCCTGACTTGCTTGATGGGGATCACGGGACTGCTCTGCCTGGACTGCAGGGAATCAGACCTCATCTCGCATCTAGGGGAAGTCTCACCGTTTTGCTCGAGTTGCGGCGGGACCTGAGGTATCTTCTCGAGTTACGGCGGGGATGGCCCTTCAAAACACGTGTTTATTCAGTGACGTCAGGACTCCTGTCTAGTAACGAGGGAAACCTCAGGAATCACTTCGAGGCTTGGCAGGGCAAAAGGGATGCTTCCCGAGGTGAGGCAGGGCACCCAAGAACCCTTTCCTGTAGCCACAGTGATTTTGGGACTCCTAACATTGTTCAGGAGGCGTCAGGCATCGTCACATTTTGAAGCAGTGAACTCCGCGTGCCTCTCGAAGTGTCAACGGGATGTGAGGCATTCCGTCAAAATGAGGCAGGGACCTAGGGCTTACTCTAAGGTCTCCACAGGGGATTCAGACATCCCTTCATGCTGTGAGATGAAAGACGAGCCTGTATTCAAGGCACTGCAAGGATATCCGGCCTCCTTTCAAGTTAGGGCTTCTCGCTGTATATTCCACTTGAGGCAGCAAACTGGGGTCCCTCCCACATACCTATTGCTGAGAGAAGCCTCCCCTTGAGGTGTTTCTGGAAAGTTGGCATACGTCTTGAGCCTAAGCCAGGGAATCAGCTCTCATCTCGAGACGATTTGGGGTACGCGGAGCATTCCTCGAGTTGCTGTGCTGAAGTTGGTGTTCCTCTAGTCTTGGGACAGTGTTCTCAGGGCATCTCTGAAGTTGCCTTAAGGAAGTCAAGCCAGTGGTCTTGTTTAATGGGGAACTGGGGATGGCTCTGGAGTCAATGCAGGGGAATCGGGCCACATCTCGGGTTGATATGGGGCACTTGGAGCTGCTTTGCATTGCTGGGGTGACCTCAGGGTCTGACTAGACTTGTGACAGTGTTCCTGCGGACTTTCTCGAGTTCAATTAAGCAAGTCGAAGCTCCTGACTTGCTTGATGGGGGTCACGGGAATGCTCTGCATGGACTGCAGGGAATCAGGCCTCATCTCGCATCTAGGGGAAGTCTCATGGTTTTTCTCGAGTTGCGGCGGGACCTGGAGTATGTTCTCGAGTTATGGCGGGGATGGCCCTTCAAAACAAGTGTTTATTCAGTGACGTCAGGACTCCTGTCTAGTAACGAGAGACACCTCAGGAATCTCTTCGAGGCTTGGCAGGGCAAAAGGGATGCTTCTCGAGGTGAGGCAGGGCACCCAAGAACCCTGTCCTGTAGCTACAGTGATTTTGGGATTCCTATCAATGTTCAGGAGGAGTCAGGCATCGTCACATTTTGAAGCAGTGAACTCCGTGTGCCTCTCTAGGTGTCTACGGGATGAGAGACATTACGTCAAAATGAGGCAGGGACCTAGGGCTTTCTCTAAGGTCTCCACAGGGGATTCAGACATCCCTTCCTGTTGTGAGATGAAAGACGAGCCTGTATTCAAGACACTGCAAGGAAATCAGGCCTCCTTTCAAGTTAGGGCTTCTCGCTGTATATTCCACTTGAGACAGCAAACTCGGGGTCCCTCCAACATACCTATTGCTGAGAGAAGCCTCCCCTTGAGGTGCTTCTGGAAAGTTGGCATACGTCTTGAGCCTAAGCCAGGGAATCAGCTCTCATCTCCAGACGATTTGGGGTACATGGAGCATTCCTCGAGTTGCTGTGCTGAAGTTGGTGTTAATCTAGACTTGGGACAGTGTTCTCGGGGCATCTCTGGAGTTGCCTGAAGGAAGTCAAGCCACTGGTCGTGTTTAAAGGGGAACGGGGGATGGCTCTGGAGTCAATGCTGGGGAATCTGGCATCATCCAGAGTTGATTTGGGGCACATTGTGCTGCTTTGCGTTGATGGGGTGACCTCAGGATCCGTCTAGACATGTGACAGTATTTTTGGGGACTGTCTCGAGATCCATTAAGCAAGTCGAAGGTCCTGACTTGTTTGATGGGGATCACGGAATTGCTCTGCATGCACTGCAGGAGAATCGTGCCTCATCTCACCTCTAGGGGAAAGTCTCATGGTTTTTCTCGACTTGCGGCGGGGACCTGGGGTATGTACTCAGGTTATTGCGGGGATGGCCCTTCAAAACTCGTGTTTATTCAGTGACGTCAGGACTCCTGTCCAGTAACGAGGGACAGCTCAGGAATCTCTTCGAGGATTGGCAGGGCACAAGGGACGCTTCTAGAGGTGAGGCAGGGCACCCAAGGAACCTTTCCAATAGCCACAGGGATTTGGGGATTCCTATCAATATTCAAGAGGAGTAAGGCATCATCAACTTTTGAAGCAGTGAACTCCGCGTGCCTCTCGAGGTGACAACGGGATGTGAGGCATTCCATCAAAATGAGGCAGGGACCTAGGGCTTTCTCTAAGGTCTCCACAGGGGATTCAGACATCCCTTCATGCTGTGAGATGAAAGACGAGCCTGTATTCAAGCCACTACAAGGAAATCCGGCTTCCTTTCAAGTTAGGGCTTCTCGCTGTATATTCCACTTGAGGCAACAAACTCGGGGTCCCACGAACATACCTATTGCTGAGAGAAGCCTCCTCTTGAGGTGCTTCTGGAAAGTTGGCATACGTCTTGATCCTAAGCCAGGGATTCAGCTCTCATCTCGAGACGATTTGTTGGACGCGGAGCATTCCTCGAGTTGCTGTGCTGAAGTTGGTGTTCCTCTAGTCTTGGGACAGTGTTCTCGGGACATCTCTGGAGTTGCCTGAAGGAAGTCAATCCAGTGGTCTTGTTTAATGGGGAACTGGGGATGGCTCTGGAGTCAATGCAGGGGAATCGGGCCACATCCTGGGTTGATTTGGGGCACATGGAGCTGCTTTGCGTTGCTGGGGTGACCTCAGGGTCCGTCTAGACTTGTGACAGTGTTCTTGGGGACAGTCTCGAGATCCATTAAGCAAGTCGAAGCTCCTGACTTGTTTGATGGGGATCACGGGAATACTCTGCATGCACTGCAGGGAATCAGGACTCATCTCGCATCTAGGGGGAAGTCTCATGGTTTCTCTCAAGTTGCGCTGGGGACCTGGGGTATCTTCTCGAGTTACGGTGGGGATGGCCCTTCAAAACACGTGTTTATTCAGTGCTGTCAGTATTCCTGTCTAGTAACGAGGGACACCTCAGTAATCTCTTCGAGGCTTGGAAGGTCAAAAGGTATGTTTCTCGAGGTGAGGCAGGGCACCCAAGGACCCTTTCCAGTAGCCACAGTGATTTTGGGATTCCTATCAATATTCAAGACGAGTGAGGCATCATCACCTTTTGAAGCAGTGAACTCCGCGTGCCTCTCGAAGTGTCAACGGGATGTGAGGCATTCCGTCAAAATGAGGCAGGGACGTAGAGCTTTCTCTAAGGTCTACACAGG